GCCGTCTCACGGAGTTTCATTGCCTCGCTGCATTAGCGATATTTAGCCCGACACAAAGTGGACGAATATTTATGATTAGTAATCTAGTTTTTATTGGAGAGATCGTCCTCCGCCGCTCACCTTGGCTCTATGAGTTTGGTTCCGTCGAAACGAAATTCCGCTTCCGCAAAACTGTGATTTATCGGGCTCGCTGCCCCACCTCCGCAGCCTTGAGTCCATCTCTGATTCCTCCATTGACACGTGGTTATTCGATCATTCATCAGACTCTTCTCCAATTTTGATTTTGATGTTCCCCAGCTGATTTTCCATTCCTCTAGCGGTCTCGGAAAGACTTCCCCTTTCTCTGTACTTCTGATGGAAGAGGGAAATTTCGAGCCTCCGGTCTGGGCAAGAATCGAATCCCTGCGGGAGATTTCGCGACCTTCAGAACCGTCGGAATCATCCACCTGGCATTGCCTCAGTCAGCTGAGTCCGTTCCATCGATCTAATTCGTTCGATAGAAATTTCTCTGGGCCGCCAATCCGAAATCATCGACCGATCCCTTCCAGACGACTATTCCTTTGTCTCCTGGAAGGCAGGTAGCAGATTTCCCTCCTCGACTGTCGCTCCGTTATCAAATTCCCGGGTGATCGACGTCGCGTGCCAGGGCCGTCGGAGAAAAACGCTTCCAGCGTTCCAAAAGCTCTGTTTTGCGAGCTCGGGTCGGGTTGCCGTTCTAATAGTGCTGGATGATTCTCATCTTCCATCGGCATCGTTTCAAATCGGCCTTCAGATATCAATTACTCGGCTATCGCGATTCCCTTCGCTCCGGGGACATTTCCCATCTCTGGAGTTTCAATCTCTTCCGAATCGATAAGCGAGAGTTGGGGAAACTCTCTCGAAAGTGATTAGTGCGAATGGGACGGGTGCCCTCTGAATGGCACAGTTCCGAATCGCTTTCCGTGGCCTTGCTGCAGATGCAAACGGAATCTCACTACAAGGCCAAGCGCTTCACTGTCTGACATTCTCCCGCTCTCGGTGCTTCTCTTCAGATGGAGATTCCAAGAGCCCCAGGCTTAAGGAGCTGAATGTTTTTCTGCTCGAGAGGTGTTTTGTCTGGAAGCTCAGGCCTATCAAACCTTTCTTGTTCCGCCTCTCTCGCTCAAATCTCCTCTGACGAATCCTTGCTCAGTCATAGGTCTCCCGGGCGAGTCCGGTTCTCCTGGAGAGTATTATCCTGCCTTTGAGCAACGATAAAGTCTGAAATGACGGCGGGAAAGAGCAGCTTCGTTCAACATTTTCGCCTCAATCGGGGATCTCATGCGAGCGGATCGAGCGGACCTTTAGAAGACTTCGTTTAATTCCCGGACGGAGGATAGCACGCTATGAATGAACAACAGTTCCCTCACTGAAGGCTTGATCTTTGCTATAACGGAGCGACGTGCAATGACCCGTTACCCAGGCCATGAATCACGCCGTACTCACCGAAACTCTGTTTTGCCGAAGCTCACGTCGTCTCTCGCTCCGCGACGAGTGAAGTCTGATCGATCGATCGATCCAGAGATCGATCCATCGACCGAGGGAGCGAAGGACGAGAGAAAGGCCGTCGTATATCAACACCAGCTTACTTCAAGGAACTCCAATCTGATAATATCACGAAGAACTCGAGAATGACCTCATGGTCGAGCTAGGCCTGACTTTCTGGAGCGTTCAATCGCTTCTAGATCCTTGCTCGGAGAGATCTCCCGGAGTAGAGCTGTCTTATGGCCGTCTTGTCCTGTTTTTGATTCTTTACTCAAGAAATTACGGAATACCTACGAGGCAGCGACACTCGCGGTGGATACTCTCCCACAGATTGCGTGGAAACGAAATCTCGAGGGGTCTTCGCATGGCTCCGTGTAGAATTTGCTCAAGGTTCACCACTCAACAACAGCGGATGTGTTTTGATTCGTTTCGCACAGAGATCCCGCGAGTGAGTCTGAACAATCAAGCCGATCGAGTACTTCGTCTCGTGTTTCCGGGGGGACCTTTGGAATTGCTTCGGAAAACATGCGTAATCTTTCGCACGGAGAGCACCATGTCAATAATGTCCTGCAGGGGATCGACAAAGCCCAGCGCGGCGCTCGAAACTCGGACACTGCGCTAAAGTGGAACAGGGACACCATATTGTTTTTGTTCGTCCCGATGGAAACGCAAACAGTACGCTGTCGCACAGGAATCGGCGAGCTCCGAATCGTTCTCCACAGTGCACTTCGTCCTCTATGAATTCTCGTGTGACCGAAGAGGCTGTCGGTGTTGATGATTGTTGAGACGCAACACAGGCGGCTCCAAATGCTCCAAACTTTCCCTCGGAGCTCACACTCCTGTTGAGTCTCGAAAGGGATGATTGTTTTGGAAGAAAAAGGTCAGGCTCTCTCAACTACGCCTCGATTCCCGCCTCACGAAATATTCGATCGGATTTCCGGAAAATACTTCTCTCCCCCCGGAACTGAGTGTTTAGATGCTCACCTATATGTCGGGCCTAGGGTCAAGCAGGCGCATTTCGAGCGTTACGTTCCCTCTCAATGAAATTTACTGAACCTTGTGGGTCTGGGGGTCCTAGGGGAAATCTCCACGCCCCTAGTCGTTGTCAAGCTCGCTGTGTCGGCGACAGCGCTGTGCTTGTCGGGCGGCATCGTGTTCCATCAGCCTCGACTACGACGCAAGATGCCTGGGACACCTGAGGCTGCGAGGTACAGCTGCGAGCCTACTGTTCGGAGAGTGGAATTGACCGCGACGGCAGCACGTCGGCTAACGATGTCACCTGAGGATTGACCCGAAGAATTTCACAAAACGCCGCGCTTTCCTGTCTTCTGAAGAATTTCGCTCGCTTATTCAGAATCTCAATAAAATTCTCTGGCATGAAGGAAGAGCTTCTGCCAGGGACGTCTTCCGCGACGGCGTTTGCTTGGTGGAAAGCGAGGAATCCTCGAGCACACGTTCCGCATGGGTCGCGCCGTCGCTCTTCGTTTCTCAAAGCCCGGATTCCGAAAATTCGGGTTGGGTCCGTGGTCGGCAAACAGGTCTGCAATCCCGATTGTCGGAATAAATACGATATTTCTCTCCAAGGGAAAACGAGAAGGAACGACTCGCAGCGTCGGACAGCTAACGAAAACGCCAGTACCTCGCGCAGATAAATCAAGCTCCCTCCAATGCGTTCGGCGGGTGGGGTTCCTCAATGGCGATGCATAAAATTCTGTCATGGGGACTAATAGGAGTATTCCAGTCGAGGCGGGCGGCTCCCTTTTTCTGGATGAGCATCATGACTGCAAGTGTCTCGTGAGTTTTCCCGACGACCTCCGAAGTCGGCGTCGTCGGTACAGGCTTGTTCACTGGGGAAAAAGATCAAGCGACCTTTGAACACATTCGGGCTGAGTAGAACTCTCGACGACAGGCCGCAAAGTTGGCTGCTGCTCTTGCTCGACTGCACGCCAAATCAAGCGACTCACAGTCTTGATTGCGAAGTAAATCCCCGCGTTCAGAGTTTTCTGTCTCCACGGAGGTAGTCGTTTTGACACCAGAGTGGTAGAAATCCTTTTTCGGCTTTCCTGCCGTAATGGCGGCTGGAAATGCACGAGCCCGCCTCCTGCTTGCGCGGCTAGCCTTCGACTTCTTCGCGAATCTTTCGACATTCGATCAATGGGAGTTACTTCCCCGGATATTCCAAGCATCGCGAGGAACTTTCTCGCTCGACTTCAATCCTTGTGTTTTTCATTTGACCGACGTCTGCTCCATCGATCCGTTTCGGTGACTCCGGAGCGACCGCTACGATATATGTACGTCGACTCGTAAGCATGGGAAGGCTCCTCAGCCCGAGGAATATATACATATTAGCGTAGCGGTGATCCGAATCGCTTGCTTTTGAGGGAATCTTCAATTTTTTATTCGTACCGAGTGTCCCAGAAGAAATTCCCTCTCGGCCGCTCCCCGACCCGAGAGAAAACGCGCCGAGACTACCTATATGTATTCCGACTACGTATTGACCGGTAGGGCAGAATGTTTCTGTTGACTCGATGGAGTTCGTTTGAGAAGAATTCTTCTCCGGATGCCGTCGTCTTATTGCGTTTCCGATGTTGGGCTTCAGAGCACGTAAAGAAAGGAATATTAAATAGTGGGGTCTCTTCTGAGAGCCCAGCTCGTCACGGGAATGGATGCAACTCGTTTATGCGAGGAACAAATGCAGACCGCATGATTCCCAAATCGCCCCGGCGAACAAACAAACAGGTAGCGTGTCATCGTTGGTTGGGTCCCGAGTTCGGTGCCACTCAGAAAAGAGTATATGTTCGCTTCCTCTTCCTTGACCTTTACCCGTACATACGTACCTGCGCTCAAACATACGAGCATGCATGCACAAACTCAGCGTGACCTGGAGAGCATGAGCCTTATCTCGGCAAGGCAGAGAGGCTACTCGCTTCCCACAAAACCCCCGCCCGCCGAGTAACAAAAGCCTATTTGTGCGGAAATCAAATTTGCAGAGCAAACGTTTCCCTGCTTCCGCAGCGCATGCACAGAATCGGAATAGGATTGCGAATGTGTTCATTTCGGATCGACTCCTCATGGGCCCTGTAGCCATAAGTGATTCAGGGTACAATGATGCCGCTCAAGTGAATAATCCATCTCGTTGAGATCAGCGGACCGGGGAATGGAGAATTCAAGCTCGAGGAGCGACCTAGTCGCTGAATTCAAACGCACGTCCGTTCGATATCAGCCTTTCGAACATGTTGAATTCCGAGAGAGCTCCTCGACGATTCAGTTCCGCGCAATCCTGCGAGCTAATCGGATGCAGAGCATGCGTGTTTGGTAATCACCACATGTGATGTACGAAGCCCAGTGAGGGGTCTCGGGGGGAGTTATTCCGATTACGATCACGGAAACACTCGGCAACGGATTCGAAATAAGACGCGGCGAAAAATTCTCGAACTCCTAATCGAAGTTACTGCTCAGCATCGAAAACTATAAACGTCCTATTTTTTCCTCCGCAGTGCTTTGCTGGCTCTTGGGGCTGTCCCGAGGGATACCTCCGGGGCGAACCTCGACGCCAGACGGAACTGGACCAAAATCATTCGACGTGGAGTCTTCCGATTTCTCAAGCATTCAACATTCCAGACTCGCCAACTGCTCAGATTTTCTACAGGTGGGTAGCGGAGCAGCGGGTAATTATTAACAGACAGCTACCGAGCGATTCAGGAACAGGGAAACAGTCTGATGTCCCAATAGCTGATACGGGCTCGGTGCTTGCGAAATTCGATCACGGGATGTAGACAAGCCCCAGATGACGGGCTTTGTACCGACAAATAATTCAGAGCTGAGCGATTCTGGCTCAAAGATCCGATCGGCGTTAGCTCCGGAGGCTTTTGGTCAGACCGACCAAGCTCCGAAGTTTGATCGACTCGGAGGCAGGGGGTGTCCGTAATGCATTCGACACACGTCTTGCTCCCGGACGAGACGTGATCCTTTTCAGATGAATTCACGAGGAAGGCTAGAGATATGCTCTGGTGTCCTGTGTTCGTTTCTCCCTTGGCATCGTCGGAGCAGAGTCTCTCTGAAGTTCCGAAGTTTTTGACCGTGATCCGCTTAGCGAGATAAAACTAGATTTTTTCTTGTCTGAATGAGCTAACTCGTTCGATATCGATGCTCGTGACCGCGTCGAGGTGAACGAAATGCGACTCGCATACTTCGCGAGGCGCCTAACTCTGTGTGTTCATTTTGTAGATTATACGGGGGCAACAGTTCCCCCTCAAAGTTGTCCGTTCGACCCAACAGCGGGTATCTCTCAGCCATGCGTTCCTCGATACCCAGTTGGGCATTCTGCCGGGCGCCACTTACACAGGTGAGCGAAAGACTGTTGGATTGCATTAGGAGCTTGATCTTCCAAGTTCGAAAAGCACTGCCCTTTCTAATCGCGATTTCGACTCGATTCCTCCAGTGAACCTTCCCAACTTGCCGATAGAAAGGTCATCGACACCAAGCGACGAAGCGAGATATATTTTCATCGAAGGAGAATCACCCAAAGACAACTTCAGCCATTTGCCTGCAAAAGTGAGTACCAGGGGTATTCATCAATTTTCCGCAGGTCGGGCGGGGGATTGAACCTCGGATGATGTTATCAACATCCGCAACGATCGCGGACTCGCAGCTGAACATCGAACTTCCTAGAGAGACGTCTGATTTTTTGCGATCCCCCTGCCCCTCCTCTCCCCCATCGGATTTCGTTCTACGCGGACAGTCACGACGTTTTCGTCGGCTGTCGCGAATGCTCCGGAGGCTCCGGGAGGAAACTGGCGGCCTTTTCTTCAGGGCGTTGAGTTGACGATCCAACAGCTCCGGAAGGGGTCTTTGTGTTACGTCCCGGAACGACTGACTGAGTCTCAGTTGGTTCATGGCCCGTCGCCGTGGAGCAGACCGCTCTATGGCCGAATCAAGTCTTTTATTTCTCGAATGATAATTTATTCATATATCGGATATAGGCGCCAAGATAGTGGGCCGTCGATCCTCGGCAGCATACAGAACTCGGCAATGAAGTTGCCCTGAAAAACTCTCTCGTAGACGAAGCGCGACCCGACTCAGAGAGTTTTGCGATCCGTCGGAGATTATTGTTCATGAACTGAGACGTTCCCCGATTGAATAGTCTCGTTGCTCGCTTGATGATCCCCCGATTCGTGAATATGAGCTCGCAGATCCCGCGTTTCTCTTTGAAGATGGAGGCCCGTCGCCCGCATGAAAGAAGTATCGCGCTTCATAAAATGCCCCAGTATAACGCAATGTGTTTTCTAGGTGACAAGACAATGTGGAGGACAAGGTGGTTATGTGATGGTTCTTCATGGCGGTGAGAAGCCTCACAACAACAATAACGACCTGAACGACGGACGTCTTACCGCTCATTGGACTCCTTATGTCGAATCCGACCGAGACAAACGGAGAGCAGAATCCATTATTCTTACGTAAGTTTCCTTGAGCTCTCTCAGCAACAACTTGATCTACCTCCAGAGTCTTCGGGCTATCGAGTCGATGATCGTTGGGCTTCCGTTCTGCGAGGTTACGTTCGAGTACTGGAAGCGTTCTCTTCAGTACCGCTCCGACCTGCGATCGACTTGCGGCGTCGGGATGCCAGTGACCTCTGTGTGATTGCCCCGAGGACGAAAGTCGGAATAGAATTATCCCATCAGAGAGTCTCCAACAGAGGGCATAGTTGCACTGCATGTGATTAATTCCCCGAGATCTCACCCATGCCTCTGTCCCGATCGGGGGAACAATCGGAGACATCATTCGTGAAGCGGACGAGCAGAGGAGGAATGATGGATTCATTATCACTCGCGATGCGTCTTTCCATCTGGGAAACTGCAGTATACTTCCGGAAGTGTTGCAGCGTTAAAGGGAGCAGGTCCTCGAGTGCGAGCCTCGGAAGTTTCGAGGGGAGCTCTCGCCTACGAAAGTGCCGGAGGAAAGTTTTCTCCGCGCTTAGCTGTTGCTCCTTGAATCCTTCGGGGGAAATACGGCGGCGCTGGCAGGATTCCCTGAGCGGGACTCTGCGGCCGCATTGCTCGGTCACTTCGGAATCGGAGGTGCGCGCTCTGAAGTCGGGAGCGCCACGAGGGAGGTCGGAAACGAGAATGAATTGAAGCGGAGACGTCGCAGTGAAGAGAGAGGAGTGGGAGCAGTGCAGGAGAGCGACGACGACGACGAGGAAGCCCGAGTGAGCGAATATTCGAAGGTTGAGAGCGTGTTCTGTTCCTGAAAATGCGACGGAATCCAGATATGAGGCTGCGAGCGTACCACAATCCTCGGCGAGGCTCGGCCGGTGTACGGGAATGAGCTGTGCCTGCTATCGATGGCGCCGGAGGGAGAGACGGGCCGTCATCTCTCTTGAAGCTTCGGGACTACATTGAGAGCGATCTGAAGAGTCCGTTCCATTCTCCAGCTCACTGACAACTTGCTCTTTTCCTCCGAGAATTTTTTCGGGACAGCTTTCGGAATTCCGCAGAGCTGTTGCCGTGACGGCGTTCGCTGCTCCCTTCGAGGGTCGAGACAGGGCGCGTAACGCATTTCCGGAATATTTGGATCGCTCGGAAATGCAGGACGGCCACGGACGCCACAAGGACTTCAAGGGCACTTTTCATGTGGGAATGAGCTCCCCGTTCACCCGCTCAGTGAGTCATCGGTCAGAGTGTGTTCATGCCGTCGCGGCTGGTACTCAACAAACTACGCGCGTCGCCGAGCTCCAGAAAGGAATCGTTTGCATAAGCTCTCGCCGAAACTGCCCGATCGAAGCGCACACAGTATCTGACCACGATGCGTCAACGACATAAGAATCCTTGCGTTCGCGGTCGTTAAATTCAACGCCGATCCCTGCTTGAGTATCGGCGCTCGGAGCCATGGAAATGTCTCGTTAAATATCTTGCTCGAGGCGAGAGCACCTCCGGGAGAGTTCTCCCGAACAGCGAGGACGACCATGTCAAACAAGACCTCGCCCGACACCGACCACACAGGCTCGCAGCGAGTGACCACAGCTGCTGAATATGACCCTGGAGACGATCCCGATGGATTCTCACTGTGCGGTTTTGTTCCGATGGACTCCGGTAGGCCGAGCGCCGCGCCGTTGTCCGAAGGAAAGGCCCGCGGAGAACATCGGCGCGCCAGGAATCCGACAGGGAAACACCGTGGGACGAGGCGACGGGGGACGTATCGGACGTTGCATCGATATAATTGGAAAACCTTTCTGTTCCGGCGCAATCGATCGTGGAGAAGGTACAAATCGTTGAAAGTTCCTGTCTTCGTTCCATAGTGAATGATTCGGGTGACGAAGGTCATGTTGGATGCGTCGCGCTCCATCGAATGGCTACCCTCCTCCAACGATAGCGAAATGGAAATGAAGATGTCATTTTCAACCCGTTAGACGGTCATTCGTTGCATCGGGAACCGAGCACTGTCCTTGAATCTGTCCGATCGGTCAGTTTCCGTCCCCAGAGGACCGAAGAATAGAAGAGCTCCGATACGGCCTTACGTGAGCATATTTAGAAGTCTCCGCACTTCGCGGTACACTTAGCAGAAACATATCCGAGGGCCGGAAGTAACGACAAAAGCTCCAACGTCCGACATCGAGATCGATATCTCCCGCTTGGAGTCAGAGCTCGATTCGACTTCGAATTTCTTCGCAAATCAGGAATCCATCCTTCCACCCGTTTTTCGCCAGAACGTGGTGAAAACAGGACCCCGCTCCATTTACATGTACCTGTTGAACTTCTCGCATTCCATAGAAATCGACATGGTTTGAATTCAGTCGATTTTGTCAGCAGAAATCTGCTGCAAACGCTTGTGACACTCCCCCACGACGACGAAAACGCTGAAACTCGCTGTCTCTCCTCATCCCGCGCGGGAAGCCCCGAAGAGAGCATCCGTCGGATTTTCGCACAAGAGTTCTCCAACTCGATATCCTGTGAATCAGATTTCCTGGGACAGCTGACAATCAGTTTGAATATTTGCCCGGGTGAAAGTGAAGCCCATTCTCGAGTCGGCGCCGATCTCAATATGCGGCGCCGACGTCGAGACAGCCGATCTCGCCCGATAGCATTTTGACAGCCGTCAAGTTACCCGCCTACATACGTAAAGTACACTTCCATCGAAGCTGCCGCAAATCTACGACAAGGACGACTCGAGCCTCCATTCGGACAACATCGACTTGGGAGAATGAGACCCATAATTGAAGCCTTGAGTATCCACCGCTCATGAGTGTTGCAATCGCTCCAGCGGCCCAAGGGCAGGGAACTCTTGTCTCGATTCATTCCACGCTCCAGCAAATCAGCATTCATTACCAGCTGTAGTTTTAATCGAACAAAGTGTCTCCGATCGTACGTGCTCCATCTGTTGATAGGAGACGTCTCCTGGAAAACAGGATGAAGACCTCAGCTTCGCTGCGAGCGGGCGTGATCTCACTGTCGAGCCCTTCGCGATCGAGCAATCACAGAGATGTCTCCCAGTCTCACGGCCCCAGGAGCAGCTCCGGAAATGTAGCACTCGGATTTTGAGGACCCTCCCCGGAGCGGGACAGCGGGAATCGATTCCTTCGCAAAAACGTGGCCAGTCGGAGCCGGACGGAGCTCGAAAGAATTCCAGCTCCGGATCAAGCGACTCAAACTCGATCAAAGTTCGTTCGCAGAATTCGGTTCGATGTTGGGCGCTGCTGCCATCATCGATCCCTGTCTCGCTAGTTTCACAGGCGAGCTGGATTCTGAGGCGTGCTTGTTCGCTCGGCAGGAATATTGAGAGACACTGCGTTACGAGCTCTTCGATAGATCTAGAGTTGAGACGCATTAGCTATGGGAGGAGGTGGTCGTCGATCGATTCCAGATGGAACTCCTGCAAGAAACAGCATCGAATTTTCGTCCAGCAACACTGTTTCTAATGAACAATCCGTTCGGATTCGTGGGCTCGAGAGCTATTGGAAACATGCGGATGTGCTGGCCGACAAAAGTCCGAATTTGTCACTGTTCGGGCAAAAAATATTTTCGAGAGTATTGATAGGGTTTTCCGATCTATTACGTCTTCTCTCCGAGCCTGATATTGAACTGCATAAGGTTCCGGGAGCCCGAGAGTTGGATGATGGATGAGGAATTTCCGCGAAACGGAGATGCGCACGCGTCTTATCTGAGCCGCGATGTGAGACTCCAGGTTTTTCCATGTCTACCTCACCGATCATGCGGGAAACGGGTAGGCTTCGAGTAGCTGCCTACTCTCCGAAAGGGCCAGCGAACCAGGCGGGTAAGCGGGCAAGCAAGCAAGCAAGCAGTCGAGTAGCTGTCTTGCCAAACTGCTCGGCGCAGAGGTAGGGAGCCCCGTGAAGAATCGGACACGCGGGCAGACAGGCAGCCGGCCGGCTCACTCGCCAACGGCTGGACGGACAGCCGGCCGGACAGCCAGACTAGGGTGCAGCTGAGGTCGGCGCGGCGTGCTGACTTACCACTCACCTGGATTACTGTATGACAGGTGTAAACACCGGCGCCCTCTACTTAGTCCTAAGCAAGGCCCAAAATAACAGCGATTAGCCCACTAAGAGCCAATGTCTCGCTCCTTTACAGAGTTGTCTACTCGCTCAATTGGAACACATTAGCAGCGGAAGAGCTCAGCATTCGAGTTAGATCAGGTAAATGAGTCCCACAGCCCGCTCCTGGAGAGGCCTTCCTGGGCTTGAATGTGTGTCCCCCGACTCTAAATGATTCAGCGTGCTTACATCCGACACATCCGCACCAATCCCGCGCAGAAGTCTCGAAATTCAAACTTGAGGATTTAGTTGAATCAACGAAGTCATAGGAAGACAGGCAGGGGAATGCTCGTAGCTAGCTTGAACACGGATGGGGTGCTCGGAGCGGGGACGGGAAGGTTTATAAGACGCACTTTCTATTTCGCGCACGCGGAGGAGAAAAAAAACCGACGGGGAAGCTCTCCGCTCGTGATTTTGGAGGGCTGCCAATGCGACATGGTTCAGACTTATTCTGCTTCATCTTTTACATTTCCTCGGTGGGCCAGGCTCCGCTGAAGAAGAGCAATTCAATCAACTAGAAGCAGCCTGCGAAGTGGCTGGACTTGCAACTTCAATCGGGGACGAGGGGGGGGAGCGGACCACATATGCACACAGATAAAGCATACATGAATACATTCACATATGCAGACATATGGTAAGAAGGTAGACTAGGCATAGCGGTAGCCCACTCCGGGATCATTCGTTCATGCCTCTCGTTCCCTACTTCCTCGGTCCACCTCATTCTTATCGGGTCCTTAGTCCTCTCTGCGCCTCATTTTTCTCTTGCCCTTCTCCCTCTGTGCGGCTCGATCCTCCTCTACTCATAGACATTCCATGGCCATGCGTCTAATCGCTCTCTGATTCTCATCCTCCTTTTATTCCCTCTCCCTCATACCCATCCCTGCATTTGATTCCTCTCCTACCCTCGGGTATCTGTGGACCTTATTCTTATCCGACTCTCGTTCAGGCCGTTTATTCCTCTCGGCCTACTTCCTCCTCCCTCTAGTCCTTCTTCGGGCCTCATTCCTATCTTGCTCCTATTCCTGCGGGCACCTTGTCCGCCTCCAAGATTCCTACATCTCCACCGAGCAATTTCGATGCTTCATCAATGCCCCTCCCTTATTTCTCTCTGCTTATTTTCCACTTCCCTTCTGAACCGCGGAACATGCTTGCGTCTTCTCCCCCCCCCGTTCCAGTACATCGTAGAGTCTCCTTAGAATCGGAGCCGATACTTTGAATCATGAGCGAGATATGGAACGGGGCGCCTCCTCAGAGAGAGCCGGAAGCCCATGGTGAGCATTGTTGCGACAAACCGTCAACGCTCCGGGAAACTGTCTCGTGAGCTCCGCCGTGATGAGATTTCGCTGTGTCCCTGCGCTTTCCCCTCATTCGGCCCTTGATGACCCTCCCCTCTCAGTCTCCCTCACCTCCCATACCTCTGTACCCCTCGTTCCTCTGCGTCTTTCATCCCCCTTCATACCTCGCTCTCCCCTTGTCCCAACCTTCCCTGCGACCAACTTTGACTGCGCCTGATTTTTCTGTTCCCCTTCAAGGACTCTGCGCGTCGTCTTCCTAACCGGATCTTTCCCGTTTCCACCTCATATTCACATCTCCCTCTCATTACTGAGTGCCACTCGGTACTCCATACGCCTAGTTCCTCTGTCCTGCTTATTCCTTCCGAATGAGGCGAATTCCTCTCGGCGCCATTTTACAATCTGCCCCTTATTCCTCTCTCATTCTCACCTGTATTCGATCGCTCCTAGCGTCTTAATCTTGCCAGACTCTTCATCGCCACGCTCCTCCCCTCAATATGAGCCCCGGAGTTCAGAATTCAATTCTTCTCTATATCATGCTTTTTTCGCACCGTGTGCGATATTTCTCTGCGCATATCATTCGACCGACCCCAAGGCTCCCCTGCATTCGATGTCCCGTGCTTCCACCGCCCTTTATCCATCTTCATTGACGATATTTCCGCGTGGTCCTTCTCCACGCAGTGTTCGGCGCGAACGTCTGACCTTGTTTGGATTTTATTCCAGGATGCCACCGACTTTTGGAATCGACCTATGCAGAACTAGCGAATTTGAATATGTTTGATTCTTGTGACGAGAATGACGTCCAACTAGTGTTTCAAGCCCCGCCTGGACATCGCCCCATCATTCAGGTGAGGTTTCCCGACTGCCCAACATTGGATTCGTCCAATCGTGAAGATCACTGATCGTCCTGTGCGCGCGTCCCCTCCATGTGGTCGAAGCCGATTGTCGCTCGGCGAGATAGATCGGGGCAGGATGCGATTGGAGCTCCACAGGCGTCCCAATTTCTACAAAATAGGAAAGCACTTATCCCCGGCATAGAAACAGAAACTACTACCGAGAGGCTCAACTGTCTCCTGGTTCACAACAGCGCCAGCCCCGCCTAGCGACTTGTCCTCCGGGCTTCGATCACCCACGGCCTAAGAGGAATTATTATTTGTCCTAGCATTCGCCCGACGAGGATCGGAGCGTTGCAAGTCGCCTCGGAGATCACCCCTTGCTCTACGAGAGGAGCGGGGTGCCGGGACAAGGTCGTCGGAGCCGATGCAGATCTTCAGATGGGGGACAAAAACGGTGCAGCTTCTCCTCTATCTTTTGGCGTCGTGCGTCGTGACCCGAAGTCTGCCGGAGTCGTGTCTTCCGGGACTCTCTGTGCTCTCGATATATCTCCTATCTGATGCGGCTTGCCAATACCGAATGGTCGACACCTTCACACAAACAGAAATCATTTCCAATGGCGGGGTTCAAGGGCAGCAGAAAAGCGTCAACAGATCCTGCACGCCGCGGAGATTAAGGGGTCAAGCTGACCAGAAGCTAGCCTAAAGGATCACAAGCTCCTCGCTCAAAGACTCGTCTGACAAGCGGAGAAGGCCAGCTGCGTGAGCGAGCGAGTCAATTCTATGAGGTACAAGCCGAACGTCCGGTTTGCGAGCAGTTCCTTCTATTTGTCTGCCCTTCCGGTCGCTTGTTCGCGCATCAATGAGTACGGAAAAATGCCGCGGGTCAGTCTAATAGGCTCTGTGATTGCAACGGTCGTCGACTTGTTTGCTATGCCGACAATGCCGACAGAGATTGCTCGGCAGATTCCCCCGTTGGCAAAGAACTCGAGCTGCGTGCGTGTCAGCAGATGCGTTTGTGTTCGTAATAGAGAGTCTCGGCTTCCATTCGGTCGAAAAGGGGCACGCTGGATATCTCTCTCATTTTTACTGCTGAACCTGGCGGAATTCGTCTCGCCGATCAAACTCCGTCCCGAAAGGCTGAGGGAGTGTTTCCCGAACTCGTGTTTCCCTGCCCGTCTCTTCCCGACCACGTCGTCCCGTGACCCATCGGGCATCCTGGGATATAGCCGGGAAGCTTCGATTGAACCGCGATCATCAATCGAGAGGAGGACGAGTCACTTGGCGCACACTGCACCGGTACAAAGTCTCGGCCTGAGAGTTTAGCCCCGACTGAATGAAACTCACGCTTTGATCCGGGGCGAGGACCGGCGGATGAGTTCCCACCCCTTCTTCCCCATATCCTGACCGACCGTCAGAGGATTATGGATTGTGACAGATTCGCTACCGACACCACCTCCCACAATTTATACATGCGGCGCGGCGGTGGAGACTTCGATGCAGGTTTTGGATACTCACGCGTAATTCAGCCGTAAGCGCAAAATCGTGTCCTCCGCCAGCCGGTAGATGAGTGCTATCCTTCGGCGCAACCGCGCCCGAGAACATCCAGAGGAAATTCTGTCGAAGATCACCGTCCGACTTGTTCGACATTCCGCCGACTCCGGTGCCTCAGGAGAGTGATCTCTACAAGAGTCGTGGCGCTGGCTCGTTCTTCGGATCCGTTGATTAATTATTATCAGTCATAGTGATCCGGGAAACGTACGATAGCTCTCGGGAAGCTGGAACCCGATGCCAAGCAGGCTGCCCGAATGAGTCTGCCCGCTCCAGATCTGAGATTCAGAGTACTCTGAATACGTAATGTTCGGGACTTACGGAAGGTTGCCACACGGAGAAATCTACTTATTAGGTGGATGGAATGAAAGGTGTGCCACTTGCTCTGCCGTACAGGGAACCCGCCATGCCTCTGTGAAACGTTCGGCGAACGTCTCGATTGAGTTTAAAATACGCCGGCGCTCTACGAACGAGGCTGTCTCTTCGTGAAGGGCTCATCAATAAGCAATCAATGCTGTCGTGACGATGACCTGTACATGTTGGCGACGGCGACAAAGGCAGAATCGCTATGCTCCGAAAGTATTCCTCCGGACATTGGCCTCATGTCGTTGGGGCCTGATCTCTCAGGAGAACACTGAGCATCGAGAATCAAGGCCCGGATCCTTATTCCTGGGGAACCTCTCTCCGTCGAATCATGACGGGGAGAAGCTGCCCCCTCCCCCCGGAGATTCGTGGCTCTGAGGGGATTACATCGATTGGATCGATCCACCCTCAGCAAGGGAATTTTCTTCGAAAAGGTCACTGAGTGGGATGTCCCCGCGATTTCGTTCTGCCATGTTGAGATGATTAGGCGAGATAATTAAGGAGGACTTTTGTCCTCTTGATTTGCGAGCATCCCTGATTGATTGAATATATAATAATCAATAATGAATAATCAATCTTCGATGTCTCATTTCCACGGGAAGCCTCCGTAGGATCGATTGCTGTGAGAAATAGGGAGCTCGTGCTCCCTCGTTCTTGATAGGTAGTTTAAGCCTATAATTGCCGGGCGTGACCGCGAGGCACGCGTCTACTGCTACCGAGTCGAGTCTGGCCCTTTTCACTGAGGATCTAGGACGCGAAGTCGACCAACTTTTTCCCGGTGTGAACATCCGTCGACTAGCGAGGATCCGTTCGCGTTCCGCCAACGAATCTTGTAGAACCCGAGCTCTCTTGTATCCCGACCAGGGAGTCATCCGACCAAGACGGAAGCTTTCCGAGCGGCGAACGTTCCCCCGCTGATTTTTACACTTGGGTGAAAAATTACTCCGCGTTTCGTTCGCCGGCTATCAGGGGGAGAACACTTAGCGAGCTCTGGAATTTATTCGGCGAGGAGGCAGACGAGCAAGGTCTCGGGCAAGCCGCACTTTCTAAACACCGAGAACTGACCGAGGACCAACCGGAGTATAGGGTACCAATGAAACTCCAACGAGTCTCGGGGAAAGGAGAGCTCATGCTCAAATCCGACAAGAGCCTCTCGTGGAACTATTCGAACCTCCCTCAGAATGATCATGACTGGGGAGGGGCAGCAAGAAACGGAATTTCCGGGCGTTTTCCGAAAACTTGCGGCGCGAGTCGTGGAGAACGATACGAGGGAGCGTAAGCATGTCCGATGCAGCGTTCCAAACTTTAGAAGTCAGAAATATCGGTTGTCACGGTCTGCAACCGCTCATAATTCCCGGGAGCAGTTTGCGGCAAACGGAGTGCCGCCGAAGTCGTCCACGATCGCTCCTCAGACTCAGCCAGGAGCTAGATATTCGAATGATGGTCGCTGCCAGAGCTGAATTGATGATTTTTTTTCAGTTCACCTCCGTCGAGGTTCGCGGCAATGCGAAGATTACGACAAAGACCGATGCCGAAAGCTCCGTTGCTGTGCGGGTCATCAGTAGCGCGTCCCTCGTTCAACCATCGAGGAGATCGCCGGTAAGTGCTTGCTCCAAGAGAAGAGTGATAAATAGCATTCCATGGACGACCTCCATGAGAGACCTAAACGATGCTGCTGCTGCCGACGACGACGACGACATGAACCCACTCCGAAAGTCCACCGAGTAACGCGAGACCGGGCTGAGCGAGTCCTTTCTTCCCCTCATCTCCGGTGATTACTGATGTCTTCCACGTACTCACCACCTCACTCATATTCCGCATGGAATAGCAGAGCCGCTGTCCGCCGCAGCGGCTAGTCAGCGCATTCCAATCGAGTCTATCCTTATTGGTCAAGGATGTCGGTCGTATTTCGTAGGTCAAGGGGTCGGGATATACACGTATGGCTCGCGTGAAATGATGCACCCCGAATGGATGATTTTCTGTCACTCAGCACTCATGTGTGCCCCTCGTACAGTGTCCATCATTTGCCGAGGCATCCGCAGACACTTCTATCATCAGGGACCCGTATGGAACAAAGGATATATGCTCTCGCGAGCCCCCGTTTTCAGCACGCTCGACGAGAAATTGACTACCCTCCCCCTTTCTGGAGGTGTGCAACGAGGCCCATCTATTTGAAGATGATGCACCATTCCCAAGCTTGGCAGCTCTACGAGAAATAACTTCCGCCACACGGCAGAGAGTCTTGTCGAAACATCGCCGGGAGACCTCTGAGCTTCGTAGTAGTAGGTACCCGGCATCGATGATTTTCGCCGGAGTGAGGCGATTCTCCGGGTCGAATCTCCGTCGAAGCCGCGGTCAGTACGGGACTTTCTCACGTCTGAATATGACTGCGGAAACCCCCTGTGGAGGAATCGAACTCGTGTCTGAATGTCCCAGCCGAGTCAACCGGACCCGTGGCCCGCCCACCTCGAAGGATCGCGCGATTTAAAAGCTCTGCGAATGATCAGTCAGCGAGCGAGAGAAGCTCTGTCAGGAAGATGAAACGAACAATCAATTAGGAATGATTTCTCACGAGCAACCGGACGTTTGGCGCGACAGCATGACAAATGGGCGAGGTCTGGGTCAACATCTCACGATAGCGATCAGATCAGAAACAAGCGGAGACAGATGACTGAAGGAAGCTCAGAGCCTCCGAGAAGTCCCGCCCGCATGTCTCGCGTTGTAGGCGATGGGCATGATGGAATGGCAAGATTATTTTCCCTTTGCAGAGCATTCGACGAGCAAACAGTACAAATGTTGGAGGACTCAGATCTAATCCGGCTCCCTATGCATCATCGTTCGAAGCAACGAAATCATTTCTCGAATCGCCGACATCGTCGATATCGTCATACTCATCCTCATCACAGGCGATGGATAGTTTACGTTGGGTCTCGCTCGAGTTTCATGTTTGCAGACCTCTAGACGAAGAGGCGATTGCGGGGTGTGACTTCAACCTGGTAGCCTTCGCTCTCAAACCAGACGGTAAGCTCCTGCCTTCATGGGAGTTTGAGAGTTATATCCCTCTCCCATGCAGCAAACGTACATCGAGATCTCTGCCAGGACTTGCGGTTACATGTCTCCCGCAAGCTGAGCTGGATGATTGACTCGTAGGATCACTGGCAGCTCTCGGCTTAAAGTTCAGAATAGGGGAGAACCCATTAGATTCCCCGTATTCGAACGTTATGATTTATGATGAGTAACTGTGAGGGAACAAGGGATTTTCGAGCAGAGTTTCAATGTAATGAGAAGCAGAATATTTGCGGGCCCCGAAGGATATCCTCAATTCACCTCTGTAGCCTTAGTGAAGTCGTTTATGCTAAATTCCATCAAATTCTCATGCAGTCGGCTCATATCTCCATCATCGACCGTGCAGAACGTGTAAGGCACCGTGAAACTCGCTTTAGATGAGGCCAGAATACGATTCACTTCAGAGCTTCCAAGGCGTCCCCGTAGCGCTAGTCATCTCAAGACCTCCCTCAGGCGTCCCATTGTATAAAGCAGAAGGCGCTTCGTCTAATGATGTTCGCCCTCTGGAGTCTCTCGAAGGCTCTCCACTCCACTCCGATACAGCTTCGGCTTGACCGTTTAAATCATGTGATCCCCCTGCGGGAAATATATCAGCGTGTCGGCTCACTGCTAACGTCCCTCCTGCCGTCTCTACGGTTTCAGGTTGCAACGTCTCTTCCAGGGAGTCTGGGTCGTGGACGACTCCGTTTTTCTCGGAAAGGAGATATCCGCCAGGACTCAACTGCCATCTGACCATCACGGCGCCGCCGGTGAGTACTGCCCGAAACGGAAAACGGTTCCTCAGATTCTTCAGCATCGGAGATAATTCGAGAATATTCCTCCCGTAGGGTCAACGCGTGGTCCTCACTGTGCACAAGCTAGGAGTCGATGCAAACTGTAATGATAACTTACAAGTGTTCCCTCTCTCCGGAGTCGAGAGAAGTAGAACACTCTGCCGGATGGACGAGGTCATGCATTCCGACGTGATGGTTTCGCTAGCCGAAGAGCTCAACATACATTTTAGAAGCGACCTCGATCACTTCAGCGGAGGTGAAGGTGAGTCAAGGTCGCCTTACTGTGTGTTCTCGTCTGAAGCACGATTCCAGATGCTCACTTGTGCGCGCGAGCATTCCACCCGGCTCAAGTGCCGCCGCCACCGGCCTCGAGCATCAGGTGCGCTGTGAACAACGAGCTCGACATCGCCTTCCCGGGACGGTGAACGCGAATCTCGCAGAGTGTGTTTCTCAAGTCAGGAGGAGCTCGTTGTACGGCATGGAGGTCCGCAGAGACGGCTCAGAACGGAGGCAGATTGGGTAGTCGATATTTTCCCCAAGATTTCGATCAAACTTCGTTCGCTTCAATCTAGAGCAGCAGCTCTGGTCTCGCTTGCTCGCTAGACAAGTTTTCTGGCCATTATACTCAACGTACTCTGGAGAATAATTTATTGTTCAACGGAGCCTTATTCGGTCAACCGCCGGACTCGAGTTAGGTCAGAGGACTCTAATTGCTCCTTAATCGAGCCTCATGATGATAGCGATGGGAGACAAGGCGTGATACGGGCAAACAGAATGGAAAAAAGCTCATAGCGCCCGCCGGATTCCTGCCGTGAGCGTACACGCGCCGTTCCCTTGGATTGACTTTTGAGCACCGAGGAGCGGCAAAATTTCTGCTGTGGATACGAAGCCCTGGAGGCTCGCTGACGCCTCAATATTTTGAGAGTGTCAGAGCGATGATGATGATGACATTGGAAGATGAGACAAATATGTCTCCGGGCCTCGGTCGCCTGCAAGTTTCAAGATGTGCGTAGGCGGCCGGCTGCAGTGAGAACGTTTCGGCGGATCCGGCGTTGCCCGTAAGCTCCAATGGGCCATGTCTCCTACTACCGTCGACCTACGGAGTAATGGTACCCTTGTGGCACGTCTGGACCATCAGAGGAATTCCGAACTTCTTTTCTCGAATTCATATGAGGACAGGTAGGCTCCGAGGATGGGGGAAGTTTTCATGGTGTTTATTTCCTGTTGCGAGATCCGCTCGCCGGAAACGGTCCTCCGCTCGCTTAACGTTAAAGTACATCTCCGAAATTCACCCAAGCTCGCTTTTGCATTACCTCGCTCAGCTAGAGGAATCGAGAGGATCTCTCCGTCCCATGACGAGAAGCTTCCCGAACATTTCGATGCGGATGAGCGAGCTGACGGACGCGGTATAATTATTCTAAAAAATCCGGCCGACATCACAAACTTTTGATATTACCTCCCTCCTCTGAGAGCCCTTTCGACTTTTTTATATGTGGCTACTACTCCACGAGCACGGCAGGCTTGAGCTCCTGGCCGAGGCTTTCGGAATCGGGAATGAATGAATCGAGGCTCCCACTTTTGCGACTCCGAGAGTTTGCGAAAGCGCGAGGGAACGTCTTTTTCGAGGCGGACATGCTTGTAATGGTATCATACTCGCTGTTGCCGCCCCACTCGACCCACCGACTCGGTGGTCCGAGGGGATGCTTTCGGTATGGTTCAATAGGCCCACACACACATAGGAGCGTCACAGAGTTGTAGTCGTGGGCTAACCGATGAGAATATCGATTGATCCACCGGCTACGGCCAGCCGTTCGTGCTAGCGGCGGCGTCGGGAAGGTCGGATCCGTAATCGACTCTTCGTTCCTTTTTGCGATTGCTCGACTGGTACTGGGAAGCTATCGGCCGAGCAACAGTTGCCGCTCGTCCCGCCACGATCCCGGTGGATCGCTATCGAATACTTTTTTCCTCCTGCTCCGTCATCCATCCGAGATGCGAGTTTGGGAAGCGGCGTCATATCGGAGTCTAACTTGATACTCTCGAGTTTTTCTGACTGGGTAATGTCCTGACGTTCGGGGCCTAGAATTCATTACCCGCCAGGAAAGAACATCGGCCCACGAGGGGGCGGTCTCATCAAAATCGAAGGCACCTCGCTTTCTCAGCCGACTATCGAGTTCGCTGTCTCCTCTCGCTCGTATCGACTGGCTTGGGGTGAGCGAACGTTTGTGACCTAATTTCAGCTGTGCGACTTGAGGTAGCAGGCCGGCCGGCGACCTGCTCCGCTCGGTTGCTTCGGGATGCCCACGACTTTGTCGCTTCATGACTGTAGTGCGGCGGCTGTCGTCAGACGAGTGACTTCCATCAAAGAGGAGGCTTCCTTGTCTGGCGTTGTGCCAACCACCAACGCAAAGCACGGTCTTCGATCTCTCGGGTGGCTACTGGCAAGCGCCACCATGACGAAACAATTAGTCAGTTGCACAATGATTGACCGGCGAGGACGAACTAATGCATGCGGTGAGATATCATCGAGGGAACAAGCGACCAATCTCGCGGCAATGCCGTATCAGTCTGGACCGAAATCGTCCGGGAACGGCGTCCAGAAAGAAGCCATGCTCGTGGCGCTACCGATTCGCTTGCATTTGGCCGCAAGAATGCGGAAAGATCGAGAATCGGGGCTTCCCGGGCTCTCCATACCCCCCTTCCCCCGGGTCCGGACTCGGGACAGGACGTAATGCTCGGACATGCTCTGAGTGAGACTAACAAAAAGATAGTCAGGTGCCTCCGACGATTTTGGACTATCATTGCTGTCATCGTTGCTGTCTTTCGCGGTTCCAGGAGTTTCGTTATCGTGGGAGATCCTTTCGCTCTGTGCGAACCGGAGCTTTACCGAGTCATCAGGACAATTCTGCTTCAACTCCTCTGACCTGCGCGTTCCTGTAGCTCTGGAGGTGGACTGCGTTTTCACCATTTATGCGCCGCTCGGCTTCAGGGTGAGTCTTCCAACGTTTCCAGCATCATTGTTCTCCGACGAATTCAATCCGGGGAGCTCGCGGCCGCAGAGCACTCCCGGAAAGATCCCACTTGCATGCCTCATTATCTCGAAGAATCCCATCTGACGGCCCGGCTCGCATTTATGAGGCGTCTGAACGTCGCCGAACGAAGGGGTGGGGATCCGCGAATCCGAGTAACCGTGGCTCCTTCCAGGTGCACCTGAATTTGACTGAGCTGTTCATAATCGATGCCACTCAAGCGGAGAGACAGAACGCGTCTGAGAATTGCGGCAGGAATTTCGTTGAAGTCGACGATGGTGATGGTGAGTTTGTATTTAATAAATGAGTTCCTTGCCAGCCGCGCTGGGCCGGTGGGAAAGATGTCGAATTGTATCACGTACCAGCGAACAAACCTACGACGCGCTTGGGACTCGCTGTCTCGATAAGGTGGATGCTCGATCCGAGTGGGTAATCCTTTGTTCGTCAGCGGCTGCTCCAAACGCAGGTTTTAATCTAAAAGTGCGCAGTCGAATCCGCCGCTGTAGGCTGCACGAACAAAAGCTCTTCGCGAGCCGGGAGCTCAGATTCAGTCTCTTGTTCTGTGAGCTCAATTCCTGAACTTGCGGTAGACTGATTCGAATAAAGGGCTCGAAGGGCAAACCTCAGAGAATGGGAGCAGATGCGGCGACAGCTGCCTCCCAACTATTTGTCGGATTTGTCGGAACTAGCATCAAATCTCAACGAGAGGACAAGGGTAATGCGGTTAAGTGATTGGGTATTTTCAGACGGGCGAACTCGACGATGTGGATCCTGGGATGCGGCCCTGTTGAACTCCCCAGGTCGCGGCTCCTTTGAATCCGCGGACAACGTTTTGAAGCTGCGAGTGAAAGGCGAAGCGAGCCCACAGAAGAGGGTTTCATTGTGTGCTAAGTGAGTTGGAAGTCAGAAAAGTCCTCTCCAGTTTTCTGAAGTTTCAGCTATGGAGCGGCGTCCGAGTGCGAGATGTCGAGTTTCTGAAAGTTTTTTCTTCTCCCCTTTATGACAGTTTTGAACGGAGGGTATCCGACCCCAAGTACCTGCGATGTGACCCCAGCGAGGGGGACAGTACAAACTCCACCGAGCTTTTTTGGGTTTCCAGGGGAAATCAGTGTTACAGGTGAGGCCTAGTCTAAGCGAACTCAGTCAGTCCCGGAAGGAACCTTAGTCAAACGCTCGCATTGTAGTATCCATGCTCAAGATTCTACTGTCAGCTTTTGAGGAGGGATGTGAATCGACTTATGAGATCCGAAGAAGTTCCTTCGGGATGATGATGCTCAGTCATCTTTGTCCAAGCTCAGCGGAATATAAAATTCTCCCCTACGTGATCGTGATCAGGGTCATGAAATTGTGGGCTGTTCAAATCTCTTTTTCCGTCTCGGATCATGTGCCGACATCGAGACATTCCCTCGTCGTAGGATAATTCGAGGTCATTCGATGCGCGGGCTCCAGCAGACTAATGAAGACGAGCGCAGTCAAAAGTGAAATATCCTCTTTCCGCCTCATACCCCTTCGCCTCTTTCTCTTCGCCCCGCACGGTTTGACGAGCGTGGTATCGGCTGCCAATGACCGCCCCGGAGACGTGTCAGTCAGTCCGAATCGGAGGGGAAATAATCCGGATAGAGAGATTATTATTGATCGGACTTCCCCCTTCGGCGCCGATCCCAACCTTCAACCTTTACTCCAATTTCTCGCACGACGAGTTTTCTCTATATCTATCGGGATCGAGCTCGCGAGCCGCTCGGGACAGTGGTCAGGCTAGCGATGATTGCGGCTAAGCGTCACAAAGTTTGTGAAGCGATGAGAATCGGCGAGTATAATGATTTCGGTCAGGAACATTCATAATCTTTCCAGGGTTTTCGACCGAGCTTTGACGTGGAGGGCTGCTAACGAGCTATGTCTACGGCAGGGCGGATCGTTAGCGATCGTGGATTCAAAAGAAACTCAAGCCCTGCTGGACAGGCTCCTACACTCGAGGTGAGACTCAGAATTATTCCCTCGAAAAGTTCTCGACACTGATTGTGACGCCGCACCTGATGCCCCGGACCAACGCAATCCGGTGGAACCTTCCCTGAGATTCCCGCCACGAATTAGAGTTCCTCTGGAGTTACCCCATAGAAAACCTCCGGCTTCCTCCTCATTCTTCGATCGAGTCAATTTTCATCTACCGAATACTGCTGGATCCCATCCGTGATGGAACAGGCAACGGTCAAGCCTTCCGCGGAGTATTCAAATATTCAAACAAGCTCCTCTTCTGAGTCGAATACAAGAGGCATAGAGCTTCTATGAATGAAGCCTTCTCTAGCATAAAGTATTCCCTTGGAATACGCTGTTCCTGATAAATTGACAGAAAGCTCTGTAGAGAAAGCTTGCGCCGTCACCTCCCCGCCGCGCTGTGAGCATGGTCTCCGAGCGAGATCTCTAGCTGCCGGACTTCCAATTAGGAGGAAGATTCCGATTTCGCGGCATTCCGTCGATATCCGATCCGAAAAGCGCTACTTTCCAGTCCACTCTATCCCGACCAGCGGAGTTTCTGGATCGGAGCGACAGACATCCGTTACGAGAGCTGTTTTGAATGGCCGGACGAGTCTTCTGTACAATATACAAGTAAGTGGCCCCGTGAAATGACTTCTTATCTGGAACATCCAGTCGTGTTCTCTCATCCACGGAAGAATGGAGAACCGCGGCCAGCGATGGCTTGAACTCCAGGAAGCGCCGCAAAAAACGGATTCTTGACAGCAACGGCGGCGGCGACAATCACTGACGACTTTACCATGCCCTTGAATTCTTCTGCGACCATATACGTATGCTATGTTCGCTACCGAGAAACCTGGGCCGAAGATAGGCTCGAGCAATCCTTCCCGAAAGCTTTCCCGTATAATATCGTAATGCAATTATGATCGTCTTCTGCGTCATTCTCGCGACGAATAATTGAAGCAGTAGCTAGTTCCCTGCTCCGACCGGATAAAGTGACCGCCGTCCAATCTCTGTCTACCTTCCTATCCCTGTAGGCGTCTCCAAGGAAATGTTCTTGCGCTCTTCTCTTTTTCGGACAGATGGTCGAGTTCTCGTCGTATATTTTCTTGTCCGCAGAAACAGGATTCGAGCATTCGCCGCTAGCGCTCGGTCTGGCCAAACCATCAAATGATCGCAATAGAGAAAATAAGCCTCTGTGTATGAGCTTTCCCAAGACTGCTTTCTTTTCCGGCTCCGGGAGCGAAGCACAATAAGAGCCACCTGCCATTCGTCCGTGAATCGCCGCTTCGAGGCTACCGTCATGAAAAATGTCTCGTAGCTCACATTCGATCCTTGCGCTCGTAATGGGAGATATGGGAGAGGCGCGGTAGATTAGGGACATGAGTAGTTATTCGGATCTGATAGAGTGACGGACACTATTTGCTCTTAGCCGGCAGACCCAAGCCGACGCTACTCTAAAGGGACGAATCATTCACAGATTGGTTTCCTGGCTGGGCGAATCACGGCAATTACAATAAACAACCGAGCGACGACGCAGACTCGGATCAGGACTGCGTTCAGGTGGGTCGCTATCGCGGCTATAGCCAGAGATTAGATTATCTCTGTTTTGCAAGATTAATCCGTATAACAACAACGCGGACCAAAGTTCGTGCTCATTCTGTCAGCGACCTTTTCTGTACTGGATTCACGTCCATCTGGATACGTGATTCGGTCGAGCTGGGCAGAGGCCCCCTTCCCCTTTTCACTTCAATTGTACCCATGAAGTTGTTCACCCAAAACACTACGCATATTCCGAAGCTGCATTATCGCAGCCAGCCCGCAGAAGAGTCGAGGACGTCACCCTCGCTAGATTTCCCCCTTCGAATCGATTATCTCTCCGCGGCGATCCATCCTGGAGGCGGAACATCAGTAGTAGTCAAAACGGCGGACTTGGAATCAACTTCCATCAAGTTCAAACGGGAACAAACATGTTCTCCGAAGCCGTTCCGTATCCGAAACCGTTTTCCTCGGACTTCGTCGGCCGGGGAAAGTTACGCGATACAAAAGCATTTAGGGTATCAGGCAAAAGGTCAGCCCGACCGGACTTGCCGAGCGGTCCACGGATCTGACTCATGGAGCCAGCCTCAGGCAGAGATCATAATTCACGTTTATACCCCGCAGGTCCAGGACACGTTCGTGTACCCCTCGAAGGGGAGAGGAGTGACTGCAAGTTTCTATTGGAATGATCGCCATTGTCAGGCCAAGAATTCTTTTGTTTGCCAGAGACCTAGAAGTGGTAAGCGATCAAAAGCGAAACGTACAGAGGGGATTCCAGCTCGTTGACTCCGGGTGGGCTCGACTGCAGTCTCTAAATAATTTTTGAGATTGATGGTGGAGTCCCAGCGCGACTCCGTTATCATTTCCTGGAACGATCCTCCGTCAACGTGACTCTTTGCTTGATCTCACGCGTAGTCTTTCGGTTCTCCCTGCGACCTGGGTAACGAATGATCGAGGAATTTTGCTTGGCAGAGTCATTATGCCTCGCAGAGACCCGGGGAGATTAGCAAAAAATCGGAACTAACGAATGGCTCGCCCATGTTTCAGGATCGGCCACTGCGTCAGTACAAGACTTGGACGTGAACTGCAATCGCTCGGTTGTGTTGAGCTCGTCTCAACCATCGGAGGTTCTCCATTCTCCGCGGTTCCCCCTCAGTTATCCCAGCAGCCACAAATGCCATTTTTCGATACAGCTACAAAGACACTCTTCTCAGCACAACCAATCGATTGAACTTCGTTTCTTGGAGTTTGACCTCGAAGATCATGAGAGGTACAGTATCGCCGATTCTTTCCGGAATGGCTCAATCGAAAAACACGCGACGCCGCTAGTGAATTCACCACATGCTTCTCTTGTTGAAACAAGCAGACAATCTCGTCTTGGTTCTTTCCGTCCGTCCTCGGGTCGAGGCTGCGATGCGGGCTCGCGGCTGAAGACTACTACTTGTTATTTCCATCCTCATTTGCTCGCCAACTTCGGCGGGGTACTCCGTAAGGTTGCGCGCCTAGGCAACGATAAGCCTCGCTGGAAGAAAACAGTCAGTCAGCCAGTCTCTCACGCTGCCAAGCGGTCGACCGAAAGTTGCGAGATGGAGTTTCTCCATCTACTCGCGTGATACAACATTGTTTATCTCGCTTCACCATGCTGTGGCATTTACGCGCTTCATCTTCTAGCGAGAGAGATTCGCGCCGCCGACGCCTTCCGGCGATCAAGGGACTGACATAAGGGAACGTTGAGGCAGCTGAAGATGCCTGCTCATCTCGCAGGGGAGAAGGTCTCTTCCGGAAATTCAACGAGCTCTAATACGTATCGAAAAACGGGCGTGGATCCATCGGAGTCGAATCTCCCCATGCAGCCAGAAAAAAGGGGCAGGATCAATTATTGTACAAGAAAGAATGAGCGCCGTGAGCGACAGCACCGCATTGAGTAACTCGTGGCGAGCGTAAATTGCGGAATGAGTTCGGTTGCATTTTCAAGCCGCGACACTCAGCGAACTACTCGCAGCATTGGAGACACGCGCCCACGTTAATGCTCACTGAACATGTTCGCGATGGCTCGCTTGCATTCCTTTCTGTTGTCAAGGACGGGATTCAGCCTTCAGCGACACAATTGCCGAGAGCTCGCTGTTGTCATTGTCGTTGTTCGTGTCGTCCCTCGCTAGACGGTGATTCCCAAGCACTCATTAAGCATAGAGGCACACGCTGGTACTAACCGAACGACATTTTATCGCATTACTTGCAACGAAGACCTGCTTGTCTAAATACAACTCGTCGCCGGGAACATCCCCTTACGGTCCCCGCAATCGAATAGAAAGAATAAGACGTCGATGCGACGGGACCGCAGCTCCGTCTGCGGGTTGGGAACATATTCTTCGTCGAGTCAGTTTCGTGGGGGGGAGCTCTTCCGAGACGGAGAATCACGTATTCAACCGACGTCCGCTTTTTTTCAGCTGTGATTATGACTATGTCGAGGTGACGAATGCGTCATCGCCATCCATTCTGGAGAATTCAACGGGGAAGATCTGTGGAAACTGGAACGACAAAATCAAGTTACTCCGATTCAAATCCTCCGATAGGATGCTCGTCACTTTCGTCAGTGATTTCTCCCACGCGTTCAAAGGCTTCAAGGCCGAGGTTCTGCTCGTCAACAATGAGGGTAAGGAATTGTTGCTCGCGAATTCCCGTTTCTGAAAGCAGATGTGGCAGACTCGGTAGATGGCCGGTCTCGCTGACTGAGATCTCCGACGCGTCGTGGCGTTCTTCCCCGCTCCAATGAGATATCCTCGCTCATCCAGTGTGTTTCCCCCCCCTGATGATCTGGAAGTTCCTCAGAGAACTTCAACAGCGAATTCTCGAGAGATTCAGGTTCACTCTCTCGACCTATTTCACATAGAAGTGTAGGTGGAGGGAAGCTCCCCGGTTGATTGGCCGTGTTTTCCTTCAACATCGATCGGATGGATGAAGGTTACCTCTCCCTTCCGCAAGCCTCATAGGGGATGTTGTTCCGTTTAATTGAATTAGCGTCCTATACGCTCTCGTGTCCTGGCCACGTTGGGTCGCTCCTCTTGGGAACCCACTTGGATGGGTAGGGGTAGCTTCAGCCTAAGTTCCATTCTGCCAATTATCAGCGGATGTCCTCGACCGTTCGCGCTGCCTTTGCCTTTCGAATGTAAATATTGGTTTTCCTTCTCATTTTCTCCCTTCCGAGCCGATCGCTTCCTGTTTTGAGCGAACGACGGGTGTTGATCCTCAAGCAACAATATTTCGCTCCGAACTTGCAATTATTGCTCCTCCTGCAATTCCTTGTCATCCTCGGTTATCCGAGACCGCCCTGGGGCGCGTGCCACGGCGGAACACGAAATAATTAAACTTCCGACCGATGATCCGCGATCGATCGATGGATTGCATTATTTCCCGAGAGGAAAGGATCGTTGCGAATTCCCGGTTCGAAGTTGCTCCTGACGGGATTTTCTCTCTCTTTCCAGACTCGGACCCGAACGAACACTCGGACCGTCGCTGTGAATCGGCAGATTACAGGTTCCATGAAGGGCATTGTTATCTTGTCGGCGGGATGCCCCAGGTGAGTTGGATTGTCACGCAGGGCGCGGCCTGAACAGACAAATCGAGAGCCCGCTCTCGAGCGGGTTCTGTCCGGGAATGCTTCTATTCGACTCTCAGAGCTCTCCGTCATCGAAGAGCTGTATCAGGCAAAAAAGAGACTAGAAGAATTATAATTCGATTCGAGCAGAGGCGCTGATGGACAACTTTCGAAATGATTGAAAAGAATCGCGAGCCCCCGGGGTCAAACATCGGCAGGGCTTCTGGAGACGAATATCCGGAGCTTATGATAACGGGTGGCCGGGCTCTACTTGCAGGTGTCCTGGAACACAGCTAATGCCATCTGCCGTGAAGCCAATTCTACTCTGCTGAATATCGAGGTAGACGCCGACGACGCTACGAATCAGGTACGGGGCTTCGGATTCTCGCTCCGGGCGAGGTTAAGATAGACTGCTGCGGGGGTTCCCAATCACGAACTGGATTCGCGAATAGAAAAAGGACGCAGTGCGACAGGATATATAAACTAATGAGTAATAATTGGATGGAGCAGCATTCCACTGGATCCTTACATTCCTATCGATTAGTGCTCCCTGATGACTTGCAGTCTATAGTGCAAGACACCGAGAGCGTTGGAGAACCAAAACGTCCGTGATGGTCAGCCTGGATCTCGATGGGCTCTCTCGTCCGTACGGAGTTTGCCGTCCGTCGGCTTGTTTCGCAATGAGAACATCTGCCGCATTCGTTCCACACGTGTTCGACTTCTGAGCAGCGACTCGAGCGTTGTTGCGACTCGAGTGGACCCAGCCGCGGAGCTAAATGAGGATCCAGCCATGTGGAAGCTCTGCTCTCACAGCAGGGATAGTTTGTTTCATCGTCCAGTCTCTCTTTTCTCCAGGCTCAATTATGCGAACAAAGTGTACTTTCTCATGCGAATGACGTTTTTCGTGCCTGACGTCAGGGGCGCTACTGGAGCCGAGATTCAGGAATCGCTCATTCTCCGAGGATACCGGGGCTCTAGAGTCCTTAATCCCCTACGGAGCCTTCGGTGTAGACAGACGATCAAACGATCAAACCTTGGATGTCTCTCGATTTCCGGGATCGGCCCAAGCGCCATCTTTCCCAGATCGAGCGATCCGCGTGGCTACCGAACAGACGATCAAGCTCCCTTTCCTCCTGGCACTTGAGGTGCGACTAGATCGCGGCCCTCATGATCCTGAGTCCGTCATGAAATTTATTCTCTCCCACAGGCTTCCCAATTGCTAGCGGAGCTCCTACAACAACAGCAGTGGAAAACTTATTCACATCGCAGTCCGCTCTGGTTCTGGGCTAATGCGCGGAAAACACCGTCGGACAGCTCAGCGCAGGAAGACTCCAACTCGGAAAGCTCATCTGGTAGGTCATGAACCGCGAACCCCTGTGTCGGCACCGTTCTGATCGGATAAATGGCATAACGCGCTAATCGAGTAGGAATCCTACCTCCAGCGGACCTCGGAAAGTGCGGCGCCATCCCCTGGAAGACCCGCTCCGAGGGCGCGTCTTGGACTTGGAGGAAGTGTGTTCTGACGGGAGGCTACGTTTGTCAGAAAGACCCTGTCGGTGAGTGCCTGAGTTGTGTCCGGGAGAATCTCCCGGTAGGAGTGACGTACCGTACACAAGAGCTTTTCCCGAACTCGGAAGACAGACAGGCAGATAGTCAGGTGGATCAATCTCATTCCGTGTTTCAGTCGTTCCTCCATCTCTCAATTCTACGGTCAGCAGTCCTTCCGGCGTTGCCGGATATCTGAGGACCCCGACTCCGGACGCGCCTTACCTCGACAACTTGCGTTACACCAAAAAGATAGTCGCCGGGAAAGGTGAGTGGCAGCGAAGTGGATTCGCTTGTTTGCTCAGGGATCATTTCTGTCTGATTGCGTTCTTCTCAGACAAGGGCCCTCCTTCTCAGCGAACTCAATTTCAAAAAATGCCCGGAAGTTTGGAGTACTCGATCTTCTCTTAGCTAGCTCACAATGTGATCCGTCGAATCCCTGTGGAAAGAGTCTAGAAAAGTGAACGCAGAAGCGCGGGAGATAAACTCACAAGCGTGGGTTTCTGCTTCAGTCTGGAGGAATTCGCTCTTTTCGGACTTACGCAGTATCCTCCACTTACAGGTCAAAAGGTATTCGTCTTTTTCGAGTCTTTCGACGTCGAATGGCAGGCCCAGTGTCTTTACGATCATGTCGAGCTTGCGTTGGGTGCGCCATACGAGCCTATCCGTATATGTGGACAGAAAGAAAACGGGCAGACACCCACAATCGTCACTAACAACACTGCGAGAGTCATGGACGCGGACGAGGCAAGTTGCAGTAGGAAGCCTAAGCAAACTGGCGGCGAGCGGAATAGACCTCAACTAAACTCCCGACCTTCGTCTGTTTGCGAAATGTTGGCATTCCGACAGAATACGATTCAGCCTTGGTGGTGGACTCGTACTTGGCTACGAATGCCGCCGGTGACAGCTGAAGAACGGCTACGTAAGCGATAGGCGGGCGACCAAGTGATTCCTCGAGTCATCGATCGGAATTCGAATGAAATGTCTCATGCGCCAGTCACCTGAGTCTCTCTCGTCTATTGAGTCACGCGGACAGGTTTCGTAGCCGCGCGAGAGCGACTGAGGCCACGTTACGATTCTCTAATCACGGAGATTGTTTTCTGTCTGCGGGCGAGGCGTGCATTTTCATATTCACGCAGACCGTCATGTACATTCCGTGAGCGGTCGTCCTTCGACCAGTCGAACGATAAAGCGTCCAATCGACCGACACTTTTTCGGCCTGTCGGTCTCAATGAGGATTGTTTGAAGCGAGTATGCGAATCGGTCCAATCCAGTTAGACAGCGCATTATGCTGATGACACAGATCACAGCTAGGTTCTATTTTGGAAGATAGACGATGTGTGCTTAGAATTATTTGTCGGCGCCGATCGCCAATAGCGGGTCCAGGACGCGATTGATATTTCACGGTTTCGTCACCGACTATCCGGAAGATGATCATCCGACTATCAGATACTCGCCCTGAGAATTTTTCCTTCTACTAATCCGATGCGGACACTCGCTAATTGAAGTACATACCGTTCATGCGTGGGCGCTATGCGGGTTCCTACGATAATAATGATGGCAGTAGGTTCATGCTCGGATTTCCCCTCAGACCCTGCAATTCCTGTCCTCGGGAACGGAGCTACGAGTCACCGTACAGACCGATCAATCGACCTTGGGTTCGGGTTTCAGTCTCAGGTAAAACATCGAGTTCTCTCGACAGCCATTCTCTCGACGAGCGCGGTGCGCAAGCTCGGGAGAGTCATTGACTTCCTCCGTTGAACTTTCCAGATGGGAAGTGTTGAACATACACTCGGAATGCGGTTCCGCGGAGCTGCCCGTGGTTCTCCTGGTCGACGAGGATGGCGAGACGAAGGTAAAGTATTTTACATAACTCCTTTCTTCTGAACCCCGGGTTTGATCGGGTGGGAACATACCCCGTCGGTTTTTTTCCCATTGGCCTATAACGATTCCGCGACTTGGAATCCGCATTTCTCGGGGAGAAGGGGCAGAAGAGCCTCGAAGAAGTTCTCTCGAATTTCCTCTCGTCGAGCATCGGGACGCTCGACTGTTGAGTGGCGACTGCATATCGTGTGCATCCAATCGACGCGTAGAAGTGTCGAATGTCAAACCGAATCTCGGCTGAGGGACTCGGGGCGAGGAGAAGCAGCGCCGGGAGAGTGCGGGGCGTAGCCGAAGACCGAGATGTCGAAACCATCCTTGAAGTGTCGCTGTATTTGACGACATCGTTCCCGTCACCACCGCTGCCGCCAACAAACTACGTGCAGAGAATTTCGAGGCCCGCAGGCATGTCAGCTCGCGCACCCAGCCAGCCGGCCGGCTGGTCGCCCGTTCGCTCGCCGATCGCTTCCCTCTACGCGCCCCGTCCCGAACAGCTGAGAAGCAGGGTACACGTATGGAGTTTTCCGCCAATATTCCGGTCCGTTCGCTTGCCGTCGCCGGTCGGGCCCGCAGCCGACTGGCAAGCGGCCGACGGCTGGACAGCGGGTCGGCCATTTCGCGCAGCGCGGAATTTCCGGGCTCGGAATACTCGCTCGAGTCGATGCCAGCAATCAATTAGGCGGCTTAATTTTCATTGCAGAGCTTCAAATCACTCCGATATCCCGACATGTATCCGCCGTCGTTGCAGTGTCACTATCAAATTCAGCCGGGAGCGGTGTCAAGTCACAGAAGCCGGACGCAAGACAAGGGCCGAACCGTCACGGTGCTGCTGACATTCGCTTCGTTCCACGTTGGCACGAGGGTAATTTGCTTCGAATGGAATGTCGACTTGTCGTATCGTTTCTCTTCTTCGTTCCTCGAAATTCGAATTTCATCCGAAATCGAAACTGGCACTGATCTTAAGCGAATTGTTCCTCTCCGGCTTGTCATCGATTGAATCTCCCTCTTACTCTGATTTTGTCTACTCGAGATCCGTTCCGCCGGCGTTCGTCTGAGATTGGATGAGGAATTCGCATGCTTGTGACTTTCGAGAGGAGGCTCAGAATTGTATTATCCCGCTCTCGAGTATTCTCTTATCTCGTCGTCGTCGTCGTCTATCCGTTCTTTCTTCAGTCCAGGCCGACTTCGGTTTTCTTCTGCGCTCCGCGTTCTTCCATAGGCTCGTCGAATGAGCGGATGCTTCTGAAACAGATGTTTTCTCGCAGATCGAGGAGAGCAACACGTGTGTTGACGACTATGTGGAGTTGAACCTGGGGGACGGGGACCGAACTTTGAAACTCTGTGGACATCTCCCCGAGGGACACCAGGTAAATCATACCACCCCGAAAACGGAATCGAGGTGTCGACGTGCGCTGAATCAGGAAACTTACGGCCGCCCCGTTTACAGGTGATGGCCTATCAAACCTCGGTGATGATAAAGTTCGTTTCCACCCGCGGTGGTTACGTGGGATTCGAAATCAAATACCATTTGTGTGAGTACAACTCCCCTCGTAGCTTCGGACATGGAAGCCTCGAGATTTTAGCTTCGTTTCCCGCGACTCAACCTTCCAAAATATATTCTCTCGATCGAGGGCTCCACATACTTCGTAAAATAGAGAGCGTCGTTCAGCAGATTGGTACCGTACAAACCAGACGTGTCCTGTAGCTACTCTTCCAGCGCTTAGTGTTCTGTTTGGAAGCCATTTCCGCGAGGAGAGGCTGATCTTCCAGGGTGGGCTTCGTCCGAACTTTTCTGCCCTCTTTCGAGAGGCACGAGGCAGTCAACTTTCATTTCGTTTGCTTCTCATATCATTACTACCTCCCGGATTCCCGTCGTCCCTGAAACGACTCGTTGTTCAACTCTCGCTCCGTGTACTGAAACGTCCGGAGCGCAGTCGGAAACTACGATCTGCACACTTTCTCTCTCTGTCACACACACATGAGCTACTGCTGTTGTGAGGAATTTGTTAGAGCGTTGCTTTCCTCGACGGAGCTACCACTTACGCGTGTTTTTGCAGTCTCCGCGCAACAACTCTCCACTGTGCTCTCCATGGACGAAGGCCGTTCGGTTTTACGTCCTTTGAATTATCCTCAGCCGGTTCCAGCACACCTGAATCAGCTGTCTGTTCAAATATTCTCCGGCGCGGGCCATCGCATGGAATTCATCACCCGGAACTACACGGGTCAGTGCGATTCGAATCTCAGAATATCGGTGATTCCGGTCGGAAACAAACTAACTTCAACCTCGCTTTCGAATTCGAAGGTCGGCACATGGGCAATCTGAAAAAAATCATCTTCCGGGATCCGTTTGCTCAGTTTTACACGGCTCCTCAAAACACCTCGGCGTCTACGAACGTCGCTAGCAGATCGAGGTCAGTACGTCCAGGGAACCTGGAAATTCGCGTTGTGGAAAAAGTTCTATCCGACGTGGATTATTATCCTCGTTATGTGTTCCCGAAGGCGTTTTATGACCGACTCGGATTGGGATCGCATCGTTTACATCCCCTCCGGTGGTAATCCGTCCGGACATTGGTCTGACCCGGAGTCCAACCTCGATTTGACGTCAACGGAGCTGGTCATGATCAAAAGTTTACTCAATGGCATGGTCATCAACTACGAGCCTCAAGATAACCTTATGATACGTATCAAAGTCGAAAAAGGTTTGTTTGGTGGCGGCGACGATGATTGTTCGATTCTGACATTGTCGATCTCGCTGTCAGAACGTGGCTGACACCGCTATCGCGTATCTTTCAGATGAGAATTTCACTAGCGCAGCGGTGCGAGAGCTCGATGTCACGGATTTCGTGCTGCCGACCTGCAGGCCGAACCCCTGTTTCAATGGAGGTCGGTGTGTGGAGGAATATGGGAAGAATATTTGCAAGTGTCGCTGGTCATTCACTGGTGAGCGTTCAGTTCGGGTGCCATAGGAAGTCCGTGAATTAGAGTTCGTATTCAGATCCGTACCTCCATGGCGGAAGATTAAGTTGGGGGAACCGGTTTCCAGGCGTCTTCTGCCATCGGAGTCCATGCGATAATGGCTATTGTAAAAACGGGGAATGTCGGATGAATGAAAATACCCGGAAACCCGAATGTACTTGCGATTCATTTCATTTCGGTGAGTCCGAGAATCGATAGAGATCATTTACGGTTCGTATGCGCCGCACCCCGACGAGCCCGACGATTTGCGCTGGGCTCCGCTCAGAGGTCCGCGACACTGGGTTCCCTGGCGGGTAGCGGGAACCAGTGTAAGGGTTCATATTTCTGCGAGACCTTCTCATTATTCGCCGGCGCTCGTGAAAGGGTCACCGCGCCTTGTCGCTACCACGCGGGATATGAGCGCGTGTTTCTGACGGCTGAGCGAACAAGTATCACGCTGGTTTTGTATTTGTTTCCTCGTCACAGTTTCTCTTTTCTTCTCCCCGTCTCGCGCTCCGCTGCGATCCGTCCTTGAGAAAAATCCCCAAGCCGAATGGGAGAGTCTGATACCTGCGATAAACTCAAGACTTGGAATTTCGATCATTTCCCCAGGCGAACGGTGTGAATCAAGACGGTCTCCTTGCGAGCACAACCCGTGCGGGTCTCACGGACGCTGCGCATCAGTAAGAGGCGATACGGATTACGAGTGTTCTTGTCAGTTCCCGTTCGACGGTGAGGCTATACGGAGACGGAGGAGGACGTCTCACTCAGGGGAATGTGGGGGTCGTGGTGACTCGATGGTGTAAGGGAGCGGTCGTCTGCTGTTCCCTCATGGATATATCACTGGTTTTCAGGACGTAACTGTGAGCGTCACAACCATGTAATTCCGATACCTCTCTCAACGCGTATGGTCAAAGAGCCCTTCTGGCTGGGCTTAATCACCGTTGGAACGGTCCTTTTGATCATCCTGATGGTGTACTGTGTGAAGCGTAAATTCGCCGACAAAATTGAAAAGTTCCTCGCTGACGAGATCGAACGCTCCAAAAACAGTGAGTCACTAACGATGCGAGGGAACCGAGGGATCCTGTGGTAGCCAGGGAAGTAGATTTCCAGCAGAACGATCTCGCGCTAGACAGTCGCCTCAAGCGCTTGCGCCCGCTCGTAATTCCGCACCACCTCCTTCCCGGCTGGCTTCTATTCCTGACTCGTAGACTGCGGTTGATGACTTGTGGTTAGCGCTAGTTTTTCACAGGATTAGCCGATTGGTCTGTATATTCGAGAAGCGGTGATGAGGTCGGAACTCTGCCAATAGTCCTGTAGTGGAATGCTTACTGTCCTGTCCTAGATTTCGATTGCGTGTCTCCATGGTAGATCCATCTCATGTGTAGAGTCGACGAGTGCTTGGTACCTCTTCTGTCCGCCATACTTTCGACATCATGTCCGAGGCCGTTCGCCTGTTCCCACGCTGGAGTCCCAGATCGCCCACGATAGAAACCTTTGGCCCGTCGAGGGCAAAAATGGAAGAGCCTAGATCAGTCGAACCCCGATTATCATCGTCTCCCCCCACCGTCAGACCCGACCGGACTCTGCGTCGGGCTCTTCTTCCCTCCCGATTCCCTCCTAGCCTGCGCTTCCTCGAACCACGTAACCAAACTCATTCAGACTGCCACGGGCGTGAACGAGATGACCTTCTCAATGTCGAGCGCTAACTGACGTGGATGACAGAATATTGGGGAATTTAGGATTTACGTTAATTCCGTACCTGACTCCCACAACGACGGCTGCGTGTTTTTCTCTAGACCCTCCATCACCTCAAGCGACTCGCTACAGCGTGGGCTCAGCGAGACCGTCTCTCACTCCAGTTCCCACGTCGATCGTGCCAGCAAATTCACAAAGCCTGAGCCCTCAGCCGACGCAGAAGGAACGAAATTCCGGCTCCTCACTCCTCAATAGGTTAGTAGTAGTTGTGCTCGCCGCTCACTCACTTATCTCAGCCAGCCCCGAGGGACGGGAAGCGTCCACCGGAACCGAAAGCTCTTTCCATCTAGATATCATCTCGGTGTTATAGATCTTGGTGTTCCTCGTTCGATCCGTGACTCTGTCCTTGAACGCTCGTTCACTGTCGCTGGAATTCTCGCTATCATTACTGTCATTGTCATCGTCGAGCGCGCTAATGCTGTACCTTAGTACTCGGAATGCGGAAACGAGAGATCTCACTGGGACTTGGGAGTGTCGACGATTCGGGCGCACGATGCGGCTTGACCGCCACATCACACTCGTGGGCGTACAGGGGTTTTAGCGTGTCTTTTCAGCCTTCGTGGGTTGGTCTACCCTGAATGTCATCGAAGCATTCTGGTATGACACGATAAGCCCTCCCGTCGGAAGGCATAAGACAGAACCAAGCTGTCGCAGTAGGTCACGTGATTTCCATTAACTTCCAACCTACGGTTCGTGTTACACTTGCGGTGATCATCGACTGACTCGCGAGCGTTTGTCCGTTGTTCGCTTTCAGAATCCGAAGACAAAGCATTCGGGCAGGAAGTCCAACCCCCCAGTGCCAACCCGGGGTGCCCAACTCCCACGGTAGAGCGAAGGGGGCAGCCAGCAGCTCAGCGTAGCGAGCGCTTCCGCTAGCAGCGCTCTCAACCACAGGCAATCAAGCACACCAACGGATGAAGGTTAATTACTACGTCCCTTACTGACTCTTGCCGCTGAGGGAAGCGGAGAGAATATCGTGTCGCCGTTCTACAATATGCAGCCAATTTCCTGACCGATGCTTTGAGGAACAATTTGTCCTCGCTGGCTCCCGAACGGATTATAATTAAAATGAGATATCGATAGCTGCGTCGATGGACCGTCGGGAATATTCGGAAGTTCTCTCTTCTAATGGCGCCTTTCCTTTTCCGTGTCGAGTAGCAGGCAGTTCAAATCCTCTGAGTTTCGAGGACATCGTTAAAAGAGCCACTAGCTCCGGGTTAGCTTCGAAGAAACATTCGCTCAATTCTACGTCGGACAGCGACTGCAATACGAATTCCGCGCAACGCAAACCCTCGCTTCTCCATCAACCTTCGTTCTCGGAGCGACCGAAAGTTGAGAAAAACCCCGAGACTGTGAAAATCCTAGCGAGCTTAGTTGCCCCGTCACAGGATACGAAAAGGTTATTTCTCGTTTTTCCCCAGCTGAACCCTCGAATTCTCGTCGAAGAGGATTTGGAGTGAATCTTTGAAACATACCCGAAGCTCAAATGCAAAATAGATGGCTGGGGCTGCAGCGGTGGGGTTAGGTGTGCGCTAATAACGAGATTATTCGATCTTCGTTCAATTAAAGAAGAATGAGCCTTGACGAGTTCATCCGTATGAGCGAAAGAAAACTCCAGCATGCTCGCCGCTCCACTGAAGACACTACTCCTGGCGACGTCTCCGACGTTTCGATAGGCTCCGAAGCGTCGTCCATGGAAACCAGTTTCATGCAAGGTCATCAACAGGTTCGTATCCCGCATCGAAGTATATGAGAATAGGGGAGGGAGGCCCCGACGGCGCTCTTCCGAGCGAGTGATTGCGGATCTATTCTCCGAGTGATCAACTTCGGCGGTCCTTCTCCGAACAGAAAGTTCCAATCCCGCTCCAGGGGAGAACTTTTCGTGCTTATCAATTCGAGAGCGCTTTCTCCCCTGTTGCAGATGAGACCTCACTCTTCTATTCGGGAGCATTCCTTTGAGAGGTCGAATTCCTCTGTCGAAGATCCTGAATGCTCCGGAAGTCTTCTGGCTCGCCAACCGTCCACGACGACCGCCCTGCATCTCCGAGCGGACAGTTCCCGCGACGGTGATGGCTTCACTTCCGCCTCTGAGAACGAGCAAGGTCAAAAACGACCGCTAAGGCAATACAGACTTTACAATACTCGACAAAGGTACGTCGCGACGCGCTCCCCGGTGTGGATTGTCCCCGAGGCAGATTCGAGCGGACGGATCCTCGCGCGAAACAAGAGTGACACGCGACGTCTTTTCGCAGTAGTCAACGTGAAACCCCCACCCTCGTCCTGAGCTCCAGATGCGGAACCCCTCGGGGGTCTTTTGATGCTCACTTCTCGCTGTCGACCGAACGAGATCCCGAGGCCCCGATGTCCGTCGCTCCCGCTTCAAACTCTTCTCCCTCGAAAAATCATTCGGCACCAAATGACAATCGTCAGCAGCAACAGCAGCTGGCAGCAGACAATTTAGAAACTCGGCAGAACGCATCGAATCCCGCTAATGAACAAATGTGTAAGTGACCCTCGACTAGTCCTCGCTCCCCGGCGCCAGCACCGAGTCATTCTGATCCCGGAAACCTGTGAGCGAAGGAAGCGAGAGGGCTCCTGCCCCGGGAATGGCGGGCGGGCGGGATAGACTCGGGACCCGCGTGGAGGGTTGCGGTCGAAAAAATAGTGCGAATCACTTACCGATCTTTCCGACAGCTTACAAGGAAGCGAAGGGAGTCGCATTCATGGAGCTTCTCCACAAAACCATCGCCCAACTCCCCCAAGGTCAAAATGAATCGAACCTCGGAACCGGAGGTCCAGCTTCCACGCATTCGCTTTCCATCGACCGTCCCTCCTCCCCGAGTTTGAACAAAATTCACGCCGCGTCTCCGTCTTACGAACAGAAGATTTTCGAACCGTCCAACACGGAGGTTAGTATGATGAAGAGTAAAGAGGAAAAATTACTTCTTCTTCTCCTTCCTAACTTTTGCTCCTCTAGAACTCTGCTCGGTTAGCGCTCGCTCGGTAGTTGGTACTGGGAAAGTTAAAAATTGCAACGCTCTTGCATGGGCTCCTCGAGAGTATTCGAGTGCCGCAAAATCCTCTGGATGATAGAATTTCGGCTAGTCCTCTGTTTCTTGAGATCGCAAGAGAAGCCAAATCCACACCCTGAGAGTAGCCACGGATCCGCAGAAGAGCCTTCATGAACATTGTGTAGAAATCATCGTTCGAACAAGCGGGCACCATCACGCGCACGTCACTGGATCGATACTCTGTGAGGAAGTTCCAGAAGGAACGGAATTGATTGAATGGAGTCCATCGAACGAGAGTTTGAATGTCTCTGAGACTGATCGTCGAGCTCGCTCTGAAGCTGAGCCAAACTTTCGGGCCCGTATGGCTGTCGGAGTATGCGCACTGTTAGACTAGCTGGTTGTGCTGTATTCAATTCTAGCGAGACGCCAGTTGACGAAGCCTGAGTAAATGGGACTCGGGACGGGGGTGGTGCGACAAGCGAAACGACATCAATCGAAAGCTCGAAGATGATGTCTCTGAATGGGTCTGGGCTAGTGAACATCTCGACCCATTAAACGTAAGTGGCGATTCCTCCTATCGGTGCCGTTTTAGGCACTGAGCTGGTCTTTCGATCGGAACGAAGTTGCGATTATCTTCACTTGCGATAAACATTGAGCTCCACTCGTAGCGGCTCTCCGAAAGTGGAGGCGATTGCTGTTTTGGAAATTTCTAGACTTTTGACGTAGAACATCCCCGGACCCCGAACACTTGCTTGAGCAACGCTTTCGAAAACGATGATCCGTGCGTCTGACTCTCGATGGAGTCGGCCTTGACCGTCATGTACCCATGCGGAAACGCTCAATACGCTCGGAATGTTTCCCTGACTCTCATCCGCAGTAAAATGCTTTCCTACATACTTGTACGAGGATGAGCGGATCCGTGCCGTCAGCGTCTCAGTTGCGTCTCTATTCCGTTTGGCCATGATCGTATTCCTCCATACTCTAATTGTTCAGCAGACGTTGCTTCATTCTGAACCGTCCCTCAGGTGTCGATGCTGTGTTTGCCAAGGGTACAGAATGCTCAACCCAAGCTGAAAACCCTCTCGACGGATGTGTTGCCTCTGAGGAAGTTCTCTGTCGAGCTACCAATGCCTAAGATCCTCATAACGGCCAACGTTAGCTCATGCGAATCAGAAGCTGAAAGTCCCCCCAGGTACGATGGATCCAGGTAAACAAGCAGTTGACTCGCCTCCGATTATTATAATCTCAGTCCTCAGCTCGGCAATCCGCGCGGAGCCTCGAGAGTCTCTTCCTCCTCAAACGAAAGAAAATCTCTGCGGCATTCGCAGATCGCCGGCTTTGGCTCCGAACGCCACCTCGTGTCCAGAACGCTGCCAAATGGCCGTCTCGGGAGGAGGCATAAAAATGTGCTACCTGTCTCCGTTCATGGGCGGACCAGGGACAGCAGACTCGCGTACAATATCAGAATCAAACTTGTCCACTTCGGGGTACTCCTCCATCTCGAGTCCGGGATTGTCCAGGTGCAACTCGAGTAGCCCTATGATTGCGGACGAGATGAACATTGGGGCTTTCCAGCGCGCGGGTCAGGGACATCTTCAGGTAATTCACCGCCGAAATTCATCTCGGAACGCTGTAGGAGACTCCTCCGTGGAGTTGATTGCAGATCAGTCCGTGCGAATGTCGTTCCGACGATTGTCGCTTGCAGGCGAGTCCAACTCGTGCGCCCCGCAAGGCCTCTCACCACCTCGTGCCACCATTCAGTAACTACCCAACTCACCAGACAAGTAATAGCGCCACTAGTGCCACGACAAGCGGTAGACATCACGATGCCAGCGGAATTACAGCACCGTTAATCCGATCTGGATACCTACTAGAACCAGACGATACCGGTGACTCCTCGAAGCGTCGCAGCTCTTTCGGAGGATGCTTCGCCTCGCAGGAGAGCCGACAGCACGAACATTACGCCGCTGGCCTTCCTCCCAGTCATCCTGGAAGTAGATGCCCTTCAAGGTCAGCAGGCAGGAGTGCGACCGATGTGTCTGGAAATTAGGCGGCTGTCGAATCAATCATTTCCGTAACGCGATACTTACACGAAATTCTTTGGTTGTTCTCTGCTTCTACAGACTGAGTGAACGAGCTCTGTTGTTCCGCTCCAATCGGAATAGCCAGCAGACAACATCGAACGAGGAATCGTTCGACGAAGAGATAAAGCGCGAGCTCGAGGGGAGATACCAAGCCGACTGCAATTCTGGCGATGCGCGAGGTACTTCCCGGAGCACGCTGTCTCCTCTCCTCCTGTTCCACTGTCGATACTAATCTGGGATGAGAATGAATGACAGGATCCTAGTGAGCGCTCGACGATCCCTCATCGAAAACACTATTTGCAGCTCATTGGATTCCATCCTACTCCCGAACTGCGTCATCGCTGGACATTCCTTCGGAAGAGCCCGCTATGGGACGATCGCGAGCTCCTTCTTCGTGGTCGGTACCCGACTCAATGCGACATGACCAGGAGCACAACGTCAATATCTGCAATCATGTCGTGAGTTCGACTCGTGCGACATGGTTTCGACCACGAGATTTTTGGTCGACGAGCCCCGGTTTCGATTTGCCCCTTCATTGCTCTATTCCCTTGCAGCGAACGGCTTTCCAGCTGGAGGAGCCACGAGCATCGTTTTCACATCAATACCCAGAGCAAGACCGAGAGATCAGAGAAGCTCTCCTCCAAAGAGCTCGCTGTAAAAGCTGGCAGCCTCTAAACCAGAACCTGACCGATCAGAGCTTCAGCACCGGGTCCGCGAATATTCCCCGGTCTCCTTCCCACCTCGAGCCGAATGCGCAAGAAATGACGGGAGGTCTGTCATCGCCGTCTTCAACGGCATCGATGGAATCGGTCGTCCCTTCGAAAATATGCAGAAACGCCTCGAAAGCGAGCATGGGCGCGGCTTCTGGCCAGGGTAACGTCACCACCTCAGAATCGGACTCAGAACGGAAGCACGCCGCCCAGATGCAAGCGCATCGCGTAGCGCGCAGATTGCAGAAAAAACAGAGGTCCGTAGATGCAGCCGCCGGGGGCTCGGGAACACTACAGACTGACCGCCAGAAACTCAGTCCGGTTGTTCGCAGTGGTCAGAGGAGGTAAGACCGAATCTGAACAGAAAGAGGAGGGAGACGCCTAGCAGCTCGTATGATGCGTTCATTTTATGCGCAAGCGCTCACGCCGTTTCCAGGTCCCCGTCGTTATCCCCGTGGTCTTCCATTGATCGATCTGCTCACTCGCCCAGGGGATCGAATCAAGATCTAGGTGGAAAAATGTTCATTTGCTCCTCATCTAGCTCTGACGACGAACCAACAATCGGTAATCGGAAACTCAAGTCTCTCGGTATTCCTCGATGTCTGGAATACAATATATTAAGTTCTTTCATTCACCCCCAGACTATGCAAGTAATTACACCGATGCAAACCGTCAACGAGGCACTTCGGCGCGGCTTATGCGAAGCGCCACAGTTGAAACGTGCGATTGCTCCCATAAACACCGACGGTGAGTGGAGCGCTCGGAGGATCGATCGATCAATCAATCATCCAATCGATCCGATAAGAAACGATATACAGTGAAAGCTCGTTACTACGAACACGAAGGAACCGACGAAACTGGTTCGTTGTGCCGAGTTTTCGCTGTAACGGGCTCCGCTCAACACTATCCCTATGGCGAGCTGGCCAGAGGAGGAGAAATTCCTTGTTGGTTGTACCGGGAAATTCGTTGTAATGGGGGTCGTTGTAACGAGCTTTTACTGTAGAATCTCCCGCGATTCCTCACATGCTCAAGGGTTCCCCATTTCCTCCACCTACCCCACAGACAACGATCTCGTTGCTCGCAAGAATCCTTATCGCCGCACAACCAGACACCTTCAGGCTCCAGTAGAAATTTATTGGCGCAACCTCCCTCGTTGGCTTACCAGAAGTCACAGAGTTTTGACGGCGGTTACGACTATCAGCCACCGGGCTCAGAAGGAAGTCCTCATGGATCGCCCAGCAGGTAGGTAAACCCACGAACGGCGGCTCATCCAACAGCGGGTTTTGAGAGACATGTCGAGGTTTTGCTGCAGCGTGCACATTTTCCACTAAATCTTGCTCCCGTTTGCCCGTTTTCCTCCCTTTCCGGGGATGACAGGAACGTTTCAAACATCCGCCCCGGCAGAATGGAAAGCTGATAGTCTTCGACTGTCCGAGATGTATGTCGCTCGCTCGCTTTGGGCGTGTGTGGATGTTCGAAATGATCTTGAGAATCATCCGTTTTGTCAAAGGCGACCTTGAGATTTTTTCTGCATTTTCGCGGAGAAGTAATTTTGGCTACTCCTCCCGCGCGCTAGGCCGCTTTTTCCACAAAATAAATTCATCTCACGCAGTAAGAGGAATCCCATAGCAAATCTTCGATGCTATCGGGAATTCTCTTGCTCTCGGAACGACTAAAGAGCGCGGTGATCTTCCCGGAGCTCGATGGGATGAGCATGCTTATCTTTTTTCTGTCAGTGATGTCGTCCTATATCTTAGTACTCGTCTAAAATGTCGTCGTTTTTTCATTTCGTGTTGCACGTTCTCTGTCTTTTGCGCCGCAGATCGCCCTCGGGTTTCCGAGCGCTCAGTCGCGATGCTTCGTCTAACAGCGGCAGTTGGGGCAGCCATCATTCCTTGCGGAGACAATGCGCGTTGCAGGACAACGCCGAGGAAATGTGAGTTTGTTTGCTAAAGCGCTTGCTTAACTCTCCGTGGAAGCATTGAGGAAGAAAGGGGCGGACGAGATCTCCTACTTCCCGCTGGAGGCGTCTGAGCTCCGCCTATCGCTCGGAAAACAGGTTTTCGAAATCAAACGAAAGTTCTTGCCGCGATTCGTCTTCTTCAGCGCAGGCTTCAAGAAACTACTGAGTTAACATTCCCCTCCGACATTTCATGGATCACTAAAAACCGAAAAAATTCGATGCACGTTTCGTTCGCGAATTAAATTTGCGCCTCTCCGTAAATAATCCATGTATCGGATTCCCCCTCGTAAACGTAAACGAAAAAATGGAACCGAATGAGGCCGCTCCACGTAAATCTGATGATTGAATGGTTTCGTCCGATAACATTGAGGCCACCTACTTGAGGATCCACGATGCTTCGATAAAGACATTCCATTAAAAAACGAGGAGATGGTTGTGCACCGTATCCCCGAGCCGGCATGATCCACACAGGTTCAGAGAGGCTCGAGAGGCAAGTCCTGGTCTCCCCGTCGTCCCAGGAGGCTCTCGAGCCATTATATTCCACTTGTCCTAGTAATATGTAGCCGATTTTTAACGCCAGAGTCCTAGGAATAGAGGTCGATGGAGCTTCGCTGCATAGAAATTCTCATTTCTGCCAGTCGCTGGGCTGCGGGTGAGCTGAAGAATTCTCACATCTCCCTCTCAGAAGTTCGGAAAACGTTTCAGGGACATCTTCGGAAACATCCCTGACCCCGACTTCTACCCAAGAGTCCAACTGACAGAGGGACGCCCGCCCCCGGAAATCAGGTGCGGAGCCTCTGAGCGATCGAACTATCAGTCGATTCTCGAATGGATCCCCCATGTTCGGCGAGTCGGAGAGCGACTATTGGAACTACCGTTTCATTTCCAGGGCGGAGCACCAATTCGACAGCCTCGTTTACACTCTGGACAGTGGTGGACCCCGACGAGCGACTTCCGCCAAAGTCGCTACTTTGGGGAAAATTGTTGCAGGCGGAACGTATTCCAATTCCGAAAGTTCTGTATCCTCCGTGGACAAAACGGACCTGTCCTCCGGCAAGGAAATTGATGTACCCAAAATCGAGATCCAGATGCCGACACCGATCTGTGAGAGCAAGGGTTTCGAGCAGCAACCGGGCCACCATCTGCTCCGCACAGCGTCACCAGAGGAGCTTCCGACAATCATGGTGCAGAGCGCAACCCCAGTGGCCACACCGGTGCTAGAGCATAAGGTACCGGAGCTTTCCTTTCAAAGACGAAATATATTGTACTGACGACCTGATTAGGCGAAATCCCGATGGAGCTCATAGATAGTGCTCTCTGTTCCAGGCATTCAATGTGAAACCAATGAAGACGGGAGTACACTCAGATGGTGAGATGAAGCTCAAGGGGGGCGTAGATGTCGGTCGAGGGAAACGACGCGAAGAACTCGGCTCCCGTTTGTACCGGTCGGAATCCCAAGGAACGGAGTCGAGTTACAATCCTGCGCACGTGCCTAAGCAGAAAAGTTACAGCGCGTCTTTCGACTCGACGAGCGACTCCATATTCGAACCGGAGACCGAAGCGGGACTCTATGACGACGATCGCATCCCGGAGGTTTCGGTGGTGCCCCCCGATCCTCCCGGAGCGCATCAACGCCTCGCCGAGGAAGGAGTAAGCGTGGACTGTCAACGAGGAGTTATTTGCATCGAACTCGAACCCCCGACGCCCACGTCTGAAGATTCCCCACCGTTCGATCCACGTGTAGTCGCTTACCAATCGTGAAAAGTTTGAGAGATGTCAGTCAGATCCCGATCCCTCGCCCAATGTACATAAGCTTGTGGTGATCCGACTCCGGACTTTCCCCGTTCTATCAACGGGATCGATTGCGAATGGCGGCGATCTTATAATGTGATTTAAGGTCACGATCGTGCTCGATCGTGGAACCGGGTGAAGTAATTCTCGCCCGACATAGAGCAGGCCGCGCTCGATCTCAGCATAGGTTATGTGTAGTGATTTATGATGAAATCCCGATCGAACAAAAGGAAACAACAACGATAGTGATAAATATTCCTCACACGGAGATGGAAGACAATAATTACTACGTTAAGAATAAATAAAAGCAATGAGCAAGCAAGAGCAAGAAACGACAATGTGATTAAATGTTTGGTATCGCACGCTTACTTTCTGAGCACGATCGCGTTGGATCGTTGACTCGTAGGTATACGAGTCGATAGAGATTACGCGTCTTTGTTGAAAAGTCGGGATAACTATAACGATGTTCACGATGTTTGATAATATTTCAATAACGAGATGTCTGATACGACGATTTTTTAAGATTTGAATGATGGAGTCGGATAGCATCATCACTGGTCCCCATGAGTTTCGTCTTGAGAGGGATTCTTCCGAACGCGTGGACGATCCCTGATCAAGGGGCAGGGTGGCGCGGGGCTTGAAGGAAGAGACGACTCCAGATATGCAGTGCGCGAGCCGACTCAAATACTATGTCGGATGATTCCAGTTTAATGAACATTATCAGCGTCTCACGGCTGACGGTGATTGATTGTTACGAGACCGCTTCGTTGTTATAATAATCATCCATCAAAAGCTACAGGAATAATGACAATAATATTTATAACAATGATGATTGAGAATTGATGTCCGAGGAGCAGCAGCAACAACAAGAGTAATCTTACTGGCGGTGAAGCTTTTGGCCTCGGTCAATGTCGCTTGGATTGTTAGAGTGCAGCAGCGATTCATTTTCATCACTCATATATCTGTTCATGGAACGTGGAGCCTGATGACGACTTTTGAAGGCATCTTCTTGACAATAAACCTTGTATATTGCACTCAGGGAAAGTCTCTGGACTGAATTTCGGCTGCGAATTCGACGAGGACCGCTCGAGAGCGCGGCCGAGATTCCAAGAAGAAGTCCTGTCGAACTCCGATTTGGACGAAGAGGGAGCCATCGTCGCATTCCTCTCTCTGAACAATCTTATTTTTGTCTTCGAATTTTTCATTCCATTAGTCTCGTCCATTCCATTACCAGGAGAGCTTCACATGATTACACATAGAGGCTCCATAAGTTGATTTCACCCTGGATTTCACAGTTCACCCCACTCTCCCCCGTCTGAATGGAACGTCTAATGGGAGAACTTCGGACGCTTGGACAGACTTTGGTAGAGTTTCACCAGAAGCTCAGTCGAGTAGGAGTTTAGGAGATGCGGTATCCCTGCGGGGAACGAGTTCCATATGGCGAGGAGTGGAGGAGACCTTCGACAAAGGCGATCGTCTAAGATTCCGTCGTAGCCAACAGCATTCACCCAGACTTTGCTGCTTCTCGAACGCAAGCAATATCGAGAAGCGAGGCGACGGAAGCGTGTCGGGCGTCGGCAATCCGCAGCTGAATGTCGAATTCTGGCGAATTTGCGAGACTTGGAGCGCAACACCTGGAGCCCGATATCAGAGACGGCAGATGACGCACCGAAGGCATGTGGAGCTATCCCTCGAGAAACCCTCGGAAGTGTCGGAAGGGAGCTCATATGACCATAGTAGTCAAGCGAGCGAGGAGGAGTCTTCGGTTCAACAGCAGCTTATACGAGCTCATTCTCGTCTCGATGATGAGGAGTTGCCGATGAGTTCCTCAGGACCTCCGATCTCCGTAGGGAACAGGATCGCTCGTTTAATTTGATCTTCCGAGACAAGTCCGTTCCTAGCAAGGACTCGATTACGCTGAATATACTTCGTTCGATGACAATCATTTGTCCACTACCCAATGATCGCTCTGAGGCTGCGTTGGCTTTCCTGCTCGAGAGAATCCCCTCGAGACCCCACCGTGACGCGATGGAGCCTCACTAGTGCAATAGGGACAAGACATGCATGGGTGAACACACGTCGATACGGATCCTGCAAAACTTCCGTGTGGACAAAACGAACACTTTCGTCACGGGAATCCTTGTGCAATCGAGTTTATTTATTTTACCGCTATAGGAGGCCCATCGCTATAATTTGAATGTAGTCAAGTAGTCAGCTATGACAGGTTGAGATGCTCAATCGATCGACTGTGTGCAGCATGGGCTTTTGGCATTTCTTCCGACTCGCTCCGGAACCTATCCGAGCTTCTTGAGGCGAAAGCCGATTCTCGGTGTCCCTACTGGTCCTTCCCGAGAGATGGTGAGAGGAAAATCCTGGTCCCCTGAGTTCGTTCTGGCCAGGTGGGGAAAGTCGCCCTCGGTGGCGTTGTCTCCCTTCAGCATCAAGCTGATTCACTCGGATTTAAATTCAGATTCGAGCCGCAGTAGTCGCTCGACCGTACTCTCCTTCCAGCCTACGCCATTCCACGGTGAAGTCCGAGACAACCTTAGTGAGAATCCGTTTGTTTGAGCGTTCCCTGCGATATCGAACAAGTTAGTCAGTCTCGACCACCGAACTCGGGTCATCTCAGGTAGCAGCTAGGACTTCGACTCACCGCAGTATTTGGCGCACAAAGTTTGTTTTGCTGTCTTGGCTGACTCCCGGCAGAGCTTCGGGAACTTGAAGGAATCTGTTCAGCCACGAAGCTAACAACGGGAAAGCGCTCCGGTTGAGTGCAAGAAAGACGTCGGCTTCTTGTTCGATCAGCTTACGCGAGACCCCGCCGTGCATATTCTGAAAGTCGACAGGAGGTATAAGATGGTGCTCCGCACTTATCGGAGGGTAGGATCTCATGTTCGCATTTTGAGAGATAAAATCTACCTCGATGAGAGTTGCGACGATTCCCTCTCCGCATAGTTCCAATGTTTTCCTCAGGATTTCGATTCTCTCGGACGCGGTGACGAACTGGACCTGGAAGACAGGACGACTCGATAAAATCGATTTGGAATCGATGAGTCTGCCAGTCTATTGACGTAGAGGGCGTGACCATGTGGCTGAAATCGAGTTCGACTCACCAAATACTGTATGACGGATCGGAATGTGAACGTCTCGGGCAGTTTCGTGCTGAGAATGGCTGGTGATGGGGAAACAATCGTCAAGCTCACAGTGACGATTTGAAATATCAGTATTCGCTGATGATATTAACGTAGAGGGCGGGAAACTCACCGCACTTCGTACACTCCAACAGGGTCTCGATCGCGAAGCCATCGAAATAGGTGGCTCTCTTCTTGAGCAGAGACGCTAGCATCGTGTAGAAAGCTTCTACTAAGTCGGTGCGCTCATGTAAATCTGTGGAATGGCGGTACGTCTTTAGCTGTAGACCCAGAGAACATCGGATACTGCTAGTCGCAGAATCACGGCGCACCGAAGAAAGCTCACCATGTGCGAAGTACTTGAGGCACGTATCACAGAGGTTTATCAGGTGTTCTCCCAGCTCAGACGCATACGTCACCTTAGCGTGAGTCAATATCTGCCAGAGGTCGATGGGGATTAGAGAAGTCACAGTTCTTTCTCAGGTTGTGTTCGCACTCATCAAATTCTTCCATAGCGACTCTTATAGAGTAGGGAGCAGGGATATCGTACCGATGACGCGCATTCTATCACAGCTGCATTTGGTGCGGCTCTCTGTAGCTCACAGCAGAGACTCAACAGTTGTTTCAATAAAGGTCCCCGGTTGGTTGTTTCCAGTACTGGGACCGCCCTGCGTAGACACTCAGCAAGGCCGTTGACCACCTAGCGAATCGATGATCGATGGTGGCGAGAGAAGCGAAAATTTAGCGAACTCGGCGACCATAGGGAATACATCCGATTGATTCTGATGAGATTTTCGACATCACGGGGGAATGATTCCTTCCGCCTACCTTCGTATTAGTAGGATATTTTGCCGCGATTTGAGAGAATAAAGGTGCAAGTTGCTCAACTAGGTGCTGTCCGGGCTTCGAGCTCTGAGAGGGCCCGAACCCGTCTTGAAAACTCAATGACGAAAACATGGATTGCAAGAGATCCAAATTCTCGACCGTCGGGTCGATGAGGTCAGGATGTACCTTCGGATAGAGATTGGATCAAACCATGGACTCTTACTCGAATTCCATGCATACGGTAGCCCATGTCGTTCTAGATTTATCTCGAAGATATATCTTGTTACCTCGAAAGTATTGGTCATTTCCGAGAGCTGCATCACAAAAGGCGCCATCAAGGCCGTCAAACTTTGCAAGGCTTGATCAGTTGAACTCAGTGCCGACACCACGTGGCCCACTATAGCTACTAGACGCACTCTATCTCTGCAAGTGAATATCAGTGATCAGTTTCCTCTCATCCATGCGGATAGTCGAGGACAGAACATCGCTCGATTCCTTTCACGATACGATACCTGTGCTTCAGGGGTAGAGGACTCTGGGGATGGAGCACGATTCCGATGGCTTGGAGGATGTCATTCGCAACCGGGGCCAGGTGCTCTGCGTGAGCACGAGCAAGATCTTTCAAGGCCATGGAAGCTGCGAAAGAAATGCCAGGCTCTTGCAAGCCGCGGAGAAGAAGATGGACTGAAAAGGATTACTCGAATGGTAGTCTCGTCATCCCTGAGACCTGCAGCGAAATTCCGACGAGTTCATTCCTGGGACTTCGTGGCGGGAACACCCGTTCTTAGACTCACCCAGAGGTCCTATTTGCTGACCAGAGGTTTTCTCGGCGAAAATGCCGATCGCCGTCATAACTTGCGACATCACTTCATCATTCACAGCGGGGATTTGAGGCAATAGATCGAGTACTTCATGAACCACATTCCCGTGCTCTATACCGTCGGCCATTTCGCCTGTAAAGGAGATGTGTTCAGCGGACGCGGTCCCATGACCAATCCGGGAGGGATCTTGGATCTCTTTCGGTTCCCTTCACCCTCGACGAGAGGAGCCGGAACCTCACGATCAGGCAGGAGTTCCCGCCCATAAGCACCGAAATAATTTCTTCCGCAAGATAAAAATTGGTCACCCCTTTCGAGTAACCTGGAGAATGACGATGATCGAGTCAACAACGTTCAAAAAAAAAGCAGGAGGTATAATCCTTCAATGTCGCTCTCAACACTCACCGACGGCATTCAGAGAGAATAGGCAAGCTTCGATGGGTTTCCAATTATGAGTCGTGTTATAAGACGAGACCGCAGACTTCAGCTCGAATATAAGGTATCGGAACATGGATTTCGACAATAAAGTATGCACATAAACCTGGAAGACAAACGCCATGATGTGGGTCAGACACTGGGCTGGATTTCGGAAATGGGCGGAGAATCTCAGAAAGTTTCTCTCGACGCGGTGGACTTACGTAACAATCAGCAATATCTTGTCTGTAACATCTGTGATCTTCCATCTCATCGGCATCCATGCTACCATGGTCCGGGAGGCGTGATTTGGTGAGTAGCAGACGTACCAACTCCTCGTATACCGGGTGTAATTCGAGGGAAACTCGGCCCTTGGCTGAGACTTCCAAACGACTGAGATCATCCAGGAGCAAATGCCAGAAAGTCAGCGGAACTCTAGAGAGGATCTCGTCGACTGGGTAGTAACCCGGCGTCCCGATACACTCCTAGAGATAGATTCGTTTACAGTCTCGACCCCACAGCATTTTTCACGATTGATTCGAGCATGATCTCTCCGCCGCGGACGGGAAACTCACTAGGAGCATCTGTAGGAAAGCCTCCATGGCAGGCCTCTTTTCTCCTTGGAGGCTTTGAAGAATCACAGAACTATGGGTTTCACCGACACCTGAATATCGATGGGAAGGAATGAGGTTCCGCGCTCGAGCGAGAGAGCGAGTACTGCGAAAGATAAAGCATCTGGAACTTGCCCGCGAGAAGTGCATAAATGGAGAATAGAGATTCCTGGTCGCCTACGGCCTTCGCACTGTTTATGAAGGATCTGCACTGCGAAATCACTTGCACCAGTATCTCGGCGATCGTGTTGGGCAGGCGGAACCAATCAGGATGCGTCAGACAATTCACTAAAGCATCACACGCTGCTTCGTGATTATGGGGCACGTAGTCTGGAGGGGAAAAATACGGTGTGAGACAGAGCGAAAAGCGTCTTATGCTCAATATCTGGATCGAAAACCTAAAAGGAAATTCTTACTGAGTAGCGTTATGCAGAGGTCCGGTGGCATCGATTCCACGGAATCCAAACTGACCCACTGCGTGATGGCGCGCATTGAGACCTCTCGCAAGGCTGGATCAGCCAAGGCAGACGAGCAGAGTGCGAGAACATCCCTCACGGAGGGAGTCAAACAGCTCTGTGGTCCCTCGATCTTGACATTCTGAGAATGAGAAAAAGCAATAGTGTCAAATTTCGAACTAGTCGAAACGTTCCAACAATCGATTGGAGAGTTTTTCTGAAGGCCCATTACTCACTTGGTCCGGCAAGGCCACGAGAAATTCGATCAAGAGCAGAGGATGAGACGATTTCAGATTCGCTATCATGTCGTGAACAGCTGATTTCCAGAAGGCTGTTAAGGTCCGCGCAGCGAACGCTGAGAGCTGGAAGATTGAGAGGGAAATTTGAGGCTCCCGGAAAATTCGTTTCGGCCAGAAACCCGAACAACTCCGGGAGTCATGACAGGAAATGCTTTACCGTGACTGCCAGCTTCACTGACACCTGATTCGCTTGAGGTGTTTGTTGAACAGCGTGAGTGACTAGCGCGCTGACCAATTTCGTTCTCAGCGCGTTGAGCTGCTCATCGTTGAGATCATTCAAGCCTTGGCACACTTTGGCATGGAGCATGGAGCTCCCGATCAAGTGACACTTCAGGTCCTAGGAGCAAACGAGGGGAGGTAAGAGACCATGCGAAGAATTCGAGAGCTTCCTCGAGATATGGTCCGGGTCCGCCGAGCTCTCCCACGCCTCGATTGTACTTCGGAGCGTGCCTATGAATACACATGCAATAGAAAAATGCGTTCTACATAGCCGTTCTCAGCTGGAGCCGGAACTCACCTTCTCTGGAGCCAAAAGGTCCCAACAGAGTTTCCAAGCCTCTGGACTGTATTGGACACGATACAGAAAGGCATTCGCTTGCTGGGATACTGCCGGGCCGGAATTGGGATCGAAGAGACGCTCGATAGCCTGAAATTCAGAGCATCCTCATAGCACAGAGGAAAGGTTCGAGCCACCGAATCAGTCCGCTCCCGCTCCGCGACCGAACTGCGCGACACTTTCCCAGATCGAGATATTGCGCGCGCCTCGAAGAGGGATTAGGCGGTACCGTATCTCTTAGGTCTGGAATTCCCTGACAAGTGAAACGCGCTCACAAGAACACTGCTCTCCAGACTCGCTCGAGTCTGTCCCTATTTGCACTCACCCCTTCGATCATGGGTAAGTTGACCTCCATGAGTGCTGCACAGAGCTCAGCACCCTGGGATTCAGAACACACAAGATGAAACGCTCCACTATCGGACGAACTTTGCGAGCAATATTTTATTCTCCGACTGTATCTAAACGGGAGGCGATCATTTAGTCAAGAGTAAACACAACCATTCACCAGACCGATTCGAGGGAGAGGGGAGACCACCTCCAGACCCAGCGCTCGCCGCGGCCTGACGGAAAGACAGCCTGAGTCTACGCGACACCATAGCGTTCGTTCCTCTCGCACGGAGTTCAGGACATCGTAAGAGAATTCCTCCCTCTGGAAACGAATGCGAACTTCTCCATTCTTAGGAGCTCAAACAAAAGTCGTCTGCTCCGTTCACAGCTGATGACTGGTGATGATACAGTGCTCCCCGGCCGACGAACGGCGGCGGGTGGAAGGATCGAACGAGAGCGCTCACTCTTCCGCGGGACGAGTGCGAGGTGTGAGGGCGCGAGAAACCAGATAAGATAACTGAGGAGACGGTCATGACTGAAGGTTTCCGGGAGATTTGAAGCGTGTCAAGCAGGGGAGAGCCGCGACGTCGGTACAGACGATCCCGCTCCTCAGGACTTTGCTTCACGGACAAAATTCAATTATAGTTCGAAAAGATCTCTCAGAATATTGCATTCTGTGCAGGTCATCGGTCATTTCGTCAAGCGAATGCGCTCGCTGCATGGAAGTGGTACGTCATGATAATGATGATTCATTATTCATGATGATGCCGAGATATGATCAAGAAACCCCAGGAGTAGGAATGAGCTCTCTCTGGAAAATAGAGCTGGGAAACCCACCCAACAATCCATGGGGCATCCCGCGCTTCATGTCGCCGGAGTTCAACTCCAACTTTAGCACAGAGGTAGTATACCCAGGTTTCGACTTTCCTCCTCTCTCCTGGCTGCAACGGTCCCGAAATCCGACGATGTCGGTGAGGTCGTGGTGTCGTGTTCGATGGCCTTTGATCCTACCTCGTTGAATAATCTCAGGGCGATAATTTCCATGGGCTCCTGATCGTGTCCTCGTAAGTCATGATGTCGGCGGTCACTTATATTGCGAAAGACTCCCGAGGAATCGCGCACAAGGATGCCGAGGGGTCATATCCCTTCCCCGAACTCCTCATCAATGAATAATAATTTCAATAATCGGGTGATAAACATGGAAGCCAGTCTTTCTCAGCGGACCCAGAAGCTAGCCAGTCCTTGTCAGTCAAGTTTTCCTCCGTGAGGGGAAATATCACGGAAGCCTAAAATCATCACGACGAGGGCAACACAAGACTGAAAAAATGAAGAAACACCACATGAAGATCCAGGCACGACTTCGAATCCCCGATCGATTATCCCGCCAACGGAGCCGTGCGCACAGCTGAACCCAACAAGATAATCCGTCGGCCTATCCCGTGTCTCTCCATGAGCAGTCGAAGTGACCGATTCTGGATTGAGTTCCGTGATTACCAATGCCATCAACGGACTGCTCTCCGCAATTCGAAGTCCAAGAGAAGTGGGAAATGAATGTGGAATGTATCGCGCCTGCTTTCTTCCTCCCAATGGACTCAGAGAGGAAACGGCCGAAAAGCGGCGTTTCCAGTCCCGTAGTCACAATCAGGAGGGTAGGGCTCTCTAACGCCTTAATTAGCTTCAAGCTTATTCACCCCATGCGTTGTCTACTGTCTGAAAGTCTTTGGAATACTCCTTTCTTCAATAGTTGATGAACATCCTACCGAACTAGAGTATTTTTCCCTCGGTATTTTTCGTTTGCCTGAAAGAAAAGGTGATTCGCGTGGCTCAGTCTCGGCTGAGGCGAAGAGTTCCTCAGCCAGCGACCCCCTGACCCGGCGGAATTCTGGCGACCGAAGAAGAGCGGCATCGCTAAGGGACAACAAGCTATCGCGCAGGAAGCAAAGTGAAATCAAATATATCCCTGTGCTTATACTTCCCGGGTACAACCCTTGGCTCAAGTCAGAATACTTCCAGGAGCTCAGTGCCCACCCATGGCTCATTTCTTGGAATTTCGGAGAAAATATCCTTCATTTAATCCTGAGTGAGCGTGTACGTCTGGGACCAGAACTTTGGTCGGGGCTCGCCTTCCGTCCTATCTCCCCAGCTGAGTGAGAGCCTTCCTAATTGTCGCGTGAAAGTCAAGTGATCAGGAAGACTGATATCGCTGCTCTCTCTGGCCCGACCCGCGACCATTCCACATGTGTTTCCAATCGAAACACATGTGTTTCGTTCCCGATCGAGCCGACTCGTCCGACCTTCCAGGGCTCAGCGCTTGCGATCCGAGATAAGGTCTGCGTCGCCGAAGCCTTATTCGTCCTCCATCATTCACTCGTGAGAAGTCTCGCCGTTCGTATGTTGCGGTCGTTTATTGGCTCCACGAAGCATTTTTTCGACGCGCCTCACCGAAAGTCCGGAGCAGAACCGCCGCCGCGAAAGTGAGGTATCGTCTGCTCCTCTCTCTCAGCTGACCAGCCGCTGTGACCGGCTGCTGCCGCAGCATCGGCGGCGAGCGTAAGTCGCTCTTTTGCTGCCACCGCTACAGACGGAAATACAGGCAGCGTCAGAGCCGGTTTGCGTGTGGAGCCAACCGCTGTCACTTGGCCGACAGTTTCTCTCCTGTAAGCGTTCTCCGACAGCCATCTGCGAAAGCCATGGCGGATAAAATCAAGTGTGAGTGTTTCCGACATTCAATTCCCTTATTCTCACCGCAGCTCCGAACTGGATTCGAGCGGCTGGGGGCGATTCCCCATTCTGAATTTCGCAGCTCGGGTACACTCTCGAGATTGAAAAATGGGTCAAGTTTCCCACCTCAAGAATTGCGTGACTCCTGTAGAGGTAGAGCACGTCGAATCGATTTAGATGCGGGTGTTTCCGCTTTCATCTAATATAAACGCTCCACACCGACGCAAGCCGCGAAAATAATATCATGACTCTTTTGACGTTAAGTTCAACCTCAACCACCAAGATCCGTCGTACGCAAGAAGACGTTTCGGGCCTAGTTGCCACGCTGGCGTATTCGGCGCCTAATTTTTCGACGATCTATGATTCCGACTGGCAGCATATCTCGACGGGTTTTTCTGTGAGGCCACCGATGAGTTATTGTATTTTTCGAATTTGTAGGTGGACCGGTGGTGGATATCCTCGGAGATGAAATGACGAGGTGAGATCGAACAGGGGGGATCCTATGTCTATCAACCTGGTCCTCATCTCTTTCATTTGTGTTTTTCTCTTCGTGGTAAAAATAAAATATGCTTATGAATCCACAGGATAATCTGGGACATCATCAAGGAGAAACTGATTTTCCCCTTCCTCGACGTGGAGCTGCATACCTATGATTTGGGTATGGAGAACCGCGATGCCACCGATGACCAGGGTGAGTGGCGATGAATGCAGGCACCGATCGTAAGCGCGCTTCCTGATAACGCTCACATTGGGATCAAAGAGCGGTACAGGAGTCCGCCTCAGATGAGAATCTATTCGTGATCCTCCGCGCATAGTATCACTCTCCATAATCAGGACATGAATGAACCTTGAAACGCGTGTCCCCTCATCGGGATCGGCGGGGAGTCCTCCAAAAGTTCATTGACGTGGGTTGGCAATGAAAGAGATGCTGATTTTTCTGGTGTGAGTTTTCCATGAGCGAAGGTTCCATGATTTCCGGCGGGAGGCTCGGAGCAGAGCTCACGCAGTCGTCCTGAGGGCCTGAAGCGGAGAATGATGTTTGGAGGAAATCGTTTTCTGACTCCTTCTTCTAAATTTTCCGCTCCCGCAGTCGTCAGAGCCGCCGCCGATCTGGTGATTCGCAGAATTTTCACGCCTCGAGTGTTCTCTCGGCTGAGCATATCCTCTGTGACTTGCAGTGACGATCGATTGTGCGAACGCCATCAAGAAGTACAATGTCGGAATCAAATGCGCTACCATCACCCCCGACGAAGCCCGAGTCGAGGAATTCAAATTGAAGAAAATGTGGAGATCCCCGAACGGAACCATCAGAAATATCCTAGGAGGGACTGTTTTCCGGGAGGCTATCGTGTGCAAAAACGTTCCCCGACTCGTGCCCGGGTGGCAGAAGCCCATCGTCATCGGCCGTCACGCCTTCGGGGACCAATACAAGGCAACCGATTTTGTGGTGCCTGGAGACGGCAAGCTGCAAATTACTTTCAGCGGCGATGATGGCCGGACGATCTCGCATGAGGTCTTCCACTTCAAAGGAACCGGAGGTGTAGCCATGGCGATGTATAACACGGATGAGAGCATTGTGGAGTTTGCCAGGGCTTCAATGAAGTACGCGCTGGACCGAAAGCTGCCTCTTTACCTGTCGACGAAGAACACCATCCTCAAGAAATACGATGGCCGTTTCAAGGACTTGTTCCAGGATGTTTACGAAAAGGTGACTTTCCGCGTGGGATCCGATCGATATCGCATTTCGCACCCCATTGAATATAAGAAACGAGGGCCCCGCGGACGTAATAATCATGGATCTGTCTTCAGGAATTCAAATCTCAATACGAGGCTGCTGGACTGTGGTACGAGCACCGTCTCATCGATGACATGGTAGCGTATTGCATGAAGTCCGAAGGCGGTTTCGTTTGGTCATGCAAGAACTACGACGGAGACGTTCAGAGTGACTCCGTGGCTCAAGGCTTCGGGTCTCTCGGACTCATGACTTCGGTGCTCATCTGCCCAGACGGTCAGTCCAAGCCCTTTCATCTCAAAGATCGTTATGTGAGCTCGTGACCGACCTTAGCAAACTAGAGATCATGTTGAGCTTCCGGCTTCCAGGTAAAACTGTCGAAGCTGAAGCGGCCCATGGCACCGTAACGAGGCATTACCGGATGCATCAACAAGGGAAGGTGAGAAATGATTGTCTCGTAGCGCCAGATCGTCGCCTTCAAATGATTGGAAGAGTTTTAACCATCTTCTGTCTCCTTCCTCACGCTGTGGATTCTTCTTATTAGGAAACGTCGACAAACCCGGTCGCTTCAATTTTCGCGTGGACTCAAGGCTTGGCGCATAGGGCAAAGCTCGATTCCAATGAGAAGCTCGCGAAGTTCTCCTCGGCGCTCGAAGCTGTCTGCGTTGAGACCATCGAAGCCGGTTTCATGACCAAGGATCTTGCTTTGTGCATCAAGGGCTCTCTCGACAAGATCGAGAGGTCGGACTATCTGAACACGTTCGAGTTCTTGGACAAGATCGCTGAGAACCTCAAGAAAAAACTTTCACAGTGACTAGTTCTCACAGAGAGCAAGCTTTGATCTTTTGTGTGGGGCAGGGAGGCCATCTCTTCCCTCTTAGTCTGACGCTCTCGCTCAACGAGTTACCACTCACCACCTGTGTAGGAAATTCTGAGAATTTTTCTATGTGACCTAGTGCAATTGATGTGACCGACTGATTTACTGGAAGTCTGCAATATTTCTCAAAATAAAGATCTGATTTTGTCCCTGACGAGCGACAATATTCTTGGGTTTCGCTCTCTTGACCTATCATGTGGCATCGGGAAGAGTCGCGACTTAATCGCTATGATCGCAGAATCGAGGCTGAGAATGAATGATCACTTCCCCGTTTTGGTCTTCACTTCCTTTCATTTCTGAGCTCTTCACAACTTTCCGCTCCTTCGAGGCAACAGAGAAGATCAAGCCCTTATGGCTGACTGCGGCAAATCAATAAGATCGTATGTTAGCTCGATATTCCGCACACCGCCGAAAAAATCTGTGAGCTGCGCTTCCTTGACGTCGCGTTGGAACAAGTTTTTCCGCGTAGCCACCGTAGAGATGCACTGGCTTTTTGGGCAGACCTACGAGCAGAGAGAATCGGTGCCGTGAGATACTGAAGGAATCGTCACTGCATCGAGAGCATTGCCGGCAGGCAATCTATAAGATATCAAGAATATCCCACCTTGAAGAACTCATGCATGCTAACAAGGCTGTCCGGTCGAACCCTCTCCAGGAACTGCAGCACGTAAAATGTGTAGCGATCAATGACGTACACACCGATGCGCGAGTCGCCGTGGTGCGAGAGACTATCCTCGTCCACTCGAGACGAGGATATTGCGAGGATGTTCGGCGAGTAGAACGTCAAGAACATTGACTCAGAGTGACACGAGTCAACAATGTAAAGAACCTGCGGAGATCGTAATCGAAACATTGTCAAACATCATCGGTACATACCTAATCGGGGAATCCACTCCCGGCGCGGCTCAGGAGTGGCTTCCGAGCGAGCACCGGCCTCATAGCGGTACATTCTACGCGCGGAAGGCGAAAAACTCTACTTCCGTAGAATCGTGGTCCCCGCCCTGACCAGAGCGCGGAGCACACGAAAGGCGAGGAGCTCGAATACTAACCTCGTGGTAGCGCCGCATCTGCCACATTTGTTCGAAAGCGTCAGCGAGTTCGACACTCGTCAATTCTTTGCTATCTTGGAATTTGAGGAACCCCTCCCCACCATGTCCTGTCATGTACACGAGGATATTGGAGTGCTAGAAAAAAACACAACTCCGTATTTTTCCAAGCAGTGACGATGACGGATCCCTCAAGCGGATAGCGTCTCGAGCTCGAAGAACTCGACTCCTTGTGCGAGGACGCTTACCTCGTCTGTCTGCAGCCTCTTGCTTGTCGGAGTGTTCTCCGGCACTCGTCCAGTGAGGAGCCTACCGATGGAGGTTAGGTGAAGAATCAAACACAATAACTTCGCGAAGCTGAGAGATTTATGATAAATCCGACATACCTGATGAAACTCTCAACAGTCACGTCATAGTTTCTGTAGTCGACCTCAACATCATCCCCATAAACATTTATGGCTTGCTCTCTGTTGTTGAAAATGGTTGCAGGCGAAGGGTTCCGAGAATTACAGGCCATGTCGTCGGCTAGAATGACCATCGATGAGTGATTAGTGATCAGCTCTGATGCGTGATCTCATTCTGAGAGAATCAGGACTACGCAGAGTTACATCGGCTAGAATCGGTATAGAAGAAGTTGGGCACCTAGCATGAGTATGATGCGGGAGTCGGGGATCCCGAGTCGCTTCACGCTGCGGTAGATAGAAAGCACGTTGGCTACGTGCCGATAGTTGAACCAAAATCGAGAAGTGCAAACGAGCACCGCCCAATTGTTGGTATGGCCTTTCTTGAAGAAAGTTCCTATCTGTTGTTGATTTCTCTCTTCTGTTGAATTCCCGTCCGCCCTCGATAGCATCACGACAGAGATGAGTAGAAACGTGAACGACATGCTCGATGAGCTCTTCATGATGGTCGCTGAAGCCGCCGGGACGATTGATGGAGCTCCCTGCTCAACCTCGAGATTCTCAGGAGCTTCCCAATATCGATTCCTCCCTCTCAAGAAGAAGGCTCACGAGGAGGCCCCTTTCGCGGCTTTCTGTGACCTCAAGATCTCCACATAGGAATCCATTTTCATTTTACCGACGATTCCAGCGGACGTCAGAGCGCAAGCGGTGGGCAGGATTACTCCTCCACGTTTGAGCTTCAAGACCTGTAATCAGAACGCTCTTGATACCCCATGCGCCACGACGGAGCTCGGGCGGAAACTCCGCCGACCCCTCAAATTCACGAAATTCACCTGTTTGCCGTTATTGACGATGAAGACGGCTATTGCCGCTGCCGAAATGGAGTACAAGACGGTTCGAGTTATGGCCTCCGGACACGAAATATCGGAAATCTTCTCGGGCTGCGGTTCCGACCCGACGCGGTGCATCTGCAGTGAGGTTCAGGTCGATTTCAGATGAAGTCCAATCGCAAGCGTCTCGCTCTCGCTCAGGACTCCGAGTGACGCAAAAATACTTCGAAGCGAAACTAGAAGCCGGTAAACATAGCTGAGACATTCCGCTGATTTCCCAGGCTCGCAGCAAGACTTTTGGGGAAAAGTCTTATTGCGTTGATTCGCTTTGCTGCTTAGGATCGACAACTTACGGCATGCGAGCTTCGGTTCTGTCGATATCCGGTGTTTCTCTTTCACGGGGCAGAGCACGAATCCGAAAATCGACTCAATCAGCTGACGACCCGAGATATAAGAGAAGAGAGCTCCTTCACCGTGTGTTTGTTTTCGAGAGGCCGCCGTGTCGTCTGCTGCTGCATTACATCGGGAGAGAGATTCGCTGCTCGCTCTCGAGGTCGCTCGGATAAAACTAAGCGGCAGCTTGATATATCAAACAGGTATCGGCTCTTCCCGGACTTCCCTCCTACTTGGGAACATAAAAATTCCATTCGTTCGCGTTCCCCGCAGTTCAGTGGGAAACGCCCATGCGAATGTCTTGGGAATAGAATTCCGCTTCTTGGAGAAGGTCGATGAGACCACGCTTGGTCGACGATCGGACGGAGTTTTCGCTGCCTTCCAAGGAGACATCTTGCTCGAGCTCCCTCTCTTGCTGGCTAGTCCTCTTCCTAACAGTTGGTCTCATCAGTTGTACTCCCGCGGATGTCAGAGCTTTGATCGACGCCAGTCCCACTTGAATTCGCTCTCCGCTCCGGGCTGCATACACGGGACTGAATAAGACGGAGCATTTCAAGCTTACACTTGGACATTCGCTTTATTCTTTTTTCGCATAGACGTTCGACAGTATCTCCTTCAATTCATAAGGAAGAATTCGCGATTTTTGTAGATCTTGGAGATCGGCAACATCTCCCGACACAGCAGCTGCGGAGAAGACATATTACTGACACACAGCATCAGTCTACGTGTTCCGAATGCTCCTCTTCATCGACCGAGCATCGAACTGCAGGCTTACGAAACTCCTCTCCGCGTCCTAATCCATTCAGCTCGATTTCGGAGGCGCGACGAGCAACGAGCTCGAGCCACTTTGATCAGAGAGGCAGCCTCAAGCGGCGCGAGGCTCGTGCGCTTGATCTTAATGAATTTCTATCAATTCTTCTATCCAGCTTAAACTGGTCGGAATGCAGCCCCATCGAGACGTCTACAGCTTGGTAACATTACATCTAAGAATGGAAACAGAATGGGACATATTTTAGAGCAGGATGATACCGCGATACGAGAGCGGAAAACGGAACCCGAACTGGTTTGGGAATTCGAGCGTTCTCGATCGATAAAACACACGCTTTGGACAGAAACTCTTTCTCGAGGCAAAATCAGAATAACGTCGGAGAATTTCGGGACTTAGGAAATAAATTCTCGCTAGGCGATTCCTTCGGGAGGGCGACGAATCAGGTAGGAGAAAGAACTAACGCGGAACAAGCAAACAATAAGAAATAAGTGGGGCGGGATCGAGGGGGACCTCGATACGAAGCCGACGAGCCTCGTGCTCATATATCATCGATATCGAGATCGTCTCCGTCATCCTCGTCGGCTGGTGGGGCTTTTCCGTTGTTGTTAACAGTGTTCCCGTTTGGTTTCGGAGTTGTCTCCTTCACTTCACGCAGGCCTTCAGCTGTGTGACGGTCATCGTACTCTATCTCCACAGCATCTGAAAAATTGGTGCCCGATTCGATTAGTTATCGGGACAGAAACCTCGGCCGAATTTCACATGGAGTTCCTCCGGATACCGCAGCCGACGTCCGAGTCGGGGTTCCAATACTGACCTTCACCGGAGTCCTCGTCCTCGCTTTCCTCTTCCGCGTTCTGAAGCCAATCGATGAAGGGTTGGGCCTCGTTGTGGATGAGCTGGGCGAAGTCCTTACCCACGAATCGTTTGCTCACCTGAAGCACAGCATAGCGACATGTGAGGTAGAATGCCTCGATAAGGTCCGGGGAGTATTGTAACTGAGTCTGATCAATACTACTGATTTCTATTCCAGGTGGAGAATTGGTTGAAGTCTCTGACAAACCTTTTTCGACCACTCGATGAGGGATTCTTCATCGACTATATCGAAGTCGTAGAGAGTCTTCAATATAATGGCGGTCTTGGGCAATAAAGTGTCCTTGTGGAGCTTGATGGATTGTTCAATGGCTATTCGAGAGCAAAATTCGTTGTTTAGAGTTTGAAACCCCCAGCATGATGTTCAGGGTTGTAGCGGTGGATGCTGCGAACTACGTATGCTTACCTCCTAGCAAATATTTCTGAGCACGTCTATTGTCGCGTGAAAACTGGACGAACAGCTGAGCATGAGCTTTGATCAGTTTGACGGCGTCGTTGTTGAGAATGAGCTCGCAGAGGATCATCGATGCCTTGTCTTTGATCTCTAATCGGGAGGCTTCGGCCAAGATGGCCTTATACTGTTCCGAGGTTATGGGCATTCTATCCTTAACAAACTTGAAGAAGATCGTGCTCCTCTCTTCCTCGCTCTTATCAGTATCAGCGTCCAACATGAGGGCTGTAAGACAGTTGGTTCTTTCAGAATATCTCAGAACTTTTGCTTAGGACTCGATGGCTCGAAGACACCCTCCATCCGAGGAGAGACGGATGCACAAGCGCATGATACCCTCCCCGATTCGGAATGGATCACTTACACTTAGCGCCCACGCTGAGCTCCTGCATTCTCCTCTTCATAGCTTCGGTGGAGGTATCCTCGATCCAATCTTCATCGAAGTCGTCTCCGAAATCGGCATCGTTCAGAGCGTCCGCGTGTTTGATGTCACCTGTGAGAATTTTCGTAAGATATTAGCATCGGACCATTTTTGCTGTTGAGCGAAATTTGAATTAAATCGGGTGTAGTCGGCACATCGATCGATGAGCTCAGTCGGATCTGATTCTGTCAAGGAAATCATTCATGAATTGACATGGCCCCAAGTCATTCGATTCCGCCGGCGCTCGCAGCCGGCCGCTGCATCGAGTTGCCTCATTGTTTGAACGCGGGGTTGCGACACGTTCGCGGATCACGTTGGAGTCATCGGCATGGCCATCTGCGTGTCACCGCACTTGTTTGCCTCCTGTTCACTCGTCTGTGATGGTTGGTGGATTCGTGTGAATGAGCGAGGGTGCATGGCGTAACAACATCGAGACCAAGAGAAAACGGTATCGCAACGACACACACTGGCGCTGCGGTATTTTATGAACCGTCGCGCGGCAGTCGTTCGTTTTTCGAAGGATTCCCGCAGCCGGCGCCCTAGCTCCGGAACCCTTCGGAAGCTGAACAGCCGCAGAGAGAAAATAAAGCGGCACCATTTCCAAATTCAGCGATTTATCCGAAGCTAATTCAGACGATGGTGAGCGTGAACTTCATTCAGCCTAATTCCCTTATCTCAAAAAATGAATTCACTCGATTTTGACTGTGGAGCTATGTTTGAGCGCATCGTGGTAACAAGAAGATCTCCGAGCGCTCTCGCAGAAAGCGAAATATTACTTGGACAGCCCGACTACGAAGAACCACGAAACGAGACGTTGTTTCATTGTTATCTGGACAGATCGCTGCTGGAAGTGATGGCACATGGCGTCTATATCAGGTCCGCCGTATTACGCAATGATAGTAGTCCTTTCCCTTCTCGAGCAGATTACTAACTGTTCTCGAATAATCCTTGATGCTCGAAAGTCCGTCTCGAGATCATTATAGGAAAAAAGTTCTATCACCGGATTCTCAAGTTTTTTCTTGTTTAAGATACTACGATTCTTAGAGTTGCTAGTGCACAGATGCTAGCGAGCACTTCGAATTGCGAAATCCTCGAACGGTACCATGCGTAACATTTGATTTTCAGGCTGTCGCCGCAGATAAAAACGTGTATCGTCGTCAGGAGGCGACGTTATACCGTCTACTGAAGATTATTAGCTTCTTGCGGAACTCCACTGCCATCGTGAATAAATACCATCGAATCGCCAGGTTGGATCCGGCCGAATCCCGAAAGATTAGAAGTCTCCTATCCTTCCGCATCCATTGCAGGAAGAATTTGCTTAGGAACTCGGTTCCCGACACGGCCCCGCAGCGGAATGCGAACGCGAGTGCTCGAATGAAGCAATTCAAATATCGGAAGCTAGACCGTTCTGGGAATACTACAATCCCTAAACCCGCATGCAAAGTTTCGTCTGAAGGAGCTAGTAAAAAACATCCACGATCGTAGCTTCCAGAGCGGCGAAATTGACGAGTAGATTCTCTTCTGCCTTGAGTAATGGCCTCTGTGAATGAACAAGGGAAGTATAGTCCAAGACACATCATAAGCGATGGAGGTCTGGTGGAGTTCGACGCGCCACGAAACTCCTGACTGACATCGAAGAAGTTCATCGGAATCCGGCGGGGCCCGCCATGTTTGAACAGCTTCCCGGGCATTTCACGAGGCCACTGGTCAGGGTTGATCAAATACCCTTCATTGTTAAGGAACTTGATTTGACGCGCCGATAGTAACGTCGAGCCGAAATAGGTGCGCGTTGTTTCGTGTTCGCAGCAAGCGGAAACATCACGGTCGTGCGATGTGAATTCACTCTCTCAAAGTGTCGATCAGATATCTTATGATGTCGGAGAAACTTAGACATAGGCTCTGAGAGCTTGTTGGACTCGAAATGGGAGGATGGGGACTTGAGAATCGAATGCATGAAAGTGAACGAACAGGAAGAAAGAATGCTTGACTAATCAGAATAGAAAGCGACCTACCGGCGTCATTCTCCTCAGCCGAGTTGTTGGGCGAGGCGTCGTCTTTTTTCTTCTTGTCCTTCTTCGGAGTCTTGGCATCCTTGGCCTTGACGTTGGTTCCCTCCGGGGGGTTCTTGAGGATGAAAGTATTTAGCTTATGGTTGGTTTCCAGCTGTCCGGAGTGACCGCAGGCTTTGCATGCTGTGGTGATGATTCCCCTCTTCTGCAAAACGGTCAATACGGTCTCGGGATTGTCGCACGAAGCGCAGAGAACGTATCTCTTGATAAAACCGTCGAGAATCTCCTGCAGTTTATTAGCGTCGTGTTGACCATTGACGATGAATCGGTCGCTTTTGGCGTCGCAATGCGTTTGAGAACCAAGTTCGCAGCCGAAGTATTTGGTGGGGTAGGCTGGAGGCCTGCTCAAGGCCTTGGCGATGTCGGTCATATTGACAATAACGGTTTTGATACCGTTACCCTTGCCTTCGACTTTGGCGATGAGTTTCGGCATCTTGTATCGATAGAACTGGTCGTTCAAAGACCTGTTGACGTTGATGTTTGTCATGATGCTGCTGTTTATGGCAAACAACAAGAATTATCGACGACTTGAAATGGAGAGACACAGAACCAACACAATGCTCGGCCTGAATCAGCGGTTAGGAGCTGCCTGACCAAAAGACAGCAACTCGCTCCCGGGTTGTCGTTGATGTTGGAGCGAAAAAGGATTCAGTGAGGAAATTTGATGGTGAATGTCGCTGCAGGAGGAGCTGCAGATGATCTAGCCAGCGACGGCGATGATGTTGGTGGCGGCGACGTTGGCTGCAGCAGCAGCTTCGAGGTATGTAGAACGGAGAAACAATATTGATTCAGGAGCGATGAAGAAAGGTTGTCAAGTCAGTTGGCGAGACGTTGTTAGTAGGCTCTGTCGTTGAGGTGGTTGTTGTTGTTGACCGAGCCGAGCCCGACTGCTGCTGCTGGCATCTATGGCCTGCGAGCTTTCTGTGACGTTGCCTGGAGCGCGTCGTGCTGCCGCTTTGATTGACCCTGGGGGTCGTGTACGGAGATGAGGACGCCGGGGAGCGCGCGGCTGACCGGAGTCAAGACACGGCAGGGTGACAACACCGCAACGCACACCACAAACCCTCATAAACAAAAAATCCACCGATGCCTCGCTCACGGCGAACCAACGATCAGGGCAATAGCCAGATGGGCTATGCGACGACACCGTCAAAAGCAGCAGTGTGTCTATTACAGATCAAATCCGTCGGTCTCACTCACTCACTCTTGCTTGCTCGCTCGCTCTCTCACTCGGATAGAGTGACTAAAGGAATGAAGGGCTGGTTCACTTTAGCAAGCCGCTCGAGCTTACGTGCTCTCTTGATCGGTCCGTCCGGAACTTTGTTCGACTACGGATCCGTCCAATCGTCCGACGTTCGGTCTGCTCGGAGGGCTGCTGTTTGGCTGACGATGGCCTCGATACAGCAGTGGTAACAGCAGGAGCGAGTCCGAATCGGTAGCTTCCAAATATCACTCTCGAGACGATTGAGAAGTCGACTTGATGAACGATCGCTTACGCTCACCGAATGAGAACTTCAACAGACACCGAGTACTTCCGTATGATCCACCAGTATGGCCTGCTGCTGAATGATGACGTCCTAACCGTGGATAGGGCGCTGGGTCTCTGGTCAATGAGGTAGCCGCAATGGGAGCAGACAGACGACGACGAACTACCACCAACCACACGAGGTAGCGGCGGCGCGAAATGAGCGAGAGGGAAGACCCTCTTTCCCGAAAAAGTGAAATCAGAAGAACCTTTCCGACGGACACGCAGGATTTCTCGGTTTCAGCTTCGAGATCGTGTACGATTTCTGCGCCGCAGAGTACTCTGAAAGGGGAATCGTCGATTTTCAGGTTTCAGGATAGAGAATGCTTCCAATGCCGACGACAAAGAGGGCCATATCCTGAAGAGAGGGTCGACCGCTGGAGACCTCAGCGCCCTCTGGGAGCTGAAATTCGACCGTAAGCTCAACGAAATCCTTTCCTTCGTCGTATCGTATCAAAATTTCGAGAAGATCTGAGATGCAATTAGGGGGAGCGACGAGTACATCCACGCACCGTAGAATCAATCAAGTTCGTCCCTCATTTGGCATCAGTCTACGCTGCCTCGGCGCATGACGAAACATGTCTCTTTTAATGTCTCTCGAAGTGCCGCAGAGGCTTAAAATCGACGTTCATAGGGTATTACAGAGTCGGTCCCTCGTCATAGACTTTCGAAAGTTCCCCGAGAGGTTTAAGGGGGCAACAGTTGTTCACGAAGAGTCGATATTGACTCCCAAAGGTGAAGAAAATCCTCTCCTCGGTATACTCAAGTGAATACCGTCCAGCGCCTCACCGAAAATAGCTTTAGCCGAACCAGAAAAGTCATATGAGTCGATGGAAGCCTGTCCACGGTACCTTCGAGTTCCAAAGTGAGGAAAACTTGTTGACGTTCCGGGAAGGTTAGATACGCGTTCGGGTCTGGGATTTACTTCGGTCGATGATGGTGCTGTTACTGACCCGTGGGAGAGGGGAGCTCTTCGGACAAGAATGATGTTGTGCAGTGCGCGGATGGGGTCGATTCGCGATCCTCGATTCCTCATCCGGTCCTTCTGTTCGAAGAAAAGTGCTCGACCCTCATCGTTCCAGGTCGACGGCGAGATATATCCGACGGACGACTTCACGAACGTTACGCCGACGATTCTCCGGCACGTCGAGAGTAGGTTAACAGGCTGACCGTTTAAGCAACACGCCGTATGATTCTTCTGAAATTTCTGCCTCGGGCGAAGCTCGGGAGCGAAACTTCGTTTTGATCGTCGGAATAAAGAATCACAAGGCGACCTTTTACGAGAGATATTTGCTTCACGGAGAGTAGGAGTAGAAATGAGAAATCTCTCAACCTCCATAGACTCTTTCCCTCTGTATCAGTGGGGGCGGCTGGAGGAGTCACGTGTCTTTGACATTTTCCGGGAACTTTATTCACGACCCCAATGAGCGTGCTGGGACGAGAATTATTCTTCTCCAAATTGGAAAGCGTTGGAGAACGAAAGAAGTAACGTCATGTCGTTCATACTTCAGATCGGTGTCGACCGCTGAAAACTTTTCTTCATGTACGAGTCGTACTTCCTGGCAATAGACAGAAGATGTTCTACGGGCGCTGATTTCGCTACCAACTTCAATCGGCTCCTTTTCCAGGGAAACTCCACCTCCAGCCGAAGCACCCGATAAATTTGTTCAAACAGCGGATCGTTGCTCATTTCAACAAAAAATTCTGCAACCGTCGAGGCACCCCAATATTCTCCGTGTTCGATAGACTCTCGCCCGTCGTCAGCCTTGAGCAGGTGAAATCTCGATCGGGACTAAACCCGGCGGTGAACACGAGCCTCGTCGCTCGGCTACGCGACCCTCCTGACGATTTTCGTCTCTTGCAGAACTTCGACTCCCTTCTGGTGCCCGCAAATCACCCTTCTCGCGCGAAGAGCGATTCATATTACATCAATGAGAATCTTATGCTGCGAGCGCACACTTCGGCTCACCAGAGAGATTTGATAGCGTCCGGCCTCGACGCTTTCCTTGCCATAGGCGATGTCTATCGCCGCGACGAGATTGACCGAACGCATTATCCAGTGTTCCATCAGGTCGAAGGAGTTCGACTCCTCACCAAGGAGCAGCTCTTCAAGAAACAAGCTGACAGTCTCAACCTTTTCGAGACCTCATCCACCGCATCGAAAGTCGACATCGATAACAAGCAATCATGCCATTCAATGGAAACCGCAAAGCTGTTAGAACATGAGTTGAAGAGCGCTCTTGAAGGCATGGTTTCCGATATTTTCCAAGAGAAATTGGAATTCAGATGGGTGAGTCTGAAGGGTTCGAGCGACCGACTAGATCTGATTAATCTCGCATCGCCCTCAGAATATTTTTCGAGATTCGACTCGATAGAAAATTTTCCTTTTTACTTCATACGAAAATCTTCATTAATCAGCGAACGTCCCCGGAAGATCTTGCGGTGAGCTAGTGTTCGCAGAACGCGTTGTCTGGCGGTCGGGAGCGACCACTCCCTGCTCCGTCCAGAGAATGTGGGCATCTGAGCCCCGCCGAGACGGGTCGAGAATAATGGAAGTTCGGACCGTCTCATTCTCGATCTCTGGCGGAGCTCGGGTTGATGTGCCGGGGAACGGTGTCTCCGGAGTTTTGCGAGCGCGGAGACGGGTCGGGGGGCTCATGGGCTGGTGAGAATTAACGCTGCCTGATCCCATCATCCGCAGGTCGACACATATTTCCCGTTCACGCATCCTTCCTTCGAGCTCGAAATCAAGCTCAACGATGTATGGATTGAGTGTCTTGGCTGCGGTATCGTTCGACAAGAAATTCTTCGGAAGGCTGGAGTTCAAGAGAAGGTACCGAGACTATCGAATCGAAGCTCACCCCGTGTCGAGTGCATCATTCGATTTCCGGCCATATGACTTCATCTGTATCTTCAGGTCGCTTGGGCATTCGGAATAGGTTTGGAGCGGATCGCTATGCTGTATTACGGGATTGAAGATATTCGGTCATTCTGGAGCGAAGACCCGGGCTTCAACGCACAGTTCAACTTCTCCGACCCTTTCAAGAGGATACAATTCAAAGCAATCTCAACGCACCCCGCTTGTATCGCAGATATGTCCTTCTGGGTACCGGACCAGTTTGAGCCCAATGACTTCTACGACATTGTAAGTTGCCCGCTCCACCTCCTTGGAATCGGCGGAGTTCTCATCATGGAATGGCTCCTCGGATTCATTGACGCATGAGGGATTCGGAAAACCTTCCAGGTGCGATCGATCGGAACCGATCTCGTTCAGGAGGTCGCTCAGATTGACGTTTTCAAGCATCCGAAAACGTCGCGTACTTCGCATTGCTACCGGATCACGTATCGACACATGGACAGAGCACTGACACAAAGTGAAGTCAACGTCATCCATAATTCGATCGCCCAAGCCGCGAAAGGTGCTCTCGACGTAGAACTGAGAACGATCGCAAATGTGAAGTCTTAGATTGCTCCGGTGGATCTGGAGCCTCCATATCCACCGTGGATGTAAATAAATTGATTGAAAAAGGCAGATCTTTCCTTTCATAATTTTCTTCTAGAGTTTGAAGTATCTGGGCCGCGATTGACTCGAGTTTCTCTCCGAGGGAATTCCTCTGTCATTCAGGGTGGAATCCGGACTTAGAGGAATGCTGACCAAGACGATGGAGCGGACCGCGACGTCTTTCGAGCTCTCAACCTCCAGATGCTCCCCTGTCGATCCGAGAGGGTCACCTGCCTAGGTGACGCAAAGCCCGCTCGGGCTTCGACGGCGCCCGACCACCGTTAAGCGTGCAATCTCGGACGCTTCGTCAAACTGTACGCAAGTAACTGACGACTAGGAGTAAGAAACGCTTAGTGATCACTTGATCCTTCCCGTCGCGCTTCATGCTCCAAACTTTACTCTGAAGCTGAACCACGAATAGAGTTTTTCGAGATGAACATTAGAGCCGGTGCAAGCTCGCGGTGGTTTATCGTTCATGCGGCGTCACCGCTCTGTATCCGACGCTTCACGTAATCCTCGCAGCAGGGATCGCCTTCGTCCTCCTCGAACTCCGATCGGCAGAATTTTCTACCGATGCGCCGGACATGGCAATATGGAGTGCGGTTTTGAAGGTTGCAGAATCGAGTATATTCGCCTCACCGAGGGAACGCCACAGCACAACCGGAGTCCGGAATCACCTGGTGAAGCTCGGGAAAGCGGAAGGCAGATCTCGGCGGCTGCAGAAGATCGGTGAAGCCAGAGACCAAATCAGTTGAAGTCCTAGGGCGACTTCGGCGACCGTCTCCCAGCTGAATGCCCATCAAAGGATTCCTGAGTGGTGAGAGAGTCTCAACCGACTCCTTCTCTGATGGGCAGAAACTTCGAGACAGTCAATTTAGATTTCGCGCGTCGCCCTAGTTTGCGGACATCTACTGGATGACTCAGAGTCCACGCACGAAGTGAAAGCGCCGCGTTTACGCCAGGGTGGCTCTTTCACAGTGTGTGCCGATGAGGGGACGTTCGTGGCGGAAGCGATCCATCGCAGTCGTGGTACTCGGGACTCCTTCCTCGGGCGCCGAAAGTATGGAACTCGGCGGGCGATTTTTTGGAGGACTTCCGCTCAATTCGACCTGAGCTCTGCCCTGCCGACCACGGGATATCAAAGAATGCTATGTCTGCTATGTTCAGCTCTGCTATGACACAAGAAGAGCGAAACGAGCATGGAGCTCTTCCCGCGTATCCAACTGAACCTTTCTTCCTCCCGCCTCCCTACCTACGCTTCCCACAGAATCTTTGGGCGGTTACTCGAGTGGTCAGCGACGAAGAAAACCAAGGAGTGAATACACACGATATCGGACGGAGGCGTCCCTCGGGGCTCCGTGGGATACTTGCATGCGGGAAGAGTTCGGAAGCGGATGGTACGGGGCTCGGTATATGGGACAGGGAGGTAGGAGAGGATGGAAGAAATCGCCCGACGGCGATTCAACATTCAGCGAAGATCACGAGCATCATCTACCGTAGGCTCGGTGGTAGCGCCAGCGAAAGAGGCAGCGGAGTGGTGGTAGCGCCAGCAATAGAGGCAGCGGAGAGCAGCAGCAACTAGCAGTGACTACTAAGGGAGTCAAGTGTCCAAGATGGTGAGTGAGGATTCGAATTGGTCTCCGTAGCACCTGCTTCGAAATTAGGGGAGGCTATGATGAGTTCCTGGATCGCTTACTCAGGAGAGGAATCTGCTTAGTCCGCTTGAATGAAGCACCTCCGGGGTCGGTCGATCCAGGGATTGCAGCATTGTCAAAATGAGGAGTATAGTGGTCAGGTTATCCGTCACTTGGGTTTCTTCTCCGACCGGCGGATCTCGATGAGAACTCTCAGGGGGGTCGAGAGGGAGCCTATCTCATCTGCTCAGGGAATGAATGTCGGATTCGGCTCGGAGAAGTCGGAATGTCAAGCGCTTCCCCTTTTATAGCCGAAAAAATACGTGTTCTCTTGATTCTCTGGAAAAACCGGGGTCGGTGGGATAGTTTCGGACGCGGCCACCATCTTCTAGTCGGCCCTACTAGAATAGGAGGGATTGGGTACCCATTTTAGAAGCGCAGAAATCCACGATGGTCTTTCGGCTCAAAAGAACCCTACTTCAAAAATGCTTCTAGGCCGTGATTTAATACTGCGAATAGAGAGACTGCTGACGAACGCTCACAATGGATCCTTGGACGATTCCTCCGGAAATGAGGGCCAAGTATGACGCCCAGTTCGAGATCATTCAGAGAGGAGGGGCTGTCACCGGCGATGTGGCTCGCGAACTCTTTTTCAAGAGCGGTCTGCCACAACAGGTGCTCGCAAAAGTATGGTGAGTTCATGTGATTTTCTTGGACTCAATCACGCTAATGGTGTCGTGACTCGTGATCTGTGGCTCTGTTCCGTCAGGAGATGATCGGGGGGAGGGAAGGGGAAATGTTCCTCGCACCCCAAGGTGATCTCAATGGGATTTACATGAATTCTTCTATTCAGGGCGCTCGCCGATATGGATTCCGACGGTCGAATCGACAAGAAAGAATTCTCCATCGCCCTATGGCTGATCGCGATGAAGTTGAAGGGCATTGAGGTTCCTGATCGCTTACCACCTTCTCTCCTGGCTCCTCCGCCACGTCCACCTCCGTCGATCGATCCTTTCGTAGCCACGGGTGCTCCACCACCGAGACCCGGGCCGCCGCCAGTACCACCGGCGCCACAAAGTGAGTTTTGCGCCCGGAGAAGGGAATACGAGCTGCGAACTGCTAGAGACGTATCGAGATGGACGCGGGGGTTCCCGCTCATTTCGAAAGTTCGATCTGCTGAAATCTCTCACCGAGTCTTTCCTTCCATCGAAAGTGGCTAAAGCCGGCCCTCCACCGCCGAAACCCCCGCCACCTGTACCGCCAGCGCCCTTGATGTCGCCACCGAAAGCAGCACCCACTGTTCCCCTGCAGAGTCAGGAGTGGGCTGTTCCGCAACAGTCAAGACTCAAGTTCACCCAAATATTCAACCAGCATGATAGGCAAAGGACAGGATTCCTCAATGGAAACCAGGCTAGAGGACTCCTGATGCAAACTGGTCTCCAGAATTCTGTTCTTGCCCAAATCTGGTATTTGTCCGACATCGACACAGGTGGGTTTTCTAGGCAGGGGACGACGTATGATATCGTTCCAATTGTGACCGGATGCAGTCGAAGTCGTGTCATTTCGCGAAAGTTGAGCTGACTTTTCCCATTCTAGATGGACGCTTGACATGCGAAGAATTCGTACTAGCTATGCATCTGTGCGAACTGGCCAGGGCCGGACAAACACTGGCGAGCTCTCTTCCTGCCGATCTCATTCCACCGTCGTATAGACGGAAGCCCGGAGCGCGTAACGATTCAGTGGGATCCGTGGGCTCAGCAGGATCTCGAGGACGCGACGGCGTCACTAGTCCCCCAATGACACAGGAGGTGAGCCAATCGACAATCCCCAATTCCTCTCGATACTAACAAATTAAAAAAGTTGAGGACTGGTCATCTGCTTTGGTCGAGAAGCTCGCTGCATCGTTCCTGTCTCCGGGATCGAGGGGTCTAATAGTAGTAATAATCAATGATCATCGTCGCCTGCTCCTCCGCATTTGAGTGACTTCGATTCGATCAATAGAAGTATGCTCCATTAGCATATAACATGATGGCTGTAACTAACCCCCAATCTTGTGAGGATCGTGTTCGAACGCCTGACTGAGTTGTTCAGCGCCCCTTGAACGCCAGCCAGTAGCGTCGGATCGACGGGAGAGCCGTTGAGCTGCTCAGCCATCCTTGCCTCCTTCCTGAACCACTTAACTTTTCACTTCCTATTCCACTTCTCACTTGAAGACTCCACCTACTAATCGGGTCATTGGCCCCCTTCCTATGCACATGATCTTCGCTTGTTGAATCGGAACCACTATCACAGCTACAACTACTACTACAACTGTAACTTCTCCATCGATATTTGAGTGGGCATGGCTTGGAGGTGACATGACGGTTGCATTGGTCCGCGATAGCGGAATCCGCTTCAGAGATGATGCTTGCACTTGGAATCCGGTCGACGGTCCCCCTTCAAAGAAAAGGGTCATAATCATAGACATATGCTCTCAGAGTGCCGAACTCATTGGGGCTGGACTCCATCCATGCCATTCGACGTTTGAGGACAAAAGACGAGAAAACTTTGAGAAAGGACAAGCTGAATTGGAACGCAGGAGACAAATCATCGTCGAGCAGCAGCGTCGAGAACAGCAAGAGAGAGAACGCAAAGAGAAGGAGGAAATGCTCCGGAGGGAAAAAGTAGGTAGAATTCCCGACCTTCGAATTCTGGTGGTGGAGGTGGTGATTGCGTAGAAGGACGCTCATAGATTTCGGAGCGTCGATGAATTCTCCGACCGGCTTCGTCCAACTTAATCGCAGCTGTGCTCGAAGATTGGAGCATCCGCATCGAGAATCGAAGACCCTCTGCTGTGCCTTGCGGCCGGACCTCCGGAGTTGCTGACCGCGAGACCTCTACGCCTCTTCCGAAGTTTATCTTTCCATTTCGAGCTCGTTTGTAGCATAACCTTCCGCTCTCCTCAGGTCACGCGGTCGACCTGACTTCTAACACGATGCATTGAACGAGCAGAACAAACCCTAATTAAGAAAACTGTGCTCGGTTTTCCAGCTCCGCCAAGAGCAGGAACGTCGGCGCCAAGAAGAGCTCGAAGCCGAGAGGGAACGACTCCGGCTTCGCGAGATGGAACTCGAAGCCGAAAGAAAACGTCAACAAGAGCAAAAAGACGCGGCCCGCAAGGAGATGGAGCGTCAGAAAGAACTCGAATGGCAACGCCAACGAATTTCCGAGTTGACCGCACTCAAGCAACGCACCCAGGAAGGACTCTCCCTGCTCAAGAGGAGAAAGCTCGACCTCTGTTTGCAGGTTGAGAGGCTCTCCAGGGAAGTAGGTGAAGTAAATGGCAAAATCGCTGCACAGAAAGAAGAGGTTGCAACTGCCAAAAGTTTCATCGATGGCATGCGGCCCCAAAGAGATCTGATTATGGGAGAGCTGTCCACGGTCAAGCAAGCGCTCAAGGAGTGTTCCGATCAGACGCTCCTTCTCAATCAGGAGAAACTGAATATGCAAAACCAGTTGGCTTCCCTCAAATCGAAGGCTGGGAACAAGAAGCGAGAATTGGAGACGAAGATCGAAATGGCGAAGAAACAATTGGCTTCAATAAACAAGTAAGCCCCTCCCGAGTATTCGACCAAATTAGTACCTACATGATGTGCCTCGAACTGACTCGAGGAGTTGACCTCTCGGAAGTTTTTTTTTTTCACGAAAGATCCCGGCACTCGAATCAGTAATTTCGTTGCTGATAACGTGTTTCTCTCACAGTGACATCAAAAACCGAACGAATGAAGTGCTGCGCATCGAGGAAGACATCGAGAAGAAGCCGAAAGTCATCACTGAGGCAAATCATGTGGACGAATCTGTGTGGGGTGGATCGAACGTCAAGCAAGAAACCGCCGAGCCCAAACAAGAGTGGCCGGATCCCACAAAAGCTGATTGGGGAGATGATTCTCCGTCTGTCACCGCGGCACCGGTCCCTATCGTGCCTCCCCACCCCACGCAAGCTTCCATGGATGCTTGGGGAGATACGGGCGCGCCTGCTGCTGCCCCCGCTGGAGACGCCTGGGGAAAAGACTCAAGCTCCAGCTGGGCCGAGACCGAGAGTTCCGCTCCTGCAGCGGCCAGTGGCACTAGCAAATATCGCGCCCTCTTCGAATTCGAAGCCCGGAACGAGGACGAACTCTCTTTCCAACCGGGAGACGTTATCAACGTCACCGTTGGGGAACAGGGAGAAGAGGGCTGGCTGGCTGGCGAACTCCGCGGGAAGTCGGGCTGGTTCCCAGAGTCATATGTTGAGCCTTTGGACGGTGCCAGAGCCGATCCAGCCCCGGAACCCGAGGCCGAGGTTAGATCCACTCCGCTGGATACTGTACACGAGGAACCTGCTGGTGACGGGGAAACCTATTATGCTATATATGCGTATGATTCCACTGAGCCTGGAGATCTGTGCTTCCCCGTTGGAGCCGTGATCAAAGTGACTGCCAAGAGTGGAGATTGGTGGACCGGAACGTACAACGGAGCTTCAGGCGTATTCCCTCAAAATTACGTGTCAGATAAGCCTGCGGAGGCGGAGGATGCTGCAGTCACGGAAAGCGAGTCGGCGGAACCCCCAACGGCAGCCACAAGCGATGCCAAACAGCAACAGCCGGACGGAGCCAATAGTCAAAGGTATTACGCTTTTGAGAGATCCTGGCGACATTTTTATCGTCTCCTTTCACGGCGCTACTTATGTTTCCCCGAATATCGGGTCCAGAATAATATCCTCGTCCTTCTTCGTCAAACTCCTCTGGCATTGATGATAAAGATTTCTTCGACCCATGTTGATTAATTATCCGATCGCTGATGTATTCCACGTCAGCAAAACTCGAAAAAATCGCTATTCTCCTCGCTATGGTAGTTTCGCGGGGGCGTAACCTCGCAATTCTGCTTTCTGATCCCTCCGCATTTCCGGAATGATGGAAGATAGCGCGAGCATTTGCCTTGAATTTCGACTGGCCTTGAAACTCATGGTCTCCAGGATTACTCGTCTTCGGAACATGGCGATCGTCTCGGAAACTTCATCCAGCTCGATGGATTCAACTTCTCCTATTTCCAGGTCCGATACTCCGAATGAGATGAAGAAGAGTATGAAGAAGAAGCCCGAGATAGTCATGGTCGTCGCTAACTACGAGGCTAGCGGCGATGGTCAGCTCAGCCTCATCAAGGGACAACTAATTCAAGTTCGCAAGAAGACCGACGGTGGATGGTGGGAAGGCGAAATCCATCAGAAGGGGAAAGGCCGGAAGAGCGGTTGGTTCCCGGCCTCCTACGTCAAGGTCCTCGCTGGACCTGGTGGGAGTCCAGCTCCTACTGCAGCAGCAAATCAGGGCTCGTCCAGCGAGGCACCGCAAGACGATATTCAGGGAGAAAGAGTCAAAGCCGTTTTCGACTTTCAAGGACAGCAAGACGATGAACTCACTTTCGTGATCGTAGGTTTCGGGCGCAAGCCCGCTCTGACTGAGTGCAAACAAACGCTATATAAAGGGATATCATTCTCACTCCTTCGATCAACCGTTTGATTTCGGAAATTCCAGGACGAAATAATCATAGTCACCAATAAAGAAGATTCGTCCTGGTGGAAAGGGGTGAAAGTGTCCGACCCGACAAAGAAGGAGGGCCTGTTTCCATCTAACTACGTTGAAGCTCTGTGTAAGTAGATTCTGTGAATATTATTTTGTGCTCGACGCTCTCCTAATTTGCTCCCCGGAGACCCGTGTCCCTGTGGCTTACGTTAGTGCGAAGTACGTTATTGTTCCGGATAGTCTGCCTATTTAAAACCTTGGTTGCCAACTGTTAGTTAGTGGAGTTTCGCTATTAAGAACTCCCCCAATCAGGCATGCATGCAGTGTGCTGACGAAATGAGCTTGTAGTCTGTTGATGATCCTTTCGGATGAAACACTGTGGCGTTCTTAACGGTGGCTCTCCTTGCCCTCAGGAGCGGAGCTGTCACAACATTGGGGGCTGTGCGCAGTAAGAATCTGTGGAGATCACAGTGCTGGTAGGCCGGCGGATAGAGCTAACTGATGAGCATACTATGAGAGCGCTGTCATCCCGCGTATCATATCACTATGAAATCTTTTACTGAGCGCAATCCCGACCGTTGGTCGTACACGATTAAGACGGTTAGCTGGACGACGGAAAATATCGGCTCTGCCCACGTCAGAGCGTCACCCGTCTTTGGTAGGAGATGAGCGATTATATTCAGTGCAGTAAGCGCGTCGGGCAGTCAATGCGAGTTCTCGCGGAACTGTCCGGGGATAATGAGGCGTATCGATGCGAAAAACCGATGGCGCGACTCACAGAAGCACAATAAGGCCTCATAGTGATCTCGGACTCTACGCGTGTCTAGTTACCAAGGAAGGCTTGGCTTCGCTGCAGTCGAGAGAAGACTTGATCACACTGTCGGGAAAATCGAGACGGTCCTGGAGGTTCCCGAGGACCCACCCGTACCGGTCGTTGTTTCGCCTGATCGACTCCACGGTGAAGATAGACGATCAGGATAGGAGATCACTTTACCGACAGCGAAGTTCGTGAAAATCAAGGAGCGACTCCGCGATTCACTGCGCACCCTCGAAAAAGAGCAGCCCTGTAATTGTCATCTATATCATAGTCTTCGGAATCAGCAATCACCGACCGTCGTCTTCATCTGAGAAAATTAGAGAAGACTTCACTTTATTGTTTTTGGGAGTCACATCCAGTGAACTTAGCATCTGTTCAGCACCCGAAAAGGGATTCTCGTTGCTTGTTCTCGGTGGCTGTATCAATTTATTCGGACGTGTCCGCCAGCTCCGTTGGGTTGCAGCGCACGAACACCAAAGGAAACACCCCTCGAGAGAGAAGTTTTACATTTCTAGTCGTTGCATAAGAATTCGGTCAAGGAGACAGAGCTCGTCTTGGACTCCTCTTGAGTGTCTCGCATCTGCCTTCACCTGGTATGATTTGTACATCTCACTCAGAGTGATTGGTGAATTTATTCACTCATCTGGAAGAAATGTTTTCTTTTCGTGATCCAATGTTGAAATCTCTTCATTTTCATCTCGTCACGGGGAATCGAAATACATCCGCAGTATTACCACCGATACGGCTTCGGCCCTTTCGGATACCCGTGAGATCTAGTTAAGAATAATAGAAGTCAGCAAGAGAAGATAGAGTTGGGAGAAAACGGTTCAGTTGTGATACGAGGAGGCAGTAGTGGATTCTGAAACATAATATATGCTGCGCATACTCCCTGCGCTAGACCGACGATGGAGCGGCGACTGACCCACAGGAAACCATGGACACGGCTCCGTATTATGATCACCGACCCGGTGGTCGGCGTAGTTTTTAGACGCGTTTGGATGGAGTTCGGTCTCTCGTGCCCGCCATCTGAAGGTATGGAAGGAGACATGATTCGTTGAATGTCGGGGAAAATGGAGCGTTTCACTATGAGTGTCGAATCGATTCTTGTAGCCACACTTTCTTCCGCGTCGCCTACGCGAGATAATTTTCGAGTGAATCTGCAAGGATTTCGGTTGCGGAGTAGAAGGGAGCGAGGGAGAGAGCTTCACTTACAAGACAGTAGTTTGAGAATGAGCAAACAAGGCACTCGCTAGCGTCGCTGATGGTCTAATAAAGTTCACCGTCGTGCTCAGCGTTGAAAGAGACTCGTCATTGCATCTAGATCCTGCCCGTCGTTCCGTATTTGTATCATATCGTTAGACCCTGATGTGAGCCTCGAATACTCTGCTGAGTAGTTTGCGGAAGTGGAACTTTGGTGCTCGATTTCCGTGTGAGAGTTCAAAGGTCGAGGTTTGTGGGTTAATTCTAATTGTTTGTTGCTTCTTACTAGCTCCTGATTCTGGCGAGCTCATCGAGAACAATCTTTACCAAACGATCCCCGAGGAGGCAGCTGTGATAACGCACACTGATAATTATTACACGAGATCGAGCATCGGGAGCAACTTCGAAGATAATGTCTACTGCGACATCGAATCCCTGGATCAACAAGATGTGGCGAACAACAACGAGCTCTCAAGCATCACCGATAAGATGAACTCCATCGGTAGCAGATCGAGCACCGGTGAAACGACTCGCAGCGGGAACTTCCTAAAAGATCGACCCTCGAGTCTCGAGGTGAACCCGAAAACGTTCTCGAGATCGTTTTCGTCTCAGCGATTCTCTCCGGCTAAAGTTGGCAACGTCAACTTCGACCAGATCCTCGACGAGATCGACCGGAGCTCCCTCGACTTGAAAGAGAAGGAACGACAGAACGCCGTGTACGAACTCATATCGACGGAGCAGGCTTACGTCAAGGATCTCATGCTGGTAGAGAAGCACTTCGCTCGACCCATGAAAAAACGCGTTAGCGCCGAGGAAGCCTCCAGGATGATGGTGAACTGGCGAGAGCTCATCACTTGCAGTGACAAGATCCTCAAGGCCTTCAAAATTCGCCAGACGATGAGCCAAGGCAACGTCATCATCACGATCGGCGATATTATCGTGGAAAATGTGAGAGCCCACTACGTCCTCGATCCTGCTCGTCCCCGAACAGATATACTTCCCATCTGATGTCCCAGAGGCTTCGATTTCTAGCAACTTTCCCTCTCGAACCGTTCCAGATCTCAAATCTACGGCCGTACATACGATTCTGCAGCCAGCAGTCTCAGGCCATGCAGCTCATCCAGCAACGGACCGAACAAGATCCTTGGTTCGGGGAGATCTGCAAACAGTTTTCCCGTAATCCTCTCGTCAACGGCATGCCTCTCACTTCTTACCTACTGAAACCGATGCAACGGATCACCAAGTACCCGCTGCTTGTTGACAAGGTGCGTATGCTGAATGGGTATTGGGATTGCTGCGAGCGAATCATACGTGCCTTGAGCGATTTTTCCCCATGCGCCAAGCCGCGATGAAAAACCGCGATGCGTCGCTGTTCCTTCGGTAACGTGGTATTCCCCCGAGAGGATTCAAACAACGAGCGATTTTCAGATCCTGAGATGCACACATGATGGCCATCCTGACTATACGCAGCTACAAACTGCTTCCGAAAAAATGCAGCAGCTATGCGCACAGATCAACGAAGCAGTCCGCATGGTGGAGAACACTGAGCGACTAGAATGGTGTCAGAACCACCTCATCCCTCCACCCTCGGCCCCACGGATCGTGTTCAACTCTTTCACAAATGTGCTCGGTCCCCGACGCCTGCTTCATTCGGGACCTCTTTCCAAAGTGAAAAGTGGGAAAGAGCTTGTGGGATTCCTGTTCAACGACTTCCTCCTTCTCACACAACCCCTCAATCGGGATGTAGCCAAGGTTTGTGTGCGGTTCGATAGCTGCCTATTCCATATCTCACGGTGGGAATTTTTTCCGTCTCCCGACGCACAGAGCTTCAATATGTCAGAATGTGTCTTTCGGTTCCAGATAAGCAATATTTTCACGGATGACCGTGCGCTGAAAGCACAGTATCGATTTTACAAGCAGCCGTTCTTCATCGAGAAGCTCAAGCTAGAGGAGCCTCAGGACCCTAATGGAGACGCTTTCGTGATGCGAACGGAGCTCGTCAGCGAATTGGGTGTGCGCGAAAAATACGAGTTGAACGTCAAAACCGCTGGCAGCAGAGAACGAATCGGATGGCTCAACAAACTTCGACAAGCGCTCGCGTTTAATGAGCAAGTTGAGCAAAAAAATCGACAATCCTGTGAGTAGGTCACCGAAGCGCTCCCATTCGGAGGAAGAGGTTTCCTCACCCTATCGCGGCTATTTGGGTTTTACACTCGAGCGACATTCCTGATGTTCCCTATCGCGCTTCCAGCTCTGAGCAGTGTCCCCCTCTCGCATTCCGGCTGCGGACGACTCCTCGTCGTAGTGCAATGTGCCAAACAGCTTCTGAACGTCAACACGGAACCCCTGGATACATTTTGCCTGCTATCTCTGGGCGGCCAGAGTCATACGACCCCCGTCGAGCCTTCTTCCCCCAATCCATCATGGAACTCGACGATGCAGTTCATCGTCAAGGATCCGGATCAAGATGTTTTGTGCATCAGCGTCCTTCAGAAGCAGAAATTCTCTCCAAATGGTAGGTTTGCCTCGTTGCATATTTCGCCCAGGTCTGATCGTGAGAGCCAGTGTGTTAAAGCATTTATCATTTCCATGAAACAGAAAAAAAATCAATCAAATTGATATATGCTTGAACATGCGGGCTCATCATAAGGACCGATCATTCTTGTGGTTTCCCAGGGGCGTGGACTCGAAAAGACGTATATATCGGTAGAATCTCGCGATCAAATAGGATCGCAGGAATTAGGTCCGTTCCATCTCTCCGATCCTTTATGATTCTCTGCAGAGTTCCTCGGCCGAACCGAAATCCGCGTCCGCGATGTGGTCGCACGGCGAAAAAGTGCAGTCGGGGCGATATCGTACGAAGATCTCAAGCTGCTGGAGGTCGCTTCAGGCACAATAAGCTTGCGAGTGGATCTCCAACTATTCCGTGAGGCCGCTCAGGTGATCTGATCAACTATCGCAGCTTCAAACATTTCCTAATGATCAGCTTCCAGGAGTCGAATGGATAAGCCGAGGCAGTATTACTTCCTAGACGAAGTCTCCTCACCCTCCGATTTTGTACGTTATTGAACCTCGAACCGAGATGTGATGGACCCCGGAAATCATCATCCGATTTGAACATGTAGAAAACGAAATTTCCAATTTGTACAAGGTTTCATATATGTAGATTCAGATTTTAATCGCCAACGAAGAAATTTATGTCCGTGTGACAATAACACGCGGCCATGTCCGAGGGTGATACGCGTGCATCATGGATCGAGATCGAGCACGTAGTTGACATTTTTTAATAAAGAAGAACCTTTTCTCGCCCAGGATTGTAATCAGGTCTACTTGGTGGGTTTTGGGATGTGTATTTTTTTATTCATTTAAAAATCCATTCCATCTATTCACAGAATCGTAGAATCTTCAGGGAGCGATTTTGGTCGAAGGTTGAGAATAGACGACACGTTGCACAAATCGGAACATTCGATCAAGTACATTTTGTTGGAGACTTTTTCTACTAAACAATACTCGGAATCCCCGGGTCACATTCGACAGATGTTCCTTCACCGCTCCGGTCGGCTTCCTCGCTACGAAATAAGGTGATTATGTGATGCGACAAGGGCTTGTTTCGAACAAAAATATCTACCGAGTCAGAATCTAGCGCGGTACGTCAAAGGTGCTTGTGTTTTAATGAGGATTGTGAACACTGAAGACTCTTGGTTAGCTTAATGTGGTGCCATATTGCTTGCTCGATATGAATAGGTAGTGCTCGGCGATGAATTTCGCTCTCGATATTTTTGAGACAACGGCCTGTCTAGGTTCGCACCGGCTGCGCTGAGTCTTTTCCTACAACTGCATCTTGAAATTTGGGCACCACGTCCCCGAATTTGAGCCTGGAAAGGATAGTATCCCCTTAGAACCTCTGGATGTCATCCCGAGATAAACAAAGGATCCGAATTCCCTTGACAGCAACAGGAAGTACTCACCAGACGAGAATCACCGCGATGATCACGGCGATGAAAACGATACTACCACCGATCAGAGCGTAGTTCCGCTTCTTCGGGGGCGGGGGAACGAACGATTTCCCATTGACTGTTTCACTCGTGTAGGTCTTCACGCTGTGAGCTTTGCGAATCCGAGTTACGGTACCATTGTTTTCCTCAACCTTCTCTTGGAAAGTGTTCAAAGTCTTCAGATTCCCACCGTCACTCCTGGAAAGATGTGAAGCGATACACCGATTTAGCGCTCCGAAAATTTCCCCAGCTCGAAATTTTTTATCCAGCCGCGCGGGAGGAAGTCGTTGTCTCTCCATTAGAGGAGAAGATTGTACTCACAAAATCTTCTCGTCGTACCCAGCTCCTTTGAAATGCTCGTTGTGCGATTCGTACTCGTCGGTAGTGTCGGTTTCCTTTTCTTTCTCATCATCTCCCTCATCGGCGGAAAAAGCTGAGATGTCCTTCGCGTCATCGTCATTCAGCACTCGACTGAGTCTCTTCTCGTAGATCGATCGGGTCGAATCGAGAATCGGGCCCACAGTCTCTCCCAGTTCCTTCAGCTTGTAGAAGAGTTCGTCATTCGTCAAATTTTTGAGATCTGTCTCCCGATTGATGTGTGAAGTGTCCAGCAGCACGGACTCTTCCTCGTCTGAACTGAAACCTCCGATGAGGGAGTCGTTCGCTGTGACCTCTTCGATCTGCGAATACGAAGAAGTCTCATTATAATCACTCATCATTGTCATCCCTTACAGTTAGAAGTCAACTTCGTCCTCGCCGCCGGAAGAGAGAAGAAGCCCGGTAAGGGAATCGTAGCAGCCGACCGAGCGAGTCGCAGGATTTGAAATGATCATTGCTTTGTAAATAGAAAACGACGAACTTTCTCGTTGAGTACGTGTTCTCTGTAGAGCTTGACGAGGTCTGCTTTCTTAGCTTTCACTGGAGTTTTGACACCAACTTCGATCAAAGCATCCCTCAGCTGATCTTTTGTCATTCTCGATGAAGCCATCTGTGAATGGAATAAAGAATGAGAGAGTGACTTAACGGACAAATGAAGAGGCTCGACAGACTCGATCCAGAGTCTAGAGCAGTGTACCGCAGCTGGGGGGTCGCGACCCCAAAGGGGGTCGCGAGACTCCTCCAGGGTCGCCGCCGCACTTTGTCTCGCGGTTACAAAGGTGGAACCCGATCTCGAGTCGCTTCTTCGTGATAAGCAACAACAAACCTAACATTAGAGATGCAATTATTGTACAAAGAACCCCCAAAAAATAACATAAACGAAAGATATACATATTGTGATAAGAAAGTCGTTTGTTGACCAGGCAATGGGTGCTCTTCCTTGGGGGGTCGCGAGGCATTGGGGTCGTCCAAAGGGGGTCGTCGGACGAAAAAGGTTGCGGAACACTGGTCTAGAGCTCCAGGGCACGGAGCTGGTCGCCGTAGTCGCGGCTATCCCGCATCCGTCAATGAACTTGGAGAGGAACAGGGGCGGTCACAAGCCTTGAGTTCAAGACGCGGGCCGAGCTCCAACAAACTCAACGAGTACGACAAGCTTTAGATTTGAGCTCTGAGAGAGGAGCCGGACATCGAATGGAATCGGAGCGTTAATCGACTGTTCCATCGATCGCGGAGGAGCTGTCACGAAAGCAGGCATCGTAAATAATTTTCGTCTTTGCGAGCCCCGACCATTCTAGTCGATTGGATTTTCCTCAAATTTCCCATTTCACATTGAATCGTTCTGCAGCATTGTTCCCATGCGCGAGGGCGCTCCCGGTCAACCAGGACAGATCCGGTAGCTTGGATATGTCTTCGTGTCACTAGCACACAGAACTATGGATTGGGACCCACCCTTCGAAAGAGGCCCCCGACAACACAGCGGCTCAACTCCCCATCGAAACAGAAACATATGAGACGCCCTGGAAAACTTCGAAGGCGTGAATGCCCCAAGGAATTGTCCACAAAACAACCTCTTCCAGCCTCTGCTGTAATCTGGGACGGAATTTGGATTCTTCTCCCCGCCCCCTTTCCTGCTTCGTGCAAGGAGTCGAACGTCGATCGCGATTCCACCGATTACGCGACGGTCGATCATCGGCGGTGAGCCGCGCATTGGATTCGAGGATTCTGTCGAGTGCGTTGGTCGGGGCGCGGCTTCAGCGAGTTCACACCGCAGCCTGAGAATCCCGCGCGCGCTCAAAACTGCAATGCAAGCTCTCGACTGATAACATAACAACATGGGCCTCCGGCGAATGACCGTCGAGGAGAAGACCGGCTCGTCATCTGTGTAGATTCACAAACATCACCGACACGCTCTACGCTGGATTATCCGAGAGCTCTCCGAGAGCGATGTGTCGAACAACATGACACCTCGATCCGACTTCAAGTTCAACTGCCCGTCCCGATCCTGTGCCAGTGGATTTGACAGTTCGCTCGGACACGACACCACGGAGCCATGACAAGCACTTGAAGGTTGACTTCGAACGGGTTCGAAACCCGAGTTCGCGAACGTACCAACGATAAATTCAGACCGAAGCCCATTTTGCAGCCTGATGAGACCACGGCACAGTTTCTTCAGCAGCGGTCTGTCGCGGCTTCGGCGTCTGTTCGTAGGGGCCGTTGACCGCGCGAGGATCGCCGTAGCGAGGGAAAGAGATTTTACCTTGTCAGGGCTCGGATCGGGCCGTCTGGTTCTGTACGAATGTAGCGGCGGCGGCCAGTCAGGGTATTCCGGGGATTTCTGCCGTCCGTCGCACTCAATGTCCGCTTCAGGTTTCCCCTGGCGGCTCTCTCCGATGATGCCTTACTACTGCTAGCAGCGGCTAAGTAGTGAGCCGGCCGCCGCACCACGCGACAATGATAAAATGATTTCTGCGTACTCTCCTCTTGACGACCGGAGACCGGACCGGAGACCCTACCGCGTCGAGCGAGCGAGAGACGACCGACCGACCTGTCGGAGGGACGGCCGAGAAGGGGAGAAACCAAACAGTGGTAATAGACGCTGTCGGGCCGTCGTCGAGGAGAGCGAGTCCACTTGATGCGATCTAGAGACCTATTCTATCTTCCGCGCTCGAGAAGTTGATCGTAGGGAAACAATGGCTCTCATGCGACACGTCAAAGGCTCTCTCGGGCAGATTTAATTCCACGGGCTCATTTCGTAGTCTCACGAGAGAGAAAGGGAGTGTGTGAATTTTGTGAAGCTGGAAAATAAATGCACCGCGTCTATTCAGGCGCTCCGGGAAACGTTCAGCCTCCGAGGATTCGCATGGGCGCTCGAGCAGACCTTAGTGGCAAGATCGTGAATGGGAGGCGGAAGACACGTTCGGTGTGCCAGCTCAGCCGGGATTCGGAGACATGACGATATTTCGGAAATCGATTGAGCTCCCTGTTTCGTTCCTCCGAAATCGCGCTTTGCTGGTTCTAAGACTCGCGATGGACCGTGACCCATCGGATCGACAAATAGACTCGATCCAGCCCAAATTATGGATATCGGAATATTGCTGCTTGCTGGATGCTCGCTGACTGGGTGCCGATAATAATCATAAACAGAGCGATCTTTCGATGTACGTTTTCGCCTCGGGGCCGTCGATACGAACGCGCAGTGCGGAAAAGTCGACGGACTTTCTGTCGGTCATCGGGCGTCTGATTATTATCGCGGATTCCCGAAGGAGAGCGTTCGCCTTACGTCACGGGGCTCCGACGTACACCGCCGGAAGAATGGAACCGATTCTCAGAGTCCGGTACGGTAACTTGCATAACTTCCCTACATGAGTGGGGCCGACTACGTTGAGTGACTCGGAAATAGAATCGTTCCCGACCAGGTAGTCAATTAGGACCCCCGATAACTGTCGAGATTCAGAACTCGAGATTCGTGTGCGATTAGAAATAAAGAAAATAATAATATGGATAACTCTGCCGGCTCCGGTCACGATCTCCCCTGTCGGTAGAGAACCGCTCACAGCTGCCCTATCCGAGCTGTGAACCGAGTCTCTGCAGTCGAAACTCGCCTGCTCGTCTATCCCCGGGACAGTCCCGGCTGGGGAATCCGCCCTGCTGACGGACCGAAGCGTTCGGGGACCAAAAGAGCCACGAGGACAATCTTCGGACAGTTAAAAATTCAGAATGTCCGGTATGAGTCGGCTCTTGGAAAAAAATACCGGGGAATGACCAGTCCAATACAGGAACACATGCGGTGGGCTCACAGTTCGTCTGGAACGGATTCTGGACAAAAAAGTGTTCTCATGCAGGTGCCTTCAATGAGCGGAGGATTCTACGATGCACCGTTGTCGACGAGGGGAAAGATGGAGTCGTGAACAATTGCAGCGGAGGGGGAGAAGGACAATATGATTTCACTGTCGAACCTGAGGCACTAATCGAGATACCAGGAGGTCACTGATCGAGAACATGAGAACAGAGCGTCAGACCATACGAAGACAGATCGAGTCTTCCAATCGAAGAGCATCGCCAATCAGAATCTTACGAGCTCCGCGAGACCTACTCTTTCAGTGGAAGCCGAAGGATGCGGTCACCGAATCCGTCTCGGGGATAATCAATACGTAGTGGGAGAAGACGCCGTCGCCGTTTTCCTCCAGCAGCGGTCTTTCGTATCTCGAGGAGTTCAGGCGCAAAATGACCATCCGCGGAATAGGTATGTGCACCTACAATGAAGTAAATTCCTCGTCGAGCACCAAGATTGATTGGACACGCAAGTGGAATGCTATATGTAGTAGGGGAAGGACGAAAGTTCGCGACCGAAGATAATAGCGGGCAGCTCGGTTCAAGATGAGTAATCCGATTGGAGAATACACGGGGTTGGTGCATTTCCAAACCAAGAATCAATCATCAATTGCGTTCTATTGCATCCTCGATCTGCGATTGGTCCTCGAGTGTCGGGCCTCGAACGAAACAAGCTCCAATCTCCTTTGAGGCGCTGAATTGAGCACAAAGGTGCGAGCTCCCCGAGGAAGTTTGTGCTTGGAAGAGGGAAGAACATGGCCGCTCAGAGTTCCTGATCCCTCTGCCGTCTCCCCGAATTGACCGTGGTGAAATCATTGGGGGAAATCATCATACGGTAGGATGTCTTGACTGCCTTACAGTGGAGGCTGGCTTACAGAACAGCCATCAAGAACCCATTTGTTGACGATTCTCGAGCAAATTCCTCGCTAGGAAGACTGAGCTTCACCGAAAACTTCCGATTGGGTAGAACCTCATGAAAAATTGCCGAGCTGCTCACAGAGCGGCTAAACGTTCACATCGTGCGACCTTCTATCTTTTCATCCAATGGTCCCATCACCATCAAACTCGCTCTGTTCTCCCACTTCTCCCCGCACCTTCGAATCTGCCTCACTCCCTGCGCGGACTTCGCTGAGCAAGACAGACACATATAGACAGCATATTAAATGGTTGAAACGTCTGGGATGTTTACGTAATGAAGATGAATGTGAGTGAATGTCTTGCAGTTCCCTTCGCTCGCCGTTTGAGCTATCTGCTGTGATCTGCGCGGTGACGAGTGGAATCGTGGGCTTTCTATTTCGTTCAGCGGAACTTCTCCGGGGGCTCGATCTCGGCGGAGACGCGATCGGGGTCGGGAACCCGACGGGAATAAGTCGCGAACCCGCGGAAGATTACGCTCCGGAACACCTGACTCCAACATCACCGAAAGTTCCAGTCGAATTTTGCGTCCACTCCTTGGAAATTCGCTCCCAAGCCCCGAGAAATCCGGATATCCGACTATACTTCGACGCAAAAGGGTATCGATGCGAGAACCGCGGGCGTAAAATCGAAAAAACGTCTGCTGAACCCTCCCTCAGCGTTCAGAGGCCAAGGTAAGACGATTGCGGGATTCCGGCCTGGAGAGTCTGAGTGTGGGTTCGGTGAGAGGGGGAGGGTACGACGTGAGGGGACCAGCCTGCGGGGCATCGAGGGTCCCGAGTTCCCACTGACAACACATGTCGGACCCTCACGCTTTACGCATGCGCACCACGCATACAGAGCTCTGAGAGAGCGTGAGTTGAGTGCCGTTGTTGAGGAGAGCATCGAGGCAGGCAGGCAAGCAGCCAGGCAGGAAAGCTGGCAGCAGCAGCAGCCGCCGCAGCACAACGAAGAAGCAGACAGACACAATGTGTGTGTGTGCGTGAGAGTGAGAAACTTGATTGAGGAAGAAGCAAGGAGCTCATCTCCTTCTTATGTTGTCGCTGTCGCCTGAAGAAGAGAAGAAAAATCACGACCACGACGTAAACGAGTCGCTCCCTCCCTGCAAGAACTCAGCGAGACCTACGACACACTAGAAGCGGACGAGGCACAAGGCAAGCATCCCGCGAGTTCATTCATTCGCTGGCTCGCGAGAACGCACGCATTTATTCACGCGTTCGCAATCCCTCAAGTCAAAGCATGAGTCACGCCGAAAACCACCCGACCAGCGTGATCTTCCTCGAACGTGCGAACAGGCCAGACTGAGCGAATGAGTTACTTGGAAGTACGTAAGAACGAGGACAACAACTACAACGCTTAACGAACGGCGCAGAGGGGATGGCTTCAAATCGTCACGAACCGAAATGATTTAGGGTCGTTTGTGTAAGGGGCTCCCGCGAGACTCTGCTGCGAGTGTTTGTGCATTGACATCCCGTGCGAGTTTTTCCGCTTCTCGGATCGTCGGGGAACGCAGGTTTCCGCGGGACTACCAGAGGAATAACAACATCGAGAAGGGAAACCGAGCTACGGACGCCGAGAGTAAAGCAAGCGTTGACGTGGTGTGCGCGAAAAAGTTCCGTGGTGATCCAAAGTTGGTGGTCCTGCCCTCGCTGTTTCGCGCTATTCCTGCGAATCGAGACCCCGATGCGGGTTGAGCTCCTTGCCGTCATTGTTTAGGTAAGATTCTGTCGTTCGCCGAGTGACGCTAGGATTCTCGCTAATTCCTCTCAAAGGTCTTGACGGCGTAACGTGCTCCGGAGAGAGGATCGACATGTGTCCGGATTTCCGCACGCCTCGCCGACGGCTCGGAACCGGTGGCAGCCAGTCGGTCGGTCGGCAGGCAGGCATGCTCCTCGATCGCTTGGTCAGTATGAAGGTCCGAGCCAGAGCTCGAGCCGCCGCCGCGAGTTCGCCGCACACCCGAGCAGCGGAAACTGCAGCCACAAACGATCCGCGAGAAGACTGCTAGCTGGTCTGCCGCTAGCAGCCTCTCGGTCCGATTCGAGCAAACGTTCGCTGTCGGGTTGGTCGTCGCCTGCCAGCGAGAGTTCGCCACCGCGGCCGCCGGTGCCGCTGCCGGCTCTGGTGCTACTGCTGCTCCTGGTGCTGCTGTTGCGGCGGCCGCTGGTCTTGGCAGCTAGGTAGCAAGGCATCCGGACGCAGGCCAAAGCGACGAACTAGTAGCTCGCTCTAGCCGACTGGCCATTGCAGAGCGGCGCAGAGCTACCGATGGACGGACGGACGGACTGACCGACACAAGCAAGCGGCCGAACGACCGACCGAGCAGCCGACAGATCGACGGACAGACAAAGCTTGCTTGCTTGCTGGCTTGCGAGCTAGCAAGCCAGTCAGCCAGCCAGCTTTCTTCCTTCCTTCGTTCGTGGGTCTTCCGGAGGCTCTTCATCGCTGCCTTGGAAGAGCTTCTAATGTATTGCCATCCGTTTCTTTCGCTCCCGTGGGATTAGGAAGCGAAATCTATGCGGACGGGATCAAGTAGAGTCAAAGCATGAACTACGAGCTACGGTCGTGACGTATTCCTCGGATTCGCTCGGTGATCTGAAAGGTTTCACGTGCTCAGTGCGAGTGTTATCGTGTGCTGGTGGTGGGCAGAGTCAGTCGGATCGACATTCGTCACTAAGGACCGGAAAAGGATACCCTCGTGCTCTCTTGCTTAGGTCCTCCTCGAGGGGAACTAAATTCAAGTCCGGAACTCACGGTGATCACAGTAAGTTGGACGTGAGCAACAGTCCGTCTCACCCCCTTTCGGGACAGCGGGAAGGTTCGCTCGCTGCTTCCCTTCCGGGCGACTCGTCCACGGAGCCATCGAGGCGTTGAGCTCGGCTCCAAGTTCGACGGTATGATTCTGTTCAATTCTGTCAAGTTTCGGAGTGCGATATGGCGACATCTCTCGGGATCACATCACGATAGGTCTCTGCGAGAGGTCCACCAGCTCGATGAGCTGCGGGAACATGATTTTCCTCTGTGCGAATGGAAGCAGTGTGGGTCGCTCATCTCAGGAATGGGAGTTCTCGGAAGCGTGATGGGTCTCTCGGATCACGTCCCACGGAAACCCTCATGAGAGTGTACATTTGAGGTCGGGTATTCTGTCTGGTGGTGGCGAACTGTGCGTGAACCTTGACGCTTTGCGAGCTCTGCCTCGAGAATTCGAACGAAAGGACTTAAGGGAATGTGAGCCCCGTATTTTTCGCAGAATTTATTCCCGCATGGGCGGACCTTCACCCTGCCCCCATTGACGCGAGAGCTATCATCGATCGAAAATCGAGCATGGCAAATTTTTTCATTAAGCCGTAGTGCTGGTCGTGGTGTTCTCGTCTAACGGACGGGGTGTGATGGCTGTTGGTTGGCTGGCAAGTGCCTTCCTCTTTGTCTCGGTCCCTTCGCAGGGCTCTCCATGGCCCTCTGCTAGAGTCTCGTAGAGTCCCATAGAATCACCAGAAGACCAGTCGTCGTTGACTGCGGTGGCTGTGGCACCAGTCTCGATAACCGGGGTGGCCGGCTGGCTGGCTGCGTGTCTGGTAGCAGCCGCAGTAGCGGTCGCCGCAACACCAGCAGCCGCCGCTGCCGCCGCGATAGCCCTGTTCTGGCCTTCCTGGGGCAGCTATGGCCATTGGGCAAGTTTGTGGAAAGAATCTGAGCGGTTTCACTCAAATGCAACTCGATACAGTCATTAGTCCTCGAGATGTCGCGGGGTCGTTCCCGAATGGGAAAGGGATTCAGCGCCGGCAACGTTTCCCCGAAGAAAAAACTACCCGAATCGCTGTTCTTCGACGTTTTCAGGACACACCACGCCGACAAAGAGCTAGTTCAATCGCGAGAGAAAAACAATAAACGCCGGTCATAGGAAGACCGAGGAAGGCAGCATGCTAATGAAGATCATTGTTCGGACCGTTTTTTCCTCCTTCCGGCCGCGGGAGTGCAATACGGGCAGTGACGGGGGAAATTATTGTGGCGAACCTAATAACACCGTACATTCAAAACATATAGGACGTAACCTAGAATAGGATCAGGACAATTCATTGAATTGACGGCTCGTAGAGTTCCTCCGAGCTCTTCGCCGGAGGCTCCCTAGCTCTGCAGCGGCCGCGACTTGATCTCTCGACACTCGCCAATGCTGAACAAGCAGCGAGCTCGCCCCCTACCCCCAGATTGATTTTAAGGTTCTTTTGATTTTCTTCCACAGTCACTGTCATGGTCGACTGACGAGCCTAGATCCGAGTGGCTCAGGAGCAGCAACTGACGACCACGAGCAGAACTACGTTCTCCGAGGAGGAGGAGGAGGAGGCGGCGGCGGCGGCCGAGGAAGACGACGACAACGACGCCGACGAAAACGACGACGCCCTCAACAGCCGAAAACCTGTGGGTGGCGACTCTCACCATAGGAAGGAGAGCACTTTTCCCGCGCGCTTAGGAGACCGATCCAACGACTGGGAGATCTTCGTTCCGATCAAGAACATTCTCGTTGATGACATGGTGACAGCGTGGCCTTGCATCCACCATTGTCGCCCATTCCTGGATCATCAACGAGCCAAACAACTCGAGCTTCTACAACTGCGTGGCCCGCTCGAAGCTCTCTGGGCAAAACCGCGGCCACCACAGAGCCCGAAGACGACAAGCCTCGAAAACCCACGAAAGTCATCGTAGTTCGCGGAATCTCGCTAGAACAAAGGGACAGATTATTAGGCAACATCACCATTTCCCATCTGCCTACCTCGAGTTCCGCTTCGACGTAGTCGCGTCGGAGTGACGATGGATAATCTTCAGGCTCTTTAGCGAGCGCTAAGAGAAAGTCCATCGGATCACCCGACCTAGAAGGACCTGATTGATGTCAGCGTCGATAGGACCGCCTCCTAACGAATCGACAGAGTGCACCACCAGTAGTGTCAGAGTTTTGCTTCTCACCCAGCGTCTCTGAACAGGCGCGAGCCCTCGTTCGCTTCCGAGAGCTGAAAATCGCTTCAGCTCTCGAGAATTCCCATTCGATTCCGGCACGATCACGGTCGGATGCCGTCAGCCTCGATGATGACGTCATCATGATGATCATGGAAGCGACTCGGAGCTAAGATGACGGCAGCATCGACGACATTGTTGTTGTTGCGGCTCCCCAGTAGCGCTGCAGAGTTGTTGTTGATGTGGGTGTTGCTGTTGTTCTGCAGCTGCGGAGTCCTAGCTGATTGATCCGTTCGTTCCCTCGATCGATGTTGTAGATTTAAATGCTTGAGAACCCGTCGCTGTCATCCGAAGTTGCACGCTCGTAATGATGATGATGACAACGGCAACGACCGCGGTGCCGGGCGGAGCTGCAACGGGGGGCGGTCCTGCTCACGTGGTGCAATCAGGAGGCAGGTTCGATTTCGATGACGGTGGCACTTACATCGGCGGCTGGGAAGATGGCAAGGCCCACGGCTTCGGTATCTGTACCGGACCCAAGGGCCAGGGCCAGTACTCGGGCAGCTGGAACTACGGGTTTGAGGTTTGCGGGGTGTACGTTTGGCCGAGCGGATCATGCTACGAAGGCTCGTGGCAAAACGGGAAACGCCACGGTCTCGGAGCAGAAACGCAAGGTAAATGGATCTACCGAGGCGAGTGGACACAAGGATGCAAAGGCCGTTACGGAGTCCGACAATCGTTAACATCGGGTGCGAAGTACGAAGGTACTTGGGCCAATGGACTTCAGGATGGCTACGGATCCGAAACTTATGCCGACGGAGGTAAGCAAATCGAATAGATCAATCGTGGGATAGATCAAGATCCTGAGTGTCGGTGTCGTTCGAAATGCAACGACTTCTTTCGAGAGCCAAGGTTATTCGTGGGGTTGGCGGAGGCGGCGAACAGATTTCGCAACTGCATCTATGTAGTGGATGAACGCGAATCGGCTGCGCGAAGCTTTGCCAAGACCCGACAACCCCTAGCTCCGCTTTTTCACTCTGAGGAGAGGACATAAAAATTCCAACAACGAACACACATTTCGGGTCAGCCTCGGGGCGATCCCCAGGACGCACTCGCTATTCAATTGTGAATTGTATCAATTCTGCGCGAACTCTCTCCTATCGCCCATTCACTTCGGAACTATTTCTTTCTGCGACATTGCGCCGCCGCCGTCACAAGTGTCGCCATCCGAAGATTGCTTTCATGGTCCTCAAAATGAGCGTCCGAACAGAGCAGAAGGAAACGGAGGAATTCTTGCTCTTCGTTCGTTTTCCCCCACTCTTGGACTCCTCCTCCCGCGTAGTTCACACGGCAATAAGGATGATTTGCCTCTGTCGCTGCAGCGGACTCTCGGCACGAGAGACAAGTCCCCGGAGCGTTCCGGTCGGATGGTCTTCGTCTAATTACAGACGTATAGTCTAAGTTTCCCTCGAAAACACACGTTCGGCGATTCCACTCTCCCCGAGTCTCTCGGAACAAGTCGGCCCATGTTTGAGGAGATTTGTCATGGGTCATCAAAGAACTTTTGTTTAAATTGCGAGGGGAAACGCAGTAGAAGTACTCTTTGTCTCTTTGACCAGTAATTTCCTAACAGTCTGGAGGTTGAACGGAACTCTATCCACCCCCGTATGTGTTCCTGGAACCTCTCGTTTGTGTTCGGGGAGGGAGGGGGAAGGGGAGCATGTCGGGGCTGCTCGGAGTCCTTAGTGCTGCACATGCCGTGAGTTCAAACGTGGTGAAGTCGTTCTGAGAGAGCCCATATTGACTTTTCAGGAACATATCAAGGGCAATGGTTGCGTGGCTATCGACACGGATACGGCGTCAGGTCGTCAGCACCTTTCGGTCTCGCGGTGCACGGACGAGGACCCAGTCACCATACGCAAGGTTCTCGAATTGGGTTCCTCCAGGGGAAAGGACGTCCGGGAGCATATCGGGATGATGAAGCTATGTCAAGGCACGAATCTGACGATGTCTTGTCGATCGATTCCAGTGAATTTGGGGTCATCGGTGAGCTCCCTGCAACAAGCGGTGGGGTCCAGCGACGACCCGGCAACCGGGAGAGACCGAAAAATGAACGACTGTCGAGGAGGCTTCGTGTTGAAGTCGCGATCGGACGACATGCCTTCACATCAGAGACGAAGATCTCTCGTCGAAAGATCCGCCGACGTCAAACGCTCGATCATGCAAGTGAGTCCTGCGGACTCCGTCAGCTCAGACGGTCAGAGTTGACGTGCAGCGTGAATTCCGCTGCTGTTTCAAAATTCATGTTTGATTTGTGAAAAATGCTTTGTCGTCCACAGGGTTTCCGCATCAAAAAGCAATATAGCACTGGGGATATCGACAAGCGGGGCATCTCTTCGCTGCGAGGATCCCGCTCTAACTTGAGCTCTGCGTCATCGGAGTCGGGTCACTCAGCGTTCACATACTCGCACAGCGCGGGCGGCCAAGGCCACCACACAGATTCGAACGCCTCTTTTGTTTCCCAAGACGAAGATATAACCGATTCCAACGTCATCGAGACCTATATGGGCGAATGGAAGAACGACAAACGATCCGGTTACGGTGAGTATTCAACGTCGGGCGAAGCCGTCGGTGCTCATTGGCAGAACCCGTTCTCCGTAGACCGGACGAAGAGACGATCGCGAGCTAAGCGGCGTGGCGCTTCACCTCGACAGGTATCGCGGAGCGGTCTGACGGGCTGAAGTACGAGGGTGAATGGTACAACAACAAAAAGTACGGTTACGGAGTCACGACGTTCAAAGACGGCAGCAGAGAAGAGGGAAAATACAAGAACAATGTGCTCGTCACATCGGGAAAGAAGAAACATCTCTTCCTACTGAGGAGTGCGAAGTTCAGAGAACGCATCGAACAAGCCGTGAACGCGGCTATTCGGGCGTCTCAAATCGCACTTCAAAAGGCCGATATCGCCATTTCCAGGTATGATTTGATTTTGCCATCGCCCGAGAAGTCTCTCCGGCTCGATTCCCTGCGTCTTGGAGCTTCGCATGTGATACATTGGAAGCTCCGGTTCGAAAGCGGTAGATACCCCCCGCAGGATCGTTCGAGTCTTTCGATGACCCCTTACAGCCTCTTGAACTTGTGCGCGAACTATTTCGTGTGGAATTATAAGCTCGGAAGCTTATTATCCTGCCCCGGTGTTTCGGTCGTTTCATTTGTAAAAATGGAGGAATCCCTCCGAGCGACCCTCGAGTATATGATAGTTTGGAGGTCATCTCCCTGAGGAACTGTCTCATTACATGGTCGCATTCCGCCGAGGCGAGAAATTTGGAGGGAACCATCTCGCTTCTTCTTCGCTCGTATTTATGCTCGTGAGAGCGAATGGAATGCCGGCTCTCTTCATTCAAAATACATAGGCAACAGCCAAAAGTCGCCTCGCTCTTCTAAAATTCACGCCGTTTGACGGATGTCGGCTCTCGAGCGAATCGTCGTTAGGGAGCCTAAATAACTTATTCAAGAATGGATGGTTCTACCATCTTATCGAATTCTGACCTTCGTCTCCATTCCCTGCTAGAACGGCCACGGCTCGTGACCGCGCGGAGCAAGGTGACATCGCGTCGCTTGAGGCTCGGAAAAATGCGGATTTGGCGAAAAGTGTTGCCGTGCAATTCGCCCCTGAGCTGTTCAACAGTTCAACTCTCTCGCCCTGGACGAGCTCCACGACACCGAATACCGCCGGTCCTCCGAATCAGCATCTAAGTCCGGTGGGAGCGGAAAACGCCATCGTGGCCGCTGGCGCGTTCGGTGCCGCGACGATAGGCGTACCCTCATCACACCTCAACACCTCGATAGCTCAACACCAACGTGAGTGATCTGGAGCGGACTTGTCCGACCCGACGTAGACGGGGAATACCCACAACGGTAGATATGATCCCTTAGGGAAAATGGAACATCCGATAACAATCAGGAAGACGGGAAGGGGTCACGGCGCGGCTACGAACGGTCTTTTCCCCCAAAACTCGTCAATATACGATCATATTCGGGATGCGAGATCACCCCTTCCATCATTCGTCTTTTTACTACAACACTAATTCTGCCTCACTAACCATCGCACTCTCCGCATGCTAACTGAAATCGTCTGATGCGCTCTGAAAAGTGATGCGATTCCTTTGTCCGGATGTGTGTTACCTCACTGGGTAAGTTGAATCACGCCCACTTTTCAGCAAGGCATCCACTTGCCTAGAAAATCCTCAGCCTGGTGTGTCTCGATAAGTCGTCCCGGAACTCCGGAGTTCACCGACTGAAATCCGAGCTGCCCTTTATTTGTGCATATACATATATGTATGTGCTTGTGATATGTACATATTATGAGGTGTACCTATTCTTCGTATGCCACGGAGAAGCATTCCCATGTGGAAAATTTCGTGACTCCAGCGTATTGGTCGTGTGCATTGTCTTCCACCCGGGACACCGCTTCCACTCATTACCGATGCTTATTTCCATCGTAGAGCCCAGCTGACGAACAGATCGACTTCTTTCCTGCCTGCCTGCCTGACGGACTGCCTGTCTTCCCGCGTGCCTCCCCGTCTGCCTGTGTGTGTGTTCGAGCGCGCGTGTTAGTTCAACGATTGCTGATGTTATATAACGCATTCTGTAGCCGCATAATTCTAATGTTTGAGCGGCCTTGCCAAAGTAAGAGAGAGTGGGAATCTCTGCTGGCAGAACGTCGAGACTTCTCCTCTGTACCCTCTCGACTGGTGAAGCAACTGAACGGATGAACAGACGAACAGACTCATGGTACGGCCGTCGTAGCTCTCTGGGAGGCCGGGCCTCGCGTAGGAAATACCATTGCAGCTTTGCTGACTGTCTGACTGCCCAGCCGGCCGGCCGGCTGGTTCCTTCCTTCCTGCCGGCTTTTCGGCTGGTTGGCTGGTCTGAGCTTGCGTGCTTCAGCTCACCACCGGAACTCTGTCTGAGCGTCCTGAAGCGAGCTCATGATCCCGTCGGAAGCAGCGAAGGCTGAAGCTTCTTGTCTGACCCATGGAACGCAGAGACCAAAATCGAAAGCCCAAATATCCGGACTGTTCGCACTCGAACCGGGCGAAAATTCTAATCTGAAAATGCAGGACTGACTTTTGAGGGAAATTCTCCGCACGAGATCCACACGACACTCATTCATCTCGTCATCCCTGCCGTTGACTCTTCCGCCGCCTCAGTCGAAGAAAATGTCAAGCTAGCTCGATCGTAGACGCATTTGGCTGTATCCTCTGATAGCGATCGGACTCGAACCGTGTTTTTTTTTCTAGAAATCGGGGAACTGTCCAACCATCTCGAGCTGGCAGTTCCCACACGGGCGTATCCTCCTGGCTTGAATCCGGCGGTGGGCTCGACCTCTGCGGGTCCGCAAATGGTCGGAGCGGCCAGTCTGGGAGCGCAAACGAGTCTCCAGCATCCCCATCAGCTACAGGGTGCGGCGGCGGCGGACTCCATGAGGACGCTCAATCAGTTGCCTCAAGCTCTGCAGAATCCTGGTACTCCTCTGTCACCACCGAGGAGGCCGTCACTGTACGGAGCAACTCACTCAAGCCAGCAAATTCCTCAACACCAACTGGCGTCACACCCGTCTCTAGCCCAACAAGCGACAATACCACCCCAACAGCTAACACAATCTCAACCACAGCAACCATTCCTCCCGAGTCAGATGCAACAATTGGAGGTCAGCAATCTTGATTTCCCCTCACGCCAGGAATCGTTGGGACTTACTCTCTCTGAGAAGCTCTCTGAATGTGGATTTCGTTTCCAGGATCGGTTGACGTCGACGAGCCAGCCGTCGGGAGCCCAGTCGATGAGCCTCCAAGCCTCCCAGACTCCCAATCTCCACCAACGAGCTCAACAACCCTACCTCATAGATAGCAACACGACACAATCACAGCAGCAAAAGCAAGGCAACCCTCCGCTTAACCAGGTACGTGAGAAATCCCGCCAAAAAAAGAGACTCTCTCCATTTATCCGGAATGGTATCGCAGAATTTTCTTGCCTCGGATTCCCAGATGAATGCCGATCGGCGAGGACGCAGTCAAACCCGCGGCGGGGCCAGAGGCGTCGAGCCCGGAGCTGCTCTGAACGACCATTTCGACCATTACCGTCGACCGGAGAGTCGACCTCCGTCCAGATCTCTATCAAGGTAGGCCGTCGTTTGCCCGATCAAGAGATGCATTTCTCGGGCTAATGTAAGAGGTCCTCCGGTATCCGGGGATGACTTCGGAGTGCGATCGGTTGCTGAATCCGCCGCCGCTAAGACACGTGTTCCGTAGGCAATCTTCGACGACGAAGGAGCCCCAAGAGACGCTGAGTTCAATCTACGGAGTCAGGGGAGCTGATGAATCCGCTGCCGACGCCCTATCGCAGAGACTCGGCGAACGTAAGTTGAGATTTCATTGATTCCGCCCGAACCCTCAGGGGGCGTGCAGAGCGTGACTCCTCACGGAGGAAAATCATCCTCTCCAGGTTTTCAGCAACAACCGAGCACGAGCGAAGAGCCTTCGGGTCTGGGCAGGACGGCGTCGTTGTATATTGGTAGGTCTGATTCCGGCTGGAGGAAATTCTCTGGAATCTATGGTTTGCTTCGATGTTCTCAATGATGTATTACTTAGAACAAGAGCTAGATTGAACGCGTGAAATATGTCGTCCTCGCAATAGAATTGAGCTTCAGTCCTTATTGAAGTCGTTCTTCCCCCTTCAGGAGGCGGGGGAGCGGGAGGACCTCGGAAGCGACCTACTGCCGTCGTAGAAGCGGCTTCGGGAACGAGCCTTTCCCGTAAAAAATCTTTACCTGACATTGCGGGCAAGCAGGCAGTGAAAGAGCCCCTCATGTCACGCGAAGAAGTCTCGGTGCTCAGCCACAATCGGCGCGTGGAAGTGCGGAGGATGCAGGAGATGGCCGAAATGTACCGAGCCAACCCATTTCTCTACTTCACCAATCCGGAGGTCAAGGTTAGAGCAGGCCAATAAGCAGGGGAGTTCTCACGAGAGGATTCCTGTCAACGTAATCCTTATTTGCCTCACAGACTCCCTTTTGGGAAGAAATAGCCTGGAACTTCTCCGCCCTCCGACCCATGTTTCGGTCGACTCACGCCCGTCTTTCGTTCCAGGATTGGTTTTCCCGTCAGCAGTTTGTGATGTTAGTTATTTTTATTAATTTATCGTTGGCCATCGCCTTCTTCCAACTGCTCACGTGACGAATTTCTACGACCTCAAACTCGTTAGTAAGGAAAAGTTGTTTTAGTGTAAGTTTGGATAGCCGATTTTTTATTCACCTCAACGAAACAAACGAGCATTCTACTCAACGTGATCCATCGATCGGCCGATTGATCGAGTGCGAAAGAGCTACATGACTTCGTGAATGTTAGATTTTTGTCGCCGTGATGTGTCAATATCACCAATACCGCCGATGAGTTGGAGCGCTCGTTCGCCCTACAAATCGAGCATGCGGAAAGAACTTTTGGGGAGACGATGGGTCCATCTGTCTGTCCGTCGAGCTTGACCTGCCATTCCTCCTTCTCCATTCTTGCTGCATTGCAAAGAATCGTGAATAGAGAACTCGCCCGAAGATGGCATGATCTGGAGGTGGCAGGCTAACAATTTCCTGCCATCGGCTGGACGGACATGTCGCGGCGCTCGAGGAGAATATTGTGAAAAGTCTGTGAGTGAAAACGGAAGCACCAGGGAAGTCATGTGAAGAGAGGCAGGAAGAATGTGAACATATTTGGGATATTTCTCAGACATATTTCTATGGAAAGAAGTGCTTAGCCCGCAGCGGAACCTTTACAGTTGTGTGTATGATGACGATTGACGCGACAAGCTTTGTTGACTTTCTCGCATTTTCTGAAGCTTTCCAAAGATGCCATCGACCCTCTGGTCGTTCGATTGGTGACCAGAGTCGACACGGGAGACGACCGTCAAGATGACGAGCTCTCAGAGAGATTGCCTCGCGCGACTTGCTTCTCCCTTGAAGATTGGCTGCTGCGTGAGAAGAGTAGTCGCGAAACTTCTCATTCACGGCAGAGACACAAGCCCCCTACGGAAGATGGTATCCGAGCTCTGCCGAAGGTTAAAGCCTCGCCCTCACGGAGGGCAGACGTCGCATTTGGCTGGTTGTTTGCCCTTTTCCCGTGCATGCGGACGCCGTCGACGATGAAGGTCTGGTTTCGATTATGATGGCGTACAACGGCAGCCGAAAATTCAGACCGGTGTGGAACAGGAGTCTGTATGAGAACGAGTGAGAGAAAGACTTTTGAAGAGAACCTCTCGGAGGCTGTTTAGCTTCTTTTCTAGTTGCACTTGCCTCTTTGATAATCATTTGATACTATTTGAGTACGACCGACGGAGCCGAGTTTCCGTGAATACTTTCACTAGGGAATTGACAAGGGTAGGGATACGGAAGGAAAGACATTTTGTTACGGGAATGCTCTTCTGACTCGAAAAAAATGCTGTTCCTCGAAGTCACTGCCGCCCTTCGGCGTACCTCCGATCGGAATGATCGGACCTGATCGATGCATTTAGAGCAGGCGGCAGCGCTTCGGCACCTCATTGTGGAATGATCGCAAAATTACCTAAATACGTCTTCCCCTATTCGTTAGCCGAACAATGAGCTCAGTTTGAACGATTTCCTCAAGAGTACCGATTATCCCGACCCTCAGACCGAATCATCCGACTCAAATGAGGCGGGTTTCGATCATGTGAAGATCAAAGTGTACATAGTTTATTTGCCAACGACATTTCACTGGAAGCCTACTATTTGAGTTCGGAGAGGTTCAAGCCGTCGATCGAGGCGAATGAGGGAGCCATTCGAGCTGTCCTCAGCACCTGCAGTCGGTTCGCAGTCCCGAAACTCAACGGTTCCTTTGGAAATCGGCACATGGTTCAATTATTTTCGTTTCAACATTTTTTTTCAAGGCCCAGCCTCTCAAATTCAAAGGTGCTTTGTTGAAATTCTGAGCACGAGGAAGAATGTTTGGAGAAACGACAGATAGAGCGAAAGAGCGAGAAATTGAAGATTACTGGGAGTATCTCTGTAATCGACACAACAATCAAGGACACAACAACATGAAACGATTTCCTCCAAACCGAGACCGGTTCGAATCATAGGTAGATTCCCGTCGTGATTTCCTACTCGGTACTTCATCGCCGATGCAATCCAACATCAGAATATCAGGTATGGACATTTTTTTTCACAAATATTTCATGAATGTTTCTCTATGGAGGCACACGTAGCAACACTCATTGTGGAGAGCAAAACATGCGCGACATCAGAAGAGAGGAAACAATCGAGAAGAACAGATATATCATTGCTCGGCTCGTTATTCAGCGAGCAGATGCCGTGAGGCCACATTCAAAGAGAAAGTACAGGCCCCCGAATATTTCAAGCGGGAAACTTTTTGCGGGACAATGATCTGCGTCTCCGGGATGTTCCAGGGACGGTTCGTAAGCGACGGAAACGCATTGAGTGAGTACACTATGACCAGTCAGGCTGATATATCGAATTAAGCAGGTCTATGCAACAAACTCAATATGACTATTTGTGACGGATGACTTCGGGAGCCTTCCAGCGACTTCTCTCGAATGAACCTCGCGATACGGGACCTCGCTGATACTTTCGCGCGGGAGCGTGTTCAGTGGCTCAGTGGCGGGCTTGACATGATAACTCGAGTCCCCCTGCAGCAGCCGCGCCATCTCGTCGCAAACGTCGAGGGAACGCATCGTGAGATTCATAAGTTATTCCCCTACTCCGTAAACTGAGTGTGGGAACTCGAGGGATGCTGAGTGAACCTCTCCGGGGAGCGCTATTCAGGCGGAGGTCTGAAGATTCGCACCGCCACGCCTGAGAGAGATTTTTAGAGGCGTCGCCGGAAGATGGTGTCGGCCGTCCGTCGTTTTGATCAATAATACAATTAAACATTTCAAGTCGACCACGTCATATCTCTCTGTGTCTTGTGATTCGGCCTCCGTTGTCTGTCTCTGGGAGCAGGCCTTACAGTTTCAAAATGAAGTTCCCGAAATTCTTTAACTCTGGGAATCTCGCTCTGTACTACTCATGGTATTTGGCGTCCCGTGGCCGCTCGCTGAAGTTAGTCGAGAAGTTGGAACGAGGAATTACAGCCTGCCGTGGGAGGGGAAGCCAGGGAGCAGCTGCTGCTCCTGCCGCCGCATGTCGAGCATGTACTTGCAAGAGCCATCGCGTATTTCGCTCCGCGTGCGTGGGATCAGCTTACGCTACCACTGAAATCATGGAAAGCGGACAGGCCCGCGGGACAAACTTCCTAAACACTATAGTTTCCTATTCCTTATCTGATGAGGTCATATTTGAAACGGCAGCGACCGAACAGATGGGCTGTCAGAAACTTTTCAAACGATGATCAGTGTTGTTGTTGTTGCTGTTGATTCATAGATTGACTCATTCAATAATTCTACATCCGATCATTCATTCATTATTCCGCTCACAGAGCCTCGAGCAGCTAATCGAACCGGTAGTCGATCGGTCGCGCGGCTGCTCGACCATCGACTGATGTGAAGTGCACTGCGACGTGAGCAGCAGGCGCATCAAATAGGATGGGATGAGCTCTATATCAAGCAGCTGACTCGACGGATAAAATCGCAAGAAACTGCTGCAGAAAGGGTCATATTCCAATAGGCAAAGCGGGAGAGACAATGCCCTCATCATCTTGGCGTCGATGAGGTTCGATGTGTTCCGATCAAATTAGAGAACTCTCGAAAGTTCCCGATTGTTTCCTGCGATGGACTCCGCGAGCTGTGCATCTGACGCCAAGTCTCAACATGACACGCAAGGAGACGACAGAAGAGAAAAACTTGATACGGATGCTTGTCCACGAAAACAGAGAATTGTTTTTTTTTTCACTCTTTTCTAAGGAATGCACTTCAGTTTTGTTACCGGGAGCCGAGAAGACGTGTACGATGACGATTATTATGAGAAGGGAGGAACACGAGTGAAATTTATTACTCCCACTATTGTTATCGGGATAACCATAATTGATATAGTCATTATTGATGACATAATTATTGATATTTATGATACGAAACAATAAATCCCCGATTGTGACAACAGATGAGTTTTCCGTTGAGCAGGGAGGGTTTGCTTCCTCCATGGAGCATCCAGGAATACTCGGAGTCAGAGTCGTACTGCGACTAGGTAGCTTCTCTCGAATCTTCCCCAGCGCTGAATCTCCCCCACTTGGTATGATCTCAGATGAGCGCAAAGAATTCGGAAGCGGGAATCGAGGCTGCTTCCGAGCTCGTTCAGAATTCGATGATTCTTCTGCGACCCATGAAACATATCCAGAGGAGAAGGCGATTTGATCGAGATTCCCGTCACCCGGGAAAGAGCACCTCGCCGTGTCGGAGATTGGAACATTCCAACTCAGACATCCCTGACATCGAGTCAATCACCGGACGTAATTATGCCGAAGCTTATCCTCTCGGGGGGTTGAGCTAACCGCCCTTCGCGCTGGAGTTGTCAGAGCGAATCGAGCTCAACCGAAACATCCTTCGCTGAAGGATTCAGAATCGCTAGGGTGTACATCATCTCAATCTCTTAGTAGGTGATTCCCGTTCGTTGAACCGTGCTTCCAGGTGAGAAAATTCTCATCATAATGTTCGATTCCCCCATCACAACGCATGCCCAAGTACATCTCGCGAACAGCTTCTCCTCGGAGCGTTTCCGCTTCCCTATAGTATGATCGAGACCCCTCTCTTGACTTCAAACGAGAGGTGGATTGCCTCCCTCGGGGAAAATTACCCGAAGGGAAAATCGAGAAGTTACGGCTTTTCGAACGGAAGATGAGAGTGTTTTCTCGATGGACTGAGTGCTTTAGCGGGCATGGGGTGCTACATCTCTGTGAACAGCGAACCTCGGCATCTACAATTTTCCTACGACCTGCGATTAGATCAACGATCCTCGGAACTCCGCCGCGCGTCGGAAAGCGGGCTCTCCCCACGACGACGGGAGCTGAGTGGATGAGCCATTGTTCGCGAAGTTGTGATTATCGCACGGAGAGGAAACGATTCCATTGTGTTGACCACCGGAAGGCCGCTGGAATACGATCTAATTGGGGCCCCTCGATAATCTCGAGAACGATTCGCGCATGATCCATGATTCCTATAATTTCAGTACATTAATGTAGGAACAGACTGAGACGGCTTTCCGGAATCATGCAACAAGTGAGAGCTGGAAACCTCTCAGTCGGCTGGAAACTGTCCAGGAGCCGCTCAGCAGGCGAACCTCCGGAAGAATTACGGGGCAGCTTCTCGTATAATCACCCGTTGGAGCGTCCTTTAGGCTCGAGGAACAATGGTTGGACAATGATGAAACTCCCTCGTTGGCGATGCGTGCAAGGATTGCTGCAATGGCTCACAGAAGGATTTTCAACCATGTTGGCTTTGCAGTAGCGGAACCAGCAGCGGCAGGAACCCTCTCTCAAAGACGACTCTCCTCTTAGAGGTTCCTCGCCCTCCGTGGCGTGCCCTGAACGAACAACCTCAGAAGTGGTTCCTTCAACAAGAGTTTACGCCAGCCTATTCCACTCGGCAAGTAGGTAGAGTTCGTGTTTTCGATTCACGTCGAGTCTCCCTTAGGCATTGCGTGTTTCCAGCCCGCCGAGAGCTTGTCAAGGACGCGAGCTCGATTGAAAGTGTTTTGCGAGGCTTTGATGATGTGTCCAGCCCTCGGTTTGCCTGATGAGCTACGCCGCCTCGCCGTGACTCAGTCCGTCACTCTCTTGGTGAATGTTGTTTTCTGGTGGCGGAATCGCGGAAGATTCCTGCCAAGACTCGATCTCGATCCTCGGTTCTGAAAAAAAAAATTCTAGCTCACCCCGAGACAAGAGGGGCAGTCGTACGCACAAATTGTTACCGATGACCTCGGAAAATCCGAATTTTCCTTTAGCGCAGTTGACATAACACGGATTTTCCGACAGTGACGGATTATATTCTGCCAGCTCTCCTGGAAGCGAGCGTTGTCACGCGGCGAAACTGTCGTCTACTCGACATTTAACATTCGCAGAGCAGCCGAGGCGTTGGCAACCGTTGCCAAATTTGGTCTTCGAATCCCCTATTTCTAGAGTTGGAGCAGTTCTTCGTTACGTATGGGCTGTAATGAAACTCACTCGACTCTCGCAAAGAACCCAGAGAGAAAACAGAATCGGAACGCTGGGCCGAGGAAGGGAAAAGTCACCGAAACGAAGCAGTCTTGTTTCTCCAGTGTGACTCCGCTTTGCCCACAGCACGGATGCGAGGCTTGTCATTCTCGCGCTCGAATCTTCCTCGTTCCGATTCGTGGCCTGAGAGCATGCCACCACCGCGGCGCCTGCTCCAGCGGATGATGGATCCCGAGAGCCACTAAACTGGCGGATCACAGTCATTGGCAGCGACGGATCAAAATTAATTTGCTAAGTCTCTGGAGTCCGGAGCTAGCTCAAATCTTGAGTGAGTCGCTCAAGCGGATTCGAAACTCGGGAAGAACCGAACGGAGTCCAGTGGAGGCTGCTCCACCCAAGCATTCCGTCATGAATTGATTCTTCATCTCGGATAGGATGCACAATCAGCCAGGCATCGCTGTCAGCCTCTCTATGACTCCGGGTCGGCTCCTCCATTTTCTTTGTCCCGGGCAGATATGCCAGCGAGACAAAGTCGAGATTTCCCCGGCTCGCTGGCGAGAGCGAATTGCGAAACATACCCAGAACCGTGCAGCTATTTATGACCATAACTGGAGCCTCTCCTATCTGCCAGCCAGCTGTCCGACTGGATAACTCCGATCTCATCTCGGCGAAAAATCAGGATCCGTGCTCGATGCCGATTCCGCTCTCTCGGACGCTCTATGATCAGCGCTCGAAATATCTGCAATCAGGGAGACGGCCCTCCTCAGTGGGGCATCTTCGATAGTCCTCTCCTCACTTAAGTGATGTTTTCTCGATCCGCGTCGCAGTTCGTTTGCCGTCTTGGGACGCGTCATTATCAGCTCCTAGAAGAGGAAATTCTTCCAGCTGGATCTGAAGCGAGACTTGATGATATTCTCCGCGAGATCTGATACGATTCTCCGCATCACTTTTCTTCTTGTTACTCTTTAATTCGTGGACGATCGGTTCCGTATAGCTGTTGAGCAGTCTCGGCTCAAGCACCGAATCTCATTTCCAATCGACACTCTAATCGCAAAATTGATTCAGAGATCCGGTATTTATAGATTTTCCGAAGAACACCGTGGCGCGCCGAGGGGCGATCATTCACGGTCCTCTCAATCATCGAGTGATTTATCGGCCGCTCGATGCAACCTCCAAGCCCGAGCAATGTCGAGCAGATGGCTCTCTTATGACCGTCATGTACATGCTGCTCGGATGGAAATTCCATGGAATCTTGTTATTCAGTCGTCTGTGATTCTGTATCCTTCTGCTGAGAGAGCGAGCCGACGATTCTTCACGCAAACGTTCGTCGGAAAAAAGCTCCGAGTACGTGCTAGAGCAATAATTATCTTCGGTATCTTCTAAACTCGCGAAAATTTTGCACGCTCCGTGCATCTCCGCTGAGAACCCGGATCCAGACTTCGAGTGACCGAGTGAATGATCAGTCCCTCCTCCCCTCGTGATATTGACGGGCGACATGAATTATCTGGAGAGCTTTCCGGAAAACGACGCATCGATTTCGATCGCATCACCGAATCATGGAAGCAGTCGATATTGACCGGGAGACTTTTGCGATCTAATTGAGAGCCAGCAGATTGGGTTAAATGCCACAGTCGGTATCGTCGACTATCGTCCTACGATTGTTTTGACAGCTTTCGAGCAAGGCCGACATCTGATCTAATAAAATGAAGTTCTCAGAATCTGCGGCGATTTCGGCGGCCGATCTCATGTCGGGAATTCCTTCATTCGTAATCGAGCTCGACTGAGAGTGAAAGCTCCCGATTCTCTCAAAGTCAGTATTCGCTTCCGATTAACGGCACCGCCTCGGACCGCGGTCGCCGCGTCCCCGCTCATCCAGGGTAATTCCGAGTAGATTATCTTGAGCTTCGTGCTCATTTCCGAGTTTCCGAGCGTCTGCATCAAGCGATCATTCTCAAATCTGAAGCCGGATCCACGAAGTGATTAATTATTCTGAAAGCCGTCCTTAGACAATGATCAGGATATGGGGATTTTCCCCGCCGCCGCCGTCCGTTCGCCGCGGCCGCGATCCTCCTTACACCATCTCGGAGGTCGCTTCATTGGAGTGGTATCCCGCGAAATCAGCGAGCGGCAGATAACTCAGGGATGTGTGCTGGTCATCTTGGACGTTCTTGACCGAGAAGGCAGGGAAATGAGAAACCTCCGATCTTGCTTTGGACACCTTTGTTATCATTGAGAGCGGGGAATCGACTCGACGGCGCGGCTTCCGTCTCTGTTGCGGACAGCCGTACGATATGCGACTCTGACTGCGAGATGGAGTTCCTTGAGTAGGGGAACGTCAGCAGAAACCTCAAAGACCGTCGGAACAAAACATCTGAGAGGCTTTAAGTTTAGAACAAAAGTCCAGACTGCGGTGACCGACACGGCCAGCGCCCGCGAAGTCAACACGGCGGTAAAGCAGTCGCTAACGCCGCCAAATCGTTACGTCAGCTGACACGGCTTTTCCTTCTTTCAGACAGATCCCTTTCCATCTTGGCGATGTCGTTTCTCGTCCAGCGGGACTGCAGCCAGCGAAAGCCAGCTGACGAAGAAGTGCCGGATTTCGAGACGAACGGAGTTTCGAACGAATAGTTCCCCTCTGGTTGTGCAGCAGGTCGTCGTTCCCTCCGTAGACAGGTCTCTCTCCCCTCCGTCGTCTTCGATACCTTGTCATCAGCTGGTCGCCAGAGTCCGTCTAGCGCTCCGGAGCTCAAGAACTCACAATGAGTGGGCATGTTGGAGATTTGTCTCCAGAACAGGATAAAGCCCTGCAAGAGGTAAGTCACTACCATCAACCAGAATCCGTGGTGACCGGATATCCCGAGCGGCGAAATGTCGCCGATGATCCCGCCGCCTGGTTTCCATATTCTTCAGCGAGACATTGTTTATTTAGCTTTCGAGCCAACATTGACGCCTGGGGTTCGCCATGGCTTAAGACGCTCAGTCGATGTCGGAAGTGCGCTTCCAAGCTCTTTTATCCCCTCACGAATCGCACTCTCAGAAGAGAACTTCCCTACGTTCGTGCTCGGCCGGTCCATCTCGCTCGCTTAGTTTCGCGGAGGTTCCGAATCGCTGGTCTTCTCGCGCTCACCCTACCGTTATTTATCTATTGAGAACAAGTCGCGTGTTGCGACGGGACGATCAGATGTTCCCGATTTTGTTTTGTTTTGGTCTGATTTCTCTGAATCAGCTCTGGGACGTTCGCTCGACCAGCATTCGGGTCTTGCGACGGCCCAGGCTGAGCTTCGAACGGGACCGCGGATAAGGGCTGGCGCATTTCGGATGCTGGCTGTTGAAGGTTGCCGCCGAGCAGTTTTACAGAAGTTCGGCGATGAACTTAATGCACCCGCGTGGCTCCGGGTCCGACTCTCGCCCAAAGATTTCATTTTCTCTCCAAACCGCTCGTGAACGATGATACCGTAGGTCATCGAAAACGATAGCTGCTCAGACAGACATCAGCTATTGGCAAAGGGTAGCGGTGCAGTCAAGCATGAACAATCGTTCTAAAAACTCTAGTAGCCACAAAAACACGCAGGACTTCTAGATCAAGCAGTCGCTTGACGTAACGAACTGAATTTAAATGACGTAGGGCAAGCCGAGCCGCGAGTGCGTCCAACTCCGGTCAGGGAATGAGTGTGGTGAATCAGGGGGTGGCCGTTTGATCCGTAACGTGCTCGTTCCTGGTGTATTCTCGCGTCTTCCAGAGCTGAGCTCTTGAGCAAAAATGTTCACCTATCCTATTCTGGTTTGCGAGGTCTCGGCGCCGTCTTGAACTTGAAAGTTTGGTGGCTGTTATCGCAGAAAATGCAAGGTTTTGGAAGAGCCTCGATTTATCTGTTCACCATTACACGCGTTCAAGCGTCTCAATGTCTCATTCGCCAAAGCGGGTCGCGGTCGAACGTAAACATCGGAGAGATTAGCTCAGATTTCGATCCGAAGATATGTATGATGACGGATATTTCTAGATGAGAGCTCTGTTCGGCCTGGATTACCGGGAGCACGGGGTGGTTCGATCGCAGAGACCGGAATCCCCCCCACTCGTCTTCCCAGAATACCGGCGATGTGACAAATCGAAATATTCAATCGATTCGGCGATGAGCACTCTAGCTTTAGCGGAATGAGCTGCTCTACTGCTTGATGAACTGAAATCTGACCCAACTTTCACCTAGAACCCAGAATCAAGTGCTTGGACAGCGAACCTTGGGCGACGAATTGCTTGCATTGCGTAATGCTTATTCTAGAAAGTTCGGCGAAATATTTCTCGGCTGTGGCGCAGCCCTTACGGCTCGAGAGCGCAGAATTTTCTCTGGACACCATGCTGAATAGATCGACTTCTGCCGTGGACGAGAGAGCTGGGGTCTTCCGAGTTAGTGCATGTCCTTGGACGATCTATCCTCAATCTGGAACCGATGCACATTTCCGGAGAGCGACCAGCGACCGGTCCAATCGCTACGCATGTCAAGCAAGTTGCCCCCACCTTGTGCCTACCAACCTCCTGCCCAGCGAGAAAGAAAATAAAAGCGCAAATCGGTAGGCGACCGTAGTCGCGACAGCGGCAACTATGATGTTGGCAACCGGCCCGAAAAGACCTTGATCTCTACGCGGCTCGCTATCGCAGAAGCTTTGAGTGAATACGTGGAGTCGAAAGCGCAAGCATTCGAAGGGAGGAATAGATTCCCTCGCAGACTCGGAAGAGGCGGTTCGCATCGCGGATGATTGCGAAATCCCGCATCGAGTGAGCCAGATTGAGACGCATGAATCCGACCCCAAGAATCAAAGCAGAGGATCCTGACGGGGAGCCGTGCCTCGAATGAAAAAAGAATTGCAAGCTGCATTGTCGGAGCGAAACCTTTCGCGACAACAAATAGAAATACTAGATGATAAGCAATCGTTCTGCATGAATCGAGGGGGCGTCCGTGAAAATGAGATCGAGGGCAAGGACGGAAGCGCGCCTGGGATGCGAGAAGAGCGTCCTTGTTTCTCGAGCTTCCACCTGCAGCGGTGCTCGAGCATGAACTTCGGGTCGCTCAGAAGCCTGTCGGGCAGCGATAAAGCGACAGCCGCAGCGAGACGGGAGGGAATTAGGGTCCGAGGGACAGCGTGGTGTACTCGAGACAGTCTTCGCTGTACGTACAGCCATAATTATACGAACACGGAGTGGATGTGCCCCGTTTGAGCGTCCGAGTAGCACGAGAAACGGTCCTCAAACGAGAGCAGTGATATTACCTCTGAGAGACGAGCAGTAGTAGCATATACGTTTAGCGTGGTCTCTGCTTCCCAAGTCTTCCGACCCACGGTACCCTTCCGAAAGGGGAGAAAGAGCCTGGAGACCTAGGGAAAGAGTCACATCCAAGCGAAAATGGTCGCTAAGACCAGAAAATGCGGTCATGTAGGGCAAACTCAACTGCATGCTGTGAGAAGCTCGACTCCTACGTGAGCTCGAAACAAAAATGAGCTCCCCTACGGGGCGCCTGCATGACAAGGGACACGCTGGTTTCCGCTGTTCTGAGACGTCGAGCAAGGCAACGGCAACAGCAGCGTCGAGCAAAGGACGACTAAATATTCCGGAAAGAAGCATCTTCATTAAGAGAGGAATGGAGCCGAGAGGAGAGGATGACCTTTGCGAGCGTTTGCCCGACTGGGCGAATGCCATTTTCCCCTCCTTGGTTTTTCTTGAGGCTGTTCATCAATCTTATTCACGCTGGCAGCGAGACTCTTGCATTTGAGGAAGCCTGTTTCCCGAGACTCCCTGATCTCCAGGTTTCTCCGGCTGGGTCGGGATCACGGTCGGATAACGCGGAGATGAGAAGCAGCGGCTCCGATGGTACTCGTGCAGCGGGGATGCAATTCGACTTGTTCTCCGTCGGTCCATTTAACGAGTTCCGACGCCTCCAGGGAGATGAGAAGCCTTGTCAACGATCTATGGTGGACGAGGAGGAAAAATGCTATAGAGAGCATCGGATGAAGTTCGTTGACAACGACGTCAGCCATCTAGAAGGGCTGACTTCGATGGGACGCTGTCGTTCCCATCGCTGGAAACTTCTCCGGGAGAACTCATTGCCGCGCGATTTCGCATTAGACTGAATGGAATTCGGCGAGAGAGTCCATTCTCCGCTTCGATCGAAGTCTCTCTGTTCTTTCGTGCTCCAGAGGTACTCTCGACGAGAGATATTGCTCGACAGCCAGCAGCGAAATTCCATTTCCAGTTGATGAAGCGGGGAAAGAGTTCTTAGTTGTGTCTCCTGTGGACAATGACGAGAGTCGGGCGCTGGTCCCAAAGTTCGGTGTTCGTAAAAATACGATGACACCCTTTCTCCAGGGAAATCCGTTCTCGAACATTCATTTGGGGAGCCCTGTGAAGGGGTAGGATGAATAACGAGAGGTCTCCGCATCGATAGAGCAGAACCAATCTACTATCTGTACGAAACTCGACCAACGGGATGACTGAAAGACGTGCTTCTATTCCAGCTTCGAAGCCGGTGCGCAGACGTATGGGAAGACAGGTTCGACGATCATTTCGTCCTGCGATGGCTCCGTGCGCGGAACTTCTCGGTCGACAAAGCGGAGTACATGCTCCGCCAACATCTCATCTACAGGAACAAGATAGACATGGACAACATCACCAAATGGTACAAACCACCCGAGGTGAGTGACTTTCATTCGGACACGCCGGCATTGCTTCTAGAGAATGAATAATCCCCAAGGAGATCGGAGAAACGGAAATTCTGCTTCTGCTGATATTTTTGTCGCTTCTGGTCCGAGTCAGAGAGCGCTCCCGAGGGAATAGAGAATCTGAAAAGCTATCCTCTGAGCTTGCGAAGCAAGTCGTCGCGATTTTTGAGCCAGGTGCCCTCGCACGGGACGTCGGGAGAATCGACCTACGCATAATTTCAAAGAGAACACCGAATCCACAAAGATGGCGTATTTTTAGTCGCACCGACGGAGACCCTTCAAAGCATCACGTCCGGAGGGCTCTATTCCCGTAAACGTCTCGGGGCTTTGTGTTTCGAGTTCTCCTGGGGGAACGATCGTCGAGCATAGGTACCTATTTGCGCTTTGTCCGCCCAATGCTCGGGCGCTCCGGATCTGAGCCGTCGCCGATCGGATCCGTGAAATTCTTACCTCGACGAGCTGGAGGTGGGCTCAACTGGAGCCCGATTTGTTGCACAGGACCATTCGGGGATTATGATCGCTCCGGAACAATGGCTCCTTGTCGTAGAGCTTCCGTTTCGAAGCGGTGGGATGAAAATTCGGAGGACCACCAAGTTTCTCTACGTGAGCCAAAGTATCCACAGACGCTGGAAGTCGGAATCGATGATGCGCGGAACTATCGCATGTTATGCTCCAGATTGAACGTGGCGAAGCCACGTGCGTGTTCGGTTCCGGATTTGTTTTTCGGAATGTTCCGAGTAATGCATTTTTCCAATCACACGAGTCTGCCGTCCGGCGAACTAGCATGCACGGAACAAGGGATTCCCGAGATATATTCGGAGCGACCGACGAAACGCCGCTGTATCGACAAGTACTAGTTGCAACATGCAAACAATGATCCATCACACGCGGAAAGGGTCTCTTGAGCTTCAAGTTCCAACACTACGTCAGCGTCTCGACTCCGGCTCGGGGCCAAACCAGGGCCGTCATGCATACGGAAATTTAGAATCCCCTAGGCGTCGGACTACATTCCTTGCAAACGACTCTACTCAAGGATTCATGAAGACAGCTGTGCCTCCACCTTGGATTTCAATTCCCGCTCGCTCGCTGAGACGAGCTCGAATAGATTATTATCATCAAGTATTTCCGTCTTTGAGAGGAGCTTCGACAGGAACCTCAGACGCAGGATTCTTCTACTGCCTCTCATTATCCCGTACAGTAGCGCTGAGGCTGCTAATTTCTCACCGTCGCGAAGGCCGCTGATCTATCTACAGTCAGCAGTTATGAACCTCGCTGTATTACTCGAAGATCCGTTGCGTTGGTGTCATGATTCAAGTCACTCAATGGGGGCTCCGGTTCGGCGACAGCGGTGTTCGCTAGCATTGGGAAAATATAATAAAGTTGCTGCTTATACGAACGTGGGAGATACTGAATTCCAGGTCCTGGAAAAGTATACCCCGGGAGGCATCACTGGTTACGACCACGAAGGCTGTCCTGTGTGGGTATTCTGCGCCGGTGACTTTGACATGCGAGGAATGCTCGAGTGCCTCACCCCGAGAGAACTCACGAATCACCTGATTTATCTGCTTGAGCTCTGCAACGAAGATATGGAACGTCAAAGTAAAAAGGTATGCAAACAGGCAACATCTCTCGCCTTGACGATTGCCTCCACGGGTTTCACTCATGCGAGTTCCGTATGGGAGTTCGTCGTTGCTCCGTCAGTACATTGTACCAGAAATATCTGCCGCCCGCCGCTCGCTCATACAATTACATGTGTATATGAGTTGATGTCGCTCGCCGCACTTCAGCCAGACGGGGAAGTGGGGTATTCCGACGGAGACGTGTCGCTAACATCTCCCTCTAGCCTCGAGCTCGTATTCACGACACTTTCCACGCTTTCTCTTCCAGTTGGGTCGGAGGATCGAACGCCGCGTCTTCGTCGTCGATTTCTCCACATTCAGTATGAAGCAAATCGTGTCCAAGGTGGTTCGCAGGTCAGTGAGCTCGACTTGGTTATCTCGTGGAGAAATCCTCGTCTGTCCAGTGGAGTGTGTCGGAACTCGGGGAACTCGCAGAGCGTCCGCGGATCCCATCGGATCGGAACACCGGACGCAGAAAAAAGATCCCTCGACTGGAAACCTAATTACCTATTTGTGCTCAGGTTCATCGGACGTGCAGTTTTCATCTACGAGAGCAATTATCCTGAAACTTTGAAGAAGGCCTATATCGTGAACGCCCCTTCATTCTTCCCGCTGTGTTGGAAAATTCTCCGCCCACTGTTATCCGACTGCACGGCGAGCAAAGTAGAAATATATGGAAAAGGTACGTTCGGGAGAGACAGGAAAAGCGTCTGATCGAGCGGGGAGCTTCGTATCCTGCGTAGGCTCCGAGAAGGTCCTCTGATTCCACTGGCCACGTCACTGATTCAATAGAACATCCTGGAGGTGAACAACTTCGTTCCAATCCACGCTGATAAGACTGAGATTCCATTTCCAGATGGTTGGCAGAGTGAAATTTTCAAAACCATGGACAAGGATCAAGTGCCAGTCCATTTCGGAGGCACTCTCGTCGGGCCCACGGGTTGCCCCCGCTGCTCCGAATGGGTAAGTTCCGGCACGGAGCTGCAACACTGCCTGCCTGCCGACTCTGCACAGCTTCAAAGCGAGCCCTCGCAGAGAATGTATTCTGACAGATAAGAAGCTTGAAATATCCTCTGGGAACGAGAATGAAGGACGTCTCCCTTTTGCAGCTGCCACAGGGCGGTCCAATACCCGAGAAATACTATCGTCAGAACACGACCTTGAACGGGGAAAACGCCAAAACAATCAAATTGTCCAAACGAAGCTCACATAAAATTGAGCTGCCCGTCGAAAACGAAGGAAGCGTAATAAACTGGACGTTCAGGACGAACGGTCACGATCTTGGTTTTGCGCTCCTACGAAAGGTGGGTCATTTCGGCTGCGGACATTCAGACTACGACGGGAACTGCTTCTTGGACTCAGAATTCAAAGCTCCTCTGGGGCTCAGGTTCCATCAAGCGAGATTCTTCAGCTCATGTATACATACGTACGTAGTCTTGCGAAATTAATGATCGCTCGTTCGCCGGAATTCACAGAAAAACGACGGCTCCCTAGAAGGATGCGTGCCTTCAACTCGAGTAGACTGCCATGTTCTTCCGGAAGAAGGTTTCTATACTTGTAACGTCAGCGGCACATGTGAGTACATATTTGATTTCGACGAGTGTCAAACGGTACTCGGTGCCAGACTTGGACTCATCGGTTTTCGAAATTTACAGATATCTTCAAATTCGACAACTCGTACTCGTGGTTCACGGACAAAACAGTCACCTTCGACGTCAATGTGGCTCCTCCGAGCGATGAATTGGAGAAAACTTCGTCTGTTGCGCTGGAGAACCAAATCAAAATAGGATAGTCAGCGCCTAGTTCCAGATGAAATATACATAAATACATATGTATATATTTGATCAAATGAACAATCATCCTAGTTTACGATCCGACTGATGAGAGTCCGAGGAAGTGCGGGACTTTCCGCCCTGCTGGACTTCTCGAGGGGCGACATCATCCCATCGTGAACCATGGCTCAATTGGCACCTGCACGTGCAGTCCAATCGGAGAGAGCGAATTCACGGAAAAAAAATCGAGCATCCTAGATATTCACACGGCAAGCCGACACTGGCAAGAACCACACCCAAGAGCCGTTACGCAATCGTTAAGCCGGCGGCTCACTCAGTGATATTTGAAGTTGAGGTAGCGACGTCGAGCTGTTCGACACCACGGTGCTCGAAGCGAGGAGACCGATGTGAATGGTTTAGAAGTCAATCCGAAGAACACGGCAGTCTATGACACGTATGAATCAACCATGTCCAACTTGCTCCTGCGAGATATCGTATGAATACAGCCTAGACCGAGCGAAGACCGGAAGAATCCGAGTCGGATTGTTTCTCCGAGTACTTGCGTTCGCGCTCTTCTCGAAAACCTAGAATTATTGATGCAACACTCTTATTTTTGCCTCTTCAATATGACTCTCTCTCTCTAAGAAGGGGGAGCTGATAAAACTTAGCAGTCGAAATAGGGGCCCAAGACCCGATATAGTGAGCAGCTTTCGGAATAGTCAATTTTCGTACTCACGTACTTTAAACTCCATCCTGTTACTTGATCGTTTGTTTTGCTTATTCAATATTCGGAGGTCCAGCTCCCGACACGAGCTACGCAGTTAGCTAGCTGCGTCGAACGCTGTCATCGTGTCAGGCGGAGGGAGTATATAAAGCCTGAATGTGCATTCACAGCTCTAGCATTAGGATTGCTCCGTGGACGATCGAGCTGAACGATGAATCCATCGACCGACGAGCACGGAAAGATCGGCTGTCGTTCTAGTGCTCGGAAATAGAAACGAGATATCTTCGGAGGGTCTTCCCGCTGTTCGCTCGACCGAACAGAAATAATGTAAAGATGACCGGATCATCTATTCCATGTTATTCAGAAACGTGAATCTTCCTCATGACGTGCACGTTCCTGACTGTTTTCTCGAAGTCAGCAATCAAGCATTAAAGTTCTTTGAACATAGTTTTCGTGTTTTCTTTCAAATCCAAGGAATGTCTCCTGAGCGTGCGGGAACCTCTCGCATGCTTCTGCGAGCTTGGCTCAATCTGTCACCTGAGGCTACCTACTTGAGATTGGAATCTTCCGGGAGCCAATCTCGGGAAAATTAGCTCGAGTTCGACTTGAGTTTCAACCTTCCGAGGATCTCCCTTCACGCTTAGAATGCGTAGGAATTCCAATTGCGATCCCCAACCGTGGGGAGAACCGACGATCTCGACATTCCAGGAGGCCATGAGAAAAAATGAGACAGTCCTCCACATTCTCTTGCCAATCGCGCTGATTCCTTAGAGAGGTCCTCGTGTTGTGTCCCAAGGGGAACGTTTGCCCTAGGCGTCTGGTCGGGACAGGACTGAGGTATCCTTCAGACTATCATCTCTTCCATTCCCCTTACACAGAAATCCGTCAGCAATATTTTCCGCGACGGAACCATTTTCGAAAAATCAATTTTTTCCTTCCAAACCGAAGGAGATGCGGTTGTGATGGCGCTGCGCAGTGTAGGCGCCTTCCCATGCATTAGATCTCGCATTTGTTATTTTCTCCGTGATCCTCTCCATTTAAAACTGAGGAGTTGCCTTGGGCTTGTCGCCATTGGAGAATTCATCGAGCCTCGATGATCAGAGCGCTTTTGTATTGGAGGGCCATTCGCGAAACAGAAATATGAGGTCAAAAATTTTGGGCTTTCTACGGACAGACCCCGGAAGTTGACATCCGAGCTGGGTTAGTCGGACTGATTTGCTGAATCCTATTCCACCACCCCGATGGACAGACCTCCTTGAGCAAAATATTTGATCCCCTGTTCTTCACAAGTGGAGACGTTGTCGGGCGCTGCTTGTCAAAAACCGCTCCGATGCCCCTGAAAAGAATATCAAAAAGTGGAAGCCTGTCCAAAACACACAGTCACTAAAACACGTACAACATGAATGACGTGGCCACCAAAGGACCTGGGGTTAGACATTGTCTTACATAAGCATCGGGTCGAGAACAAGCTTCGAAAAGAAAGAAGAAAATCGAAGAACACCGACTTTTCATCTACTATTTGCCGATCGTGTACTTTTCAAGCTCGATCGTTGCTCCCGAAGCTAACAACAGTTTTTCTTGTTCAGAACATAATTCTCCTCCACGTTAGCCGTGAACCGATTGGAACCCTTCGTCGGTGTCAAATTTGACAGCTCCGAACACGTAACCACGTGACGGTGCATCAGGGTGACTAGGATCTTCTAAGAATCGTCCGGCAAAAACTGAACGGCTGGTTTCGCAGTCCAGCGATGCTTCAGAATATAACGCTGAAATGATAGCCCGAGCTGGACGGCTAACTTCGAACTTTCTCCGCGCAGAATGGAAGTCTTCGGACCGCGCCAAGCTATATCAGACTCGGGAAATCCTCTCAGACGATTGTTCACTATGTTTCGGGCGTTGTCGAAACATTTAGTTCGACGCGCGCCTCGCGAGCTTCCAGCGCTCTGAGAATCAATAATTTCTCACAGCTGGTCATTCGAAGGGAGTCGCATTAAATAGGCATACGCGTTTCGAAAGAATAAAATGTCATATAGGCGGCACTGCATTCCGAGTTATTGAGGAGTTGGTATCGTCAATCGCCCCCACACTGAAGCCATGGCTTCCCCGCCGGGTACTATGACATCGGCACAATCGTCACGAATAACCAATGGAAGCAAGAACGCCGGCTGGCTGATCCCGAATCGTACTTGTTCATGAGTTCCCACAGGCTATCAAAGACTCTGTTGTTTCTCGTCGTTGTTATGCAACGAGCCACGATCGGAATCGTCCATAGCTAAGCAAATGTTCCGAAATTCGTTGATGACTCCGGCTGAGTGAAATACCGGGATCAGCTCATTCTGAGGGAGGACTTCTAAGAAATACTGGCGATGGCGAAAAGGGTTGCCCAAAACGTCATCGGCGCACTTCATCCCAGATGTCCAACCGCGAGAATGAATCCGGGGCCGACCACGAGTCATCCTGTTTTTGCTTGGCACATCAGCCTTCTTCAGCGTCGCATTATATCAAGGTGGTCGCACAGCACCTATGTGTGAGACCCTGCTCGTCTGTCCCACAACCGCGTCGCATCGGGGTAGAATCGAACCCAGGCTCAAGGAATCTGGCGGCCTGTCCCAAAGCCCAATGACAAGACTCGATACCGGAATCCCTGGAACGTTTGAAGCGGCAGCTGGCTCCAAACCTGTACACCTGCCGAATCGGCTCACTCGGTCACTTAGCTTTTAGCTGGTCAGGAGGTCATACCACCACTCGGACTTGCTGCAGTGATTGCATCGTGGTGAGACCTGATGCGAATTCACCGCGGCGAGATCCCTCATTCTCCGCAGTGACCGCGCTCGTTGAACCCAAGATGATTCTCCTTTTCTTATACGGGACCGAGAATATCGGACCTCTCGTTTTCGAATATTTCCAAGTCTCGATTGGAGAATATCGGACCTCTCGTTTTCGAATATTTCCAAGTCCCGATTGAAGAATATCGCCCCCTCTCGGGGTGCTCGAAATATCGAGTCTCATCTCAATTATCTCGACACCTCTTCCCGATGCACTGTAGAATGGGACAACACATGATTCACAGCGGCTCCCGGGCTCCTTGTCCCTCGGGACCCCCGGCGAATCATGGAACCTGTGGAATCATGGAGTCAGTGACGCGAGCTGGAACCGATCCGGGAGCCCCGATGATGTCTCGACAAATGTACGAGATATATGTGACACACGCTTAGTTTTCGCGTAGTCTTAGATTCCCAATTATTTTTGTCATGAGTTTTAATCATTCAGTCATGTGCGATTGCTAATTACCCATTTACCTTTCGCTCTTCCGGATGCACAATTCCATCTCAACACCGCAGAGTATGAGGATCCGAGGTCTCGGGCACCTCCTGGGACAGGTCCCGGGACACCCAGTCGATAACCCCTGTTATAAGAGATTGCCTATTACGGTCGATGGAGTAGCAGCACGAAAAGTTCACACGTTCTTGTGACGTCTTTAGGTGTGGCCTCGACTACCGTATCTCACCAGAAGCTCATCTTACGTGAAGCTCAAGATCAAGACCATCATCGCCAGCACCTTTTCGGTTTTTCCCTCGTCGGCATGAATTGATGCGCCAGGTGAAGATTCTGTCATTGTTGCCTTGACTGTCAGAAATCGAAAGAAAAAATGTGTCCTGAGCATCTTCTGTGGTTTCCGAGAATTTCTTTCCTCAGAACGCCGACCAGGCCCGTGATGATCAGCTGCCTCTCTCCCCGATATAAGACGCGGCATGCCCGGTCCGCGCCGACACTTCATCGGAAGGATGCGCGTACTTCAGCTTATCGTCACGTGTGGTGCGTTAACGAATGGCTTTTCTGTTCCTTTGCCACTCCCTACATATGTTCAGGTCGAGCTCCTCGGGGATTGCGGCAATCTATTAGTTTAATATGCGTTCAGTGAACTCGGCGGCGTGCACGGATTCAAGCTAAGTATGAGCCCGAACAATCGAGAGGATAGCGACATGGCCTGACATTGAATTTGGAATGGTCATCGAAGAGACAAGGGAGCCCTGACCTCGGGAGATGGATGATCCATGAGAGACATCAGACCGATCGCCCTAAGCGGTCAGAGCTCTCACACGAAGGGCAGCATTGAATTTCTTGAGGTTCCCCGGGCGCCGCATTTTTTTCCACGGAAGTGCCCTGGGAATGCTCCGAGAGCTCCACGGAAGACCTAGTTGCTTTTCTAGTGAGAACTCCGTACCAATCTATTCGAGTAAGCGCCCGGATACTTTCCTCAGGGGATGATTCCCTGCCTGTGCTCTAGTCGACGCGGAATTTCGGGTTCGAATCCAAAGCGTCTTATCCGCACAAGCTCTGAGATGAAAGCTTCGTCGTAATTCATCATCGTGATATCCTGTGTCGGATGCCGCCTGGCAATTAAACGGTGAACCTAGCTGCGCAACCATGCTATTGAGGACCCCTCCCCTCCACATCCTGAGACATCGTTGCCCCCTGGCCTGACGGTCTCGCGATGAATCCGAGTCTGTACGAGGGGCCGAGACCATGAGAATGGAATTTTCCGAATGCCTGTCTTGTGCAATTCACAGATGATTGATTGAAGATTGACGCGGTTGAAGCCCGCATTATTCGTCGATACACTCGCAAGCTTAGCAGACACACGGTCGACTCGACAGACGCGTCATACGCTGGGATCGGGGGGCACGAGCTCTCCATTGTTCACGGTCGGCGTGAAGTTCGCTCACACCAAAAAACTAGAAATGCTTGGGAATCACATAAGTGAGCCGGATTCGAGAAGTTCCCCCTTTCTGTATCGATGCGGATCGTCTTCGAGGAGCGTGGGTGCATCGTTCGGAATGACATAACTACCATTGTTCTTCGACCGCTCCCGAGCAATGAGTCTGGGGTCACACGATTGTCCCGTAGTCAACAGTGACATCTCGTCAAATACTTCACCAAAACGCTGGCCGCATGCTCAAACAATGGCTGGCTCGATCGTCGGATATTTTGCGTACGAGACTGTTTCAAAATGGAACAATGCAGAACGACTTTCGGCAACGGCGGTACGTCAACAACACCGGAGCCGGAGACGATTCTCGCTGCTATGACCGCGTTCGCGACATAAATTCGCTCCTGTTTTAGAAACGTCTCACTTTCGAAATGAAGCCATCGTCGAACTCTCGTTCGCCTCTCTCGCGCGGCACCCCTAATTTATTCCATATGGAAGTTCTCAACGCCTCCGCTGTAGGATGGATCCATCACGCATCGCTTATTCATCGGAATGGCACAGAATCGATTGTGAGGATCTAAAATAGTTCTACACCGGGTCAGATACGCTTCGAGATTATCGCTGGCTCGGATTCATCCTCTCGGGGATCATAGCATGTCTTACCCTGATCCAGATGCGCAGCTTACCGGTCATTAAATATTCGGTGATATGTCTAATAAGTGCAGTGGTTCCTAAACTTTTTCTTACACGGAACCCCTGGGGGTTCCGCAGGTAGACCTTGGGGTTCCGCGCGATTCGCCACGGAACCCAAGGGTTCCGCGGAACCCCGTTTGCGAACCTCTGAATTACTGCTCTGAATCAAACTGGCCTCGGTGTTGTCGAAATGCTCCGGTTTCGAGAGGAGCTGCTGCTTCCGACGTACCGGATTGGAAGGGATTCTGAGAGTTCTGCGGATTCTATCACCCAGGAAGTCAGTTGCAACATCTTCTCACGCTTATCTGGTGAACATTTTCACATCGAGCAGCTCAATCAGCTGGACAATTGTTAGACTAACTATTCGAAGGATTCTTAGTCTGGCGGTTCATTGTTTCAAAGTCCAATCTGCAGCAAGGGTCGCGGTGGGAGTGTCGTCAATTACGCAGCGATATTGCAACGGAATCACGAACAGCTCCACCCTCATTGAACCGAGCGCATCTGCTTCACGGGGATCCCACGCGTTCCCCTTCGGGAATCTGCTCACTTCGTTTGAAGCGATTTATCCACGTGCCACTCGCATCAGTGGAAACGCGCGCATCATCACACAGCTTGCTATCCGAACTTCAGTACGGTTTACCCTTTATCGTCTCTCAATGTCAGCTCTCAGATAAAGTGGAACTCGCCCAGCTCCTTCGAAGCGAGCGCCTGCTGCAAAAATGAACTAAACAAACAGTCGCAAAGAGCGACGACCATGCTTCCACGCTCACTCAGTCGGTCCTTTCTTTCCATTTCTTTTGAATTTCTTTCAGAGCTCACTGAGAACTTCAAGATATTTGGGCGGCGCGAAGCTTGGGCGTCTTCATCCGAGCTTTCAAAACAAAATTCAAGACCGTGAATTTCTCCCAGCCTTTGAAGCTGGATACTTCAGCGAGGTCATTGTCTCGATGTCACCTGACTAGTGAAAAAAAACAATCGTTCGCATGCATTTAGTGGCGAATTGCCTCCGTGTGCTGTGCACCCGGTGCTCAGCTTCAGCATTGGAGACCTTTTTTTTCCTCAATGTCGTCATGGAGTGAGTGAATTCAACATCAGGTCGACGCGAACCTAGCATCCGAAATCCATGCACCCTAGTGGGAGCCCCGGTCGGGAACGGATTCTACCACGTTCCCCGAGCTCGATGGTGTTGCAAGTTGACTTGATTGCAAGAATCGATCGTCACTCTTCTATTCGCGGCTCAAATTCACAGAAAACGTTTCGCGGGCTCGGTGATCGCTCTTTTTTCTCAACAGGAAAGAACCGACTATTCATCCGGATCCGAAAATTCCTTTATGCCGTGGGATGAAGCCGATTCCTCATGATGAAGTCTGACGCTATTTCGCATTTATTCGCTTTTATTATTTAGTAGACGCGCTCTACTTGAGCCGCATCTAGACACCGCCTCGATCCGAAGCAAAGGCACGGTGCAGCTCGGGAGAAAATAGATGAACTTTTCTTTGAATTCCTACAATCCATTCCATCACGCCTACCATTTCATTCCAGTTTTCCACGCCGTGGTCGGTCAGAAGGCGCTGAGTCTGCCAGACGGTGCCGAGCTGCTCATTGGTAATCTTTACACATCGTTCCGATGTCCGAACCAGTACGGTTACTTCGCAGACGCCGAAATGGACTGCAAGGTATTCCATGTTTGCAACCCCGTCGCGCACCCTAATGGGCTGCAAGAAGTACAGCAATTTTCATTCCTTTGTGGGAACCAGACGATCTTCGATCAGCTCTCGTTGTCGTGCGCGTATCCCGAAGACGCTATTCCGTGCCAGACCGCACGGACCTTCTTCTATCTGAACGGGCGTCTCGGTCAAGCGACAGTCGACATCCACAATGAAGCGGATATCGCCAGTGCAGCGCCTTATGTGAGAAGGTATTCATCAGGTTGGGCGCCGAAAGCGTCGTCGCCGCCGTCCGGGGGGACGACCTCGACCCAGACCATACGCAAGTCGGTCCCAGGATCAAGATTCGATTACAACGAAATCGCAAGCCCGAAACCGACAATCAAAATGGGGGGCGAGTCTTCCCTGAAATCTCCACCATTCCTCAAACAGAATGACTTCGCTCCTCTCTCTTTGAAAAAAAACATCTGGTCTCCACGAGAGTCCAAAAATCCATATCGCCGACGGGCAGACCCAATTTGCCGTTCACGCATGCCGCGATAGAAGCGCGTCCAATCACGATCGGCCAGACCACGACTCCACAACCTGCTGTCACTGAAGAGTCACTCTCGCTCGCTACGACGACCAGTGATGCTCTGGATGATCCAGACGGACCCGGTGAGGACGGCAGATCCGGCGAGGACGACATCTACACCACCGAATCTTCCATGCAAACCAAGACTTCCGCTGAATCAAATGACATCGCTCCTACCGAAACCGCGACAGCTGCTGCCGAGGAGCTCACAACTTCGCGGAGCATCCTGAATGATATTCAGGGAACAACGACGACAGGAACACCGCCGTCACCGCGGCTAGTCGTCGGTCACAGTAGAGACGCTCGAAAGATGTCGGGTGCCTTGCAAGCAATCCTTTCCGTGGGTCCTCGGGCGACGACGTCTCCACCGAACAGGAAGCTGCGGCGGCGGCGTGTCAAGCCAGTTTCGGCTCGGCGGTGACTGTGTACCTTCAAATATCGGCAGTGCCATCCTCACGAAGGATCAACCGAAGTGTAAATAGAACCTTATCTCCGCAGGTCCGTTGGAGAGTTCCGCGAATAAAACCAAACAACTCATTCCATTTGTTTTTCTCTGGGTTTCCCCGCTGTCGAGCGTAAATGATCGCGTAAATCGCTCCCCCGAACAGCAAATATCTCGTCGGGATCCGGTACCAGTATCGAAACATTCTCTGAGACTCCTATCCGAAGATGCTCCTATTTCAGCGAGGGGCAACAGCACGCATCCCTGACTTTCCATGCGAATTTCGTGTGTTCTGGACCACACTGTCGGGTGCACATTCGTGGAACGACATCGATTTCTCACGTCGTTTCGCTCCCGCCGACGGAGTGCTGGAGAGCGGTGGTTCCGTTCGACAGGAAAGCAGCTAGCGTTCCACGGTGCCAAGTTAGGTGATCTCCAGTTCTGGCCTTGGCGAGCGAAAGGAGGGAAGTTCTGCTTGATCGGATTCCGAAGTTCGCAGTTTTCTTCCCGAACATGGACGCCCTCCTAGTGATGATCCTCTTAGCCCCCGGCGCTTGTTATGGAGTACGAAAGGAGCCGGTAGAAAATATTCTCTACGACGGATTCCCTTTCTCCATCGACATAGAAGTGCCAGAGTTGAAGAATGGTGCCCTGTATGTGAGTATCTGGGAGAGCGGATCCATACGCAGGCACGAATCCTCGATTGAACCTACTGGAAAGTATCGAGAGCAGGCTCTGGAATCTTGTCGAGGGCTTGGGCGGCTCTCTCGCTGAAGGAACGCAGACATATACAAATGCTTGTTCCATCCCATGTCCTTCTCAGTGATGCTCGCGGAATCTACGTCATCGATTGTGACTTTCTTTCTTGCCTCTATCTATTTGTTATGATTGTGATAGGCAACGGAGAACCTCGTCGTCAATCAGGATCTCTCCGCAGGATTTGGGAACTCAGCCTTTACCTTTCGTAACTCGGTCAGAGGCTCGGGTTGGCAGCATTCACTTGGAAGGGATTCCCCTGAATGACAAGCAGGAGAGGGTCGACTTGCGTGTGATAACGCCGGAGGGAACATCCTCCAGTATGTCGATCCATCTGCACCTCCAAGGCGACTATGATTCTGACCTAACAGGGAGCTGCCGAATGTTCCCGGCTGCTGGTGAGTTGAGCCTGATAAATTGTTCATTCGACCCGGGACCATTGATTTGATGCCAACGTGAGCGAAGAGAACCGCCCTCATTCTGAAGATATTGTGCTGTGTCCTCTCACGTCAGCGATTTCACCAAACAGAGATAACACTCGGCAATCGAGACTTCCGTCATGCACGCCCGGAACTGATCGCCTTGTTAGAGGAAGTCTCGAATAGAACTGGCCATCCACTCAGCCTCATGAAAGTAGTCCCGCCTGCACCCGAGAAGAAGGTAAATGATAATTCATGATGAGCTGCTCTTTGAAAGGCGACGCGAGCTGCCGCTCCCTCAGATGGTCCGGGATAGACCAATCTATGATGTAATGAGGATATTCTCCCCGACTGGATCCCAGGTTTTTATTATGCAAATTATGGGCCGCAAAGAATGCTCTCAAAACATTCCCCTGAATGCCGAATGGAATCGGATTCTGCGGATACATCAGGAACTGAGCAGCGGTCATCTCCAACTCAGAGGAATTCGGTGAGCATGCGGCACGATTACCCATGAATTGTATAATTCACTTATGGCTCGGATTCCGTTGATATTCGAAGATTTGAGATCTAAATTGGGGCGTTGGTCGAAATGATTGCGTGTCGTCTAGGAGCCCGAGATCTCGACTCTTGGAAGAATTCTATGAAACGTACCAGCCCGAGTCGCGACCGCTCGATGCCAGTGAACAGATCAATCCGGGAGCGGTACCGATGACGCACATTCACCCAGCTTCCGGGGAACTCACAGGATATCCCGTGCCGGTCGTATCAGACACTTCGACTTCCGCGACCGAACTGGAAGCAAGCACGGTGACGCCTGCCAGTACTGTCTTCGGGGCTTCGGAGCCTCTGCCAACGTCCGAGACTCAGCTCACAACCGCTGTGCCGTGGGCCACTCCAAGTGAAGCTCCACCAACGACTTCGGCGGAAGATCCAGAAACCCCTACGACTGAAGCTCCCACATTTACCTCGTCTGAAGCTTCAACAATCACTCCGGCCGGAGCTCCCACAAGCACCTCGACAGAAGCTTCAACAATTCCCCCAACTGAAGCTCCAACAACCTCATCGACTGAATATCCAACTACCTCGTCGACTGAAGCTCCAACAACGACCTCGACCGAAAACCCGACGGCAGCTCCGACGGAGGCCCCGACAGCCTCTCCGGATGAGATTCCCCTGTTTAGGCTGACTGAAGATGCTACAATCCATCCAGGAGCTCAGGTGCCTACGAGCATGATCCCCCCGACAGCTCCAACAACGACTGGCGTTGCCTCAGCTGATCGGGAGGCGGAGCTCTTGACAGTGGTAAAAACGGAAGATTTTGAAATGTCAAGAATCGACAGCGATCATCCGGAAACATTGACCGCATCGGGTTCCGGAGCCTCGGTTGCCATGCCTCTGTTCTTCATCATCGTTCTCCTAGCGGCCGCGTCCGCCGTCGCGGTGTTCACCTTGGGGAGAGCGAGGAGCATCCATCGGAAGACCTTCGTTATTGGGAGTGAGTATCACAGCGAATTTCGTAAATCTACCGTCAATATTTGGGTCCCCGATTCCCTCTTGTTTTCGTTCGAAAGGAACAAATCTCCATTCTACTTTGCAGATGCTTACCCGGAGGAGATAAACGATATAGTTGTTCTTGGAAATGACGACATATGATTGACCGGGACGCGAACCCTATGCTTCTATTTTACCTGATTTAATGACAACTCGAAATCCTTAGCTGGTTTTTGATTTTACCATTGGGGCACTGAACGATTCCCGGTCGAGTTTCCCCGAAATTACTTTATAGGAGAGCATCTCGTTGAAAGCTTTGATCAGACCCACATTAGAGAATGTCCAATGTGCTTTCGCGCAGCGTTCCCCCATAGTCGGAAAAGCTCGCAATAGATTGGTGGTTTGAGAATTTCCAATGGAGGCGCCATCGAGTATCATATTCACGGAGCCCCCGTTGATGATTACGCGCGGCAGGAAGTCGCCTATGCATATTTTAGATCCTCTGCGTCAGGGTGCGCGGAATCCGCGGTAGCTGACGATGCCGTATCAAGGTCCTCTCTGAGCCGATTCCTCACGAATTCGGAGGGATTCCATGGTGCGACCACTCACACAGAGTCCTCCGTGTTGGCTCGAGTCCCTCCACGTTCAACAATCCACTTCGACTCTCTCGGGCTCTTCGAGACCTTCAGGCGACCGCCGCATGGACCACCGCTCTACAGTACCGGATCCGCTGGAGTCGCAGTACCTTTTTCCCAACCTGGAACGAAACACTCTGTTTATTCTCAAGACGATCCTCCGCTTGTGTATTCATCCTGCTGGACGTGGGATTTGCCTTGCGACTTCGCGAGAGGATTCAACGATATCGCGCCGTAGCGTTTCTGCGCCAGAAGGAATTCACGGCCTGGGTGCATCGGCGTTCCGATCCTTCCACTCCAGGTTTTCGAGTCCCATCTCTCTTGAGCCATGACTTGAGCAATGTTCGACCTGTGCTGAAGCTCGATGCTGCGGAGGTATTCGTAATGCTGTGACGATGTCTTGCGATGCATTTCTCAAGAGAATCGAAAAGATGATTTCTTAGTTCTAATAAAATGGTCTGAAGATGAAGACGGATGAAAGCTCTATCGATGAAGGATTGTTTCCCTTGAAGTGTGGATCCCTATCTTGTGGCAACGATAATAGTAGCCAGAGGGTGGAGGCAGTAGAGGAACATAACGCGCATATTCTAGTTGAAGAGCATGCCGGCCTACTTTTCGACCCTGCAAAGCCTAATCTCAGACAGAGACGTTTGCATGTGCATCGAAAGCTATCCCTTCATTTCCTCAACCATAAAGTAGAGAATTCTTCGTCTCAGATAGGTAACCCAGCTCATTGCTAGTCTACTGTTCTTCTACAAGTCTTTAATCATTGTACGATTGAACGGGGAAGCCATATTTCATGGAGAAAACGGCACTCTGACATGTTCAGGTCGAAATTTCACATTCTCAGATATACGGTGATCTCCTTGGGAGACGCGAGCGCCCCTCATGAGGCATAGGGGAGACGTGGGGGGAAAAGTTTGAGAACCGCTGGATTAGAGGAAATGAGTTCACTGAGGCGTGTTTTACACAATCGAGCACTGGCTGTTTCTCGATCATGAAAGCCCCGTCCAGGTTCCGTGTAGAATCGGGAGGAGACCGATTGAATAAAGAAAAGTTCACATCGAAGGGAACCGAGTCATGTGTACCTCGATGATTCTGATGATATACGAATCAAGACTCAAGACCTAAGGATCCTTTGGTACAATCAAGAATGCGTTTCACGTCCATACTTACGGTAGGGTCTCTGGCACTACCTGCCAGGGGCTTTTGTTCAGTTCACAGTTCAATTTTCACTGAGACTTTTGTGAATTGCCACGGAGCTCTTTGTACAATTTCGCCGATGGAAAGCATATCTGAACATTCGGCATATCTGTACAAGGCGTCGATCGACAATGAACTTTTGTGCCCACCACTGCTCCAGGGTCGAGACGGGCCACCGGAGTGACAATCTCTTGACTCTGCTGTAGGATTCCCTCATCAGCAGGTTGGACCTGAGAGGGCCACCTGAAGGAAAGAATTGTTTATGGAAGACTATAACCAGTCTGCCGAGGTCTCTCTTGCAGGCGAGTACGAGTGTCATCTCATTTTTCAATTCTGCCGTCCTTTTCCCTTCACATAGGCTCGGATGTTCGGAGGGCAGCCATTGGAACACAATCATGGAATCTCCGGAGATTTGAACTACGCACCTGCATGGGAGCTTCGCGGCTCCCGTGATTGTGCGGCAGGAGAGTTTCCTGTCTTCGAAACCATATTCCAGACATCGCCGGTAGAGCAATAGTGTGCTCCGAGGAGCGGGTGAAGCAAAGAGGTCCATTCTTCATAGGTAGAAAACCTTATCTTTGGCTCGCCCTGAAGTTCTGACCGCGGAGGGACTGTTGAGAGTGGAGCGTCTGGGCGCATGCCGTCCTACCACTGGAGTTTTCGGATGAAGCCGTTCTAATGGAGCATGCTGCTCTAACGGAGCATGAATCTAGAATAAATTCGGTGCTTATGTATAATCAAATCACACTTCTCCGATGAGCCGCTGGGGCTCTACGAAATGTCTCTTCAGCGACGAGCCGTTCCCTTCCTGAGTTCCGCTCCCGGATCGTCATCATCAGATGCCGCAAGCCCCATATCCGGAGGTTCAGAGCGATCGATCGTCCTCAGAACCACTCAATCAGCCGCGAGCCCTCTCTGAATCTGGTCGGTTTCAGCACACGCGTCCCTCAGCTTGAGAATCTTGGAATCCAATACCAAGAGATGAGTTAGATCATAACCTTGTAGATGAGTATTGTACTGCGAGACTTTCGTCAGCTTCACACGAAGGCGCAGACTCCGAAGCTGCCAGGAAGGTGATGAGGAAGTCGGGCGTAGGAGAAAGTACCTGTACGCTTTCGTAGGAACGCAAATACAAGCTTCCCCCCACTCTATAAAACGCGACAATGAGGCCTAGAATGTTTCTTTAGCTGCAAGAAATTGACGCTGTCGCGTTGGTCCCATGCACACATCACAAAACGCGTGTCCGCGTGTGTTTACCCCCCCCCCCGTCATTTTCAATATTCTCAAGTAAACGAGGCCTTACTTGGGTGACGCGGTCTCAAAGTACTCCGCCGGATTCAGCCCGCGCTCGCAGAGCAGGGCAACTACGGAGGTTCGTTTCCGCTCGCGACTACAGCAGCAATTCTAATTGCTGCCAAAGTCTTGGAAAACTGAGCCGCGAGCCACTATCATATCGGGAGTGATCGTGAACTCCACTTCTTCCCCGGCCCCTTGTCAGATTCATCGATCATATACGATCGACTTGAACAAAGTTTAGTTTCTCCATATCGACGCGTTCGCCGAATCAGTGACGCTCCCTTCCTCTAAACGTGAAAACTTATTTATCTCTGAAAGCATTCTCATGAGACTGAGCAGAGGAAGAAAATTATTTTGCTGATCCCAGCCAGCGATAGCTCATGAGATATTATCGGAGAGGAGCAGAAAACTCGAAGACTTCCTCTTAGCTTATAGCCGACACGCGGCCAAACGAAATTTGAATTTTCAGAGTTGTACGAAACGCCGACATTCTTACTCATGTATGTACATATGTTTGTATGAGTCCTACGGTTCTCCTAAGACGACTCGTAGAGGCCGAATCACGGAACATCGATACGAAGTGAAAAAGCTGTATTCAGTTTCTTGGAAGCGAGACCTTCGACTTGGGATCTCATGCAGACGGGATCCGCGATGAGTCTCTTATACGCCGACATCTCTCATATGGAGTCTAGAATGACTCGGGAAAGCGTGCGGACACGGGGAGCGGCGATTGGACTCAGTATCTTACTCGCGTATTCTCTCGTCAGCGGGCTGGACTATATTCGGCTCTGCATCTCTGCTTTTGCATTTTCCGATTCTTTGATTGACACGCGGTCTCGACGGTCCATTGTTCGGGAAGCATGCGTTGGGAGGCATTGCGGCCGGCACCCGGGCGTGAGCGGCTGGTACATACATAGATACTGTAGTGTACATCGCGAAAGCGAAGAACAACTGATTTTAAGGTCTCGATGAGCGTCTGGAGATGAAAATTACTGGCTGTACGCCTCCACTTTATTGAATGCAACATACCACGTATCACAGCACGCATGCCGCAGAGCTTCAAGTCACCTCACACGCAATTCGATTTCTCCGTCGAATTCGCTCTCGCTGGGACTCTGCATTCAGAATCAGGAATCACGAAGTTCTGAGCGAACGACCACTCTGTATGATGTTGACAACCATCGGTCGTGTGGAAATCGTTCTGTGCGTTGAGGTCGAAGTTCCCGCAGAGTCCGCAGAGTTTACCACGATAGAAGGGAGCCGCTTGCACGAACACCGAGCTCGTGTGACTGACTATGTACAATCCGTAGATCGGAGCGTTGATTATTACGACCGGACCGGCGGCTACGACGGCGAACTCGAGGATTCCGTCTTCGTTTTCTACAACTTTCGGTTCGTCCTCCGTCAATGCGCCCTGGTCAGCCCCGTCGATCTGGAAAGACATCCGAATCAACGTCGAGTGATTAATAGCGAGGATGAGAGAATTAGTTCCGACTTGGGTCTGAAGGGAGAATTCATGTCCACTCAGGGCTCGAGAGAGAATTACTTCCGACTACCAGCAGGTATTCCCGGCTTTCTGGTCGGGGCTTCTAACCCTCTGAGTCAGATGAGACGATTACCTTCAGCTGAATTCCATCCCCAGGATAGGTGATCTCGATTTCATGGGTGTTCAACAACAATTGGATATCCTTATCGCCTTTGGTGGTGGTCCTGGTGAGTAAGGAGAATATCTTCTGTTCCGAACAATCCTCGGTCAGAATTTTCCAACACGTGGTCTCAGGAACCTTGTACATAACACGGTCGAATGTTCGAACGCCTTTCAGCTGGTGATCGCAGTAACCTAGCCGAAGATCGATTTTAGATGAGATGAGGCTCCTCTCACCCGAACTTCAGGCGCTCCCGACCAATATGGGCTCGTGAAGACGGTCCACCTCCACGATTCGAATCGAAAATCTACTCACGGTTATAGTACTTCCTGAAGTAGCTCTGCAAGTTAGAGGTTCCCATATGCGTCGCTGTCCTAGGCGCCCAGTGAGCTCCCCACGAAACCGGTAGGTTCTCGAAGAGCAATTTGTAGTGCAGAGCCTCCATCTCAACGTCGGCGACTCTCTGGTCGATGCAGGGCTCGCGCACCACGGATTTTATGAAAATTTCGTTGCGCGGAGCTGGGAGATGCTCAAGGGAGCCCAAATGCCGGCCCAACTTTGAAACCATGAAACCTGGAGCGCCCGTTATGAATGGAGAGTCCTCGAGTCTCATTGAATCAGCTCCGGAGATTTTCACAGTCAATTGGTTCAGCTGACTTGAGTGGACCATGAATTTGTGACACGCGATCGGGAGGACCATTCCTTTGGTCAACCCTCCGACACACGCCTTATAATTCTTCCTGGAAACAAGGCTCGGAGTTAGTCTCTGTGTGCGGGAAAATATCCGATGAAAGCCTCTCAAAAGCTAGCCTAGTAGAACTCTGCTTTGACGCAATCATCAGGCGGATATAGGTTTCCTTGCCGCTCGGAGTTGACACTTACACGTAAGGATTTTCCAGGCCGTGTACTCGGCTTCCGCTATCTCCCGTTGCCAGCTGTTTCAACCATTGTTTCTGTTCCTCACTGTGCTCGTACATCATGTTCAAACGGATCTGAGAGTAGGTAAGCGATCGTTACCGAATATCCATCAGGCGAAGTCGAATATTCGCGAAATTAAGAGAAAGGCGGAAAATAGAATTCTGATCGGGAAATTTCCGACGATATACATATAATCTCACCGTGGATTTGGGATCGCATTCTTCGCCATAACGAATGTCCGTGATCACGCGAATATTTTGATCGGCGTTGATCCTGTCAATTTCTGCTGCCGATCGTTTGCTCCAATCTGTTTGGGTCCGTTGAATTTTCGAGGCCCAGCACATTTTCTTCGGCTTACCCGAAAACGACTCGCCCGCGAAGAAGACGTGCAGCCATTGGTGGTCGCGTTTGGGAGTGTAAGAATAACGCACTTCTAGCTCCGATTGTTTCTCCGGCTCTCCTCGCAGAACCTGGATGACCTGGATCACGTGCGTGAAAGAGTCGGTGAGGTCCTCTGAGTGCTCCGTGAACAGGGATTTCGCTTTCTCGGCTTTCGACGGCGGCGTCATTTTATGCTTGATCGATAGCGTTTGCTGCGGAAAAATATAATTCGCATTTCTGAATGAACGAGCTCCGTGATCGGATATGCTTATGATCGATGCCGTGGTTGTTTGAGAGTTGCCTCACCCCCTTGAGTACAGCGTTCTCAGGCTGTTCGAATGAAACCTCGAGCTCGCGAGGCATCCATTCCGGGTTGCAGAGCAGCTCATTGATTTTCTTGCTCAGTTTGTTATCGAAGATCCAGCCCAAGAAATGCTTCGGGGAGAACGAATCGGTGGGAAGGGTCTTACCCTTGGTCTTCATGCTGACGCCGCCCAATGCGGTGACTTTCTCGAATTTCGCCAATTCACCGTCTTTGTAGAGATTAAGAGCCCCGTGGTCGGACGCATTCCGAGAATCTCGAAGAACTGTGTATGGCACGAACGAGTACCGCAAGAAGTCATTTGGTAGCTTGACATCCTCGTTGATCGTGAGCTTGCCGCTCGCGATGTTCCAATCGATATCGAGATTCAAGGGAGCGTTAATTCTGAAGTTTTTATCGAAGCCAACTCCCAAGTTACGATTGAATCCCATGAACTCGATACCCATCGTTTCGGTCAGAAATCCCTCTACGATGAAGTGCTGATTTAGCTTGAGTTTCATCGTTCCCGTTTTGTCGATGCTGAACGAGGACTTCTCCCGTTTCAGATAGGTGGCTGTCGGCATCATCACTTCTAGCCACACCGGAATGCCGAACGATGTGGGCATGACGAGAGCGAAGTCCCGCAAGTTAGAGTGGCTGACGTCTTCTACGTCAGTTGACAGAAGATGGTTCAGGAGGGTTCCCGGTGCATACTCAGGTGACATAAAGGCCGAAAGATGACTCTCGTTGAGACTTATGACATCCAATGTATGCCCGAAAGCTCCCAAAGTTATTTCCAACTGTTTGGGTTCATATCTCTTGCTTTTGATCTTCATGGTGGAATCGATTTCTTCCATCTTCTGTCTCACGGACTCTGCGGACCTGCGAGTGAGTCTCCTCCCACCGCCGACGTGCCATAAATTCGAGCCCAGCGTGGTTCCCTGGGAACGGCAAGAACTAATGTCGAGAGAACGGAGGATCTCCCGGTGCGGATTCGCGGAAGAAACTCCACTTCCCGCAACTCACCATGGATCTTGGACCGAAGAAGTGATCGGTCAGCGAATCCATGCCCTGCTGTCGGACGGCGATGTTGACCGACTCGAATAAGAAGTTGGCGAAGTACTGACTCATGCTGTAGGTAACTTCGCGGGGTACGTAGGAGTCCCCCATCACCATCGAGAACTTCGAGTGACTTCCCATGTCGTATTTGGCTGTGGGAAAGCGCACTCTCAGCACTGTAGCTCTTTAATTACGATCTTCCAATTTAGTTAATGACTCCAAATCGGGCTCACAATCATAGAATGAAGAGAGTTTCATGTAGGACGTGAGGAAATCCTTCCTTTTCCATTCAGACGGCAAGAAGTCGGCTACGATAGGAGCAATGTATCTGATGTCCTGACGCCTGTTTGGGTTTAAAATGAATTCAAAGAACTTTCATGCATTCGGACTCGAATGCACACTTGGAAACAATCGAGCGACTCGACAGAGTACTCACAGTGCGCGGAAGCAAGGGTAGTCGTTGGAGTCGATCTCTTTGATCATCGAAACTAGGAAAGAACGAACTTGGTCATTCTTTTCTTGCATGAGATAAAGCGTCACCGCTTGCAGGAGGCTCAGAGACGGCTTGCTTTTGAAGAGTATCATGGCTGACAGGATGCGCAAATCAGTGGCTTGCTCTCGATTCATGTAGATTCCGAGCATCTTCTCCTGGATGATTTCCCGATGCCTCGGCAGGATCTTCTCCAAGCCGTGTGCAGCATCCATTTTGCTGTAAAGGGATTGTACGGAATTGAATCGAATAATTGACCAATTTATCCATTATGCCAAATCCATTATGTCAGGCGGAACTAGCCCGTGTCCGGGTTCAGCTTTACGCTCACGTCAATGAGTCCACGGTGTCATCCCCAATTACCCTCAAGAGGAATTCAGCCGATTCTCTCGTGGCAAGATTAGCGGCAACATTGACGAACAATCTGAAATGATTGATATCTCCTTTCGCTGTTTCGTACTCCGGGATCAACTGAAACGTTCCATGTGCCGCGAGTCAGAATCACGTTCTCAATCTGGGCCTCTTGATGCATTTCCCTCGTAGATCCCTCATGCATTAAATTCGTACACAGTCGAAAAGAACGCACCTTCCGGAAAGCACTCTTCTGAAGCTCCTCTCCAGAACATTCGGGGATATTGAATCTGGGAGCTATTTCCGGGAACCTGCAGGCTTCACTGATCATCGAGGAGTAGGTCAGAAGGCACTTGTTCCTCTCTTGATCGAACCTCTGCATGAGTCCAGAATTACAGAAGTCCAACAGCGTGTTCAGGGCTGCCTCAGTTATCTCGGTCTGGCCCACTTGGAAACCTCCGAGGAAACTCTCGACGAAACGAGTATCGATCTCTCCAGATTTGAATTTTTCGATGAGCAGCAGCGTGCCGGCATTATGACCGGATGCCGCCACCACTTCGACGAACAGTTTCTGCATTTTCAACCTCTTCCCCTCGGGGGCGGTCGCAACCAAGGCTTCGAAAACTTTCTCGGTACCAATGTAATCCAATAAATTGATGGATACAACGGCTTCATCAAAGCTTCCGGGAGCTTTATAAGGTTCTGTTGGGACCTTCGCGCTCGCCAGCTTCTCCATCTCTTTGATGACATGCTCAGCGCTTCCCTGCTTGCCCCAATCTTGCGCGATACTATCGGCCGCCTTCATGTCGACTTTCCGTCGGATGCTTCGGTCTTTCGCGAGTTCCATGTTGAGAGTCTGATAGACTTGCTTGTCTCCGGCAATTTCCAGCTTCTCGCTCACGTCCTTCGTCGATTTTAAGCGGACCTCTTGCCTATAATTTCGAAACCGCGAATATTTCCCCATTGCTCCGATGTCGGATATCTTCAAGCAGCGACATCTCTCGTCGGAAATCAGAACTCACTTGGTGAGCACCTTCGCCATATTGCCATTCTCTGTGTAGGGCGCATGATGGAGCTTAGAATAATCGACGGCATGTTCGAGGATCGAATCGGAACGATTGCCGGTTTTCGAAACGAGAGAGTACGTCGTTCTGGTCCTCGTCTCGAGAGGGTGCTGAGGATCGAGATCGATGAAGTCAGCATCTCCGTCTTGCTATCTCCTAACAAAGCTCGGAGGTTTCCTCCATGTCTGGCATATCGCGATTCTCACCGTCATTGTATCCTCACAGGTGGAACACATCGAGGCTTTCAAAGATCCGTAAACTTTGTACGGCACGGTGACGCATTCATCGAAGTTGATCACCCGTGTGAGATTTATCACTTTCGCCGATGGATTGGTCCAGTGAGGATTGTGATCGAGAGTCCAATACGCATTGCAGTCCCCATGAATTGTCGATTCGTGAGATCTGTACGTTTGTGCGTCGTTCAGCGGTAGATTGAAATTCACGAAAGAAGCCAAGCCTTTCTTCAGATTCAGGGACCACAATGGGTCCTTCGCGGGCACTTCTAGTTGTTGGAACTGAAAAACATCAAAGGGTCTCTCATCCCGAAAACCACCGAGAGTCCACCGGGGCAGGGGAGGGGTGATCGAGCATTGGGGGGAGGGGAGTACCTTGTAAGTTCCCGGTTTCGCACTGTCTTCAGCGAATCGCATCACGAATGGTCTCTCCAAGACGGCGCTCAGATCCGGGCTCCTCTCGTACTTGAGGTCGTCTCCGTGGTACCACATTTTGGATTCTCGGTTGTTGGCAAACGAAACATCGAAGTTTTCAATTTTCAGGGCGTAGCTGAACTCGTCAACTCTCTGGACTCGAACATTGGAGCGGAATGCAAACCCTGTGTTCTGAGTCGGCATTTGGGACGCCAGGTGCACCATATTGCCCCCATATGCGTACTCATATTCTTTTCCGACTTCGAAACCTGTTGAGAATTCGTATCGATAGATCTCATCTGTCCGGGTCTCTGTGCAGAGCGTCTTGCTCGGGGGTTCTCGGGGTTCTTTGTGCCATTCGAAGGATCGGATAAAACGATATGGAACGGGGTGGGAGGCGGATGGAATCGAAAATTCAGTCGAGAACATCGGTTCTTAGGTCTCACCATTACAGAAGGCGAAACAACTGAATCCCAGAAGAACAACGAGAGACGTCATTAGCTTCGCCATCCCGAGGGCGTCGCATGGAAATAAGGAAGACGCGACGACGTCTTTATATCGTCTCGTATTTTTGTCTCGCCCCACGGAATTGAAACAGTGTGCAGCGATGTCTGCTAGCTCAATCGAGCCCCTCCGGAGACAAGAGAACGCGGCTCCTGGGCGAGAAGATCGAAAACGAGGCCAATCAGAACATGGTACTGAATCACGCGCGGCAAAGACACGGCATCGTCGCCTCGGATGGACGTTGCTGAAAACCTAAGAAAATTCACCAGATGAGTTTTGTTGCACAGAGTCTTTCGGCTTTCAGAGCTCACTTATACAAATATGATCGAGCGCTGATTTGTTCGACTCGATCGAGTTTCACGCTTACGCTGTACCTCTCACGATGTTCGCGGGAAGGCTCGGTACGCTCTCGAGATCGAGAGTGCAAAGGGAGAATTTCTCGAAAAAGGAATCCGTTTCGAAACAGGCGCGAAATCTCGAAGCTGTTGTTGAAAATGGAAACTGATTGTGGGTCTCCCCTGGCGTATTAGACGCTGATATGATAGTATCATGTCCCAAGTAGCGGCACTAACATGAATGATACATTGAGATATCCCGTTTTGCGTGGTCATGGCCAATTTCGAATCCTGTTCAGTCCACCGGGACCGCATTTTCGGAATCACTCATGACTGAACTTCTGTCCCGAAGCTCAGGCTTTGAGCTCCTACATCGACGGAGAAAGCCCTCGAGCTTAGAGGACGTCGATTTACCCATTTTTTAAAGCTTCGAGAGACGGTGCGAGCCATCCTCTACGCCAAGACACTCCAAATACAGTCATAGCGGCTCTCTGCAATCGCGCCACTGAGATTGAAATCGAACTGTTTGCCGACCGTGGAACCGAACGTTCTCTGGATTAGCGTCCAACTCCCCGGAATCCGTCATGGCTTCGTGATGTTTCGTTATCACCGTCGGAGCTTGGTCAGCTTTACGGAACTCGGGAATCGGGTGTCCCCGAGGGCCATCGGAACCCGCTGACCCGCAGTAAAATCTGAATCTTCGCAGCTTGAGTCTTCAGCTAGGGTCGACCGCAGAGTTGCAATCGAGCGGCGTGACTTGTCGATATTCCGATGGAGCGACATGCGACATCTGACAGGGTGAAGTGACGCGATCAAACGCTCGTCCCGCACGCCAGATCGGCAAACCCATCGGTCCGCCCAGATGCTGCCAACGCAATGCCTCGTACAATGAGTTGATCAAGTGAAGTCCTAATTTCTTGACTTGTCAATCAGCGGCTCTCAACCGGGGGTCCCGACCCTCGTCCTGGAGCTGGAGTCCTAGAGGAGCCCGGAAACGTCGCACCATAATCCCACGCGGTGCCAAGTGTTAAAATAAAATCAAGGATTCGAGACAGCAACAGGAAAGGCCTCTCTATCTGCATTGATACCTGCATGATCAGAATTCAAATTAGAAACGCTGATCATGAGATTCGGTAGAGAACCATGGAGCATGCGCATATGTATGTGGTTCGTATTACTTCCGATACATGCGCTCGATATGAGGGGGTGCCCGAGTCGGCTGCGAAGATGTCGCGAGAGACAGAAATGTCCGGGAGAGCTTATCTCACAGGGGAATCCTGTGACGCGAGCTTAGCAGAGGGAAGTTTCTGAGGGAAGGTCCAGTCGTTGGGTCTCGTTGCCTTCAACAGCGATTCCGACGAGGAGGAATTGATCCGTTCCTGCTCGGCCTCAATTGATGGCACCTGCTTGGGTATCAGGTGAGATCTTCTCCTTCAGGCCATGCGGCATACGAGCGACATGGGGTCACCGAAGAAGTTACGACTTATTATCCGCGATTGGGCCGAAAATGCCGCGGTATTCTCGCCTAGCGGAATCGGTAATTTTGGCGCCCACACGACCAATCATTAGTGAGCCCAGCATAACGCGTAGGTGAGCCGAACTAGCTGAGCGTCTGATCCGTCTGACGGAGTCGCAGGTGAAGACATCCGAACTTTGGTTTTTTTTAACGTTCTTTAATTCAAACAACTGAAGATCAGCTCATATAGTCTGTGACGCGCAACTCGAGCTGCGACTTGTAGGAGATGAAACGCTGCGCTGGACTTCGAGCTAATGATGATAGGGCGGACGGGGTCTTATCCCGCTCCTAAACATCCAACAGTCTCCTCTCTCCTTCTGCTGCCTAAGTCCTGGCTTCGACTTTGAGCAGGAACACTTCTGACTTCAATAAGTTCGGGTCTGTCGCGCCTCAGCCTTCTGAGATCGTACCGTTGCAGAGCAGTTATACGAACACTTTCTGTAATCATCTAAGGGAGAGGCGTTCTTACCACAGAAATCACTTCTGGGAGTCAAGAGTGATTTTGACGAGAATTTTCCTCCGCCGTCCCCCGGCTGACTTCCTGGAATGTTTGGTAAAGTTCGTAGAGTCCGTACTAATGCTCGAATCCAAAAGTTCAGTATTCTCGGGAGAAGCCCCGCTCGACATGCTCCTCCTCCTCCCATCCTGGGACCCTGCCCTTGCCGCGTGCGGCATGCAGAAGGAACTTGAAGCAGAGAGCGGTCCCTTCGGGCTCCCGAGAGGACTGCAGGTGCGCGGAATCCTCAGCCCTGCACACTGAGTACTGATATAAGTCTCCGCGAGAACACGCACCCTGACCGATTATAAATTCATGAAGGCTCACAGCCTTGAGGATTTAATTTCTCTTTCGCGTCACTTAGTGGAGGAAGGCACGACAAGTCGATTCAGATACGATCGACAACGAATGTGTCGGTGCCTCAAGCCGAATCTCAGGAAATGCCCGAGGATCCGAGTGAGGAAATCATCGACAAGCACGCAGAATCTCGTTTGACCGATGGAATCTCGAGGCGAGAGCTTCTCGTTGAGTTGTTCCGGCGGATGCGCGGCGCTGCTCGGATGGTGCTCAATCGCAAACCCAAGTGAGCCGCGCCCACCCTCACTCGCTTCCCAACCTATCGAAGATCATTGTCTCCAATCTTTTCACCGGAAGTCTCGGGACTTCGAGAACGGGTTGCGATCGCATCGTTTGTCTCTGGAGTATCATAACCGATATTCTCGAAAAATCCGAATCGCAGGTTGGTGAAGACTGTCGAGTACGTCTTGCGTTCATTCCTCCAGCGCGAGTCTCGGATGTCTCTGGATCGCTTCCCTCGAGAGCACTTCTGTACGCAGCAAGTGGTTCTCGTGGGAATTTTCGTGCTGCATGGCCTCCAATCGAGAACGTTGACGTTCCTGGAGCTCCGAGAAGACCTTGGGAACCTCGCATACTTATTGGACTTTCTCAGACTACATCACCCGAAGGACGCGGCCTTCATGCAAGCCTACCTCCGGAAGTATCTGGCCATGCTCGAGGAACTCTGCTCCATTTTCGAGAAAGCGACGCAGGTTATCCGCACTGACTGGGCTTCCCTCAAGGACGCTTACCAGCGTTTCGAAACGTTACCGCCATCAGTTGAGAGAGAACTTTTCGTCCCTCCGGTCGCCGAAATCGTACCTTCGAAACTCCTGGGGGCGGGAGGTTTCGGCGCTTGCTACAAGGTCAAGATCGGCGGCGCCGTACTGGTCGGGAAATTGATACCGCTCGAACGGATGAAATCCCCGAAACATGCTTGCCTTGACAAGGTTGTTGCATCTGTGATAAGCAGTCCGTTTCTGATAGCTTACCATTCTTGTTTCTCGACCGATAGAGCTTACGTAACGATTATGGAATGTGTCAAAGGGGTCGATCTCAATCGTCTGATCAAACGGGGTGAGCCCCTCGACCCGGTGGCTATACCTTTGATATTGGCCCAGCTTGGACTCGCAGTACGATATCTGCATTTCCGCGGCTTCATTCACCGAGATATCAAGCCCGCGAATATCATGGTCTTACTCGGGTGCCGAATGAAACTCATAGATTTCGACACATGTAAAATTTGTACGTCTCTTTACGGAGACGGGTATACTCGAAGTTTCCGAAGCCGGACTTTCGGGGAGTTCCGAGATTCGGAGGTTGCGGGAACTTTGGTATTTTTCTCTCCAGAGACTATCGCGAGGGAATCCTATGGAAGAGCGACCGATTTTTGGGCGATCGGTGTCACGGCTTTTATCATGGGATCGGGGAAGCTACCCTTCCGCGGGAATGACGAGAACGTTCGGAAGAACATATGGGCCGCCGAATATCCGCCGCTCAGAAATCAGCCGAGGCTCGCGCAGCTCATCGCGCGATTACTCGTCAGGGATCCGAAGCGCCGGATTACAACAGCGCGATTCGAAGAATACCAAATGGAAGAAATATTCAGGGATGTCAACTGGGAGAAGCTCGACGTGGATCATCTACATGAAATGAAGCAGTTTTCGGATTTGATGCAGCACCATGACGATGGAGGTTGGTCCCTGATCGAGAAGAGCGAGAGGAAACTGAAGAAAAAAACGAGATTTCAATTGAAGTTCAGCGATGTGGCCGTGAGTACCTGACAGATCGGGCTGATCTTCTTGGCGAAGAATATGCTCGCTCGGCTAAGCTCAAAGGGAATGATCAAGAGTTGTCCGCATCCCAGGACGCGCCCAAGCAAGAGAAACTCTTCACATTCTCCTCAAATTCCTTCCACAAGTTCCTCGTGACGAGGTCTAGGAACCAAGGGAGCGATGTGAATTTCGTAATTCACGAAGGTTACGATTTCATCCCGGAATTCACTGAGAGACGACAGCGAGTCACGTATCGCTTCCAGGTGAGAGACTCACAGAAGACAGCTCCGCCATCGAACCCCGATAAGTTCACCGGGCTCACGTGTATTTGTTTCATCTCACAGGATGCACTGAAATGGCAGAGTTACAACACGGGCCCGAGATCCTCTCCATCCGAGCGGAGTGCAAGATTGTGAAACCCTGAGTCGCGACGTCAAGGAATGTCTGTGCTTCGCGGGCGGAAATGTTGAAATGATGTTGCTCATTGAGAATGAACAAAGCACCACGCAGGAATCTTTCTTTTTAAAATCGTAGAGTCTCGTACAGTAATCGTACAGTTCAGGATTTACGAATCTTGCATTCCTGCTCATCGAACTCGCGGAGCATAAGGACAATTCCTCCATAGAACTTTCTTCGCAGAAAGCGGGGACAATCGATCGGAATCCGCGCATAGGTCTGACACCAATTATTCTGAGTAGCTCCTATCAGAGGTGGATAACGGCTTCCTAGAATCACGATGCTCCCGCTTACGAAAGATTGGCGCGAGTTCGGAGCTCTAATTGCCCTGTGAAAGTTATGGCTGAGACCAAAAGCATTGCACGTCCTACATTCTTAGGCTGTTATACTATTCGGTTCGAGGATTGATGCGATTTGAAGAGCGTGAGCTGGTTCCTGCACTGGAGGGCTGGGACGACAGAATGACCGGTTCCAGATCTCGGTCTCAACCGTGGTAGGAGCTTCCTGAAACTTAGCCTTCAAGGACTGTGATTTAGTTGAACTATACATGAAGTATTCCACGTTGAGGGACCAAGATAGGACAAGTATCGGCTCCGCGGGTTCAAATGTGATTCTTGCAGAAGTACCAGGTCAAAAGCTGCAAGTACGACCTGCTTGGCCGACCCTCAGCGGGCTCTAGGGCGGCCAAGCGGCATGTGCCGGGGAGCAATCGGTGAGCTACCCGGCGAGAAATCATATTCCAAGAAAAATATTGGATTCGGAGCAGATCAGGCGATCTAAAGAGTCGAGTTTTTCTTCCGGACGACAGAAAGACTTTCGAGCAGACGAGTCCGGTCGGATATAGTTCGTCTAATGGCAGCCCCCTCACAGTATCTAGAGTCCCGTGACGGTGATGGAGTCGGTTTCGGAATGACTCCATGAGCTCGAATCAGTCGCTCGTTCAGTCGTGGAAGCACGAGCTGGGCACCTCGAAAGGTCCCATGACGCATGAATCATCTGGAAAAGATTCCGGGGGGGGTGAGACCCGATTGAAAACAGAAATCGCTGATTCCGGGGTCAGTCTCGGCCAAGCAACTAGTATTTTCGAATGAGAAGTTATTTATTCCGTATTGAAGGCATCGCCGGCTGATGCTGAGCTCTTGAGCTTGTTTCGAGCATCCGTCGTTCATCAATCAGGGCTATCGGCAATGAAGTGTATCAAGCAGCTATTCTTGAGCCATGCGGTGATTGACGTACTTGTGTGAGATCTGAATATCATCGAGATCGATTCCATGCGCAGGAGTCACTTTCACAGTCAAAATTCCGGTGGGGCGGTTTTTCGGTAGCGAGATCTGGGTTCTGCTCTCATCAATTGTGAAGTTGATAACCGCATCGCTTCCTAGAAGTTTCATGCTCACGACAGCACCGATGCTCCGCGAATTCAAACCGCTTACATCAACCACGTCAGTCGGTTTCAGAATGATGGCGTAAACGGCCTGGTTTTTAGCCGTGTACCACACGTCAGGATTCGTGGTGTCGTTCTGATGAAGCCACGGACGCGACTCATAGATAGCCTCACCGTTAACTTTCAGCCACTCCCCCATCTCGAGCAAGCGTTCCTCGAAAATGGGCTCGATGGTTCCGTCTTTCCTCGGCCCAACGTTCACGAGCAGGTTACCGTTGCAGCTGACCGTTTCCACGAGAGTAGTCAACAACTCCTGCGTGTCCAAAACGTCTTCCAATGACATTGTTCGTCGGTATCCCCAGGAGTCCCGATCGAGGGTCATAGCGTTCTCCCATTTGTGAGTTTGCAAGGTGCCGGGATTGTATCGGTCTTTGCAGTTGTAGAAGTCTCCGTGTGCGCAAGGGGTTCCAAGTCCCCATCGGTCGTTGACGAGAACCGAATTCCTTACCGGACTATCGTTGTAGAGCCACGCCAAGAAATTAGTCGCGTTCCAGTACTCATCAGTGGCTTCCCAATCGCCGTCAGACCAAATAATCTCCGGTTCGTAGTCGTTAACGATCTGGTAAAGTTCTGGCATCGCTTTCCTTTCGACATAGGTCTGAGTTTCGAACAAGTTTCTCTTGTCCTGTAGGTACAATGGGTTGAACCATTCGTACAAGGAGTGGTAGAGTCCAAAATGGAGTCCTTCTGCACGGGCAGCCGTCGCGAGTTCGCCAACCAGGTCCCTCTTGGGTCCCACGTCCATTGAGTTCCAGTTGAATGACGTCGGGGACGGCCACAGAGTATATCCATCGTGATGCTTCGAAGTCAAAACCACGTACTTCGCTCCGGCATCGTTGAAGAGTTTCGCCCAGCGGCTCGCGTTGTAGAATTCCGCCGTGAAATCCTTGGCGAAGTCAGCGTAAGTGAATCCTGGCCTGTAGTTTCGTTTCATGAAATCGACAGCGTCGGCATTTCCGGAGCTCCAGTGCTGCCAGAACCATTCTCCTGAGAAAGAGGGCACCGAAAACACACCCCAATGGAGGAAAATTCCCACCTTGGCTTCGTCGTACCAAGTAGGCGCCGGTCGTTTGTCCAAGGATTCCCAGGTCGGAACGTAACGCTCCAGGCCCAAGACGACCGATGCGATGGATAGCAGAAGGGCAGCTCGCAGTAACATTTTGCCAAACACTTGCGGCTGCTGCGTTGCCCAAAGCACCGACAAGGCTTTTGAATCACTCAGCGACACTCCACTCGGGAGAGGATGTGAGAGACTTAATCATGGCAGTTCATTCACAGCAGACAGGCTTTCGCGCTCAAGAGACGGTCATCGATGAATCGCTATAACAGCCCCGGATAAATGAACGATATAGTTCATGCGGAACTTCTGTTGAGACCCCAGTACGGAGTACGTAGCTATTGCTCGACTTGGGAAAAATTCCGCAACCGAATCGGGATGCTCTAGTCAGGAATCAGGAAGTGATTGGAAAGATAAGGAAGATTCATGGTGATACGTTGATCACGGAATCCGCGATTGAATCCGATACGAACTCATCTTCCCAGAAACAACGATTCCCTTCGGCGAGAGGGGGAGTGGCTCTCTCGGAACATTTAGCGCCTCAGGGTGACTCCCCCTCATCCCTCGAAAATCCTCTTCCCCCTGCCGTGCTGAGGACCCCGACCTTCGGACAGTCGAGTACTTCAGATGGTCCACGAGGTCCATGCAAATTTACGTGGACAAATCATGCTGCGGAAGATCGCTGGATTGAAAGGCCGGATCAGATTCTTCTAGGCCGTGGGTGACCGAACCTCGGCGCCGAACCTCAACAACTCACCAACCATTCTGGTCGGGCAGACTCAATTCTTCAATTTCCCCCAATAGCATGACCAGGCTGAATGGTGATACGACTTGTCAAATGATCGAGTCGCCCAGGTTGGGCTGCCTACGGGTGACCCTTCCTGTTCGCTCCAATCGCCAGACTGCGAGGCAGCTGATGTTTCCGCTCACGTCTCAGCTTGGCTGCGTGTCGGCATTCTCGTGGCTTCCTCGGGTGTCGCTCGCCCTCGAGGCAGGTCTGAGGGATCTCGTTGGCCCCTAAATTAGCACGATATGTTATCCGTCCGGAATCGATTGCTTCCGGATCTCGACCGTACGTTCCGAAAAACTTTCCATCTTCCCCGAGATTCTGGTAGTCACGTCTCAATCCTCATCCTTCTTCCTCCAGAGGTGAGACTCAAGTCCGAGTGGAAGGAGTGGATCCTTGCGAACTCGGGGAATGGATCCGATATAGCAATCGAGAACCCAGTTCACAAAAGAATGATCGGTGGTCAAGGATTGTGTGGGCTCAACCGATTGCGAGCATATCAATAAATTCCCTTCAGAAATCCCTTTCACCGGCTTCTTATACGGTTAAGCCAGGCTTACTCCATTTAGCAACAGCTATCATTCTGGAGCCCCCCAAACCTTGTCGCGGAACCGACGCGGAGCTGAGCCTGTATTACAGAGGCGAAAACGAGGCGTTCCGCACAAAAATACAAATATTCACAAGGTTCCTCCTCCAAGCCCGATAATAACGCCTGGACGCTCAGAATATTTCCCAGACACCGCCATTGTGGAAGATGTTTCCCCATGTCTTCACTAGTGATCTTTGCTGGGAATTTCAGGAGTCAGCGCGGTCGGGCGATCTCGCCCGTTTCCCTGCATTATTATTCATCCAGTTTCCCAATCCACGCTTGGATCACGGTGGTATACGTTTCTACCTCGCAACCCGCTGGATCACGCTGGCGAAATTCTGCGAGGGTCGTCGATTGACTGAGAACACACGTCGGACGGCGCGCGAGGATTCGAGGAGTAGGAGCCTCTTACCTCCTCTGTGGGTGGAGAAGATCAACTTTAGACTGGCGTAGTTGGGCGGTGATCGTTCGGAGTCGCCAACTCAAGTGGTACAGTGAAGGGAGAGGGGGTATCCGGTCACGAGGCCGTAGCTCTCAAAGAGGCGGATCGAATAGGGTCAAGGAAATCTGCTCGGTGCAGTCGTTCTAGGGATGAAGCGCTCCGGAAGGAATGCTTTCCAAGGAGTTCAGTTTTCTGTATCCCTGACCGCTGATCGGTATTGCGCTAGCACGACAATCCAGATCGAGCTCGAACTCAATCAGCTGCTGCTGTCTGTGAGCTACAATCTGCCCGTCAGATAGCTGCCCGAGCGAGCCGTGTACTCTGAGCCGAGCGAGGAAGACCGCGGACGCCTGGAAGCCTCGAAATTCTGTTCGATATCGCTGTCGACAGCTCCCAGCAGAACTCGCCGGGAATGATCCGTCGGCATGTCACGGGAATCTGGTGAAAAAGCCAAGGGATGACATCGAAATCACTCCGTCTCTCGTATCTTCGCCAGTCAGGCCGCGCGAGACACAATCAACGTCAGTCCAGCTTCGAGACAAAGCGTTCCTGGTTATTCTATTCACTCGGTTCGGGTTAATTTGAATATTTCCGATTCGAATCTCTCCCTCCGGAATCCAGACCCGAAAGCTACGGCAGACCCATTGTGCGCGACAGAAAATGGAGACGACTGGATTGAGAATGAAGATCAAGAGATAGCTGGAACTCCATCTCGGAGATGGGAAAACGCGCTGTCGCGTGGACGAGATTGCGCTGTTTAGGTTCCGGTTACACGACCGAGAGAATGCAAATCGCCTGGGGAGATGAACTTTCTCTTCTCCAATTGATTGTTCTTCCGGCGACTTGTCGGTGATGACATCCTCTCTACTTTTTGTCATCTCTTGCGCATCCGGTGGCAGATTCGCTTATTCTAAACTAGATCTGTGTTTCGCTTATGATTGACGTCATTTCTCATAATAGGCATCGCGAGTAAGGGCCATACCGTGATCGCTTTCTCAATGAAAATTCCTCCTCATTCGCGCTCTCTCCCTCCTTTTATTGTGCATAGTTCCGAAGTTCACTTCTCAATTAAAAGTGGTTTTGTGGAGCCTCTCTCCCGATGGTCGCTCCATGGTCCTACCACAGTTCTAGCGCCGGCTCGTCACAATTCTGAGATCTTCTGGAGCCTTGTTCGGAGCGGAGAAAAAATGTTCCGTCGACACTTCGAAAATCGAGCTTCAGCGCTACTTCGATTCCTCTGCCTGGTTCTCGACATCCTCCCCTCGTCGTCCAGAATCGTAGATCGGTGTGAAGTTGCACGAACCATAAGGAATCATAGTACGATCAAGGAAGCGTGGAACATAAAGCAACTCGTGTGCATAGCGGACCAGGTGAGCCAGAATTCGGTCTTGGGAATCTTGCAGAATATTCATCGCTCGCTGCTGCATCTGAATGGATCGATGTTTTCCCCATCGGAACGAGGTGACTAGATCTGAACTATTGCCGAATAGAGGGGCCAATGCATACAAACCTCCGGAGCCGCACGGCTCGTGGTCGGGTGCGCGCCGACAGCCGACCGTGCCCGGGGACGTCAGCCGTGGGGACACCCCCCGAAATGAGAAGGCTCTCATTCATCAAGTAGATCCAAAGGATGGGGCCTTCCAGCGCGTTCATTGAGAAGCATCATGACCCAAGACACCAGATGCCCGAGGCGAAACGCGGACCCCCCCTCTCCCCTAATTTGTCGATACGTAGCTGGTGCGCGCTCCAGCTAAGCTCCCGCTCGAACAAAGGTTGCGGCCTTTTCCGGGCAGACCTGCCGCGGAGACGCGACATCTGGAAGGATGGATGAAGTCAGCTGAGAGTCTCAACCTGAGATCCTTGCGACCGTCGCTGTGACTTTCGCAGCATGATCATGCGTTTATCATTGCGAGGCCTGGCACATCCTCTTTCGGATATGGGGGGACTCCTGATCAGGAGCAGCTGGCGACGCGGGAGCACGCTTTGTTTGGGGCGTTGTCTCGCCTCCTTTGTGCTGACGAGATCTTCCTATAATCGTTCACACTCCGTTTCAGGTGAGCAAATTCAACACCAGCGCTGAAGTAACACGGCTCAATAGTCAGAGATCAGTGGGGATTTACCAGGTAAACTTCAGTACCTGTATAACACCAAGTACCGTTGACAGAAATTACGTGCGAGACTCGTTCTGAAAATTATATTATCAATATTATCGACTACCCGCTATCCCATCCTTCACCAGATTCCGAGTCGTTTTTACTGCCGCGACCAACTTCCGGCGGAGGGTCAGGCAGGTCTCTGTCATAAGTTGTGCGGGAGTTATCTCGACGACAACATCGTCGATGACGTCCGCTGCGCTGCAATCGCCTACAAGCGAGCAGGTTTTCGCTTCTGGAAAGTTTGGTATCATCAATGCTACCTGAACAAGGAAATCAACAGTTACATCGAAGGCTGTGATATGAATTAACCAATCAATCGATAATGGTTCTCTCGGCGATTCTCGACGAGAATCTAACTCGTCCCGAACATCGGGAAGGATCCTACGTCCGTAGGTCGGGGCTTTGGCGAGATTCCTGGCAGAGGCATAATATTCGCATCATTAGGGAGAGCTCATCGCTAGATCGGTAGATGAGCCCGCCCATCTCGTGATTACCTATAACCATCTTGCGGCCCATGGACTGGACTCGGTGCAGAGAGCATATCATTGATGCTATCTACATATATAATTTATGCTTCATCCTACTCGTCGACTTTTAAATCTCATTGATTATAATTAATGAAAGATCTATGAGTGCTTGGACCACGGGCTCTCGTCATAATCGTCAACCTCCTCGATATAGTTCCGGGAGGATGATATGTCGGACAGATTCGAAAGCTCGGTCCCCACCGAGACACCGCTTTATAATTTAGCCAAATAACCGAATTACCCATGATCGAGTTTAAGATGTGGTCCTGAGATCGTGTCCTCAGCTATCGAATTATCGACGATTCTTATTATCGGGGATTCAGGAAACGAGGACAGGCATCCATGAGTCAGGAAAGATAAGATAGTCTCGCAGCCCGGAATGTACCTTAAGGAACTCGGTGAACTCTGCGAGGGGAATCTCATGGCGATGTCGACTTCGAAACGATAGCGCACAGCCTTGCCTTGTTTTTCGGGAGTCCATCGATTTTTTGTTCAGGCATCTCTAGAGAAGAGCCTCCGGAACGCTCGACAGGAGTCGTACGTAGGTTTTTTCCTTGGTACGCGTAGGCTTCCGGAATGACCGCCTTGGATCGCGAATAACTCTCCGACACCTCCGGAAGCTCAGTTCTCTCTTGGGACCGGTGAGAGTCGGAGCGCAACCCCCGCCGGATACAGTAATGCCAATTTCCAATGCTTCAACTCCGCCACGGAAAGATCTTCTAGGTGATCATGTGAGATAGCGGCCTTTCAAGAAAGGTGCTCCGCTGTCCATCAAGCGAGGTTCTGACTCGGAACTACGCCTCTGGAGGAGTACTTTCCTCTCAGAGGGCAGCGAGGAGATGCTCCCCGTATTGCCCCGTCGGGGCTGCTACGGGGTGAGTTCAGACTAAGCGGGCGTCAGCCTGCGACTAATACGTAGAGAGAACTGAACTCTTTGGTGAGCAACTCCTAAGCTTCATTCCCGGAATCGATTCGCCGTGGATTTTTCGAAGACCTTTTTCACAGCGAGTGGGTCCAGCCCTCCATGAAAACTACATGCTTTATTGTAATTAGTAATTAATCCATCCAATATGGCGGTCACCGTCACGCTAACGGCATAATTGCTAACTGATTGTTCCTCGCTGCGTGATCACGCTATTGCAGAACGCGATTGGGTTAGCCGCTCCCTTTCACATTCCGATCCCCTCCGTGGGCCTCGTCATACTCCTTCCACGCGTCGATAGCCGTGTGTGCGCCCATGCAGGCACAACACGGGGCACGCAGCGACTAGCTGCGTGAATCCTCTCCGAGACTCCAAACCCCGCCGGGCCAGCCTCGCAATTCAGAAAATTTCGCTAGTTTCTCCGCTCGGGGCTTCCGCGCTCTGGTGCTGCGATTGTTGGAGCGGGACCACATCGAGAGGACGGTAGTCATAGAGGTTTTGGCCAGACACGCTCTGCTCCTGTGGCAACCACGAAGGCATTGACATCAGAGCGGTCATGGACAGTTCGTCCTGCTGAAAGAAAAGCCGAAAAATCGTAACCCGTCCAGAAGATGCTTGCTCCCATCTTTCCTCCGTCCAATTTCTTAAAGGATTATTTAACCGACCTGATATTGCATAGTCATCGGCTGCTGATAGGGGTCGTAATCATAACCCGTCGGAGCCATCGGGGCAGGCGACTCAAAGGGCGTGAAGTGCCAGGAAGCCGCATCGTGGAACGAACCGGCTGGAGAGAAAGCCGGCAGAGTCGCGGTCGGGTATAGCGGCTGCTCTGTGGTGGATAGCTGCAATTCAAATGCATACTCTCGTCAAAGGAGATCAGCGCAGCGTAGATCGACCCGTCTGATTGGAATTTCACTCTGGAACCTACCACTGTTGATGCCGCCGGTAGTGATGAAGGCGACGATGACGGTGTCGGTGGACCCACCGCGCAGGCGGGCGGCAAGGAGCAGGCTACAGGTAGGCGGGGTACCCCTGCTTCAGCGAATGAGGATTTTAGTTCGCGAATCGACAAGCTCCTAGCATGTCATGTGGAGCGTCCGAGAATCGGGCGCCGAGCTCATCAAGTAGAACTCGTTTCTCACCTGCGCTCATTTGTAAAAAATTGTTCTTCCGCGGAGGTTCTCGTTTCCTCCACTTCGCTCTCCGGTTCTGGAACCAAACCTGGACCCTGGACTCGCTCAAACTGAGCCTGGAAGATTAAGGATGCGAATATTAGGACAGACAGAAGATGTTGCGCGGAGTGTAGAGATGAGGGAAATATTCCAAACTAATTCGAATGTCCGCTGAATATTCCTATCTTTTGAGAATACCTCATCGCGAGATCCTCTCGCGCGAAAACATCTGGATACGGAGCTCTCTGGAACGCTCGTTCCAATTCATCGAGTTGGAACGACGTGAATGTAGTCCTGGAAGAATAACTTGCTCGATGACATGGACCACGGCCGAATACAGCGATCTTGGACCCCCGTAGCCCACGGTTACGGCGGAGCGCAGATATGATTAAGAAATGTGGAGAATCATAGAGGAGCGAAATAATCACCGGGTCTTTTTTTCTTGACTTCATTCTGACCGTGGTGATTCGAAGTCGCTTTTTCTTTTTTGAGGTTCCAGAAGTGGAGCTCGAAGGTACAGTTGAGCTGGTCGTGGGGGCCACCACAGGAGTCGCCGTTGCCGCGATGACGACGGCTTGGCATTCCTCCTTCTTCGGCATGTGGTGCACCGTGACCTGAGCAAACGAACAACTATTATTATCGTCAGAGTCGAGAAATATCAGCGGACGAGGGTGCTAATCTTGAGGCCCAGATCATCAAGCCAATAGGAATCCATTTTCATGAGGAGACGAAAAGTTAGAACTCGGGCTGTATCTCCCCTGATCGACTGTACCTGGGTTTGTGGATTCGGATCCTGCATCTGCAGGAATTGCGAGGTGTCCACGGGATAGTCCATGGTGTTGGAGAAATTTTCTGCAAAGAGAGATTTTGAGATCCAGTCGGAGATCCCCGTCCAGGACCTTTGCGACGAAAATATGGATGAAGTACTCAAGTCGATCGCGTCGGATGCGATACGAGCATCGATGAAATTCGAAAGTGACATCTGATCAGAGACCGAGCAGAACATTCCACCTGTGCACGGTTCCGACGGTAAATCCTCATAGAAATCATCAAGATGGTAACCGAAAGCTCCGACGATGGCGAGACTGAGCTGGTCGAGATAATGGGGCACCATGGAAATTTTCAATGCGGCGTCATAGGTTGTAGCAGGAACCATCATTGAATGATCCGAAGAATCTTCATCCGCAACTGCGCGGTCTTCTGTGAAATCTTCGGAAGCGATTCGTTCTCTCCGGATTTCAGTTTCAACGTCCGTCCCCCGTGGAAATGAATCCATGGCCGCATCCCCTTGGAAGAGGTTTTCGAACTCATCTGTCCTGGTGTACTCCTCGCTCCTCGCCTCGTTCCCGGATGACACAAGATTCTCCGATTCGTCTTCACTGATAGTTTCGTAGTAAGTTTCAGCTTCTTCGAAAGTCAGCGTCGTGATAGACAAATCCATAATCTCACAAATACTCTCACTGCAAATTTGGTGACTCTCGCCGCGGATCGCAGCAAATTCTGGATCATCGAGATTTGATGCTTCCACAGTGGAGGGCAAAAACCTCAGCACTTTTCTGAGGGCAAGTGGAAACCTAGGGTGAAGTGTGCGGCGTTGTGTGCGGATGCCATAAGGTCGGCTCGCTCGTCCTCTGGGTCGATGATGTGAGCAACGGACTTTCATCACCTTTCTTTGGGCTCCGATTCTTCTATCGTTGACGACATTTCATTCTGAGCAAGACTTCAGAATGAGCAATATCGACCCGATCACAGAACGGACATCATGTTCTCCGTTACAAACTCTACACACCACGTGAGCCCGCTGCACAAATTGTGCGGAGTCACTTTCCTGCTGCCCGTTGTTTCTAGCTACTGAAATCGATTATTGTGGCCGACATCGAACAACTCCGTGTCTGTGTGGACATCGATGAGCATAGAGAGTCTCCTCGGGGACATGACGTCATAATAATTTTGGTCCCCCGACGAATCAGACGGGGTAGATCGATACGGATCGCGCCTTCCGAGCCGAGCGACGAGCTCTAAAGGCAGACGAGAATGAGGGAAAGATTGGTCTAATCATCGATACCTCGGAGAACGTACGCGCCCATGTGAGAAATGTCTCGAGAGTCGACTGCCTCTATCGCACAAGCGCCTCAATCGTGAAGAGCCCGAAGAGGAATCTACCTCCTGGCCCTCATGTAAGAGGGCTTAATTGTAAGTTTACCCTCGGAATTGAAACAAGCATTATTCTTGATTGAGCCAATTTACGCGAAGTTCGCTGACTGCTCCTCGTTCCATTCGATCCACGAGGTCCGGCGGTGCGGGATACTATTACCTTAGTTATGAGAGTGAATAGCCAAATCAGTTTCCAATCCTGCGGTTATTCAGGAGCGGAGAGCCTGCCTCCCGGGATTGTCCTTTCGGAATTCGCCACGTGTCTACTGTGGTTCGAATTCTCATTCGGGGTATCGAGCGCTATTGAAGAGAATCATCTTCAGTGCTCGGAGTACTACAAACGAGGATACACCGATCCCCTGGCCCCAATGAATTGTTTCAATTAGTACAGCGGAGATTTTTTGCTCGCGAAATAACTTGGAGGGAGACCAAAGATTTCGTAGCATTCGGCTGGATGGTGGAAATGCTGGTAACCTTGGTATGGGGCAGTGCTCCTGAGGGGCCTTTGAGTTTTCGATATGACGGGATAAACATTACGGCTTCGCTTCTTTCCTCTCATCACGCGGCTTGCGATGCGTTCGGTGTGTGGGTGAAAGTCGAGGAAAGGTGCGCGTGAATTCACAAGAGTTGCCATAGCCGAACTTTATCGCGCCTGTACCTATGTTCGAGCGAAACACCAAGGGCCCACCTGTCTCTGGAGATTGTGTGTCCCACAACCCGATCGAGATGCGCGGAGCAACTTGTTCCTAGACACACTTGGAAACAATCATTCCCATTTGTACTGTACATACAACATCGGAAAGTGCATCGACCGAAATACGGGTCAGTCGATGCGGATGCAGCGGTGCTCTGTTTGAAGTGTGATCGCAACTATCGAAAATTCACCATAACTTCGCGCGCGATAGGTAGGTCAATCTTGAAAATCACCACCACACTCTCGTCATGAAATGGTCTTGGTATGCTCGGCCACGATTCCCGTCTGAGACTTTCTCCTTTGTTGGCCATAAGGTCCAAGAGCGAATTGAAAATCCGCATGCTCCGGTGGTCAAAGAGATGACCGAGTACCCTCGCTTATTTTAATGTCCAGGTTTCGGTCCTTCAGGGCCGTCCGCATCCGAGTAAGGCATACGCAAACGCAAAATATAGCGGAGCAGTGGAGTCTGAGAGTTCACTTCGGGATGGAACCTACATTCCGTGGCATTGGTCCGCTCGGACGGGGAACTCGTCGACAGAACACTTACTTCGGCGCCTCGTCCGCCGGAATCTCGCCTTGCAAGTTCTCTATCGGACAATGAGCACTATTCAGGAGGTCGAAAATCTTTCCGCGAAGTCAGACATGATGCGCAAAGTTTGAAATGGGAGACAGCAGGTGTCAGAGAAAATTCCTGCTTCTTAGAACCAAGAGCATGTTTATGGAAGCGACGATGTTTGTGATAGTCGGGGACTGATGATCGTTATTGCATCGCAGCGCGTGTTAAGTACACTAAAGTAGGCTAAAGTGTCTCTAATAAGGCGTCGTTCTAATAGGAATTAACAAGCCTAAATGAATTTAATTTAGTCTCATCAAGCTCAATCGAATACTATCTATCTGACTGCTGCTGCTACTTACCCAGCATCGTTGTACTGACTCTCGTCGCTCCGTGCGCACAAAGCCAACTGCGTTCAACTCGGTCTTCTTCCGAGGAGAGTGCTGCTCGGTTCGCTGCGACCGTGTACTCGTCGAAGGAGTACTCCGGGTACTGCGCATGCGCCTTCACCCTCCTGTAGCTATTCGTGTTACTTCCCGATCGGTTCCCATCCGGATTCGCTGGACAGAACGATTGAAATTGATTCTTCATCTCCCCGAATTTCTTCGGAGCCCGCGGAAGTTGCTCGGAAAATTATATTTCAACGCATTAGTTTGGCCAGTTATGCAAGATTCTTCCGTGAACCTTGCGAGTCTAACTCAATCGAATCCACTGGTTTGTTCCGAATATCGGCGCAAGTCTCGCGGACGGTTCCGAGGGAAAGAATCAGCCCGCACCAAATCAGGGCCGTGGGCCGTTATGGCCGCCGGGCGATGCAGCGTACGAGATGCAATCCCAACGGGTCAACACGAGCCTCGTCGAGGAGAGCATGTTCCACGTTCCAGAAAGAAATTTTGTGTGGGGGATAAATCCTCAATATTCTATCCGATCGAGGGAATCTCGCAGCTCTGTCTCAGCTTGTGTATTGCCTGTAATGCCCTCATACCATTCGTTCCCACCTCCCGCGGACGAATACGGCAGTTCTCATGCTCCACACCATTGCGGAGTAGGGAAGCCCCACTTTGGGAGATATTTCCGAAACTCCGGGGGTAGGGATGATTTCCGTGACTGTTCTTTTGAAGAATTCAGGAATATATCGATTTTCCACTCCCGCGGATGCCTGCTGGAATATCTGTCCGTGCAACTATCTATGTCCCACTCGCTATCTATCTCGCGCTGCGATAAGAAAGAATACGCCTGTTTTTCTATACCTCCGAACTATTCAGAGAATATTCTACATGATCTTTCGCAAGTCTCATGGAAACGGTCTTATTGCTTCAAAGTCTCGGAGAAGCTCCGCATAAGATCGGACGCGACTCGCAATACAATGATCTTCGTAGGCCGAGAGATGTGAGCACCCTCTGACAGTCTTCGCTCGAGTCGCTCTTCATGCACTATCCCACGCTCCGCTGCGTTCACATGGCACACTCTCCCGGAGGGACACAAAGTGCACTCATGTCAGCCTCGTCCCCCATGTTTGACGGCGGCGGCACGCGCCTGAGAGCGCCTCCGAAGATGAACGATGCTGATGGGAACTCGGCTTGACGACCTCCTGACGCGAGGCCCCCCAGGCCGACGTCGAAATTCGTTCATCTGCTTTCACGTCCGCCCTGATAAAGGCGTCCGTTGGGCTCATTTATGTGGAAAAAACTCCCGAGTTGCCGACCCCCGAGAATCGTCTGGCAATCGGTTATACCGGCTCGGCTGAGCCCGAAGCTCAGGTTCAAGTGTGGATTGGACTTTTCTCCTCGCAATCATTCCTGGATTTGGAGATATGCGGAGCCTGACACTCATCTGTGCTGTGGAGGATATCCGAGAGATCAATGGGAATTCTCGGAGGCCAACTCTGTGTTTCATCGCTAGTGAGCGGTGGAGGAAAGACTCCTCTGAGCATGCTGGAGGTCAGATCAATTCAGACAATCAAGCGAATCATGCTTGAATAGCAAGTGTAACGCTTCGAGACTCAGCGTCCAATCGTCGCTGGAGGCCCTCAGCTGGCTCACGGCGCGGCGTCACCGTCGATGAGCGAATATAAGTTGAGAGGATGAGCTCTCCCTTCGAGGCTGCATGAGCTGGACTCTTCCTGGATGACAAGTGAAACTCCCTTTCGCAAAAGAGGATTTTTGAAACCGGGATCGTCTTCGAGGCCGGGCTGGTACGGAGAGAGGTTCATACGCCGCAAACCGTGATAGATTTTCTCCGCGCGATGCTCTCCTCTGCAGAACTCGTCTTCCGTGTTTTTAACTTTCGAAACCCAAAGTTGATGTCGCTTGGAATGCTCGGCGATAGTGTGCAGTGACAGCGTGACGTGTCGGACCCTCGTCGTTTCGAATTTTTCATCGCGACGCAGCTGATCCGCGTCATTCTCCTTATCATCATGCATGAGACATAATATTCGAGCCGAACAAAATTTTCCCCAACATCTCAGAGTGTCCTCGAAATGGATGACCACAGAATCGATGAGAGCATGATGCGAGATTCTCAATGAATTATCATAAAAAGTATTCATATTCGGTCACATGGCTGAAACCACATTGGTTGCATACGAACGCAATTAATTCTTTTTCTAAGTTGCTATCCTTCCTGAGCCAGCGCTTATTCGGCGAACGGCCCTCCCTCTAGCGTCCAGAGTGCGCTCTTAATCTCAGCCGCGTCCAACCCCAAACATCATTCGCCGCGTCGGCACGACTGTCTCCAATGTCCGAGACGATATTGAGAAAAAATAGATCTTCCCATCGCAGCGTGCACGCATCATCCCAGAGATATCCTAATCGACGTCGGCGTTGTAAACCGGCACCTCACTCGTTCTACTCCGCCTATCCGGCTGGGAATTCTCGATGGTCCTTCGCACGAATCCAAAGCCAAGTGCATGACATGTTTCAGGCCATGGGACGGTGTTCCGGGATGGAGGTGACTGGCACCTCTAGCTGGCAAGTCTCTCCTTCGACCAAAACTCCTAGGGACAAATCTTAGTTGAGTTCATGAAGACTTACTGATTGTTTATTGTCCATTTACCATTCGGTGAGGGAATCGTATCCCGGGGAAATCCATACGCTCGCTAAACCCTCCCTGTGGGTCGGTCCCATCGATCACCACCGCTGACTTCCTCTCCCCACAGAGAACCTTGACAAGAGCACCGAAGCGCCCCAGCTCCTGGATGCCCAGCCACGCAGAGGGAGGGGTAATCCTCCCGGGTGGAACAACTCAATACGGCCTCCGTTCGAGGGATTCTTCTTGAAGGAGGACCGGAATGGAAAATGTTCCGCTTCCCGAAGTGAGCTACCTTCGGCTTACTCGGAGAGATTTTTTTAGACACAGGTAAGGCCTCAGAGACTACCGTCCGTGAGTGTCTAGGTTACTCAGTCGTGGGTGCACGAGATGGGAATGATTGAGGAGGAGCGAGCCCCGCCCGGGAACAGAATGGCCGCCGGTAAGGAGAAGGGCTCATTCTTGCCGCTCTCCCTCGTAATCATCCGGAACTAACCCGGGCAATCTGTCAGTCAGATTCTTGACCGATCAAGCGGCAGTTCAAATCGACCTCTCCGACGTGCTGCGATTCCCTGGCAGAGCACGACAGACTGCGGAGAGCTCTCTCCGATGGGGAATATATGAGACAAGTTTCCGTTCGTTGAGAGAGATTATCCTGGTTGAGAACGTTAGTCGTTGTTTGAGGAAAAGTCCTGAACAATTCTCCTAACCGAGCTCCAGCGACAAAAATGGGTTCTGTAGTACAACGTTATGCGCTGTATGAAGTTCTGAGCGGATTCAATGTCTAAGAAAAAGAGCGACAAGCGATGACGTGCGCTGAAACACTTTTCCTTATTTATTCTGCCCCATCAGACCATGTTATAGCATGATAGGAGCAATTCACAGATATAGGGACGTCAACAGACAGTATTCGCTCCTGGAATCCATGCGGAAGATACCGTCAGACATCTGTCTATACATGCGACTCTCTCCCCGTGATCGAGATTGAGAAGTTTCAACCAATTCGAGGATGCCAAGGATTCTTCGAGCACCCATTCAACCAGAGCTTTCTCCCGGTGGTTCAGCCGGCTTATACAGCATCGCCAGGACGAAATGTACGAACTTGCCCTCATCGAACTCGCCGATTTTGTTAGAGATCCGCAATTTCGTCGCATCATCGAGCAGACCATTGTTCAGCGCCGACCCGTGAGCAATTTCTAACACAAGGTGGCTAATCAGCTGGTTGACATTTTGCGCCGGCTGAATGTCGGTCAGAAGTTCTTCGATGATTTGCTTGTCGTCCTCGCCAAACTTCCCAGCTCTTCCAATGAGGACCTCCAGCGATTCTTGCGGCTGGTTGAAGAGATTGTTCGAATCCGCCACTGGTTTCGTGTCCTCGAAATAAGTCTGAAATTCAAGTATCATTTCCTGAGGGGATTTGTCGGATATGACGCGAATACGTTTTATTCATATGGTGTATTTTCGAATTTGCGGCTACGTAATCATGGTGTATCCTTACTCTGATCGCGAGTGTGAGTGCTCTGAGTTTGGCGAAAGCCTCAATTTCAAACTCTTCACCGAGCTTCTCAAGGGCATCAATGTCGTTGGATGAGGAGAGGAGTTCCCTCGCGGCTTTCAAGAGGAGGTAGCGATTCGGGAGATCACACCTGGGAGGAAAAGCAGATGAGAAGAGGATCTTACATCCGTGTCCGCCTCGTCTTTCATACGAATGAATGGGAACCTTTTCGCGAGAACAGCGGCAGTCAACGCAGACAGGGGATCCGTATAGAGATTGAGAGTTTCGAGAGCTTTCGACGGTTGATTACAAGCCAGAAGACATCGAGCAGCTCTCTCGTACTGAGCGCTCTCTATGAACCGGTTCGCCCACGACTCATAGACCATCTGCAACAAAAGTCTGAGTGAGAATTTCATGATTTCGGACATGGTTGTCGTCCGGTTGCGACAGGCAACGCATGTGCGTTATGCTCAATCGGAGGATCGTACCGTTTTCAGAGCATCATCGTCGTTACGGGTGGACAGAACAATCGAGATCGCTTCTTTGTGGAGGAACCTTTCACAGAGTATCTTGACTAGTTCCTCCGTGTGGCCAGTGGCCACCATCAGAGCTAGAACGGAATGGATGTCGCTTTCCTTGTTCTGATCGATGAGAGCCTCGGCTGTCTAGAAAGGAAAATCACTCTAAATTCTTGATGTGCCTCATCGATTGGACGGAATTCCCAGCCGACGTTCGGAGTCGTAGCAAGCTCACCTCGAGGAAGAACTCCTTCGAAACGAAATTGGCGAGAGAGAGCAACTGATAGCTCAATTTTTTCAGCTGGATGGCTCTCCCGACCACGTCCCGGATGTTTCCACCTAAAAATTTGGGATGGAGCAAGAATTGAAGTACCTCCTAAAATCTGTCCATCGATCTCCAGGCTGGATTTTTCTTGCAGGGAAAGCTGACCTGTGAGTAGAACCTGAAGCGCGAGATCATCCTCCATTTTCGACTGGTGCCTAGCAGCCTCAGCAATCAGGGTTTTCTAAGCATGAGAAGGTTGAGTTTATTATAAGAATCGACCGACCACATATCATACGCGGTACCCGATTAGTCGGATACCTTCACGTATATCTAGTTCACCTGGAGAAGGTCCTTGTGGTAGAAGCCCATATGTGTTTTATCCGCCAAAGCTGAGTAGTCTCCTTTGACCTGACAACTGAAAGAACGCATCAGGTGATAATCCCGAGGCAACGGATCCTTCTTTAGCTTGCAGGTTCGCTGAGTATATACGGTATACGGAATGTCTCATGGGATCTGGGAGATTGCATAGATCTCACTCACCTCTGAAGGAGGAGCAAATCATTAAGACCCTCGGCTTTTGGAATGTTCTCCGCGTTACTCGCGAGAGGGAACAGCGGGCGGACTTTTGAACCCTTGCTTTTCGCGCCGTTGTCTGAAAACGGATAGGCGATGACTTACAATTTTCTCTGCGGGGATGCGAATCTCGCCTCAATTTCCGAAGGTCGTGAAGTAAAGCTATCTCTCACTTTGTGGACGCTCAATCTTTGGTTTTTCCGACAGGTTGATTTCTACGTTGCAGTCTTCAACACTTTCCGCTACGTTCAATTCGTAGACCGTATGACCATTGGTGCCGAGATAAACCAGGTTCTCGTCGATGCTGCTCCATTGCATAGCAATGATGGACTTATGTCCCGTTGCGTTGTTCAGGGTTTTGATCACGCGACTGGAGCCGATCTTCCGGACCTGCACATTTCGAATGGGGCTCGAAATTTGTTCTAGGTATGCGACGCATATATCCTTTCAGAATCCCCAGGAAATCATGGCTCGCGAACCTGAACCGAGCCGTTGCTGCCTCCAATGGCGAACTCGTCCTCGTTGAAAGGATTCCAGCATAGGGCAGTGCACGAATGACCAACAATCTTCCAGATCGCTACCACCGGATGACTCATATCCGCCTTGACGAGTTGCTCTACATTGAAGATGCTGAAGTAATCATTCCCAAAAACAAGCGCTAGGTAGGTCCCATTCGCGGAAATCACAGTTCTCTGTGCGGCCTGTTTCTCCAGGATCGTTTCTGATATTATCGAGAGCGCACTCGTATCCACAGTGAGGACTTTGCCTTGCCGAGTCCCGAGGAAAAGCAAGTTTCGCTCGTTGATCGCGTCCACACTCCAAATCTGCGAAACCGAATTTTCACGTCAGGGTCAGGAGACGATGATTGATCGGCGCCTGTCAACGATTAATTTTCCGGAGACCGAATCAGTGTCAATACTCTCACCTTATGTTTGGCGAGATCCTTGATGAACATTTCTAGCGGGATCAGGGCCCCGTTCTTCGTCTTCCCCACAAAAGCTTGATTACAGTCTGCGGCCAAAACGATGGGATGTTCACTGATGAGGGGAATGCTGGCGAAGCAGAGAGAACCGATGCCAGTCCTTTGGGGAGACACGAATTTCTTGCTCGTCGTCTTCTGAGGGGATACATCCACGACGAATACCTGATGGAAGCCAAATGACTCTCAAGATACATCGGAGTTTTTGGAAAGAGATCGAATCTTCAATGAGAATCGATAGGGCAGAGAAACTCGGTTTGAAGCTTACGTCGCCTTTCTGAGTGCCGAACGCCAATTGCATTTCATTGGTGGGATGCCAGGCCAAGCAGTAGACTCGACACTTGACCGACGCATGTTTCGCGATCTGTTCCAAGGATCCTTGGTCCGTTTTCGCCAAACACACCTGAGAACGAGTTTCCATCAGACGGGAACTCCGGGAGAAGCATGTCGGATCGTAACCTCGACGACGAACTCACCCTGCCACATCCGCTGGCGATTGCCAGAGCCCCTGTTCCCGCTGGATGGAATTTCATGTCGTACACGAAGCCCGCTAGACACGGTCGTGACATTAAAAGCTCGAGAGACTGCGTGTCCCACAGACAGAGCGTTCTTTCTATTCCGGAAGTCAGAACGAGATTTGGCGCAATCGGGACCATTGCGCTCAAAGATTTAGTAGTAGTCTGGAATGATAGAATTCATCCATCAAGATGCATCGGTCTAAATCGATTCCCGGGCAATCCGGGATGGTGAACATAAGTCCTCAGCTCACCTCCTGCGGAATAACGTTCAACGTTGTCTCTTTCCCGTTGTACGCGCCCACACAAACTGTGCCCCAAGGAGATCCGACCACCAGATTAGAGCCGCACCAGCACACGCAAGCAGTCAGGAGCTCTCTGTCAGTGTAAGTCGATCTTATTGCTGCAAATGAGGAGGTACTTAGATCCGTAGGTGGCTCCCAAGCGAGAATTATTCCAATTCAGGGATCACCATAGTCGATCGGACCCAACCTTTAGGTGGCAATTGAATACTGAAAGCTTCTTTCTGGCCAATGATGAGGCAGCTCTTCTCAGCTACGGACATGGCCGCCGCGATCTGACCCTTAGGGTGCCAAGCGACCGCTCGGATCACACTGTTGAGTTTGTGTTTGTTCAACACCTGGAAGGAGAGATTTGCTCTCGAATTCAGACTCGACAAATGCTCTGATTGTGCACGCTCGTTTTCAGATGACATTCGGACCGATCTGAGTCGAATCCCCCTCTCAATTATTGCAGCGTTTACCTTCCAGGTCCGGGTATCCACGATGGCCACGCTGCCTTTGCTGCATCCTAGGACCGCTAAGCCGTTACGGACATCGAAATCTTGGAGGTCTTCGATCTGTATTTTGACATTGAGGCTCCCGCTTCGCTGAACGGACTTGGTCGACATGTCTACGACCAGTATTTCTGCTGACGTCATACCGATGGCGAGGCAATGGGGTCTGTCGTTCATGAAGCGTATGGTTCGAATCTCAGAAGTATACTTTTCGCTGAAAACGATCTCCATCGAGGGATAGTCTATGACCTGGAGTGTACATGGTACGAAGTTAGGGGAGCCAGGGAAGTCAGTGAATCGATGGGACACATCTTGTTTCGAATCCGAAATAGCACCCACTTTTACAACGCTCATATCGAGCAAGAGGGCGATCCTTTCAACTCCGGCGAATCCCGCAGGGGAGAACGCAACAGCGTGACATTTCTCATTAAACAAGTTGATCTTCTTCAGGTAAATGAGTCTGAAAAGTAGATACTTCATTCAGGGAGGCCCCACGGGGAACGGGAGGAAAATGGGGAAGGGGAAATAAAAAATCCACTGATCCTACGACATATCCGTATCTTCTGACGATTTCGTACTTTCTCTGGCATCAGCGTTATTCGGGCTTTTCGAATCGGTTCTCTCATTCCCATCCGTTTGTTGTACGGCACCGTTACTCGGACTGTCAATTCTCGACAGGAGTATGCTGGAACCTGCCGATGTCGCAATCAGGCCGGTCTGCGAAACTGCCATGGCTCTCGGCCGGTACCACAGAGCGTCCGGCACCGCGTACAGGGTGGACATACTTCCGTAGCAATAGAAAGCAACTCGAAGAAGCACCTCACGAATCGCCCGGTGGGATTATGTCCGTTGAATTACGATCACTTTTTGAAGATCCTGAGCTCCGTGATTGACTAACCGCGCACACTTGTGGTCGCGTGGAGAGAGTAAGCTGCCGCTCTCGGGATGTTGCACAAGCCTTGACAGGCCTATCACAGTAGTCCTGAATTCTATCGAGGACACGTCCTCGGATACCCTGTGCACCTCTCCGTCTGGTTCTATCGTTGTCGACAATATAGGACGGCCGTCCGAGCCGAAAACTACGGATTTCTTCTATTTCTCACCCATGAACGAATTCAAGCTGTGTCTGGGATTACGGCTTGCGGGATACAGAATGAAGTATAGCGCAGGCGCGAAACCTCTTCTGGCGCAGGTTTCATTCGCGTTCCCGAAGGGTTCCTCTCGCTCCTACAACGTCTCGTCGGGAAGTGGATGTGGAATGATCGATTTACCTCGAGAGGGAGGTGCAGAGTTCTCTCTGATACTCACGAAAAGCCCACGAATGTCGATGGAGAGCCGTCGGTTCCCTCCCTCTTGGCCGGGAAAACGAAACGCGCGTTGCGCACTAAAGCCCTAGCCCGCTCAGCTCGTCAGGTAGCTCATATAATCGGGAAGCCGGACAGGCTCAAGACCTTTGGAATCTTGACGGATTGAACTCGCCCGAGAGACCGACACGGGGCTCAAATAATTGTATCTCCGAAGCCGGAAAACAAGCCTGACGGGAGGACTCCATACTCATACTCCATGTTCCCATTTCGTACCATACGCCCCATGATGGGGCGAGAGCCTATCCGATGTGATAGGATGGAATCTTATGATCGGATTCCAATCATCCGAAGAATACAGCCTCGTGATCCAGTTGTGATTTGACTCCGACGCCCAGAGAAATGAAGAAACGGTATCTGGGCTCAAGATCGTCGTATTCCGTCCCGGCGACAGATTTCGGTTTAGAGTCCTATATGCGGACCTGGAGACAAGGACGGCTCGGAGAGTTTAGATAAGGGCCGCACAGTGAGTTCTAGACCGAGTCGGGGGATACGATACCCCTGAGATTCGAAAATGGATGCAATAATAGATGGAGAAGCTCGAGCTGATCATCAGCGGTTCGGAGAACATGCTGTTGTCGCACATGTATATGTCAACATTTCTTGCACGGCGCGCACATGCGCCCGTTTTGAGTGTGTGCCGCTGAAGTTGTCAGTTCGTCCCGAGTTACCAAGCCTGCAACATGCCGTCACAATCTCCTCTGTTGGCCCAAGGTTAGAATGAATCTTTTCTTCCGAGTTTGGATCGGCGGAGAGGCCAGCTACCCAGCTGCGGTGCCAGCACTTTGCTTGAGCGCGGATGGAAGCTCGACCCTCGCGGAATTTCGCGATTTATCTCGGCCGCCGACTCGACACTCGGCCAGATCTCGCAGAATCCTCTGGAAGCTTCCGATTTCGGAAGAGACCCGGGCAACGATCCACGCGCTTTTGCGACAGTTACCGAGAGTCGTGTCCCGAGTCACCGATTTCGCAGTATTTTAGCGATTTCAGCCATTTTAGCCGGTTTCACGTGGGGCCATGCTTCCATCGATCGCAGCGCGCAAGCTTCACTGTCAAAGTCAGAAACCGCGGTAGAGTCACTGCGACGCGACTCTTAGAGATCCCTGTAGTGTCGAGAGCCTTGATGGTGACGAGCTTTTTTCCAGTATACGGTCATAGCTTTTTTCTATATTGACAGAACAAGCCTTGGAAAGTTACGGTGTGGGCAGCATAAAAAAAATTTTTGGTCGTCAACGAGAACCTTACGGCTTCCTGACTATTCATCACCCCGAGGAACTGAGAGGCGATGAAGCGGTGTTCTATCTCAAAGACGTTCTGGTGGCCAACGAAGAGGAACGACGGCTCTTGCAAGGCGGAATGATGGTGCGGTTTACTTTCATCAGAAAACCTGTGGACAGAATGAAAGCCCCCTGCCCTTTCAAGGCTATACAGGTTAGCTGCTATCCGTAATAGTTGTTCCCGTCGATCTGAATCAGTCGGACAGAGGCTTTCCTGCTTGCATCGATGATGAGTTTCAATATCGAGCGATCGGATCCAGGTTCGGCCTCAAGACCCCATGAAATACTCCGGAACAGTGGCGAAATCATCGGGAGGCACCCTGGTCGTTTTCCTTGAGATCCTCTTCCGTCAGGTACGCTCTCGTAATCATGGGATGGGCGCGGGCGAGTATGCGATTCTGGAGCCGATGTTCTAAGAGATCTCACACATAATGTCCTCACAGGTGCGGGTGCAGCAAATGAACCATACGGTCGACCCTGGAGACCGGTGCACCGTGTCTATCACGTGGAAGGAGATGGTAAGAGCCATCAAGGAAGACCGGACTCCCGTCGGAAACCTGGTAGCTATCGAACGGAGATACAACTCGTTCTTCAGCAGTCCCAACGATAGCTACTCGGAAGACTGCTGCAAAAGATGCCAGAATGACTACTGGCCGAATCGAAACAATTGCGAGAGGAAAAGTCTGATGACCAACAAATTGGCACTGTTGCCGTTCAACTCTGATTGTGCTTCAATCTGGAGCGATGTGCAGCCCCAGAAGTCCACCACCTCAACGGAAGATTACTGGGACGCAGACTGGTACTTGAGGACAATTCGGATGGCTGAAATGGTCCTGTCCAATGGAAGTTCGATGTACAAGCATAACTAATCCGCGACAGGTATGCCCGCGAGCGAGAGTGTTGACGGTCCGACATTCATCGATAGAACCGTCGCCATTCTCTCGTGGTCCTAGCTCGGACAGCGAATCCGAATTTTACAGCCCCATTTAGTATGCAGGTCGTTTACGAACATTGTGAACCCGTTCGTATCCGACCCGAAGATTGACTTACTCTTAATGTAAAGCCGCTCGACGGGAGTCCAATGCCGCCAAATTCAGCGGCATCGACAACTCTCAGCGAGCGAATTATATTCAATCAATGATTCAATTGAGCCCCCTTCGATTCCGGGACAACAGGAAACAATCTTGAGCACAAGACTAAACTCGTTGCGTCCTGCGTACGGAACATCTTGATGATGAGATATACTAATACTTCACTTTTGATGACTCCACGTTGGTTGTTCCTCGCGCCCGGCGAGCGATTAGGAAACCGTTTGAACACGGTACCCAAACTCTTGTTCTCGCCCGGTTCCCTACATTAGGATCACAAACGAATATTATCTCGTGATCGGACGCAACGAGTTTCCTCGAGGGAGTTCACGCGAGCTGCTAAACGCTCTGATTTCGAGAAACGAATAGTAATAATATCGGAAGGATGGCATTGCCTTTCACTACCTGGTGCGCGGCTACCATGGAACGGAGAATATCTCACAGCTCGAGAGACTGCTCGTACATGCGACGGAGATATCGGGAGAATCATAAAATTAATTTACTCTACAGAAGGAAATAATATTGTGAATGGAGCGGACGAAGGAGAGAGTCCGAGGAATATTTGAGTTCGAGAAAGGTTCTTCCGGAAAAATCCAGGACTTGGAGAAATTCTGCGAACCGCTCGGAAGCTGCCGGTATGATAGGGCATGATAGGTGACTCGACGTTGAAAACCGCGATTAAGAGCATCTTGCAGAGAGTAGGTCATCGTTCGCAAGCGCTTAAATCCCTGCTGCGAAGGAGAAGTCCGCAGTCGTAGAGACCTGCCGAACCTCATTTACGGGAAAGTAGGCGAGGAATGAGCTCCAACAGATTGTGGCGAGCAAGTTCCCGTCGCGGCTTAGGAACTGAGCGGGGATTTCTGCCTCAGGGGACTCAAATCCCACCGATCCGACCTCCAAGATGTAGAGCACATGATCCTTCTCTAATCGTATTATTAATCCTCGTCGAATCACGTTCGTGATGGTAGCGCACGATCTGTTGTACGGATCTACTACGGGGCAATAAAGCACATTCTCTATCGATTCGGATGAATTTTCATTTCCAGTTCCCCTTGCAGGAGAGTCACATGAGAGAGTTCTAGTCAGAACATCTGCGATCGAATAGCTCTCGCAGCCTGCGGGCCATAATTGTCAGAATAAATACTGTAGGAGAGCGGCAGTAGGACGGGGAGTGATTGAATGATGAGTAGGCTCTGTCACGGGGAATCTTGATCAGGTGGGGTCCTGCTGTGGATTAGTCCTCGGTGCTTCGATCATCGATCGCAGTTTCCTACTCGTTCCCGGGATCTGGAGTTCGTCCTGAGTAGAGTTCGAAATTTCGCGGGGCCGCCTCTCGTGCTAAGGCGCCGGTATATGGGCGTACTTTCCTCTACTTTCTGTGAGTGTTCCTACCTTCCCCCATGTAGTAAGTGTGTTCCCGCTCGTGGTGGTGGCGCCGGCGTTGCTCGTAGTACATGCCTGCGCCGACGGCGACAGCAGCGGTCTCGCTAGAGACCAACCCTCTCTCGATGGTGCGGCTGCCGCCACCGACTCAGCAGCCGCGGCGGCTGCCGATGGGTGAGTCAGTGTGCGATGATGGTGGCGGTATTGTAGTGAGGAGAGACGACGACAACGACGAGAGCTGGGTGCAAGCCAGTCAGTCAGCCGAGTGGGTAGGCAGGCAGGCAAGCAACTGAGCAGCCAAACGGCCCGCCAGCCAGCCAGCCAGTCGGTCACTCAGTCGGCCAGCCAGCCAGCCTGGAAAACAGGCGGTCGGTCGCGCAAGCAATCAACTGTGGCGGAAAGCCAGTGACTACACCACCTAGCCTACCGGACGGTCAGGCAGGCAGGCAGACAGACTGGCGGGTGGGTAGTCGATCGGTCCGTCCGTCAGTTAGTCAGTCGAGCGGTCGATCGGTCGGTCAGACCGATAACCGGGCGCTTGTCGGAACAAAACCGAAAAGTGAATAAGCCATCGCGGACCTACTGTCCGACCATTACACACTGGAGCGTTAATCTTTCATTCAGTGAAGCGAATGGAAGCAATGAAATGAATCGAAGGTTGTGCGGGTGGTGGTTGTGGAGGCCGAGGGCCCCCACAGCGGAAGAGGACCTCTAGAAGACGGGCCGGCGCTCCGCACTCGGCCCGCCGTCGGAACGTCTTCCGACATGGAGGCTGAGATCCAAGTACGGAACTGCGATGTTCCTCTCCTGAAATGCTGCCTCGAGCGGCTCCTGCAGCTGTTCGAATGTTTGGCCAAGGTGGAAGAAGGCGTCGATTGCCTTCAACTGAAACTGTGGACGCACAAAACAGATGATACGCTACGAAGTGCCCAGGTAGGTACTCTCCTCTGTATGTCGCTCAGATTCCCGCGGAAAATCGAGCATCCTCGGTCAGAAGGAAAGGAAATAGAGTCCCCGTAAGTCCACATCCTCGACTCGCTCAGACAGAACTTTCTGCGGCCGGTGTGTCCAGGGGAATGGCTTCACCTCGGAATACTTTCCGGATCGAGATTTTGATCCGCGAGGTGACCGGATTCGATGTAACGAATCTGCACTGGGGCGGCTGAGCCGGTAACGCGACCGCCGCCGGAAACACACACTGACCGAAAACGCTATAGCTGTCGAAGCAGTAAATCGCGCTCCCCCATCCACGTTGACGTGAGCTAAAACGAGTTGTTATCGAAGCGCAGGTTCGAGTGTTTGGGATTACAAGATAGATATTCTGAAATCCCGGTCTGCCGATTGAGATAGGGCTCAATATCGCGCTGGATAAACTACCCCGCGCACCACGGAATTCCAGCTGGGGGCCACGGGGGCAACATGATTACCGCCCGATATTGTATCGCGTTAGGAAATCGGACTTCAGAACTGGCGAAACCCTTTCGTACATGGGCGCTGTTCGTCGCGAGCTCAGCGCATCTTTGTCGACCCACAACGATTTTCTGTCTGGATAGCGCCCAATCTCGCGGGGGGTTAGAGGAGCATTCCGGTATTCGGTAGTCCATGGGATTCGGAATTCTGACGGCGACCGAGCTCGTTGAGAGGAAGAACTTGATGCGGAGTCGTGCTCGTCACTCATAACTCCGTGATGTAACGGTACCTCAGAGAAAGAATCGTCAAACTTTACGGGCGGGAAGGAGGAAATCGACTACGTACTTTGTGGACCAATCGTTGGTGTTTTCGAGAGCTTAGTATTCGAACAATCATTGTGCTCTGCAGCTTTACTATATCCGGGAAGGTGGAAGAACGACTTGAAACAAGTCGGTGTCGAGCCGCTTTGCTGGGCCATCCGCTGGCCGAACGAAAACTATCCCGCTTCCGTTTTCTGTGTCCATCAACTCAAATCTACATAGCCGAAGTGCCACGGATCGCGCGCGGCTCCCCGGAAACTCGAAGTCAGTGCCATTTCATAGTGGAGTTGGCCGTAGACTCTTCACCGAGCGCAGTACCGCTGCTTCTACTAGGAAGCTCGCCGAAGTGAGCCGTTGACTTCTTCGTGATTTTGGGCATCAATCGATCGCGCGATCGAGTAATGATCCTCGGGTTACCGCGAAGGCTCGTTTCGTTTTCCGCTCCTGAATCCCCGATTGATCAAGGCGCGTTGCGCGCATGGGTTTTGATGCACTTGGAAATCGATTTCGGAGGCTTCCCTCCAGGGGATGTCAAGGTCGCATCCATGATTGGTCAGAAGAAAGTTCTGTCCGCGTAACCAAACCCACGAGACTGAAGGGAAAAGACTGGATGACACCTCGGTCAAAATAGCGTCCCCTTCTGGAACGCGCTCATATGCCCCCATGTGGGGAAATTCTGCAAGGAAAACTTGTACTGGATGCACCCCTCATTAGCTATGTGCACCAGGAGCCGAGGGCTGCAGGGCGATCGCTCCGAGATCCGGCTCCGCTCGCGGGCTGGCTGGTTGGCCCCTCGTTGAACTGAAGAGTCACGACCAGCAAACACAAGAACCGAATCTGACATCGGCTGGTCGGCCGGCGTCCAGCCCCTGCGCGCATCCGGCTTTGTCTCGACGCCGAAGACCTCTCTTCGGCGGTCTCCGGCGAGAAGAGGTCTTCGGTAAGCGGTCGGTCTTGTGATGACGCTTTCGCTCTTTCTTCACTCTCCCGTTCGACGACGGCGACCGAACGGCAACCGAACGGCGAGCCAGCATCGGGAAGCCGAGACACCCCAATGAGCTTCGAAAAACGAGCGAAGTTTCTGATTCCAAGTGGAATTCCTGTAAATAAATCATGCGCATCGCTCAATGCTCGTGAACGGTAGAGTCTCGAGCGTTTTCGACCGGGGTTGTTCGGCTTTGCAGTCTTGATCTCGATCAATCGTTCAGTGTTCCATGTGCCGTCCGGGGTCGATCCCTCGCAAAAACGCGTTGTTCGTCTGTGAGTACGATTCGTGAGAGAACCTCGTGTGCCGAGGTTGCGATTTTCACTGAATCGCGCCGTGTTCCGACGTTAGTTTTCGCAAAAAATGACCGAGCTGAAAGCTGAATTCTTCTGTAATTCAATCAGATACTGGGAGCTCTGTGGAAGGATTTGGATTTTCGTGAGACTTGGGACGCTCAACTACGCTAGTTTTTCTTATTGGGTCCAAATGGCCCTCGAACGATGACCTGTACGAATTGCTTTTCGAATCTAGGATGCCCATGACGACCTCAAAATCCCCCCCTCCCCTTCGACCCACAATAATTCACCTGTGGAACGTTCTTACTCCGCGATCGACCTAACACATTCTCCCCTGGTTCCAGGAATTCCTGCTCTCTGTCACGTCGGAAAATCCTGCATCTGAAAAACGGCAACCGCTCAGCACCGAAGCCCTCAACCAGCTGTTCAACCTTCGGAGTGAGATCGAACGGGATGCACGCGTCCTCCTGATATTCACTGACGGCGAAGTCGCTATTCGAGGTCCGCAGGCAAACGTGCAACTGGCCATGCAGTTAGTGGACGAGTTCCTCGCTCACGGCGTCGTCTTGAGCGACGTTCTCAAGCATTCGCTCACAGCCGACTCTCTCTTATCGGAGCCGATGGGCGGCTCAAACGGTCGCGAGAACGGACGTCTGACACGCCGTGTGGAAAGCGAGGATTCCTCATACGATTCCGACAACGAGAGCGGTCTCGGTCCGGGAACCAAATCGCAAGGAGGCAACTTCCAACAGAAGATGCACGACGACGTCTCGAGAACCGTCTCAGATACCTTGGGAGCGGAATTTGCGGAGTACGTCAATTCCAACAAAGTCGAACTGAAGACGGTACTCGCAGATCCAAGCTACCAAACACGGCTGGAGTTTGCGGTGAAACTCGGCTACACGGAAGCGCAGTTCCAGAACGCCCTCCAGAGGCTCGGTCTCAGCGCATCGAACAACGAATTATTGGCCGAGCTCATAAAACTGACGTCAACGGCAAAACCGGTCTCCCTCGACGCATCGACCTCCGACGCTGCTCGTAGCGGAGAGCTGTACCCTATCGTCATCGATGGACCGAACGTGGCGATGAGTCACGGCAAGAAGGACGTATTCTCGTGCCGCGGAATCAAAATCTGCGTGGACTATTTCCGCGCGCGGGGCCATAAGCAGATCACGGTGTTCGTGCCCAGCTGGCGCAGAGAGCCACCTAGGCCAAACACTCCGATCTCAGATCAAGAAATCCTTTTTCAACTTGAGAGCGAAAACATTGTAAAGTTCACCCCGTCGAGGAACGTCAACGGCAAACGAATAGTGTGTTACGAGGACTACTATGTTCTGGATGTGGCGTTGAAAGACGATGCAATCGTGGTTTCCAACGACAACTACAGAGACCTCGTGCAGAGGAAGCCCGAATTCAAAAAGGTCGTCGAAGAGCGGCTCCTCATGTACGTGTTCGTGAACGATCACTTCATGCCACCGGAGGATCCCCTGGGCAGAACTGGACCCACCCTCGACGAGTTCCTCAGCAAAGTTCGTCTCCAATTGCCCTCAGTTTGTCCTTATGCCAAGAAATGCACGTACGGGAACAAGTGCAAATACTATCATCCGGAGAGGGGGAACAAGCCACAGAAATCAATCACGGAAAAACTCGCCGAGCAAGCGAAGATCCAACTTCAAGAAGTCAAAGCTCGAGCGAACCTCGGTAAGATGAATCCACGACCCGATGAGCGGAGCAGAAGTCTTCCCATGAGGAGAGAAAATATCCTCGGCTTATAATTATTCCTGTCGATTCGTCGAACTTCCAAGCCCGTAATTTACGCTTCCGTCTTTGCAGGGAACGAGGTCACCAGGACCCGCAGCGTTCCTGGAACTTTGGCCGGTGACTCGGCATTGCCGACCGGCACGAAAAAGAAACAACCTCTCGGACGAACAAGGTCGGCGGCGCCGGCCCAGAGACTCCAAGACGATTTCCCGATCCCCGGCTCGGCCTTCGGAGGCGGAGACGTCTTGTGGCGACATCAGAGCTGGTCGAATTTGCCAAAAAACATGTTGAGCGAATCCGGACACCTTTCGCTGGCGAAGAAGCTCTCCGATCCGGACTCCCACTGTGAGACGGTCGCGACCGATCCAAGTCCTGGCCTGCACAAGAAACTGCAGAGACAATTGACTCTAAACCCGAATCACGATGATCGCTTGGAACAGATGAAGCTCGTGAACACTCACAGTAGAAGTCCGAATGCTCACCACACTGTCACCCATCTCAGTTCGGACGGCTTCCGTTCGAATCAGACGGACGCCTTCAGAGATGGTTGGCAGGCCGGGGGTCTGTCTAATCAGAACTCTACCTCCGACACAAAACTCAACATGTTCCCAAACCAGTTCGTCACGCCAACGAGCTACCAGGCGAACATCTGGTCTCCCTTACCGTCGCAGCACAACGTCAGATATCCGATTCCTTCACAACAACACGTTCGGCCCTCGAGCGTCCCTCCGCAAAACCGAATGCGAGCTCCGCTGTCGGTACCTCACGCGCCGTCGGGTAACTTCGGATCAGGCGGACCTCTGCCGGGAGTCAATACTTTCGACGAGAGACACAAACTCTTCAATCGTCTCACGTCGATATTCCCCGAAGAGCAAGTCAAGGCCGCAATGGAATCGCTGCCCGACGAACTCAATCCGCAGAAGATCTGCGCCGCCATAATCTCTATGTTCCCGCCGAGACCCTGATGGTGATGATTTTCCCGCCCTGGAGTCACCTCATAGCCCATCGGAATCGACTCGCTCGATAGCGATGGCCATCGCGTGAAGGCGGCAGACTTCTTTTCGTGAGTCTGGTATGTTGTTCATGCGACATTACAAAAAAACGCGGCTGGCGAATAACTACGCGCAGTTTTCGCAGCCGCGGAGGATCTCGGAGAGGATGGGAGTCTGGGCCTCTCCGCATATTCAGAAGGCATCAGGTTCATCGTACAACCGATGCGACACGCTCTGTAGTCCCTCTCAAGGGTTTAGTGTTGGTCCTAAGGACCTTACGGGTTCAGGCATAATTGATTGAGCGCCGGAAAATACCGGGCCAGCATCCCAATGAAATTCGTTGACGACCGAGGCTCTTGCGAGTGGGTGGCAATGATGCTTGAAGACTGGTCTCTTGTAGAGACCTACGACGTGATTCTACGGTCGAGGATGAATAAGGCCGTAGGGCGGACGTCAAATAAGCAGCTCGTTGTATACGTGGCTGTGTTGAAGTTTCATAACGGAAGGAGCCATGTAAAATTTATGAGAGACATTCTTCCGAAGCCATATGCTCTTCTAGTCACTGCTAAGAGAATCACTGAATGCATAATTATATTGTCTAAGGATCCTCTGTTTGGAGAAACACCTGCGTGTAAGCGGCCTCAGTATCCTTAGTTCCGTCTCTCATGGCTAGTCACACTTTCAAGAAATCGATGAAGGAAGAGAGGACGGGAGCTAATCACCACATCAGGTTCTAAGAGGAGACTTCGAAGTGAGGAGTGATCGATGATCAACATAGAGAGTCGAAAATTAATTTTTCCGAAGCTCCTTGCGTACAATCCTCAGGTACGATCATCGAAAGACCTCCCGTATTTCTACCGCGTGCTTGTCAGCCCCGATCTGACTCTTCGTCGGAAACCACGTGACAAATCTTCTGGTCGAACGTCATCGATTGATTCGGTACTGAATCAGTCTTTAGGATAATCAACAAAACAGAAACTCTCAGCTCCAATCGTCGAAGCGTTGAACGTGGATAAGTCTTACCGAGAGCGCATTCTGCTTGAAGAGACGATACAGGGGGCGCATACCGGCTGTAGTTCAGTCAGAGCTGGACAGTCGGATGTATTGCGCCGTACTCACATCGTTCCTTTTGCCATCATTCTCTTGTATTGACACGACTTTGTATGTCTCTGTGAGAGATTCACGTGAGTTTATCACACCCCGTGATCATCATGATCATACACATAATTATTCATCTTGCACTTATCGTACAATGACCAACTGTATTAGTATTATTTTGTCAATCACAGAACGATCCGGGTCGAGGCTCTCGCGAGCGGGAAGGAAACTTCGATATTACCCGTTTTACCATTCCTCCACCTGACCTAAGCCTAACGAGTACATTTGTTAACCATCGCTGCACCCGAGTCTTAGAAGCTGACTCTGAGTCAAGAGGTAGTCCCGCGCCTCCGATGGACTCGTATGGTGAAACGAAGACCTGCGGAAGTAGGGAGGATCACGCATCCGATTCCACCGTGACGTTCCCTGCGGGCGCCAGGTCTCTGCGGGTCTCTCGTCGATTATCCCCATGGTTCCCGGCTCTCCACGCTGGGAAAGGTTCCGGACATTGGGAATATCGGAGTCTCTTGGAACATCGAGGTCGCTTCCCTAGCGTTTCCGCTATTCGATTGACTCCGCGAGAGTGTGTTTCCGCAAGGATTCGTTTAAAGACTCCAGGATGTTTTCTTCGACCACCGTGGTATCAAACGCGCGAGACGCCGGGCGCATCGGACAGAAAACGACTCTTGAATGAACGAAAATGTATCGTCATCGAAATCGCGACAGTTCTTCCTGAGAGTGAACGGTCTACGGACACTGCGGAGAGAGCGCATACTTTATTTGTGGAACTTTGTGACGATGTTATATGTGTAACCGTCGCATTCTAGCGGCTGAGCTGTATCAGTGAAGACGTCTCCTGTGTGCGCTTGTCAAGCTGTTGATCACTCCGAAAACGTCTGAAACCGGTGCCGCAGAAGCCCACGCTCAAATGACGCCGCGAGGTGATAATCTAATCCGGTGACGATTGCACCCCCAATCGAAGCGGGGGCGCTTTCCGTGGTGCTCTGCGGCGCTCGGCAGCTGTCGCGTATTTTTCTTCCGCGAAGTCAACCGACTTCGATGTGGGCAGGACTGGAGCACGATAGAGTTCCTGTCGCGCGTTCCCATTCTCTGCTGGTAGGCTTTCCCATGTGGGAAGCGATGTAAGTTGTATTCACAACAAGAGCTCACCAGACGGAGTTTCCAACCACAGCTGCAACTCGCCGGTCATGATGGAGCGTCTCTTGACCATGGCTAAATGTGGAAATAGATTTGATGTTTCTCTAGACTAACCGAATCGATATACTGTATTTCAACCACAACTAAATACATGGGGGTAATATGGCACTCGAATTAAGAGACATTGTAACGTCGAATGCACCGAGCATTTAGCTATATTTGCGCTAAATTAGTCAAAACCAAACTGTATCGGCTTTTCAAATATTAGGATTTGTCTAGAGAGAAACACAATAAATATTTGCACTTATTATGGAACCTCATCAAGAAGTGTCTTGGATGTTTCGCAAGCCGATCGGCCAGCATACCTATGTACTCGAAATTTCCGACCCGCTCTCTCCGGTACAAGATCGTGCGGAACGGCTCGGAGCGGACACGGATCACCGAATAGGAGACGACCCGGAACCTCAGATCAGGTCCCCGAAATTCCGACCGTACATCGGTTTCACTGAAAAGAATCGACATAGAGGGAAGAAAGCGCATTGGCACGATCTGCTTCCTCTATCCCGGTGAACATCTGTTCCAATCAGAAAACCGGCTGCGGGTCGCGAACGGTGACTCATCACGGTTATCGGTACCGGTTAGAGCCGCTATTCTCCGCGAGAGCTGCCCCCTTGATCCGAGAACGCGAGCCTCTGATTGGTCGCCATTCACTCTAACCTCTCAGAAGGGGAAAGTGACGGACCGCTGTCGGCGGAGCTTCTCAACGTCTGATCTGGGCATCTAGTCTCCTCTGAAAGAGAACTCACATGAGCGGCTGTTCACTAGGAGTGCAGAGAACGGCTATTCCGACAGGTGGAAGCTTGAAAAAGTGAGTATCCAAAGCCTACGCATTGCGGGATCCCTGCTCCCGGCTGAGCAAGCCGCTGCAACCATCAACGCTTACCTTCCTGAGTTGAACTAGTCCGCGATGCGCCCCGCTACATCGACGACCTGTTGACATTAGTGGAAGTGACAGATGGAGGCCCTCCCTCCAAGGCAAACTCTCGAAGTACCTGCTATCGACACTCTGTTCTGACCATCTCAAAAAAGTACCAATCGGCGGCTTGGAAGAGTCGGGCTGCTACAAAACATTGTGAGACACTTGCCTGGAATTCAGAGGGAGCTTTTTCCTCGCAGAGCCCGATGGATATCTTCCAAGACTTCCCCATCATGCAGGACCTGTCCGCTTTCAAGCCGACTTTCCTTGTCTCTCAGGTGAGTTTTCCCCGAACCCCAAGATTCTTTTCTGGCTTTTCCCCCGCTCTCAGGAGAGATCTTATCCTTACTCGAATTTTATCGCGGGGGATTGTGCGCGAATCGTCGAAGCCTGGAAGACCTTAATAATTCTCCTCCGAATGCCATAGTAGGAGTGGATCCCAATATGAGTTTTCCTCCAGGTTCTCGGGGCGCTGATCGTGATTCTCGTAGTCATTTGGGGTGGACAGTATAATGGGGGTTACACAGGACCATCGGAACCGAAAACGTGGTTCAACTGGCATCCCGTTCTCATGACGCTCGGCTTCATAATTATACAAGGGGATTCTATCTTGGTTTACAGGTCAGCCTCGAGCTCCGTCGTATCATGTTGTAATTCAATTGAATGCACTGAATATATATATGTATGAAAATATCGGCCATCATGATTTTGCAGGGTACTGAGGAACGAGGCGAAACCTCGTCTGAAGTCAATCCACGCCCTCATGCATTTCGCAACTCTCATTCTCGTAAGCGTGGGATGTAAGATTGCTTTCGACTCTCATAATCTCCGCAGTCCGCCTATACCGAATTTATACAGGTGAGTGATCGATGTTAGAAATTAATTGTCGCGGCTCATGAGAACGCTGGATCATCCAGGATTGCTGTACCGAAAGAGCTCATGATCGCCCTCACTTGTAGTCTCCACTCGTGGGTTGGAATGGGCGTCATCGTCGCCTTCGGCTTGCAATTCCTCACCGGCCTTGCGTGTTTCTTGTATCCGGGAGTGAGAAAATCACTGAGGAGCAGGTTAGTCTCGTCTTGTCTCCAGGGCATGATATCGGGTATGCCGCTTGCTTTGAAATTAAAGAATGCTGCTTCTGCTGCAGGTTCATGCCAATCCATGTATTCGATGGGACCATGCTTTTCATTCTATCGATTTGCGCCGCCCTCATGGGAATTAGTGAGAAACTTGTTTTCAATGGAGGTTATCAGAACGGAGGACCCGGGCCGATGATGGGAAACTTCATTGGTAGGTTCTCAGGGGTATCCGGAAGACGGTTGACGAATTCAATTTCGGTTGCCCTCGACGCTCGGTAATTGGAATCGCTCCTTTTCAGGCATACTCATTGTTTTGTTCGGTATCATGGTGCTCTTCCTCCTGACGAAGCAGAGCTACAAGCGGATTGCACCAGCGGAGGAACAAGTGTTACCGCTCGAATGCTCTGATGATGGCAGTCATCATGACTGAAGAACCTAAGGCGTAGCTAAGCAGCAAACGCATCGATCTCATCCGTTCGCTCGATTGACCGAATGTCCACAACGCGTGCCCGAAGGTGTTCCCGTAATTCCTCCGCGAAGCAGCATGCAAGCTCATCGAAGGACTCCTCACTCCTCGCAATATATCCAAGCCGAAAGAATCGAACCTGGGCACGCCCCTAAATGTGAAAGAAAACTTCCTTCCCGCTTTCCGATCTCTCGGACGCAAATCTTGTTTCCAGTCCCCACCTCGGACGAGGGAATCAGCTCACCGCTATATCTGGGATACAGCATCAGAGGAGCATAGCGTTATAGTAATATCGACTCATCGAGGATCTTGATTCGGTCCGGCTGCGGCGTGAAACCGCAATCATACCCCGCTCCCTACGAGCTCGGCCGGTGGGAACACCTGACGCCATGCTAAGTTCGACTCTGCACGTCGCCACGGATATCTTATCCTGGTCGATGTCCACTCTGGATCGTGGGGTCCTCAGTCATTGGCAAACCCCACATAAGCGCGGTTTTCAAGGTCTCAGGAGCGCTCGCTCGACGCTCGACGGAAGGTTTCGAATCGAGAGAGGTCGAAACCGAGGAGTTCAGGTGTTCCGAGCCGGACGGGATCTCAGGGATCCGGGGAGCTCAACAAAACACGAACTAGGTATCTCTTCGTGATCCTCAACGTTTGTGCCAAGCTGTGATGCTGATTATTATTATTCAACTGCGCGCTCCCAGGAAACGACGATATGCAGCGCGAATAAGTCCATGGAGAATCCTTTCCATCGTCCCAGAGTTTGATCTCGCGATAAAAAATGTCAGGAGATGGGCCTAATCGTTGTCTCCAAGGCAAATAAAATTGGAGTTCCCTGGAGCAATGGGAAACTCCGTCAATGCTCCCATGACGCTTCAATGTAGAATAGCCATGGGTGGAATGTTTTCAGCGCAATAGAACTTGAGGGTGAATGACCGGAGCGGAAATCTACTCCCCATTGACCGATATCGACAGGAGGGTGGTGGGTCACCGACAGGATGAAGCCAAGTGAAATAATAAACATTTATTCCCGCTCGTCCTAGATCTTCACCTCAATATGCTTCACGAGATTGACGTGATCGCCGCGTTGTGTAGGCAGACGATCACTGGAGCTACCTCAGAACTCCGACCAGATGATTATACAGAAACAACGCTCCATCATCAGAGACTCGGGCTTGAACAGAGTTCCCTGACGCGAGTCGCCTCATGGCCAAACAATGCGGCCCGGTTGATGAGGGACCGATTTTTGAAGAAGATAACATTTAATTAAGCATCGTTCTCTTGTCGTAAATATTCCGCCTTTGTTCCTGCACTTGACGCTTCCACTTGTCCTGTTGAGCTCCGACCTTGTCGAGTACTCCAGAGCCCGCGCGTACCCGAGTCGCTCGCTGCTGGACGTCGATCTCCGAAGAGGCATTACCCGCTTGAATACGAACGAAATTTCTCTTTTAGTATTCCGCCCGCTCGGACTTCGAGAATGGCCGGACAGTAAATTGGCTATGATCTGGGGTTGGCTCGGTCCACAAGACTCACCATCATTGCTACCGAACTCGCCGAGATTGACGTCTTCGTTCAAATGCTCCTCGTATTTGACGATACCTCTTCGTTTGTTCAGGAGCGGATCCAGACACCTGGGCGATCCGAATTTCGATTGAGTTCTGAATCCTCATCCGTCACATGACTCGGATGGGATGAGTTCCGTTGGACAGCAAAACCCATGAAGCTTTTTCGGACTTACCTCAAGAAGCCCATGTATAAGGTAAGGAGCGCGACTACCCAGATGAGGAGAATAACACAGACGCGAATCGTTGTAGTGTTCCGAGTCTCGTACCTGATAGAGAGGGAACAAAGTACAAAGATGGTTAGCTGCCTCAGACATGGAGGCGTCGTTGGGTTTGGGCTCCGACTCAAGTCAGGAACAAGACATAAGCCTCATTTGAAATCACGGTACTTACTTGCACTCACAACGGGGACAGAACTCTGCCGCTTTTTCTTTCAAAGCGGGCTCCACAGTCGGCATGACCACTCCCTCGCAATCGCATCTGTTTCGGGATAATTCCAATTAGAAGCATCGAAGACAAATCGCTCGGCGTCGCTTCCTAAAATTCGAGCTAAGGGGCGAATGCCAAGTGGTCGTCTCCACTCGAGACGCTTCGCCCAGACTGTGCCGATAGAATTGACAGCGAGTTTCTACATCCTACCCGCTCGTAGGACTTGTTAGAAAATCTCTCGGAGTCCATCGGAATCGGGAGTCGTGTCGGGGGTTGTGATGTGGAAACTCATCCCCCAACTTTTCCCAGAAGACTTGCAATACTTCTTGGACTCACGAAACTTACCTTCTGGGTGGAACGTTTTTTATGTAAAGTTTCCTGCCGTCGGATTGTCCGCCCACCACAGATGTACTCGGACAGATGCATTTACAACGCACGTCTTCATATTGACAGCAAGCTAACGGAATCAGTGCCGCAATTGTGAGACCCAGGTGGAACCAATTCATCTCGCAGGCTCGGGGGAGTGGATCAGGCTTTGATGAGAAAGAGCCGCATATAGGGGATTGAGTTCCTCCACCATCAAGTGTTTGGTTCGTTTTTCGCTGCGTCCGTTCAATGTGCTGATAGACTCTTGAGTTGAGGGCTCCGAAAGGAGAAGAACAACTGCGAGATGGGATGGATGGCCGTGTTTTCACCGTGTTCGAGCGAGGACACATCGAGCCTAATGAGTGCGATTCTGGGTTCTGCGGGAGCCGCGGGAATGCGTGCGCTATCTTCATTGAAACTGAATTGCAGATCGTGAGAAGGGCCGGAGTTCGGGAATCATTTGGTGAACTCCGGTTTCTCGGGGGCCTCGGGAACGGAACATTGAAGAACACAATCCGTCAGATGGACGGAATTCTCGATCAGCTGTCTGTCCCACCATGTGCCCACATCAGCAGGACGTACTGCCGGTTCACTAATCTGGAATCGCGGGTCGCAATGAGATGAAGGATAGCAGGATTATACCATCATTACTATGATTGCCAGTTCCTAATGAGCTTATGGATCTTCACAACGGCCGAGTCTTGTAATGACTTGATAACTAATCTCGATCGGCATCCGAAAACAGAATGCGATCGTCGATAGAGGAAGATATTTTTCATTCGTCTATACTTCGTCGTTTATTACCCAGTCCTTATCAACTTCCAGCCCCGGATTGGAGGAGGTGTTTCATAACATCGACCCAATCGTGCCCTCGGGGTAACTCCCCATGCACGACTCTCCCGGCCAGCTTGCGTTTTTGAGCTTTCGTCAGTTTCTCTTTCTTGGGCTCCTTGATTTGCCGCTGTTCCTGGTCGGGACTGCTAGCTTTGTCATCTTTGATATCCACTGAACTTCGCTCCGGTTGAGCGGCCGTGAGGCTCTCTGCATTTTCCTTGAGCCATTCGAACAGGGTGTAAGTCATTGGCATGCCGGTATTATTCTCCGCTTGCTCCTTCAGTCCATTCCTTATCGAGTCTCGCACATCTGACACCAGATGATTGTTCCCGAACAAGTCGAGATTGATCTCAGGGATCTCATTCGGATAGTTCTCACCCCAGATCAATTCTACGACGAAGTCTTTGCTTGAGTTCTCCTCGCCATAACGGTAATGATATGTGGTCGGCGACACTTTTCGAAAAGATGTGTCCCCTTCGTAGATGGATAAGAGAACTTCGGCTTCTTCCTCTTGCTCACTTTGACAAGCCATCCTATGACTACGATGAGAACTCGCTCGTGAAAGATTTGCTCTACGAATATAATGGCATCATCTCCCGATACGTTTTCGACTCGCGAACGCGCACGGAGACTCGATCCGAAGCATGCGCTCTAGAGGCACAGTGTGTTGAACACGACTGAGGTGGAACCCACGATGGATACGAACTACGAACACCCTGAGCCGTTCGAACGCCGCAGCAGACGAATGCTGATCGCGGATGATGGTGATGATCTCTGCTCCGTACCAAAACCGCCCGCGGATTCAACACGTATCCTCTCGGGAGGATCAGAATTAAATGCGCACTCTCTGTGATACGCGGACACTGCCTCATAGAAGCGAGCCCCCGTTGACGTATTCGCGCCTGTCAGGGACACTGTACTTCTGGGACGCTATGGAATCATGATCCTGCGTCCACAAGTAGGCCGGTAGGCAGACTCTCCGTACATTGACGGGCGCCTTCTCGGAAGTTGAGAGATATTGGACGAGCGAGTCGGTCGACTGGAAGGAGTCCCACGACGGGGGGAGCGACTCCGGAAAGTCGAAAAAACCCCAATGAGCCTCATCTCTCTTCTCCTTTTCCCGCTTCCCGCCTCCGCGGCTCTGTTGGACGTATGTTCTTCTTTCTCTTCTGATCGCTATCATTCACGTCCTGCTTGGATATTTCTTGCCGCGTACGCTCAGCCATGTGCCAGCGGTTTTCGCAGACATTTTCGTGAGCCACAGAAGCACGTACGTATGCCCGAGTAGGCTGAAAGCTTCTCCGACCTCCGAGCATTCTCGCCGAATCTTCAGCGGAAGAACGGTTCGGGCAGAAGCGACACGCGGATGCCAAGCTGACCGTCGAGGGAAATCTCTGAATCGACCTCATCCGACCCTTCGTCAGAGGGGAGTGGAGAAGGAAAACCGAGAGAGAAAGACCATGTGCTTTCTCGATGTTTATTAGCAACGAATCCTGGATGAGCGCGGAATTCGAATTTGACGACGCCGAGATGAGCTTTCTCGAGCAAATCGCTCGGGAATCCGCTCCTGAGCCAATGTTAGAACCGCGGACCTCGAAGGATCTGAGTGCACCTGACGAGACAGATTCCGATTTGGTTAGAAGCCCTCACATTCGAGTCCGACAGCAGTCCGGAGAGAGAGAGAGAGATGCGGTCTGCTGTCGCCCCATCAGTGCGAGAAATATAAACACGGTTCAGAAGCAGAGCGTGCGCTCAGACATTTCGCCTACGTCTTGGCCGACACTAATCGTATGACTTCGTTTCTCGGGGATCTCTTCCTCTAGATGAGAAGCCTGACCTTGAAGCGCTTCCGCATGTGATCCTCTTCAGCCAGCGAACATGGACATGAAGGACGCGACGTTACACATTGTAAAAAAACTTGTTGGTGACTGGGTGAGCTTCCAGATCGCTCTGGAGCATGGAATGGGTGGAATGAACGGGAGAGAGAAAGAAGCTGAGATGTGCAGGGTGAGAGAGTCCGGATGTCCTGATCCCAGGATCTATGTATATTTTTCGAGAGTTTTCTTGGCATCGCTCCCTCCTCTCGAGCCGTCGTCTCCATTCACTTGAATGATCGAGATCACTCACCGATAGCTCGCGCACGTAGACTCAGACGGGTCATTCCCTCGATTTTTCCAGGAGCTTGCGGATATGTTAATTAACGATCCCAACGTTGATCCCTCGGATGTCGGGGATTACATGGAGGAGATTCTTGACGAAGATTTCGATACCGTCATAGATGACGGAACAGTTCTTCCGCTAGCAACGATAATGGTTAATCTGTCGAAACTTTGCAAGAGAGGATCGATACAGGAAGCCTTAGATCAGTTACCAGAGGGGAAACCATCACTGCCCGATGCGAGACCAGAACCGTCGCAAAATATTGATGACGATGAAATGGTCGATGTCTCGGAGGTCGACGAAATGTCCGATCAAGTAAGTAGAACTTTGGATTTGACTCAGATCGTCCGGAATCCGTCAACATTGCGAGAGTCGGGTCTTCGGCATTCCTTTTGGGAACTTCCGAACATCAGAGGAAAGCATCGTATCAATGACAATGGATCGGCGCCTCAACTCGATAATATGCCCTACCCGCAGGTTGCTGCTTTGAACTCACAGAGGAGCTCGAGACGGAGAACGAATGAGCCGGACGAAGATGGTTGGGTACAAGTGAATAGAACGAATAAATGATAGATTTCTATCGATGCGACGCCTGATTTCAATGACTCGGGAGGAGTTTTTTTCTGTCACTCTGATCAGAGATTTGCGACAACCTACTGTATCAATCGCCGCACATCAGTTCCCGTCCCGGTGATTTACTACGGACACCATCGACGGACCGATGCCTTGAGCAAGAGTTTCCATCGTTATCATCTGTTTCGACGTCAGGAGCCCACTGATGAAGAATCCAGTCCGTGAACAAAAGAAGCAGTCGACCCGCAATCCGTACAGCTAGCGCTTCGATCAGGCTAGACCAGCTCCGTGACGCCTTGCCTCGATTTACCGTAGGCTCGATAATCAGATGGCGCAGACGATTGAGATAGAGCAATTCGGCACCATTGATACGATCATTTCAGATCAATTTATTCAGAAATCTCGAGCCCCCACAAAGATCCGTGGCTGCGAAAAATATATTAAAACCTTGGAGCTTTGACACCAGTCGTAAGGCCGCTAGCTCTCCGAAGGAAGCACCGCCGACGAAGTACACGAGAACGTTCTTTGCTGATGCTAGTAAAGGTGCTTGGTGAAGGCGTTCCGAGGTGAGAGCTCCACCTGAGAAGTTTGAACATCCCTGAATTTCACCCAATTCGAAGAAGAAATCCAAGATCCCTTGATGAAGTCGGCGAGAACGATCGCGAATGACGACTCACCTAATACTTTCGACAATTGGTCGCAATTACCCGAGTTGATAGATTCCAACAGCTTAGCGATCAATGGAACGTACAAATCGTTGAACACATAGCCGGCACTGTGCGTCCTCGTCCTTCTGTCTTTCTCCGACTGTATGAGACCGAGTTTGCGACTCTTGGACATGAAAGCAGATTCCTTGAGGCCGAGGAGGCTCGCGGAGGTAGCCATTTTACTTATCATCGATCCACCCTGGAATTATAGCAAGCTCAAGCATATTCCTCTCCATCCCGGAGAAACGGTTCCGGGGCAGACCTCGGAAGGCTTCCTCACCGATGGATTCCCGTGAGGGAACATCTTCGTACATACCTTGCCCTGCGGTGTACCCATCACGGGCGGAGCCTCGTACAGGATTTCTAGCTTTTCTAGTCTTTGGAGGATCGCCAAATAATGGTGACCGTATTGATGGAGGAAGAACGTCCGCAAGTTTTCCATGTATCCGTGAGGTATACCATCTTGGACGAGAGATAAGAGACACAATAGCCGCAAAGAAACGTCCCACGGTTTCTCTCTGAAGAAAAAATCGGTCAGGAATTTCATGCACCGACCGGTCACTCGGGAGATACAGAGAATGATGATAATAATATTCATGGAAGCTTACGAGCAGATGCAATCTTTTATGAGTTCGATCGTATTCTTGACATCCGTGCCTTGGAGAAGATTCTGTTCGGCGGCCCGGACGACATCGAAGTCCTGAAGAAGAAGAGGTGTATCAATGCTTAAGACACCGACCTGGCCCTTCGTTCGACCGACTCAGCGAGAAACGCGAAGCGCACACTCACGTGTCCTCGACGTTGAGAAATCTCTTCACAAATGCTGACGTGGAGCGACAAAGCACTCCGCAATTTGGTCACTGCGCTCAGCTCGTTGTTGACGAAATGCTTCAGACCTGCGTACGATTTGTTAGGCTTATCAGGAATCCAGGAGCCGCTCCGACTTCGCAGTAAATGTCTGAATATTGCTGTGCTCCCAATACTTCTGGCAGGACGATAATTACCCGATATGGATTGCGGGGTTCCGCCCGAGACATTCCCCATGAACTTCTTGCTTTCGCTGCTCAAAACTCCGAAAACGGACGAAATGTGTTTGTCTCTGATGGAGCTCAGCGTTTCGTTGGGTTCTTTGAAATTAATTTGTCGTTCCTCCTTCTTTGTGACACTCTTCGGTATGACACATTTCCCGTTCTGGATTCCTGTCGACGGAATTCCGATCCGATTACCCCCCCCATCAGGTTGCGATAATCCGGAACGACCATGTGTATGTATGTCTCCAGTCAGTGTTATTCGGGCTCACCGAAGAGATCATCGAGGATGGCGCTGTAATTCATCTGAGTGCTCATGAGTGAAACGTAATCAGCGTCTCGGCTGAAAATCACCAGGCTCTCGATGGTGATTTTACTTTCGGAGGCGGTACTGCCTTTGCGCAAGAGCTTCCATTGATTGAAGACGCTTCTACTCGTGTCACCTTCTCAGGGAAGACGAGGCATGACAGGAAGAGTTTGTAATGATTTCGGAAGAATTATATCCCATGACTTCCAATCACAGTCGATCGATATACCGTGATTTACTGACCTATCAAAAAGACCTGTCCGATTTTGGCGAATTCCTCAATCTGACAAAGAGATAGCGCCACCGAGGAGAGAGGCGAATGGTCGTCGTGCACGAACACATCCCGAAAAAAAGTCTCGTTCTCTAAGGAGGCCACGTCGTCTTCTATGGCGATAAGGCTCACCTGTCGATCAAGAGAAACATAGCTCTCATTTCGTACTCATCTGCCAAGCGACAAAGAGCACGCGTCGGAAGCGGAAGGAGGCGGCGATTCTATCAACTCACCGGTATAGGAATGAGATTTATCATCCCGAAAACCCCCTCAGATTCTAGAAGCGTTATCGCAGCCGCAGTGAGGCGAGGAAGACCGAGGAGGTAGAACTCGCGACCGTTGGGGGACGAGGAGATGATCGATGCGACCTGCGGAAGATTTCCCATCGACTCGATGAAGAGCTCAGAGCAATCATACAATGGAAGTTCGGCCAGGATCTTGCGCGCACCTGTTTGACGGAACTCAGAGACCCCTTGACGAGGAAAACACATTTTCTCGATGAATTCGCAGGAAGGACCCCCTCCAATCTGAATAATTTCGAAACACCTGTAGCTCTCAATTTCTTCAGACTCGCAATGTTGTCTAAAGACTTTATCAACGTTGGCTCGATCAGAAGGTCCTGCAAGGGCAAAACTTCCACTCATGCCGGGCGCAAGCATTATGAATCCTCCCTAGAGAGCGGGTGATCAAAATGTCAGATGAGGAATCCTAGAACGTACTTTGGCGCCGGCGATGTTCTCCAGAGTTGACAGCAGCGCCGTTTCTGCATATTGCGAGATATAGTCGACTATGCGACCGCTCATTCTGATCGTAGAGTCCCACAATATGGATAGAGACGCCTGCCGACCTAATCCTCTACTGTATCAGAGATACAGCACCACCATTTCAATATTGAGCCGAATCATTCTCTTCACGCGCGACGGCGCCGGGCGGCATGAATTTGTGTCCGATTCGAAATTCGCTTGACAACCCAGATCGTTCTTCACGTCATGTGTACAGCTTATCTGCTCCATGAGACATGATTGCACTCATGTGGTACTTGGTCAGTACCCCTCCCGGAGAAAATCAGTTCTGAGATCGCGGACGGCTGCGGTTCATATAATCACCGGCTTGGGATTTTCTCAGGAACCACGTAACGTTTTCGCAGCGTGAAAGGGGACTACATTCACGTTCTGCATCGGACCTGAAGTCTCGACGGCTTTCCGGAAAACCTCAAACAAGGAAGGTAGCAGCTGTCGTCGATGAATCCGAACTCGAACGTTGCTCACGTTCAGCTGCAGACGAGTTTTCTTCGGACGCTTCTGATGATGATTTCTGCCTGGATCGACGAAAGTCGTCGACTTCCACGCTTTTTCCGTTTTTCATACCGGAGGGGGGCTAGGAGCAAGAATTTCTCATCTTGCGCAATTCTACTCCTGATTTTGGAGCCTGCAGCTTCTGAATCGCCGCATGGTGAGAATCGAGTCTGTCGGTGCTCCGCGAAGTCGATCTAGCGCATTTCTACGGGTCGGAGGGCACCCCTCATATATGATCTCCGGAACCTCTGGAATATTTCCCTCATGAACTAGCTGGAGTATTCAGGATTCAACCTGTAGCTCTTTCTTGCGCCTTCCGGATGAAAATCATATGGGGTCACGAGACAATGAGGGAAATATTTCAGAGAATCTCGAAGTTGACATTTGGGTTGCCCTGCTCTACAATTTTCAGAAGCAATACGGTATCTCAAGCCTCCAACCCAAAGGCGACCATTGGTCTCTCTGTTCACGACGGTACACAACTCGACAGACGAAACGGTGTATTTCGGGCAGTCGAGTTCAAGCAGCTACGCCGCGCGGGCAGAGACACTTACGGTTCCGCTTCCTTGCGGGACCTTCGTGCTCCTTCCCCCGATTCATACCTTCGACTCCGCTTTCATCTTCGGGAGTTGTCGTTGCTTCAATCGAGGTCGCCGAGGACCACGACCACTTGCTCAGAACGCGAGAATCCCATGAGCCCCTCCCTCAAAGTATGGGCCAGAGGTCAGGCCGAGGGCCCGTTCCCGTCTACAAGCGTTGCTCGGGGAATTATTTTCGGTGTGCTCGAATTTCTCAGGCATTTTTAGCTCCTACTCATGGATCAGCTATGCTACAGAATTCATTCTTTTAAAGGGACTTCCGGGACGTGCGATGGTATGTCAATCTATACCTCAAAGCAGCCGGACCGCAAGGAAATGCTTGCCCTGCGAGAGGATTACCGGCTGAATTCGCCGAAAGAAAAGTCGCCAGCTGACTAGCCGATGTTTCAATCGGGAAAAATGTGCCCGTACAAGGCGAGATTACCAACGTCAAACCCCGACACGGGGTTAGCAATATACAATGAGCATCCTAATCTCTGACTCGAATAATCTGTTATCCCGAATCGAGGCGGTCGTCGGCACGCCTCAAGCCAAATCTAGCCAAGAGGGTGTCTCTTCACTGCGTTGCGTTCGGTGCAGAGCCCTTGACACGAATTCGACGAAATAGACTTCTGCGAAGACTTCTCAATCACAGAATCTATCATTTCTGAAAACTTAGGATGATTTCTCTCGCTCATTAAGCACATTTTTAGATATTTCATAGCGATCGAATGCAATGACCACAGAACGTACCTTTGAGGGGTAGCACTTGAATAGCTCGTCATCATGATCCCATCTTCAAATCGGATATCCTCGATTTCTCTCTTCGCCAGCTTCCTTTTGTCCCCTTTTGCAGAGCATTAACAACACCACTTCTGAGGGTGGCGCGACTTCGCACGTGATTCACTGAAATATGCACAAATCCCCCCGATCGACATATAAGGAATCCAGAATTCTGTGATACAGATGCATTGAGGGAATCATGGAGAATTGGCCATTTACTAGATTCGACCGCTGAACCGCGTGTTTCTAGCGTCTGGGAGCGAAATTTTTCTTTCGCAACAATCGTACAATTTCGCGCTGCTCCCGTTCCCTGATCGTCTTCAAGTCAGTAGTCAAGTCACCAGACACCACCGCCCCGTAAGCGCTCAGAAATTCGTATTCTTGTCAGTCTTCGATTCTACATGGAAGCTGTCAAGTCCACCTGAAGGAGATGAGGGGGTCGACATTCCCACCGGAATGACTTCCGAAGAAACGTCATCCTCTAAGCCCGCGCCCACGGATTTGTCGGGGACGGCGTTTCAGTCTCATCGGAGTACTGCCTCGCAAAATGAAGTCGCGGCTGTCGCCGAGATGGATCCAATATTCGTTGCACCCTATCTGCGGCGCTCGAAAATGGTGCTTGTGCAGCTGTACACTTGTCCTTTGTGGTTGCTCACACTCGCGCCAGGCAAAGCTTGATGATGTTATTTAAACCCAATACGAGCAGGGGAGATTGGTCACGCCGCCGGGGAGGGGGTTTGGCGGTCGCCGGCTCGCTCGCCTGCTCGTGTGGTGTTGTAGCTCAAAATCCGGGTGGTGGTGGGTGCATTGCCTGTTCATATGGGCAGCCAGAGAGGGGGAATTGCGGATGAGGAGCTATCGAGTTAATTTGCAGGCCGTGTCGAATGTCACTCTGACGGCGGCGGTCGTTCACGAAGCTTGCTGCAGCAGCAGCAGCTCCAGCTGAGTAATCGGTTTTGGCAATCATCTGACTAAAGATTTTCGAGTCTGCTCATCGACAGATTCCTCCTTCGACTTAAGGAGTAAATCAGGGGCATTCACGATGGGAAGACGACATCCCGTTGGGGGAATATGCCCGTAGAGCTACGTATGTCGAGAAGTCGATGTGTCGACCAGCTCGGAAATTTCTTCTACTTCCCCGGCAAAATATCCTATCACGAAGAGCCTTCCTCGCTCCAGAATACCGACGCTCTCGGCACGTGTGAGAATCGAAGCCAGCTCATCTCCTCTGGAGAAGAGGGTCACTGACAGACGAGAGATAGTTTATGTTCGATCGTTAACTGATAAGGAGCTGGTGAGGTGTTACTGGAAAGAAATGAAACCAATCTGTAATCTCTGCCCGAGATCTCTCTTCGGCGAAAACCTCATTCCCCCGACGGCGCAGTTCTTCCCTGTGGGCGGCAGCTCTCAAACTTCGAATCATTGCTCAGCTAGAAAAAGAACTGAATCTTACAATTACATGAGATGTGAGGAAAGATTTGAAACCGAGGCTCAGGGAGTCTGGGATTCACGACGTTGACTGAGCCCGGATCGGGTGCCAAAGTCTTAAAGTCTGCGAATAGGGAGGATGAATCTCCATAGTTCCGATTGAAGATGTGATGTTCTAGGCTTCGAGACATTTCAGCGTCATTTTCGGCCGCGGACGAATCTTGTGGTACTGGCTGGATACCTAATTTCTTCCCGCTTGGATGGGAGGAACTGAAGGAAGTCAAATGCGCTCGAATGTCGTTCCGGAGTCGCGGAACTGCCGAATCCCTCAGAATTTATCTCGGTTTCATCCATCCATCCATCGCCGATGCATCTGACACCGATCTTGCGACCGACCGACCGACCGACCAACCACCGACCGGTAGGGCCGGCAGCTGGCGCTTGGTGGTCTTGGTTTTGGACCTGCCCCTGCAAGCCAAAATCTGTGATGATGAAGCCGTCAGGTGCTCACGAGCTGCACACGTGTTGCGGTGAGAGGACTCCTGCCGCAGGATTTGAATCAGGGATCAGGATTTGGCTACGGCAACAGCTTACTCCTAGACACCTGTGACTACATTGAAGGTTCTTTGAGTGCTGTCGCGACTCCGGGCTCGAGGTTTGAATCTGAATCCTGAGGGGACGTTCACAATGACGACAAATAGATCATACGTCGGAGACGTGAAACATGGAAACATCATTCCATCGAGGGGAGCATAGGCATAGACAACTCTATTTCCGCCAAAGCTCTTGGAAATAAGAAAAAAAACTCATCCTAATCACCGATCCCCGAAGGTATGGATCGCGCGAGAAGGGGCAGAGGAAATCGGGGTCCCATGATGACAAGCCAAGGCCAAGCGTTGTTGCGGTCGATTGCGACGCGAAAAATTCTCCAACCGTCTACCGCGATTTCCATACCGATATGTGAGAGGTCTTTCGCAGGGACTCGGGCGCGAACCTTTTTCCTCGAAGACTCAAAGATTCCTAGCTCGGGAAATGTTCAATCCCGAGGATAATTATCCATCCGTCTCTTCCTCCGGGCGCAGGAACATGCTGACATGTCTCGCCGGGCTGAAGGGAAAAGGAAGGCTGCCCAGAGAGACATGCTGAGGAACCATGGTGTGGCCCGATCTCATGAGTCGTCATGAGTCATGAGCTTTCAAGAACCTTGAATCTACTTGAAGCACATCGAATGACGGCTGCGACACCGGTGCTTGGACTAGGACAACGACGACTAGAGCTCGAGCTCCTGAGACCACCTCCGATCCCTTTCCACAAGGACAACACGACGACATCCACATGTGACACCCGCCACTTGCAGTCGACAGGTGGAACACCGAACTACACTGGTATCTGCGGAGTCTCTCCGGAAGTGGTACAGGACCCGATGCCAGATCGACGTAGCCAATATCCACCGATCGAAAAATACCGGCATTTGTGATCCCCTGCTTCTGACCGACTGAAGTTCAGTGCTCATCATGATCGAGAAAGAAACCTGCGTGATTGCTGCGGAATATCTACCGGTGGGCATAATTTCCATGCCTGTGAGTGCGGACGTGCCTCTGGAGAAAATACTGAAGTGTCGTCTTCCTGAAGCAGAGTACAAGGTAAATCGGAATTCTTCTAAGCCGGACGATCCTGCTTGGAGAAACGCCACTGAACTCGCTGTGAAGTTCTGGATTCAATTTTCCCAGGTCGAGGTTGATCGTGGAGTTCTGAAGCTCCGCAATTCCCCGTGTAGGGACGCGGAACTGTCTTCGTTGATGCGCCTGGCGCCAGATATCCACGAACAAAACGTGGCGCTGGTGAAGACGGCGAATTTCTACGTCCTGCAAACCACAAGGTGAGTGCTGATAATCTATCAGAAGAGCAGGAAAGCTAATTTAATTTCAACACTCTGCATCCAAATGAGATTTAGTAAACTTTTTGTGGCGTTGGCTGCTCGCCGGCTAATTGTTATCTGCTCTATACGCCACTTCAAGCATTCAGCCCGACTGAAGGATCCGAGACTTCGAGGCACGCTATCACGCAAATAAACCAAATTTTTACAGAGCAATTCAGGCTGGCGAGGAGCTTCGTTTCTGGTTCAACCTTGAAACGAGCTGTGAACTTCACATCCCAGTGCTAACTCCTCGACACATATTGGGTGAGAATTCGTTTATCTTCGATCGATGGCTTCAATGAGCTCAAACTCCACAAATTCCGGGGAGAATAAGAAAAGATATTTCCATCTGCGGAATCGGCAGGCGGACAGTCTGAATTGCTAGTGAAAGACTAATAAAATGAAATACTGATCTCAGGCAATCAAAGATATGTGTGCGATTCATGTGATGCGACCTTCCCTCAACCGAATATACTCAAAGCTCATCTATGTTTGAATCGATGCTCCACCGATACTTTACGCGATACGCGGATTGAGCACGAAGTCGGTTTGGCCATGACTCCCGAAACGAACACTTCGAACACCTCGAATGATGACGAAGATGAAGATGATTTATCGTTGACCGGCGATTCCCGGAAGAAAGGACACATGTGCATGTTTTGCGGGAAAGTTTACTCGAGACGGTAAGTCTAAGCCGTTCCAGCTACGTCAGAGGCCAATGAATCGAATATAAAATCTCGGTGTATCCCGTTGCTTGCGTTCGTATTGATTCCATTGGATCACTCCATTCCAGATATGGGCTCAAAATACATGTACGAACGCATACCGGATACAAACCTCTTCAATGCCGATTTTGTCAACGACCCTTCAGCGATCCGTCGAATCTCAATAAACACGTCAGGCTCCATGCCGAACTAGATTCTCCGTACAGGTGTTCCCTGTGTGACAAAGCGCTGGTCCGGAAGCGAGATCTAGAGAGACACCTCAAAACGAAGCATTGTGTACCATGAAACGATCATGCACAATCTCTGAAGACGGAGGCCCGCCGCCCGAGGCACACCTTCTGATCAGTGACACTCCCAATGAGACTCGCTGGAAGGAGCCTTTCGCCGGAATGGAGCGCTCTTTGCAGTTGTGATTTTCGGAGCGCAGGAGCGAGCCGAATACCATAGATAGGGATGAGAATCAGAAGCGAATATCTCATGACTGTAATATAGAAGATTGGATGTGTATCCTGTCAATGACTTCAAGACGTGCCAAATATCCATGTTACCCAGCTCGATGCTACGAGGATGCGCGCCGGAGCTCAAATAAACCAGATTCTCCATAAGGAAGAAGCAATGGCCCGAGTCAATCCTATTGTGCAGCTCCGCTGGTTCGCGGAAGTACAGGCATGGTTCGATAAGTGTACGATCGCTTCCGACTCTGTCCAGCAGACATGATCCATTCTCGCCGTGTGTTCGAGAAGTTGGACTCCATATACACAGACCTTCGTTTTTATACAACTCGAAGATCGCCTCACACTCTCCTGCCAATGCCTAGGCTCCCCGATCTCGGGTTTCTTGTTGAACAAAGAGCAAAAATCTTATAAACAGCTCCTTCAGAGTGGGATCCGGACTTCTTTGATGAGCATTCGCTTCCGTCATCCGGCATGCGGGCTTCATCGCTAAGCCTAGTAATTCTCTGGTGCTCAGCGTGCCTGGTTCACGGCCAATTCTTCAGCGGTCGGTAATTCACTTTTCGGAGAGGAAAAAACAAGTGAAAATTCGGACATCTAGACCTACATATGTATACGACCCCTTTGGTGACAGCACGGCGAGCTCACAAATTCTCGTTCTCGAAATCCCTGATATAGCTCTGTTCGGTTGCCGGAATGAAGCCGTCGTGAACGCCTGCCCCCTCGATTGCGATCTTGGGAAGGACACGTCATCGTGCATCGTCTGCGTTTGTCCTCCGTGCATTGTATGTCCCAGTGGTTGCTATCGGGGAAGCGTCACAGGGGGATTGAACGGTAAGGCTCCGCTATGTTTGTATCTATGCGTGATTTGCTTGACCTCCGAAGCCTCCGCTGCTGAGACTTCGAATCTGCGGATGATGTGATTCGTTTCAACCCGCGTTTCAGGAGAATGCCCGGGGTGTGCTTCGGTCGCTGCATGCGTTCGACGTCGAGGAATCTTCCGCAGCAATGATCCAGACCCTCAGAGGCAGAGCGAAGCGATATCGAGCGATAGTCATCTTCTGAATCTTGAAAAATAAAATACTGTTGAGGTCCCCGGTGAATCTTATTAGAGATACATCGTTAGTCAAGACTCCGAAAATCGCTTAAGAATCATCAAGCGGACATCTACCAGAGCTCCGATATCAGTGGAGAAATTCGACCACAGAGGAAGACTCGACTTTGAGCGCGGAGCCAGTCCTGCCTCAAAACTCCCTGCTTCACACGATCGTGCGGGGTCCATGAATGGTCCCTTCTATCGGCTCATTCACTGAGCCTGCGATAAGTAGACGAAGTCTGGACGGCGGTGCTCACCACCGTCACTCGCGACGCGACGCCGACGGTTCCACGGATTTGCAAACTATGTATGATCGGACAAAGCGAAACATAAAAAAAATATCTTTTCATCCCCCAGGAGCTTGTTCGGCAAGCGGTCCTGTGGATCATAGGAGTGACCCGTTCCGTGCTCGGCGTAACGTTTCATGTTGTCGACTATTTGTATTCGGCGAGCTCCGAACTTAACATGGATTAATAGCCGGCGGACGCTTATTCTCTGTTCCTTTTGTAAATCGAATGAAAAACGTTGCTTTTTCTCTTCGCCTTTCTGTTGTTGAGGGAACAACCTCGGGTCGGCTGGCTGGTACTTCAGATACTTTTGTGAAGACTAGCTGACGCTTCTGCTAGAGCCGCCGCCGCCGCGCTGCCGTCATCGGCGGGAATCACCGACTCGGGTTGCCATCTTTTGTTACATTGAAACAGCGGTCTGCGAAGGAACAAATCTCCATCATTCTTCCATTTTTCGACAACGGTTGCGGCGGCGATGACGACGATGATGATGATATCTAAAAAATTAGAGACGTCTGTCAAAATTCGCCAAACAGATAGCGGACTTCAATGCTTGAGTTATGAACCGCGGCCACCGCCTCTCTACTTGTCAAATGGTGCCCGAGTTCCGTCAGTCGGCATCGATTACAGCAGCAGCGGATGATGTCGGCGGACAGCTCCGGTGCTACCGGAGCCCAGAGAAGAGTCGGCCAGAAACCTATTGGAGTTTTTTTTGAGATTACGCTCCGAGTCATGCGCTTTGGCCGTTCAGAGGGGTCACATCCCTCGATGCCACGATAACGACGTTGCTGCCCACCGCTTGCGATGGCGTCCTTCGCCGGCCTTCCCAAAAACTACCACCCATTATAGGCAGTGATGGCGACACCAACTTCATGGACGCAACTCGTTCGCGAGCCTCATGCGGATAATCGATTCAGGCCCAAGAGGAGTGACCAGATTCCCCTCCGCATTGAGCTCCTTGCAGACTATTTCATGTGGACGCACGCGAATTCTGCTCCAAACTGAACAGCTCTCAGCGTCGACTGACGAGTAGGAGTTGGCAGACGGAAGGAGAATCATCCAATCGGGATATCTGGAAATATAGAGACTTTGGCATAGTATCAGAAGCTGTGATAGCGACACTGGAATATATGTATGCCCCACCGCCAGTTCGGCTTTTCTTAGATGGGAATCAATCTGATGAGATTTATGATTTCGTCCGGTGATGCGTGAACTGAAATTTCGGGGAGTCGTCGATTCATAGATGCTCCAGGCGGGAACTACACAGGTCGCCCGTGGTCCTCGCATTCAGCGCGCCCATCCGGCGGACGACGTCGGCTCAGCTTCGTCCGACGCTCTTGGTAAGATCTCTTGGGGCTGTGCTCGAAACCATGTGTGTGGGTAGAATTAGTCGTAGGGGGATGTTTTGAAGCGACGGGGGAGCAGTGAAAGACCGATCAGTCGGTATTTGGGAAGGTCGGTTGACCCACGGGCGGTCGGCACCTACGGTTCGCATCGGATTCGGTTTTATCGAATTCGGTGTGCCGCGAGAGGGAATTTTGTTGCTTGTACCGGTGAGCTCACGTCCTCCGGCTTCGGATTCCATGAGCGCGAAGTCTTGAGATTTTCTTTTCCGAGCTTGCGTCATCCACAGGAGCTCGGAAATATCCTTGAGGAGGAAAGAAGAAAACATCGCTGAAGGCTACCGAGTCCTGAATTGCACGGAGCGATCTCTCGAGAGATTTTCTTTCCAAACATTTCGCTGGGTCGCGTGGGGAGATGGGCAGGAGGAACCGATCACATTGGCTCGATAGGAGTTCAATCTTCCGGAGGTCGAGTGGACTCACTGAACGGAGCATGATCTGAGTGAAGACCTCGATTAACGGGAAGTAAAAAATAGGGGTATTCGTTCTGAGAAAAACCCCAAAACTGGTGACCGCACGCTTCTTTACTACTGCAGCATAACACAACGGAATTCTACAGATAACATCGACCGAAAACTTCTAGACGGCGAGCCGATAAAAACCTTCCCGAAGAACCGGCGAGCTCGACGAATCGGAATAGCTCCAATCTTCTGAGAAAAACCCTCGCTTCAGAAGAGGCGTTGGACACAAATGTAGCGGATGAAGAAATGAGTAAAAAGCACGCCACTGTTTATCCATAATTAACATGCAGGATTCACTTGAGAAATTTCTGCTCCCAAATTAAATCCATAGCCTGCCGTAGGGCCGGATCTGAAAGTACGAAATAAAGCCTCCGGGTCAAATCTCGATCATTATCTTCGCTGAGATCCGTATGCGAGTGATTTTTCCGTCAAGTGAGGCGACATCAATTCGAGGCGGAAAGAGAGCAATCGGCTCTCATCTTGTCTCGCTGGTTGTCCAGGTTCGGAAAGAAACGGCGACACGTCCGACAACAGCCGAACGCGGCACTGACCTAATTTGCCTTGAATCGAACCACGGTATTCTTCTCACCCCATTGATGACCAGCGTCGCCGAGGGTTGTCGAGGGAAAAGGAGAACAGGGAGGGTCTACATCCTGGCCTCTTCTCCTCTCCGTTATCCGGACACGCGGCAGTGACAATCATTGGGCGACGCTATTTCAGTGAGCGAGGGCATCTGTTTGTATGCGCGCGTAAGTCGTCGGCTGTTGATGCTACGATTCATTCTTCCATCATCTCAATGCCGAAAATCTGTCAGAATCTGCAGAGCGGTATGCATATGGGTTCCACAGGAGCCATTCGAGGGTTGAGCACGTCGAGCTTTCCATAACATTGACGACAGTGCTTCTTCCGAATTCATCTCATGCCAAGACGGTCTGCGACTCTGCATCCCCTGCTCAGAAGTGAGTCTCATAGGAGACCCTATACACGATGACATGGCCTCGCAAACACGATGATGCATAGAGCATTGGTTGGATGATGCTCGGAAGCGCGGCTCGTCTCATCAGAAGAGACTCTCCGCCGGGTTCCCGAATGGAATTCAATGCTCAGACAAAAAGGCTCTAGTCGATGGATCGGCCACGGGCGACGCAGCGGATTGCACGAGTCCGGATACAGAAAGGCTGCTCCCCCCCCCCCCTCTCCCACCTATCTCCGGGAAGGGATACCCTCAAACCTAATCCGAAAATTCTCTTCTGCCGTGTAGCTTTCTGGTGGGTACACTTCGCAAGCTCAATGATCAGAGAGCAATAATATAAGAGAAAGACTTTCCAAGATGCGAGACGATTTCATTATTTGCGTTCAGAACGATATATCGCCGAAGTCGATAACCGGCATCGACAGACTGAAGGACCGATCAATCGCCTGGCAGATGAATCGAAAGAACGTTGTGTCTGTCGAAAAAAATAGTTTGTTCCGAATACGGATTTTTCTCAATGATCCGACAGGCAATCGAGTTCCGCCGAAAGTAAACACGCATCTCGTTCGCCTTTCGCGTTCTTCGACTTTGTCTTCCACCGTAGTGAACTGGCTCTATCTATGTGGTTTTTCGCGTATGATTTTTCTTTGCGGCTATTCCATTCTGTCGCTTGGTTCCATGTTCGATGATTGTTCATCAGAAAGCAGCTGTATTGGTTCCGTTCTTCGCCAACTCGAAGGCAAGATTGACATGTGTTCTCCACCCGCAACTGATAACTCATCTACTTGCGGACGGCAACCTCCATAGTCCCCATCAGCGGCTGCGCCTCTCTATTGATTCCTCGCTCGTTTCTGATTGTGAGCTATTCTTTCTCTTCTGATTCAGCGGAATTCCTCCGAACAAACCACCCCAATGAGTTTGACTTTCAATGTATGTCCTGTCGGCTGATTATAATCAGAGAATACGTCGACACGAAGTTCGAGAGGCTCTCTTCATGTTCCCTCAATTTATGGAGAAGGCAACTCGCCTACGGTCATCGGTATGAATTTACGTTTTAATGGTTCCTCGCCGATGAATAATCATGAATTCCACTCAAGACTCACATGGAACACGTTTCTTCACGAGGGAATATAAACGCGGGTCGCAGACGAAAGTCGAACGGAGTGCTCTGCATGTGGATGCTATGCTATCAGCTTCCCCGGCTGAAAGTATCGAGCTGTAGATTCGATTCGCGAATGGTTCCATTGGGTTAAGTCAGGACTGGTCTAGTCGAGTGAAACCGCGTCCACTGAAGCGTCGACATTTCACGGTCTTCGAGCGTTTCCGATGGTTCGTTTTAACATTTCTCTCCATGCTGTTTTCGCATACGGCGCCGACATGAAGATCGGCGGATGGGTGTGTCCCTGGAAATCTGACGCCATATTTATTCATGAATCGAATGGAGCTACGAGTCGCGCCGCAAAGCCCTCAAGAAACTAAAGGACTCTGCCACGGTATCTCAGTTGTTTCTCACGCGCAAGAATAATACAATTCTGACCTCAGGAATTCACAAATGTTCGTAGGTATTGACTCGCGTCCATCTCGAATCTCTCCGATTGCCGCTCGTTCGCAGGAGGATTGTTACGAAACAGTGGACTCTGCGTTCCGGAACTTCCTGATGGAAGCCGAATCGGGGACTATTATCTAGAGGAAGATAACGCAAGGGATTGACGCTCTCTCGGGCTGATGTCGCAGCGGGTGCTCGAGACAATGAGATCTCTTCTGCTCCGCATCAATATTTAGCGCCAGATGCCGCTCCGTGATATTTGCGGACTAAGAAAATCCGGAAGTTCCTCGTTCGAAGTTGGCAACTAGTTTCCCCGCTCTGTGACTCCAGTACCTGAGTAATTGAAGTGTCTCAGGACTTTTGTGCTCTCTGACTTGTGTGATCGCGGAAAATTGAGTTCTCAATCGATGACGGCAATATTCCTGCCCCTGCGTTTCAGATCGAAGCGTGATCTGTGAGTCGTAAGAAGTGGGCCCGCGTTTTGGTCTATAGCCGAAGAGTGGGAAGAAGAGAACATTTTTAATTTCGTGTTTCATTGTCAATTGCTACGCTGAAAACTCGCCGACGGGAAGTCCTGTTTGCGTCGGTCGACATGGGCTGTAGTGAGCGAAGCCGGAGCGGAGAAGGATCTTTCTCATTGATACTTCTGTCGCTGACGTATAAGGCCTGCCATCGAATCCGACTCACTTAGCAGTAGAGCCGCCGAGCAGTAGCCCTGGGGAACTGGGTATTACATCAGGGAGCAACAACAAATTTTCACGTGAAGATTCGGAATTCATGTCCAACGCGGCTCAAGGTGTGGAACAGCATAGGAGTTCCACCCTCCGACGACTTCGAGTGATTCTCCGTATCGCTTCTATGGCCCGTGCGACTTGACAGAACTTTCGCGCCGCCTACTGAATATGTCCTTCCCGTTTTAATCGGATTCAACTAGAGAATAATTCTCTTGAAGCACCGAGTAGTGTTATAGCGCATTGAATGACGAACAGTGATGAAAAATCATAAACAATGATGTAAAATAACGTACAATGATGATATAATGAATAATCTATGGAAGTCCGTATTAGAACTAACATAATCCCGCGTCAATATGTCTAAAGTTGATGACGGATAATAATGAGCAATTATTAATCATATAGGAAAATGGTTCGTTTGCTTGAATGGATGAAGAGAATAATGAAGGAAAATGAGAAGAAATAATGAAGAAATCCACGCTGGTGGTCAAATTCCGTGGGAACGAATCGTAGATCTCGTTGTTAATATTAGGTACTATTGCATTAAAAAGAATTACATAATGAACAATGATGGGAAATAACGAATAATAATGAACAGTATTGAATCGTGATGAATAATTATAAATAATCATGAATAATGATAAATCACAATGAACAATAATGAATAATGAGCATTAATGAGCAATAATGACCGGTACTGAAGAGTAATGAATGATGATGAACAGTGATTAAAAACTATGAATAAAAGTTTTCAAGGATTAATTATTCATGATGAACGATAACGGATATTCAAGAACGAAGATGTATTGGGATTTCCAGGCCGGATTTCGTCACATGGCTGGACTTGAGCTCTGACCGAGAAACTTTGAATCCACTGAACGGCGTTCGCTATAAGCACACAGCATCTTCCGCGTTCAATGATTGAGTTTTACGACAAACGCGTAGCCTGCGTCACAAGTAACCGACCCACCGAGCCGCCATCCACCATTCAAGTGGGCCGAATGGTAGTACCATACGCGTCCACGATTCTCTCAGAATCGCGGTCCGTAGAGCGAGCACGGGATAATGTCCCCTGGGGAACAGTTTTCGTGTGCTTGACGTAATGCTGTGAGTACCGCAAGCAGGGCCCGGAGCTGGAGAATCGCATTCCCAACACATTCTGAAAGCTCGTCGCTCCCTGCACTCACAAATTGATGGACCTATCCCGCCCACGACTCACTCCGGAGTCAGCTTTTTCCACAATCACATTTGGGGTCTTGGATGACCCTCCCGCTCCTGATAGCACTTGTGCTCGCTCGCCGCAAGCTTTCATAAAAGTAAATATGGTGATCAGCATCAGTATTCACCCCTCTTCAAGCTATTTAATATATCGTCAAATTCGCACGAAATTCGTGGTGTAACGAGCACTCCGTGGCTTCGTCTTCCTTGACGTCTGCCCGCTCCCGTGTTATCACCATTATTACCGGAGGATTCTTCATCATTCGCACCTTCACAGAAATCTGCAACTAAGTTACAACTGTAGAAATGTTCTGAACTGAAAACTTCAGAAACGCTCAATCACAGAACGAATTCTTCGGATTACGAACGGACGTCACGCCTGTCGCGGACTTCATGCCCAAAGTTTCTAGAGAAACAATAACACCATGTCGGAAGTCGCTTCTCTGGAAGCGGCCGGCTCACACAAATCTCTCGTCCAGGCGATCGTCACTGCTTCGGCGCCATAATCGTTCCTCAGTCAGTATCTCGCAGTGCTCGCTCACACCAGAACGCCGCCCATGTCAATGATTAACACTTCATAAGTCTTCGGTACTATTTGTCTAGTCTCGAAGCTCATAAGCCGGAGGAGGTCGGTGCCGGCCGTCCGCCGCTCGCGTCCGCCAGCCGGCCAGGCTTTTCTTCAAAGTCGATCGTCTCGCTTGTTGTTGTGGTCGACGCTGCTTGTCTCGAAATGGACTCAGTGAGTTTTTTGCCTGCCGGCCCGTTCATTCGTTCGTTCAGGCGCTGCGGAGGAGGGGGAGGAGCATTACCGACATCAAAGTCCAGTCTACCTCGTGCAGCCCTGCGGAGGGTTCCTGTAAAGCGCCCGCTTCCCTTTCTTCCATTACTGCTGCTTTAGCTCGTTCGCTGTCTTTCCCTGTTCGCAAAACAACAGCGAATTGACAGAGACTGACGGATCATCGTAGACCTTCTAGTCGCCGCTGTGGGCTTCGCAACGCAAGGGACAACCCAACACCCAGGTCGTCGCCGCTGCCGAGCAGCGGGCATGAGTTCGAATACCAGATCGAGTCGGACACAGATGACGACGAGCAGTGTCTCAGCGACAGCAATAATAGTTGACGCCTCCGGGGAAGAATCGAGACATTACCCGATCATTGCAGTTATCCGTTGCACGTCGCGTCGTCGCTCGGAGAATTGGTTCCGTATAGCTCTCACGGTCCATAGAGGGAGCCAGGGAGGAGCTCTTTTGATAGCAGGAGTCGCGAGTTTTTTCCTGCCGTGGAGCACGATTGTGCCGAAGGGTCGCTTCATGGGTGGTCCTCTATCCTTATCTCATCCTCTTTTAATGCAAAGTGTGAAAATGAGCATCATCCTGCGACGATCGGAAGCCACAGAGCGTGTAGTATGAGCCGCCAACTTGGATGAAGTCTTTCTCGGCCACGAGACTAGATTCTAGTCTCGAGCAGAAACGCGCACTTCGAGCGCTGCCAAAGCGTAATTTCAGTCTGAGGTCCCGATAATAATTCGTGGCGTCGAGATAGCCAACACGCGCACTCTTTTCTCGGGAATCCGGCGAAGTTTGGCAATAATGTCCATAGCGATCTTCGCCTGTCGTTTTCGCTGCGGCTCTTGCTGTTCTATCGTTGATTGAGAAGGCGAACTTTCTCCCGGAATTGGTTGAACATGAATCATCGTTCCCGATTAGAAACTCCTCAGATTCGGCCAGGCTCTGAGATGGATTCCCTGGTTGTGTGTGATACTGATTTGGACTGCTTGGGTCCAGGAACGTATCGATGTCAAACAGCCGAATGCTTTGCGTTAATGGGCGCCACTCTTAATGGACTCAGCCGAAGAGCGTCTCGAGTTTCTTGTCAGACGACATAACATTATAGGCTGCAGCGACTGACGCAGCCACTGTAATAATCTGTTCCGAGTCTCTCGATGGCTCCTCATTTCCAGAAGCGAGCCAGACGTGTCTGGTGCGGCTACCACCGTCGCCGAAGTCAGCCCGTTTGTTTGTTGCTGCTGCTGTCTAGAAGCTACCATCAGTTTAGAGCGATATTGCGCCTATTGAACCGCAGGTGATTCGCTGCATTCGGATACATTGTTGCTGGAGCTGGGCTTGTTGAAAGAGTATTCGATGAATCTTCATGAATTCGGGGGGAGAAAGCAAACATACAGCCATGGTCATCGAGCACGAAAGGGCAGTTTTTCCACTCTGCGAGGCTATTGAGAACGATCGCAGTAGGCTGAGAGCTGCGGAATCCAGGGCATTTCCAAGATCGTCTCCCGAACATCCTCCCATCAATTCGTCCTCTAACTGCTTTTGGCCGCAGTAATCATGAGAGACCCCGTTATTGATCCTTCCGTCACATAGCTACATAATCTTCCCCGACCTTCAGGTCCTGACCCAGTCAGCTCAGGGGGCCATAGTCCCAAAGGCATCATTAGGCGACTCGCGTCATTGCCAGAGAGGACAGAGACAAAAACCTTGGTTCGCAAGCTCTGAGGACATCCACAAGGTGAGGATACTCCAAAATGGGGATCAGACGCTCTGGCAGCGACTTTCGGATTTGACTGAGGTAATGACAAAGCATCGCAGATACTCTCCGCTGGGCACCCCATCGGAAACTGATCGGAAAATTTTGACTCTTGGGAGTGATTCGGGCGCTAATGAAGATAATGTCGACGGAGAGAAACTTCGCCCTTACGACGTCGGTCGGAGCAAACTCCTCATGTTCCGTGACGATAGGACGCAGGTAGGCAGGAGAAGTGACGGGCGCGCACCACAGCGAGCTTCGACGGCCTAAGCATTTTGGACATCGCCTTCGACGAATTTTTCCCACGGTTCGGCAGCACTAACGGCAGCGACGTCGAGCCTCTCTTGCGTTTTCGAGAACCAGGTGGAGCGAAAGAATACATGCGATACGCTGACACACGCCATCTTTCAGGGCCGCGAGCTAACGAGCGAGCGCCCTCTGAAAATGTCAGCCATGGAAGCAAAGTTGGTTGGTCAAATCCGCGAAGCTTGCGTATACGTTCACCGATGAAGGAACGGCGGAGTACCCTCGTCTGACTTGCAAGCTGCGGGGGCGCTCGATTCCGAATCCTCGTGATGGCCTGCGTCCGGGTCGGGCTGAGGTCCCTCCACGAAATTCCTCATCGTTGCACAGAGTTTGCGGTAGTCCCGCCGTCTGCATACCATGCGGATATCTCGCGGATTTCTCTCTTTCTCTGAATCCGTATTGGTGGTGATGAGGTGGTCTGACCCCACTCTCAGCCGCTCGGAACTCTGTCAATGGGAGCACCGGATGCTCCGTGAAGGGGATACTTCGTTCTTGAAAAATCATTGGAGTGTTTCGCAAAAATCCAGACAGAGGTTCTCATTGTGCAAGGATTTATATTTCCCGCTGTTTTTCAACCGCTTGCTATCTCGGTGACTGGCTGATTTGCTAGTTATGGGATCGTTCGTTCCGTAGTATGCGACTGAGGTCACTCCTACGATGAAATATATATGTTACGACCCTTCCACAAATAGCCGTGCTTGTTTTCGGCGTCTTCTCGCACCTCACCTTCTTTGAGGTAGTGCGGCGTTAAATTCTTACACTAGCTCCGAAAAAGAGGGGGAAGCGCCGACTCGGCGGAAAAAGTCTTCAAAAACTGCCTGCAGTGCCGCACGATATCGTATCAAGCTGGATTCGAATGTAGAAAAAATTGAGACGGATTCCGCCGTGGCGTTTACTCGACTCGGATGAATGCATTCTATTCGGCGTAGGGTTTGTTCATTTACCGTGAACGGATCCAGAATTCAGGCATGATAAGAAGAATCCAGAGCATTAGTCAGCGCCATATAACAGAGTACCGGGGTGAATATCGGAGGCCGTGAAGAAGAAAGAAGGGACGGACGAACGACAAACATTTCATGAAGGCTCGAAGATACATAGTTTGCGGGATCTCGCCTGATTACTGTCTTCCAGTCTTCGGAATACCCGATCGGTCGTCTGCTCGTTCGGCCGGCGGCCGACGGACTTGCCGATCGAACGGCCCGCTCGGCCCGAGCTCTCCTCTGCGAATTCGCCTCTGTCGTCATCTCGTCTCAGAACGCGCAGCGGCGGCGACAGCAGAAGCTGCCGCGGAATGTAAAAGCGTATAAGGTTCCTCGGGGCAATGTACATCGTATGAACCGAGGAGCGCCCGCCGCCGATGTCATCGTTCGGCGACGACTCCACCGGTGTATCTGGAAGCAGAGATTCTGCCGCTGCACATTCCAGAAGGGCTTGTTGGCTGATTCGTCGCTTGCCTTCTCCGTCGTTGATTCGTTTCTTCGTTTATTGCCGCACTGGAAGACTCACTGACTGCGGTAGAGCGGCTGATCGGTCGCTTGGTTCTACTCGCCAGCTCGCTGCAGCTAAATGCCGGTTGGCTTGGGTAGTCCAAATTCACGGGTCTTCGGAGACAGCGCGGCGCCATCGTTTGGTATACTTTTCGATCAAATTTTGTACGTTCGCCTTTTCAATCTGACACGACCGGCGCGCCCTTTGCGCTAGATAAACTCTCTTAAATTGATAAGTCGACACCTAGGCTAGAATGTATTAATTCGTCTCTCGGCCTGAGTCATCGATTCAGATAAGCTTCGGTCGATTACTAACTGAGCAGAGACATATGGGTCTCGTGAGCGGAAAATTCTCAGCCTCACGCGGGCAACGATCTCCGCGTTCAATGCTCTCCCTCCGAGCCCCAATCCGTCAGCTCAGGGTATTTCGCGCAGAGTTGAAACAAAACGTTCTTCAAATTTCCTGCCTCAATTGAGAAAAATCAACTATACGGCGAATCGCCGTCTTCCAAAAACGGAAACTACGCTGCCATTGACGACGGCAGGATAACGCCCACGTTAGAGACAACGACATGGATTTCAGAACGCAGTTCGCTGATCTGATGGGAGAAAAGGGAGAGCCGAGAATGGTAGAAGCCAAAAACGCGCAAAGTAGTAGCGAAAACCGTTGAGAACTTCATCAGAGAACTTCGCCGAAATGACGCTGATGTTGCTACCGTTCTGCTGTTTTAGTCCAAATCTAGCCGTGTTCACGTGGCTCACACGGCTAATACTTTCTGTTGCCTGATTGAAATCTTGAGGTAATAATCCTGCTTCCGCTAAGGGATGCTCGGGGCTCTTGTCATGGCGGGGAAAAGCTTTTCCGTACATTTTCTGTGGCTTACAGATTAGGTGCAGGTGCACCACTCCTGATTAGCTTGTGATCCACTTCGGGGAAGTTGAGACCGACATCAGAGGCAGCGAAGTCATTCAGCATATCCGTGCCTTATGGGGTTGTTTCTCCGTGGACAGCGATTCAGTCGATTCATCCCCAAGGAACTGCACTTCCATTGTTCCAAGCTCTTGCATCCGGTCGATATTTCGTGTTGCCAGTCTTGGCTTGTCATTTATTGTCTATTCTCGGCGATTCGGAGAAGCCCTTAAAATGTAACTGATCAGTGGGGAAAATGCGCCACGGACTCAGTCCAGTGTTGCTGGTCGCGCAATATTCCGAGAAGGATTCAATACTCCACTGAATTATCCAGGGCGCCAGGGCGTTCGAAACGACCGATCCCGCCCCGGTCTCCGAATCCTTCGGAAAGGTCTTCCCACTCCGAAAACAGCGCCAGTTTGAAGGACTCAGTTTTCCTGAAAGCGGGTTTGCATATCATTCAATTATCAGATCATTAGATGCCAACGAGAGGACGAGATCAATTAAAGATCACTCAACTGAAAAGCAGTCGGGAACCGTTGACCCCTCTTCGCGGCCTAGCTACACAGTGTCCGAGCAGGAACGACAAGGAGACGTGAAACGACTGACTTCGATGAATCAGGCCTCACAACGGATGGTTCGGTGCGATTCACGGTCGCGACTATAGTGTCGCTAGTTAAGCGTGGGGGAATGCTCGTATTTTGTGGTTCGGCGAAAAAGCGGGTTGAATCTCCTTCAGGCGTAGAGCCGATACTGCTGCTTATCAAAGACGTCGTTCTTCTCGACTTTTCTTGGAAAAGGAATGAACGTGAAAATTCCGTGAATAGCTCGCTTCATTCCCAACTCATCCAGCACTGAAGCATAAAGAATGTGGACTCAACACAACTTCAGCGCTAAATAGTCGGCGCGGACACAATCCGTTGGTCGGTACTCCTGCAAGAAAAAGATGGGATCTAGCCGGTAACCACTCGGCTCACCAACGTATCCTCTCCGTGAAGACTCGCGGATCGGATAAGCGAGCGAATTCTAGCGCTGGATTATACGCGCGTCTAAACTACAAAAACTCATCGAACGCCTGCATAATTTTACGACCAGCGCCCAGAAGCGTGCAGTACCTCGAACATTGACGGGGATTTCTGTTTAAGCTCAATTTCTTCGAAGATAG